CGCATCATGTGGTCAGAGGCGTCGTTGGCGAGGCGGAGACCCATGAACTCGAGCTTGGCGGAGTCGAAGTCGCCGGTCTCGGCTCGGAGGGCGTCGACGAGGCCGTGGACGGCGTCGGCGTGGAAGCCGGCGCGGCCTGCGGAGTCGTCAGAGGCGAAGGAGGGGAGGCGGGAGCGTGTTGATGTGGCACCTTCGGAGATGATGCCGTCGTCCTCGTCGTCGGAGTCGACGGCTGAGGCGAGGGTGGAGATTGTTGATGTGGAGATGTTGAGGTTGGCGAGGGAGTAGAGGAGAGACTTTTGGAGTCGCGAGGGGTCCTGTTCGTCCAATTCGTCGTCTTCGGAGTCGTAGAAGACGCCTGCGTTGGTGGAATCCCCGAGGAGCTTGGTATTCTTTATCGCAGGGGCGCCGGAAGATGTGACCATGGATGCGACAACCCCATCCTGGAGAGTGACGTTCTTGTCGACCTGGACTCCGTATGAGAGGAGGGATCCGGAGAATATCCTGGACTTCTCGCCTACATGGGCGGAGTCAGCCAGGATTGACTGGGAAATATGAGCACCATCCTCGACCGTAACTTGATTCCACAGGTAAGAGTTCTCCAATGTGATGTTGGACCCGATCTTACAGTCCTTGCCGATGACACAGTTGGTGATCTTGCTTCCGGCTCCGATGGTTGTGAAGCGCCCGACAACAGATTTTACAAGTTTGGCGTCACTGGCCAGAGTGACACTGTTGTCTACGACAGCACCATTCGACTGCCGGGTGTATTTTTGTGAGGGGATGATGTTGTTTTCAGGGAGGAAAGGCGCGGCCCAGCGGCTGATAATATCCTGGCTGATCGAGCTGTACATCTGAAGGTTGCTAGCACGAGCAGCATAGCCTTCCTCAAGCACCTCAGCATAGATCATCTTTCCATTAAGCTCCCAATCTTTTAAGACACCGTGCAGGAAGTTCTTCCGTGGCAGCTCATAGTCGAAACTCTCTGACCATAAGGCCAGCACCTCGGGTGTGCAAATGTCGATTTGTGCATCGATAAGGTCTGCCCGCACTTCAAAGTCCGTTGACAGCTCATCCGGGATTGCGGGGTCCAGAGTGATGTAGTGGTCGCTTTGTAGCGGGCTGATCTCATCGTAGTGAAGACATCTTTGGTTTTTGGCGTCGATTGCAAACACCGGCGTAATTCCATTCGTCTTTGTGCGATGTTCAACAAGTCCACCACTTCTTAATACCAAAGTCATGATATTGGCCGCACTAGTCTCTCGCCGTTTTCGGTGCGCGGCCAGCGCCTCGTCCAGGATGATGTTTGAAACCAAGTCACCGTGCACCAGAATAAAGTCGCCGTCGACCAAAGAGCGCTTGTCCATGTCTCGGAGGACATCTCCAACGGACCGCGCATCAGACACTCGAACGAACTGCACGACGGAGAAGGGAGAGGATCGAGATGTCGTCGCCCATCGGGAGCGGTTGATGTGGTCTTCGACTTGGTCGGTGTGTGCGCCGCAGTAGATATAGACCTCGTTAACGCCATTCATGGCAAGGAACTCGAGCGTATACTCGATCAAAGGTGTGTTGGCTAGCGGGAGGAGGCACTATGAGCGCTGCGGTTAGCTTCAGTCGCAGTCTCAAGATCGGATGGCGGCTCCATGGCATACTCGTGGCTTTTCTACTGTGAATGGACGAAATCTATCTTGGAAGGAGTCTGCGAGGACCTGGAGTAGATTAATCGTCAGCAGTTGAGCCAACCAAATTGCGAGTTTCAGTGGCCGATTCTAGACTCACCACAGCCTGGAGCACATCTTCGCTCTTGCTCTCGGCGCCCGATTTTGTGGGCTTTTTGCCCTTGGAGGAGCCCGCACTATTCTTTCCCTTGTGCGACATTTATACGACCCTTTTTCTGGCGTCCTGAAGTTGGGGCGAGGTGAAGTTTCGAATGCATAGAGAAAGGGTAGATGTGCTGTATGTGTGACTCAACCGCATACGATTCGCCAGAAATTTCTCACCGAGGTGAGTCTCGGTGTGGAAGATGGAGGGGCATGGCGGGGTTCCAGATTCGCGATATCAGCTTACCCTATACCGCCATAGCGGCCATGCTCGTGATGCGCCTGGACTTCAATGCGTGAGACCCGACCTTGCATCGGGCGAGCGCAACTGTCGCCGTCGTCCTACCCTCAACGGTCTCTGGGTTGCCCCACGTCATAAAACAGTTAATTGGGCTCATTTTGCTTGAACCGACCAAGTGGTTCTCGATGAAGTCGGCCGTCTACGGTGACACTAGAACTCAGCTAACGGTGGGTGTTAATTAAGCGAGAATCTCCGCGATGCTTCTGGTTAGCGATCAGCATTCACTACGGTATGCCCCCATCGCAACCCCTGCTTAACAACTGTTGACCTCTTCATGCATCGCGATATGGTTGCCAGCCCTAGGTACAATAATCAATCACAGCCATCTTCCAGCACCTTGGCGCCGAGAAAAGACGCTCACCGTGCCTTAGCAGCTGTGGAACAGACAGCTTTGCACATTGGTAGCGCGCCGCTAGCTCTCTAAATGTCAATGATCTCCCGGTTCACCAAAGTTCCGGCATAAAGATTAATTAACGACAGCACAGGGCAAGATGTCGATCAGCATTGGGTGTCACCTCAGTCTGAATCGGGAACAGCAACAACGTGCAGAGCCAAATAGGTAACCAGCGATGCTTGACGCAAGTCCACGTATGGCCCATGAGCCCAACTGAGAGCTGAGCTAAGTGATCGGCCATTTGATCGCAATGGGAAGTTGGAGCCCTCCACGTATTGCGAATCCCGGGACTCCCAGACTGCACTGCGCCCCTCTATGCAGAGGAAAAATTTGGGTATAGACGCTAGCCATAATATCTCCTGGATAGTAACTAAAAGGCCCAAACAGGAATTGAGGAAGGCTGTTGAGCACTAAACAAGGAGCCACCCTCCCTCAGCGCCCCCCGTTCTTCCACCCCAAGGCCATGTAAGACTTAATCGTTAGTGGCGATCATTGTGAGGGTGATTCTGTACCCTGCTCCATGTTCGCATTCCAGTTGACGACCGCGTGGATGGGGTATTGCGCCTCGCTGGCGCAGCTTCATTCCTCAGGTCCATGGGGATGCCTGTTGCTTTTGCGCAAACAATGATAAGAACGACGGATCAATATTGCACATGAATGTGCGCATCGTATTGAGCCCTACCCTTGCAATCTGAATCTGTGTTCTGGCGTCTCATCGGGCTTCCCAGCGCGTCGGATACTGGGAACCCCTGTTATGGACCATGGTGAATTACGGCTAGATCCGTGGGCACGCTCAGTTGCAACACAGATGGGGGATCGCCTCGAGGAAAAAAAAAACAACCTTGCCCTGCTGAACATCAGCCAAAGTGATATCCCTTTTCGTGTTTCTGTGCAGGCGTGCGGGCCTCCTCGATGCAACGGCAAAAAGCAAAACAACATAGGTATATGAGGAGAGACATCAGGGTCCAACCGTGGCCCTAAATAGGTAGCTGTGCGTGTCTGCTCTACCGCTTCCTCGACCTCTGATGAGACACCCGTCTCGCGGTATCTCAGATGAAATGGCAGTTTTGGCCTTACATTAGAAATGAATCGTGTAGCCTGGCGAAAGAAGCTTCCATCAACCCAGACGCTAGGGCGGTCTGTCCCTGTCTGTGGCAGTGACATAGACCTTGCATTCTTCCTCTTAAGACATTCACAGCACAGGCGCGGGCCACGATAGCCGGTTGCAATTATCAACTCAAACCCCTGCTGTTTGCACATCCTCCAGTCTTTCCCCTCCTGCCGGCCACCCGTGCCTCTGTGCTACGCAACGTGCTGGCTGTCGTCAACCTTCAAGGTTTGAAATCCTATCGCCGTATCTCCATAGCTTGCAACCTGCTGATTGGCGGCAGTTTGTGAGGTCTGGAGGCTGGTTCGCAGATGGGCATTATCCATGTCCCCCCATTGGGCCCCCTTGTTTCGAGCTGGACATCAAACTTCACACTGTCACTTGACTCTCCTTGTGGTGGCGTCCCGGCATTGCTCGTGGAAACAGTGAGACCTGTCAACGACTCTGTCATACACTACTCTTGCTGTCGTTCCTCCTCATGCCCTTTAGTGCTGCATACGTGAGCATTGTGTCATCTGGCTTCTGAATGTGCCAGTTCTGACAGAGAGGTGGTTAGGCTTGCACCAAGAGGCCAGGTACCGGAGGCCATGGCTAAATGGCTCTAGTGGCCGATGTGCTGAGTCGGGTACCTCAGAGTGCCATCCCCACCACCCAGCGCATGCGCAAGCCAAGTACCTGCCTGGCCGAGGTACTCTGGCCCGTCTTGCAAGGTACTTGGCTGGTCTGTGCGAACAGCTGTACCGCACAGTCCTGCGCCCACCTGATCTGATCGCTGATTGGGATGATCTATCAGTCTGTGCCGCTACCTGCTCTCCTCTCCTAACCCAGCCGCTCCCCCTAGGCATATCGCGCTGGAGAGACACGCTTCCCAACTCCCGCCTCGCTATCTCGCAATCAGGGTGTGGTGCGGCATCCCGATGGCGCCTTCGGGAACGGACACATAATAGGTTATCTAGTATTTTGCGATGGCCGGGGTTGATAGCTTAGTGCGCTGAGTTGACCAGAGGCCTATATTCCAATAGTGACTTTTCCCGGCAAGTTGGAAGCCGAAGGGTCGCAATTCAGCCGTCCAGCTGGGACGATTAACGCGGCAGACCAGAGAAAGAAGAATCCCCAACAATAATAATGATGCAATCCCATCTGACCCGAGCAGTTCAGCTCTTAATTAGAACCTAAAGTGTAATGCCTACCTGAGTAACGGACTAATTTGTAACCGGCATTCTTTGAACGGTGCTAGCCCTTTAGGCGACGAGGGAAAAAACCCGAAGTCGCAAGGGGGGGATCATCGCTGCAAGCTTTTTCCTACCACTCACGTTTGGGAGAAAGGGTGGCTAACTCGAAAACGGCCTCTCCCCCTTCCGCCAGCACAGCAAGCATCAAGGAGGCAGGCAGAGAAGGTACCTTCCGCCTAGCTTTAATTGATCCTGGTCAAGCACGTCCGTCCATCGTCCCACCCCGATCCACCACCCTTAGCCAATCCCTCTTCTCCCCCCGTTCATCCACTGGACCTCGTCCGCTTCGAGACAGGACATCTCTATTCTACCTTCTTTTGTATATACAGCATTATCTATCTGTCGCCTAGCCAATTGCATTTGCACCCACGAGACTCCTGCATTGCGCTGTATCGATCTCGCACACTGGTAGATCTGAAGCCTGCGACTTCGACGCGACCGTTAGTTTCTTGGCTATCTCGAACCCTCGATTCCCGCGCGGTAGTACGTACCCTGCGACGAAATCAATCCCGGCCGCGACCTCTTCCAGCCTAGGCACTCGACTGCACCGTCGTCGACAAGTCCGCAACCGTGGTCGATCATTGTCGCGGTCTATAGTAGCCTTGTTAGAGGTCATCTCAGCTTGCCGAGCAAGCTTCTCGCGCCATGTCGAACCCCGAGATGGCTACCGCCACGGGGGGCGGAAACAATGCCAGCGAGTTTGTAAGTCGCAGGGACATCATATTGTCGGTCCAGTATGCACATTCAACTGACACGGCTCACCTAGGTTCGCAAATTGTTTCGGTGAATATTACTTGCGTCCATACTCGAACCGGATCGTTCTTTTCTAATACGTCGATAGCATGCTCGAAGACCCTTCACACCAAGATGTCGCAAGATGGGGAAAGGACGGCGATACGTTTGTCGTCGTCGAGGTGCGTTTCTCGTCACCAGCATCAAACTCTTTCATGGACTTGTAGGATTTTGACACGACTTCTGCGATAGGGCGAAAAGTTCACTCGATCCATCCTGCCGAAACACTTCAAGCACAGCAACATGTCGAGTTTCATTCGACAGCTGAATAAATACGATTTCCACAAAGTCAAGCCCTCAAGCGATAGCGAAAATTCTTCTCCTCTTGGGAATGTGAGTCGGGAACGCTACATCTTCTAATGGGAGGCTTCAGCGCTGATATATCTTGGGATAGGTTTTGGAATTCAAGCACCCGTACTTCAAGATCGATAGCAAAGATGACTTGGATAACATCCGACGAAAGGCTCCGGCTCCAAGGAAGCAGCAGGTGAATGAAGACTTCACTACCAACCATCATATCAGCGTCATGTCCGAACAATTGGCGGCCACGCAGCAGCAGGTCCAACAGCTCCAGGAGTTGTTTACGGAAGTTTCTCAGACTAACAAGATTCTGGTCAATGAAGTCCTCACGTTAACCAAGATCATCAATGCTCAAAAAGCAGCGCAGCATGAAATGCTCAACTATCTCACGCCATACAACAACGACAACCAGCGTACGCCCATCATCAGCCAGACAATCAACTCAAACGGACGAGCAAGTGATGCGGATGATGCCTCAGTACCCGAGCTTAGGAGGGCTCGTGAACTTCTTTCGAGCGTGAGCACAGATTCTGTCACTGACCGTGAGCTGGAGCGGTTACAGCAACATGTCTACGGATCGCCCACAGATTCATCTGCGATGATCACGCCGACATCGCTTCCCTTGATGAACGATCCGATGCACGACATCACCCGCTATCCAGTTTACCCTGTCGGGCAGACTGTGGGAATTGATCCGTTCCACTCTGATCACATCCACAAGATTCCTTACGCCATGCCTAGCGATGTCAACGCCAGCGTCCTAGGTGACCAGCCACAGGCACCCACGATGGCGCCAGCTCCAACGCAAACTGAAAAGCCAGATGCCATGTGGGGTCCACGAAAGCCTTCGGTTTTCCTTGTTGAAGACGATCCCATCTGTGCCAAGATTGGTATCAAGTTCCTGAAGTCCATGGGTTGCGAAGTTGAGCATGCTGTAAGTGATGCGCGTTTGCCTGGGGAGTGGAAGCGTCCCTATGGTATCGTATTTTTCCCCACGCGGTAGGCTAACGCAAGGTGCTAGCCAAACGGCGCCGATGCATATACTCGCATTAACAGTCTCAGCCGCCAATTCGACATGATCTTTATGGATATTATCATGCCTCGTCTGGACGGTGTTTCCGCCACAATGTATATTCGTCAAAGCCACCCTGCTATTCCGATCATTGCTATGACGTCGAACATTCGACCAGAAGAAGTCAACGGTTACTTTGAACATGGTGCGTTGCAAAACACTCCCATCTGACTGACTGTGAACTTGACCCAGAAAGCTAACGCACTCAAAAGGTATGAATGGCGTGCTGGCAAAGCCCTTCACTAAGGAGGGAATGTGGAAATCGGTTAGAACCCACTTGAGCCACTTGATGAAGAATCCTCCTCAGGAGAGTGAAATTGGATCGGGTGCTGGATATTTCATGGGTAGCGGTCCGTATTTAAACACCTCAACGTCGATTAAGTTTGAATCACCAACACCCCCTTCAGGTACCGCCGGGTCCAACTGGTCCCCCGGACAAATACAGCAGCCCTCGATGGGTTCTGGACTGGAGCAAAACTTTGGCTTGCTGAATGGAAGTGGCCAATATGCCATGGCAACTGGCCACCGACCACAAGGCTTTTCAGCCAACCTGCATTCGGCTGACTCCAGTTCTGGGCGATTGTCTGATGTGGAAAGCCCCCCCGAAAAGCGCCAGAGACTCAACCCCCAGAGCACTTACTCGTGTTAGGGAAGTCAGCATGTTTAGACGTGTATATCGGCGCATCGAATTTCTTCTCTTGGATATATGGGAGCGGTGTGGCGTTGCAATACTGGGTTATTAATGGTGAATGAGATGATCGGAGAAGACTGGTTTAGTCTATATTGTTAATGTTCATGTGCGGGTCGGGACGGGTTTGGTTCGAGATTTGGATTACTTGGTAGGCTGCGAGAGACCGAGTTGCCGTTTTTTGTCATTGTCGAGGGAAGAATGAATGGATAGTTCGGTCGAAGAGAAAACTGGATACTCAGAACTGGGGTGCAGGCTACATTTGAATTGGAAAGCATCAAATGGACCTAACACAAATTTGTGCCAATGATTGTGAGGTTGCATGTGCCACCAGAGTCTGGAACTCAATGCACAGGGATAAGACCTACCAAAAGCTGCCGAGGTGGATATCCGCATTGCCGAGAATCAAGCATGTATCTCTAGCAAGCGAAGGCCGTAGTACACCTGTAGAGCAGCATGAGGGCATTGTCTGGCGGCTACATATGCAGTGTATCGGCGCCGGATGCGAGGATAAGTAAGTGAGCGACGAGATGGCTGAAGTGACGAGGCTGCATTTTGTATGCAACAGCGAGGTGACGGCTCAAAGCCGCATCCGTCACGGGAATTAAATGGAAGAGAAAAAACATTAGCGGGCGATCGATTAAAGTATTATTCATTGCAATTGAAATAGCCCAGTATGAAGTCAGACCAGGCCACCCCCTGCCCATGAGTTCCAACTCCTGGTACACGGGTTGCAGGTCGATTGTGTTCTAGACTCGTTCTACAGTGGTCGATTTGAAATCTGGAATTTCTTGGGAGGGGAGGGGGAGGGGTATGTTGAGAGGGCCATGCTATGCAACTACAGGCAACCCGGGGCCTGGAGCACACAACGGCGCCGTGCCTGCATCATGGTGTAACGATTTGTTTGGATTCTGCGTCTTTTGGGGGACCATTGTGGTGGATGTCTCGTCGTGGTGTTGATGTAACTGACCGGTGCTTTTTGATACGTGCGATATCGATACACCTTGCACACACACTCTATACCCTCTATTGCTACGCAAAGACCTTTGTATCCTCTTTTTTGTAATGAAGCTGGATTCATAGGACATACTGTAGAGGGAATAACCGCGGATTGAAGGCGCACTCACCGCTCCCCAACTTGCCTCGATACGATGGTTAACCAATCTATGAAAGGTCGACAGGGTGTAAGGTTCACGAGTAGAAGGCACGCTTGGAAATAGAACGCAGACTACTGTGCGGTCCGCATCAAGGACCCTCAATTTAAACATTTCAGGGGGGCGTAGAACCTGGCTAGAGCACACGAGAAGCCGTAAAAGATGAAGGACGACAGGTTTGCTCCTGCTAGATGGTCCAGACAGGCCCATCTCTTTATAGTAAGCCGTCTAACGGATGGCTACCGAATTAGATCCTGATGCGAACCACCGAGACCGAACTCTTTATTTTCATCAAAATTTCATTAAGCGCACTTGGCTTCTTGCGACAACCATACCTGAGACTTGGCCTGGTGTTTAGCTGAGAGCCGCCGCCTGAATCCCACGTACCATCAGCCTGGCGGCTGTCAGAGGCACATGGGAACATGGATACGGGGCTCACCCGCCTAGTGGCGTGCTGCGTGCTTCAATAGATGCAAGCCTAGACCAGTCGAGGCCCCCCAGAGAGAGAGAGTAGGGGAGTGGGTTTAGGCAGCTTTTCTGCGCTGGATGTCTGCGCTTGGTAGAAACAGCAGTTCTGCCTGGTTCAAGCACATCTACTCTACTGGTCTGGTTTCGTCATTCGCATTTCACAATGTGTCCCTGTGCTGCAGCGCTTGCATGGGTCTCGGCTTTGGCTGGCGAGGCTTCGGCGAATTGCTGGAACCTGGATGCAACGCCAGGTAAATCTACTCAGTTAGGAGCATTGGATAACGTTCATCAAGTCCTGAAGTATGAAGCATATTTATTGGGAGCTTTATTGGTGTGCCTAGACTTTCCAGAGTTAGGATTAGGACCAACATCGCTACGACACCAGTAGGTACGCGGTTGAAGGTCCCAGAGATGGTACGAAATCAATCGTCTCTGGAAGACCATAAAAAAAACAAGATGCATGTTTATTACTGCTCACCTCTAGTGATTGATAATGCAGCCCATTACTTTCGTAGGAATTGGCCAGTGGCTCACCAGCGCTTGAGCGGGTGGATCGCGGGGCCAAAAATCGCTTTACGCGTCTGTCGCGCTCAGACGCGTCTTTCCCTCCACCAAACCAACCTCAACCGAGATTGGGCATACAAGCATACTTCTTGGTTGGCGATAACCACCTCTCAACCTCGATTTTGTGACCTATAATGCCACATTCTGAACCCACAGACACAATGTCATCTCCCCAGGCCATTAAGGATGAGCCGATGGAGGACAATGCCGCTATTCCTGGCGACGTCGCCCAGGTAGCAAATGGCAATGACGTCGACATGGCGGAGAAGGACACGGATCTTACCCAGGACAAAACCAAGCTGGAGGAATTGTTCGCAGATATGGATTCTGATGACGAGTTCTCAAGCTCAGCCAAGCCACCTGCCAGTTCCCCGCCGGTTGCACCAATATCCGCAGGGTGAGTCTACTACTCCCATGTGCATGCGACCCAGACCGCGATCCTAATATGCAATCGCAGCGATCTGTCACAAGCGAAAGCATCCGACCCCGAAATCATGCGCAGTTTCTACCAGCGTCTGTTTCCCTGGCGGTACCTCTTCCAGTGGCTCAACCACGGCCCGACCCCGACCAACGACTGGACTCACCGAGAATTCGCATTTACTCTGCAGAACGATGCATACTCGCGTTTTCAGTCTTATGCCAACGCAGATTTGTATGCTATTTGATCCGGCTCGTTCGAGCTATCTAAAATTGAAAATTGTCTAATCCCTAACTTCTCCAAAGACTAAAAAAGGATGTCATCCGCCTTGTCCCGACTCGATTCGAAATCGGCGCCGTATACACCACCAGCCCCCGCGACAAGAAGACGTTGCGGAACACAAGCAAGTTCCAGCCGGTTGGAAAGGAACTCTGTTTCGATATCGACTTGACGGATTATGACGAGATCCGTACCTGCTGCGCCAAGACGAAGATCTGCAACAAGTGCTGGCAGTTTATCACAATGTCTATCAAGGTCATAGATCTTGCTTTGCGAGAGGACTTTGGCTTCAAGCACATCATGTGGGTTTATTCAGGACGTCGTGGTGCCCACGCTTGGGTGTGCGACAAGAGAGCACGCAATCTGGACAACCAGAAGCGAAAGGCAATCGTTGGGTACCTGGAGCTCTTGAGTGGTGGCGCACAGGCAGTGAAGAAGGTCAATGTGAGAAGGCCGCTTCACCCACACATCTCGTAAGTTTTGGCCTATCTGTGTTGTGGTGTGAGAATTTACTGACTTTCCCCCCTTAGCCGAAGTCTTGAAATTCTCAGGGGTCACTTCCAGGAAGACATCTTGGATGCTCAGGACCCCTGGAGCACGGATGAGCAGGCCAAGAAGCTCCTTCAGCTTCTCCCGGATCAAACTCTCAACGAGTCTCTCAAGAGGAAGTGGGATGCTGCTCCAGGGCGGACTTCAACGTCCAAGTGGGCCGATATTGATGCTGTTGCCAAGACAGGTGCAAGCAAAAACCTGGATTCTAAAGCCCTCCTTGAGGCTAAGCAAGACATTGTGCTGGAGTATACATACCCTCGGCTCGATGTCCTCGTCAGTAAGAGGATGGATCATTTGCTGAAAACTCCATTTGCCGTTCACCCTGGGACAGGCAGGGTGTGTGTCCCGATCGACGTTAAAAATCTCGAGGAGTTTGACCCCTTTGAGGTTCCAACAGTACAACTTTTGCTAGGTGAGATTGATTCGTGGACAGGGGGCGACGATGAGCAATCAAAGGGAATTGCCGATTGGGAGAAAACGAGCTTGAAGCCGTACATTGAGCAGTTCAGATTGTTCATCAATGGCATCATAAAAGACGAGAAGGATGTCTCGGTAAAACGGGAGAGGGAAGATGACTCGATGGAGTTTTAAACCCCCGAATATTACAGGTGTGAGAAGTATTCTATGATTATTGTCCGTGGCATTCGGCTCTTATGGGAAATATTTGGAGAGCGTATATGGAGTAATGTTTATACAACTGGTCATGACTTCGACTCAGATTCATTGTGAGCCTCAACCTGTGCAGCGACCTCGTCCTCCAGAGCCTCTTCACCTTTGTCCTCCTCTGACTCCCCATCTGCTTCTTCGCCTCTCAATCTTCCACCTTTTCTCTTTGGGATGACACTTGTGAAAGCCTGGCCCCAGTCCTCTGTCTCTAACCATTTTAGCATGATTTCAACAACGTGATTCGTCGCTAGGACTTGGCGGCTTTGCATCAACATGTACTGGCCGATAGGCAATTTGGCTGTCCGGATCCCTCGCTCTCTTGCGCGCCGGTAACAGAGCCCCTTCTCCCTATTCTTGTCTACCAAACCACCAATGACATAGCTCGTGTTGGGCTCCAATCGCTCCAGCGTGTAGGGGGAGTCTGAGGACAGGTAGACAATGTTCTTGTGTTCCTCTCTCACTTCCGGCTCGGGATCAGGGAGCGGGAAAGGATCTTTCTCATCTTTGGCCCACACAATCTCGCTATCGAGGCTCTTTTGCAGCGGCTCAATCATCTGGCCACCCTGTGCGGCCATCTTGTCCCGTGCCTGCGCGGCGCACTCCACGAAGTCGCCCTCGGCGAAACCGATCCCCTTCCAGTTCTTGTGCGTGTCTGCGAGCACAGTCTCAAACCGCTCCTTGAGCTTGCCCTGCCAGCCCGCGACCCAGAGGTAGGCCTTGTACCGCGCCACCCGGTTGTCCGAGTACGACCTCGTGACCTGGCTGGAGAGGGAGATGAGCTCCTTCTCGGACATGTACTTCTCAAAGTCGCAGTCCAGGATGATGGATAAGGGCACGATGACGGAGGGCAGCTTCTTGGGCTGCAGGCTGGCCGGGTCGATGCCCTGCGATATCAGAGCGTCTCGCTCGTCCCGCTTCCGCACTTTCTGCTCGGCGCGCTTCTCCTTGCGGCGCTTGCGGCGGTCATCCTTGCCGTCCTCCCACTCTTGCTTCTTTCTCAGGCGCTTCAGGGCGTTCTTGGACATGGGCGGCTCTTCCTTGGCTGCCTGTGAGTCAACTCCTGTGCTCTCTGAAGCGGGCGCGCTGGCTACCGGGGTATCATTGCCCTCGGCAGGCCCTTCGGCCGGAGCTAGAGACATGTTTCTAAAGGAACTTAGAAATCTCCTTTTCGATAAGTGTGAAAATTGCCAAGGTTTATCAAGGCTGAATTGAGCTGGCTGAGGTAGCTTTGTGAAACTCCGGCTTACTGGAAGGTTGTGTATAAGACGAAAAAGGATTTTCATAGAGGGAGTTAGAGTAAAAGGTCCTTCTGTCACCGTGACTGCATTCTGAAAATCGATATTATGAAGCAATGATTAACTGGAAGCAACACACTTCACTGGGCTTTTTTTTCCGCACCTGTAAAAGAAATCCTCACTGACTCAATTGGGAAACTGAGGTACTTGGTGATCCACCTCGAGAGACTCTCCACCACCGCCGGTGCAGCCAATGGTGAGCTTCCAATTGATGACAGGTCACGTGATAGATCCGCCCGCGCTCGTTCTGATTGTCCCAACTCAATTGCCGTACCATCCCGTCACATCATTGAGCCTCAGAACAGCTACGATCAATCCCGAAGCCATGGAGCGCCAAGTAAGCCGCAGCCCCCTGGCTCACCTGTACACGCCAAAGACCTACGTGGCCCACGATGTCATCGACGAGGTGACCAAGGCGGCCTTGATCGGCACGGGCAGCGGCCTCTTCATTGCCGCACTCAAAAATGCCCTCTCCAGGCAGAACGTCGGCGCCTGGAGCGTCTTCACCCGCGGGGCTCCTCTCATCGGCCTTTGCGGTACGCCCAATTCCTCGGCCCTCTGCTCGATGAAGCTAACCAGACCTCCGCAGCCGCCGCCCCGAGCGCGTACGTCTTCTTCTCCCGGACTACCATGAACCTGCGAGAGAGGGAAGATATCTGGGCTACCACGCTCGGTGGTTTCGCCTGCGGTGCCGTCCTCGGTCTTCCCTGTACGTACCCTTCCGACGGGCAACTCATCATGTGGAGATGATTGGGTTTCCTGGTCATCATACTGACTATCGAAAAAGTCAAGCGTTTCCCCCCCGTTTTCGGCCTCGGTGCCGCCGTCGGTCTCGCCCACGGCCTCTTCTACGTCCTCGGAAACCGTCTCGACTCCTTCAATCAGGCGGAGGACGAGTTCGAGCGCAAGGAGATTCTTCGAAGGAACAAGCGCCGCCCGATCGCCGAGACCATTGCCGAGGTTGGTGAGGGACGAGGTATGTTTATTTCTCAGCACCTTGGTTTTTCTGAAGTTTTGGCTAACACCCCCCGTCTTCAGGTATCATCTCACCTGGCTACGAGGAGCGCAGGAGGGCGCTTATTAAGGAGAAGTACGGCTTTGAAGTCGACCCGGTCAAGGCCACGGTGGACGGCAGCCAGTAAAAGCAATATACAGTCTGGCCAAGCTTGGTGGGCGCATGATTCTCTCTGTACATAAAAATCATTTCCCGGGGGTCGGTGTAACAGATGATGCACTGTTAAGAAATTGGAGTTCTTGTTTTGCCATGTCCTGGGGCAGGTGTAGATTTCGCTCACTCGATCCCTCGTTCTTCTGAAGCATAATGTTTTCTTTGTCAAGAACAAATACTCTGGATATTGCCGAGCCAGATGAGCGTTTCACTCTTGTTCACGGATGATGTACTTTCTTGCGGTTGCTCTGCTACTTGTCATGACTTAGTACTGTATTCGCTGACCGTTTAGATTGTATGAAAGCTAATAATTAATTGGCTGCCGAATTCCATTCCAACTTTGGCTTACATGCTTGCTACCTTGGCAAGTCGCCGATACCCAGACTCCGCAACACCAATTCCAAAATCTAGCCAACCTAAGATGACCACTAAATTTGTTTCCTTATTCCCATTATAGCTTACAGAGCCTTGACCGATTGGAAGAACGGGTTGGCCAGTAGTTTGGAATCAGCAGCTACCAGAGCCTTCAACTTGGCAACCTGCTCTTCCTTGCTCAGTCCGCCGCTCGCCACCTCTTCCTTCCATTGCTTCAACAGGTCCTTGAGCATGGAGCTGCCCTCCTCGACATCCTCCTTGCTGTAATTCAGGCTGTTGTCATCGTGCTTGGTGGTGAAGTCCTCCAGCTCGTCGGCCTTCCTCTTGGCCATCCGGATGACCTTGTCTGGGAATCGCACAAGCTCGGCGACGTGGATACCGAAACTCTGGTCGCAGATCCCTGGTTCCACCTTGTACAGCAGTGTGACTTCCCGCTTCCCGCTGGCGCTCTCGCCAGTGCCGCTGATGTGAGCGGTGACGTGGAGGTTCCTCACCTGGGGGTACTGATCAGCCAAGGCTGTCAGTTCATGGAAATGCGTGGCGAACAGGGCGAAGCAGCCGATTTCCTTGATGATGTGTTCCGAGATGGCCCACGCAAGACCGAAACCGTCATATGTGGAGGTACCACGGCCCAGCTCGTCGATAATGATGAGCGACTCGGAAGTCGCAGACTTGAGGATATTGGCCGTCTCGAGCATCTCAGCCATGAACGTGGAGACACCCTTGAGCTGTGAGTCGCTTGCACCAACACGTGCTAGGATCGAGTCGAAGATGGTCAGCTCAGCCTCGCTGCACGGAACGAATGAGCCAATCTGGGCCATCAAGGCGATGACACCTGCCTGTCGAATAAAAGTAGACTTTCCGCCCATATTTGGGCCAGTGATGACATTGAAAGACGACTTGCTACGGTCGAGCTCAATGTCATTGGTGATGAACTGGATGTCATCTTGAAGTTCCATGCATGGATGTCGGGCTTCGCGCAGGATTGTCTGACCCTCCCCTCTAGGATGAATCTTGGGTCGGACGTAGGCCTCCGGGGCGTGGACGGCGCAGTGAGCGAGAGAAACAATAACGTCGAGATGAGCAAGGACGGCGGCTAGCCGCTCGAAGACTGGGCAGTAGGATGCGGCAACTTGGACTACCTCGTGCACAAGGCTGCTCTGCGTCCTATTGTAATTCTGTGATAGCTGATCGTACTCACGACGGTATGCCTGGAGCTGCTTTGTCGTGAAGTATACACCGTTCTTCTGGGTCGAGCATTCTTGATAGCTAGAGTTATTGCGGATGCACCCTGCTTCCTGGCGAGTAAGACGCATGCACACTCCGTGCACTTTGTGGTTTCTCTCGAGGAAGATCTTTTTGTCGGGCTCTTGTCCGAGGTCCCGTGCAGAAGCATGGAACTCGGCCTTGATGTCCCGGTCCAGTTGGTCCAGTTTCTTGCGGATTGTACGTAGACTAGCATCGTATTCCGACTTGATGATATACTCGTGTCGATCGAGAGCATCAAGATCAACAGTCTGCTCAACCATATCCTGCAGCTTGCCGAGGCTATCAGACAAGTCACGCAATTTTGTAGTGTAGGCTTCGTCAAGAGGGTCTCGGTACACTTCATCCATGACTCCCTCGAACGTACCAATGAATCCCGGCAGTCTGATGACAACTTGATAGGCACGGACAACGTCCTCCAAAGTAGCTTTCCCTCTCTGGAACTTCTTAGCCAGGCGGTACAAGTCGGGTACAGAGCGAAGATGCTCTTCTTGCATTGTTTGGCGGAGCTCGGTGTCATTGAAGAAAGCCTCGACCAGCTGTTGACGTTTCTCAATCTCCGCCTTGCTCATAAGGGGCTGCTTGAGCCATTGGGCCAGCAGTCGGCTGCCGATAGCGGTTTTGCAGTGGTTCAGTACACCAAAAATGCTCATCGTTTTCAGCCCATCGCGGGGTCCTGGCATTAAGTTCAAGGCTTTGAGAGCAGCAGCATCAAGCTTCATGAATTGGGCGAGATCGTGCTGGTAGAGCTGGTATTGGCCAAAGTTGGATGGGTCTTGAAGAGCCCCTAGGTATTTGATCAGGGCAGCTGCAGAACCCATAGCAAGTTTGAGGTCAGTCTGGGGCAACAGACTTGCAGATCGCTCATCTTTAAGTAGTCGAGCAAGATCTTGCTCGATATCCTTGGTGCCGAAATCAGGAGCCGGGCGTTCAGCAAGCGCAACACCGCAGTTGTTGATGATCTGCTTGAGCTTGGACAGCTCTGGGTCCTTCTCCTTCTCGCTCTTATCAATCTGAATCAAACACTCGCGGACTCCCAGTTGGATGAGAAGAGCCTCGAAATTTGAATAGAGGTCGTTGTCGAGGAACTCGCTGACGCCGAGCTCCCTGACGCTCGCATCTGCAAAGCAAACTCCTACGTTGCGGGCTTCGGAAGCCTTTGCTGTGATCTTAACGGCGATGATCATGGGAGCGGACTCAATCTGGCCCCCCAAATCATCCTCTACATCCTGTAGGTTTCCTGGGGACGCTTGTTTGACGCACTTCCAATTCATTCGACCACTGGCGCTCTGCCATATTTCCACCCTTTTGCCGAGTTTCAACAGGGCCTCGCGAAGAAATTGTCGAAATACGGTTATCGTCATTGATACAGAAGGCAGACCGCTCGCATCGTTTCGGCCCAGTTGACGTAAGACTGATGTGGTTTTATATACCTGCAGCTGCTAGTTAGACTTGGATCCCATCACAGATGGAAGGGGCAACAATGTTCACGTACGGTTTGCGCAATGTAGGTGGCATCTTGAGCATGGGCGGTATACCAATCTCCTCGATCGAAAATCCGTACAGTATCTTCGCCTACATCTGGAAGAGATTTGAAGAATCGGATGAATCCACCTTCATCGTCGAGCTTGTGTTCTAGTTAGCTTTGGGGCTTCGGAAGCAAATGGGAAGCGAGAGCCTACCTTCAACTCTGGTCGAGAGGCCATGACCGGCAAGGGACTAGATGTGTGATTAAAAAGAGACCAACCGGCTTTTCAGATGAATAACTTGGAACTGAGATGGAAATAGATGAAATTATTAATATAGGACGAGGTGGAAATGGCTGGAAAGTGAATGGCTTGAGAGTGTGCTAGCTCTTAGGTGGTCGCGTCTTCAGGGGACCCCGCGACCGGAAGACGCGTTTCAATTAAAAAAAGAAAGTTAGTGACGCGAGATTCCGTCTAGGGTGGCCAGAGATAATTGCGCGTTTCAAATCGCAACACTGACCCCTGGGTATTAATTCTGTGTAATAGATGATCGAGCACTCTTAATATCAGCCTAGGTTAGAGAAATATTTCTCATTTGATGTCTATTACTTGACACCTATTAAGAGTGCACACATAGCCATTGCACATCTGTTCAGTGTGAGCCCCGGGTGGTGACATCCAATTGAAATGAGATATGGCGAACCAGAACTCGTCATATAAGCCAGAGACCCAATTTTTCTTCGCCATACTGAACCAATGGCGGTTGAATATAAAACTATTCTATCAAATTTATATAGTTTGATGTTGTGTCCATAACTAACTGAATTTGCCTACTTGATACTCCCTCGAACCTCAGTCTCGGTGGCTTTTAACGGTCGCTTACTCGGCAATACATCCCACACTACCGTCACCATTACTCCCCCAACTTGGCATATTCCACATTCCTGAACAATTACTCGCAAAGTTCAGAAATCAATGTAAGAATTACCTAAATCATATTACGACAAAGGAGCTTTAAACTACCAATATCTCACATACTCCAAGGTGTTGTAAATCGTCTTTCGGGTTTTCCTACCCTACATCGGTAACAGAACTCATTAGGTTACCGTAGCTTACACTTTAAGCGAGCCTCATATTGGCCGTATGAAGAGCGCAAATAATGAAACTACAGGGTGACCTAAAAGAGACTGGATATATTTGCGATAGTCTTGGACTTGTTGAGTGCGTAGGTTTGATGTTATGTTTCCAAGATGATTATGATTGAATGAAGGTGTGGAGAATTATACTATAACTTTTGAAGTACACTAAAATATGTACCTGTTCCGTTCTAATCCCAATGCTGCCTCTTTGTGCTCTATATATGATGGAAAAGAAAGACCAAAACGCCGATATGAAGTTGGGCAACAGTATGTGCAATACATAGAGAACCCTTACCGATGCAATAATTCAAGAAATGCGGCCGTGAGTTATGTTCAAGGAAGACAAGATTATACCTTTGCCTTGAGCCCCCATCCAGCTTGGGAAACTCTTGAGAGAATAAAGAAAGCAGAACCCAACAGCATTGAGCAGCCACAGAAGAGCTGCAACCCAAGGTAGCCGCCTCCCTGTGCCGACACGATGGCTCCGCCGATGGGGCTACCGACGAGTCCGCCAAAGGACTGGATTGCGAATGCGGTCCCGACACGGGTGCCGATCTGGCGTATGTCGGACACCTGGGCAATGAGGGTTGGCGCAAGGGAGATAACGCCACCCGAGGAAAAGCCAAAGATGACGGTGAAGACGAGGATGCCGGCCGTGTTGTTGATAGGGATCCAAATGGCCAGACAAAAGATGGCTGACATGAGGCAGATGATGACGACGACGTTGAACCGACCAATTTTATCGGCAACGATGCCTGGCAGAATACGTCCGAATATACTAGTTGGTGTAAGTTAGTGATGAATCTCTCCGTGGCTATTTGAACCAGAGGTTATGGATAATTACCTGACTGCATTGAGAATAGAAAGAAGGTATGGAATCAGTGTCTCAGACATGCCCGCGGTCTCAGCTTGCGTCAAGACATAGTTGAATGGCAGGAACATCCCGAGGTAAAAGAAGAAGTTTCCGGCGATGGTAAGCGTAAAGGCGGGTTCACGCAACCCGCTGATGTAGTCCTTGAAGACGAAGGGCTTCGGCTGTGGGGGCAGACGGGACTTGACGGTCAAGGCAGTGATGGTGAGCAGGAAGAGGAAGAGAAAGGCCATGGTGCGCATCATCCAGGGGAAGCCAACACTCTTGATCATTCTATCCATCATGATGGGAAGGACGACGCCGCCAAGGGATGAACCAGAGACCATGATACCGAAAGCTGCAGCGCGGCGTTTGGAAAACCAAGTTACCAGGGAGGTCATGCAGGCGTTGAAAATGGCTGAAGAACCAAGGGAAGACACAATGGCTTGAGCGAGGAAGAACTGGTAGTAGTCGTTGGCCAGGGAGGTCATCATGAGACCAAAGACATAGGTGACGGCACCGATTCGAAGCAACCAAGCCGGTCCGTACGTATCAAGAAGACGACCAAACTAATAGAAAGTTAGAGGATGGAGAATTTTAAAACGGTGCAAGGGAAAACTGGGGAGTGTTAGACATACCACAGCGCCGGGGAAGATCATGAAAAAGACCTGTGTTGACATGATCCAGCTCACAGCTGAAGGGTCATAGTTCTTCAACGGCCCATTGACATAGTATCGCTGAAATACACCCACACAATTGACTAACCCAAACGTGCAAAAAAGACCACACCAGCCTCCAAACGTCACCAGCCAGGCCGTAGTACCGCCATCTGGAAAGTCGTTTACTGGAGCGGGTGGGACAGTCTCGCCATTCGTCTCGTCGTCCACAGGGTCGTCTGTGAGACCAACTTCGTTCTTCTCAATGTCTTTGGCATCAGTCACACTAGAGCCTGCTACCTTTGTGGCATCATCTCGTTTGGGCTGCTCACTCATAGTTGCCGAGGAGATTGATGAGCCCGGCATCTTGGGCGAGCAGGCCTGAATGAGGCTCTCTTGATTTGTATGTGAAATAAGTAACGAGTGAGCTTGAGTCCGACCAGTGTTAGGTGCAATCGTGTAGTTGAGGATGATTGGCCTTTGAACAGGGGGGGCTCCTATATATGTATTGAAATGTAAAAACGAACTTGAATTGAAATACTAGGGTAGGAAAAATTCTCCAAATTGTGGCATAACAAAGGTGCCAGAATAACAACCAACAAGTTCAGCGATGATAGGGTTAATAAGAAGGATCCGGGGAATGATATTATCTCCGTATGCTCTATACGCCGGCCCCCAGTTCTCCACCTGTTTGCCCAGGGGATCTATTTTCCTACCTAATAAAGAATCTATTGCCTCTACATTATTAATCTGCTGTCGGCAATATTGGCCTCGGATGGCGAGATGGGATGTAAGCCAGCCTAGTTGGGGTCTTTTGGAGTTCTCGATTATTAATTCAGGCCTGCCCTTGACTAGCTTATTCTCATTCACAGTATGGCTTACTTCTTTCACGAGCAGCGAAAGCTCAACTTGATGAAGGGCCATGTATACTGGAGCGTAGGCAGGCAGTGTGTAGTTTGAGTTTAACAACAATATCAAAACAAGAGAAGGACAAGTCTTCTGTTCTCTCGTCTATACTCTCTGTAAAAGGGATTTTTTTTTATTCTTTGTCTCTATTATTTCTCTAGTTGCATTACTAGTATAAAAGATCACCACTACTCGCATTATTTCGCGTTGTCGGCCTTAAACTTAGGCGCGAGGGTAGAGCGAAGCACACAGATGTCCGGAACCAGATCGGCTCCACTTAGTTCGGACATCGCTTACAACTGAATACTTTGGATTCTTGTGTGTATTTTTCATCGGCTGATGTTTATGCTTGGATCATGTCCTTTTCGACTACGTAGCTCATAGACCAGATAGGAAGAGACGAGACAAGGAAGGATTCTAATAGTACAGGGAAAAACCTGCCCGCAGAGGGCGAAAATGGAGCCATTTCATTAACGAAAGCCGTCCCGTACCCGCTCTATTGCACAAATTCTTTTAGATCCTTCTTGTCCTCAAACGTAACCTTTCCGTCTTTTTGAACAGTAGCCACATGAATGGCACTGGGGGTCTGCTCGGTCTTGGGTGTTTCAGTAGCCTGAACAAGTGGTAGCTTGGCCTTGCTTGCCAATTGAACAACCTTGGAAACATCGCCTGCCGGTGCATCTGCGATTTCATTCACATCCCGGTTGGTCAAGACGTCGGAAACACGGACACCACGACTGGACAGGAAAATCGTGCTTGGTCCCTTGAATTGCAGGAATAGCCGATCGCCCCAGATTGTCCTTCGCATCATGGTTCGCAGACTGAAGAGCACACGCGAGATGTACTGGTATGCGCCTGTCTCGCGCACTTTCTTCACATACTCCAAATCGACGAACCAGTTACTCAGCGAGGGAATTTGCAAGCTAAAGCTTGAACTCTTGAACCGGAATGGTCGTGGGGGGGTTCGTGAGATAGAGTATGCGACTACGCTGCCTGGATGGGCGACAAATTCCTCGCCTTCGTCTAGAGTGAGCTGGTAGATCTGGCCCGGTGCTGAAAGTGCTGCCAGTCCCCTTCCGGTTATCTGTGTGCTGCCCCAGTTCGCAAGCGAAAGTCCTTGCTGAATCCGCGAGGATAGGCTGAGCGTGTGTCCCGTCCAAGCCAACAATGCATTTCGTTGTGAAACCATCCAATCAGTGGTGCCATCGAGGTGGAGTACAGTAAAAGTCGTCGTCGGGCTCTTCGTCGAAATTAGGGCGGTAATGGGTGAAGAAGCTGTGATACGTTGGTAGAGGAAGGGAACCCCGAACGGCGCTCGGCCCAGAGGGTTCAGGACTGATAGTGTAGATTGGGCCTATTGAGTGAATCAGTAATTTCATTAGTTCGGAATACAAAAAAAAACTCCAAAACCATTTCAATGAGCTGAGAGGTCATACATTTTCGGGCTTGCCGGCAACAGCTACGAGTGTGCCCCTCCTCGTGTAAAGCTTTTGAGATGCCGAGAGTGTTACTGATAAAAGCGAGTATGGAGAGCCAAGGACCTCAAATCGAGCATCTTGTCAACAAAGCCAATTAGCTAATTGTTCAATTGAGCATGGGAGAGGAAGCTCGTAGCTTACCAGCAGCATCTCTTGATGAACCGAAAGCATCACCACCAACACGAGGGGTCTCACTCGTCGGCGCGGCGCTGATCTGTATCGCTCGACATTGGCGAAAAAGATGTCTTGATGAAGCCTGGAGGCGTATTGCTCGATGCGCCGTCCGCAACATTGGCGAGCGACCTCGCATCATACTGCCTGGAGAGCTCGAAAGGGCATTTAGATATTCGATCTGCTCGTTGCATCCATAAAAAGCGCCTCTGTCGTCGGAGCCGGCTTTTTCCGCAGACGTCACTGTGGCTCACGTGCTGGTTGCTGGGACAACCTTAGCCGCCACGGATATCCACAATAGCTCTTGCCCTAGGCTATAGGAGATCTATTCCCTACGAACTAGCCAGGGCTGCGACTCGAACACCCGGAGCATTGTCCATCACCATCGGATGAAGTGCGAGGGGCGGATTCATTGGGTCCTTTTTCTTTAGTTTTTCGCGTTTTTTACTAACCATAGCAGGTCAATTGCTCTCCGCGATGTCTGTCCGTGTCGTAGCAAGGATACGTCCTCTCCTGGAAAAGGAGCTGGACAAGGACATTATTGTCAAGCCTGACAGCGCGGAGTCTGGGAAGCCCTACACGATCGTGAAGATTCCGAACCCCAAGAACGAGGCCGAGGACTTCTCTTTCGCATTCAATTCCGTATATGACCAGTCTGCGTCGCAGGAGACCCTGTTTACTTCTGAAGGTACGCGGTCCAGTTGGACAGGAGATGGGGAAACGGTTAGGAGAATTCATTGAACATGCTAACATGTCATACGCGATCAGTGGCTCCCCATGTCAAGTCCCTATTCCAAGGCTACGATGTAACAATCTTTGCCTATGGTGTCACGGGAACCGGCAAAACTCACACGATGCGAGGAGGGCTCAAGCTCGCCGAGCGAGGAGTGATACCCCGACTCCTGAGTAGCGTCTTCCGTCGAGGCAAGAAGATCATGAAGGACACGGAAGGGAACACCACAGTACGCGTCGCCCTATCCTACTATGAGATCTACAACGACAAGGTATTCGATCTTCTCGAGCCCCCGGAGAAACGGACACCCAGCGGGTTGCCTCTGAGAGCAGAGGCAAGCGGCAAGACGGTTGTGGCAGGGCTTTCTGAGCGAGCATGCGAGGATCTCAAGGACTTCGAGAAGCTCTATATTGAGGCAAACAACAACCGTGTCACGGCGGCGACGAAGCTCAATGCTCACAGCAGTCGAAGCCACGCTATCCTGCGCGTCAAGTTGACGCAAACCACGGGCGACGTAATTCGCGAAAGCACCGCGTCCGCCATTGATCTTGCCGGTTCCGAGGATAACCGAAGAACAGACAATGGGAAGGAAAGACTCATCGAGTCTGCTGCGATTAACAAGAGTCTTTTCGTTCTCAGCCAGTGTATCGAGGCCATTTCACGAGGCGACAAGCGAATACCTTATCGGGAATCGAAGATGACGCGTATTTTGTCTCTTGGCCAGAACAACGGAATCACCATCATGATCCTGAACCTGGCTCCAATGAAGAGCTATCACCTAGACACTCTGAGCAGTCTTAATGTCAGCTCCAGAGCCAAGCGTATCGAGGTTCGTGAAATAGAGAATGAGGTGGTTTTTAAGCAGTTTCCTAAGACGAGCTCAACCATCACTACTGGTAATATTCACCGTCAACCTCTTCGACCCCTTGCCAATGCGCACAATGTCCACAATGGAAATGTCGCCGCCGCAGCAAAAGCCACCGATACGAATAAGCCCGTAAAGGCCTTCAGTGTCTATACTGACAAGTCGAAACCCCCACCGGTTACCTCCCAACCACTCGTGCTGAAGCCGCTCGCAAACACCGGCAACACTCGTCGTTCCACCTCCGCGAAGCGACCATCCGACCAGGAGGCCCCTCTTGTCAGACCAAGTAAGCTGGCTCGGCCAATTGGCCAACCCCTGATGCCACGATCGGCAGCAACCATGACAGCTTCGTCTACCACATCCAAGATGACCGTGTCCGCAGAGGACATCGAGGCTATGGTGGAGAAAAAGGTGGGGGAGATTTTGGCAGCAAGAGCCGCAGCAGAGATGACGGCCGTTCCGGTCCAAGTTCACGTTCAACCCGGGCTCGACGATGCGGTGCAGAAACGTTTGGATGCATTGGAGCGTCGGATAGAGAGCGATGAGTGGCGCGAAGATGCTAAATCGGATGGCCTACGGTTTCTCCTGGCCGCGAGGCAGCACAAAGAGAAAGGAGAGGATGCTGCCGCGTTGAAGGCGTATGAGATGGCGCTTCCTTTCTTCCCTGGACAGGTGAAGCTTCTGGGCAAGATCGAACGATTGAAGGCGAAGCTTCATAACGCCGAGAGACCAGGGCGTGAACATTTCTTCGATATGAAGGAGAGAGTGACGAGGAAGAAGAAGCGGAGAATCACCTCTGATGATGATGAGGAGGCGGATGCCGACTATGAGGATGCTGAGGCGGATGTTGAAGAAGAGAGGTCTGTGAAACCTGCGTCTCGCCGACCACGAGTGAAGGCTGTTCCTCGCACAATCCTCCCCGATGATAATGGCCCTCCATCTCCCCGGGCCCAGCAGCTTCTGGATATTGTGAACTCGCGCGATCTTGTACAGATCAAGAGCCTCGTCGGATTCGGAGCAAAGAAGGCTAAGGATTTGGTGGATTACCTTGAGCTTATGAGCGTGGAGGAGGAGAATCGCATCGACAGCCTGGGTCAGTTGAGGGCTGTGCCAGGTATGGGTGGCCGCACCATTGACAGGGCGTATGAAGGCCTCCTCGCCATGTGAAGGGCGTAAAAAGCGTCAGCATCGTAAGTGACCTACAGAGAAGGGTGCTTACAACTTGGAGTATTGTTTTTGTGTTTTTATTTCTTTCCGGCATTAGGGACGGCGTTCTTGGATCTTGTTTCAACATATATCATAGGTCATGGTGTCCTTTTTGGGATTCTCTTTTTTTGGGAACCGGTTGCATTTAATATTGGTTTAGAGTTTCTTGCATTTTGATAGTTTGGCCATCAGCTTGGCCGTATATACCCAGAGTCCTCACTGCCTCTCGCTGAGGGATCCACGGTAGCGGACGACGTTGCTCTATATTCGAATCAAAAGCATTAGCTGGCTCTTGTTTGAAACATGAAACTCTGTCTCATCCAGTGAATTGTTATTTTTTAGAAATGAAAATTGCTCCTCTGATGTCCATCTCAACTTATGTCGTAAATTTAATCGCTCCTGGGCAAGGGAATGGCTCCCGCGCAACGACGCGAAAGCCACCATCCTGACCCACTCATACCATTCGCTCCCGAGGGCCCAATTGGCGAGCTGCATACGGGCAGAGGCCAATTGGAACAACACCATGGGAAAATAATACGAATGGACAACAATGCCAAAGGACCGTTCGTTGCTCGGCCTCGCTGCTTGTGCCACCCGCGAGTGGTGTGGTGCGGCTCAGGCTGTGGCCGCGGGTGGAACCACTCCCGTCCCAGCCGTCGCGCCAAGACACTGTCGCAGATCACACAACGGGAGAGGGAGAGAGACAAGCGAGCGGGACAAGACATGACATGGACACGCGATGTGGCATGTCGTAGGTAAAGCCGATCACCATCGAGTCAGATTCCCTTCGGGCACTTTGCAGATACGACCGTGTCTATATTTCAGATACTCGTGACTACTGCTAGAGATGTATGTAGATCAAATATATAGTTCTGCTCTTTACTCTTGAGCGCCAAAGAGTGACCCAATGAATGTGCCTGTGAAGGGGGGGGGAGCCGCAGCCCGAAACAAAAAAAGGGAATAGGTAAAGTAGGTAAAAGCAAATAACAGTAATCGTGAGGCCCCCAAAAAGTTTAATAGTTCGCCCGAAAAACAATGCAGGACTTGTGTGTGAAAATTAGTCGTAGCCAAGAAAGGTTTCGCTCTCTACTCCAGGCTGTCGAAAAGAGATGGTGACGAACCCCAACTTGTTCTTCATATCTGTGTGAACCCTCTCATATTTCCATTCCGGAAAATAAACCATTTGTACATTTCCCTTGAATCTTTCATGTCTTTCTCGTCATTAAGGTTCTACCGGATCATGCTTAATCTTCGCTCTGCCTTGGTTGTTTGCTTCTCAAAGGTGCCGCCGAAGCCGGGCATGGAGCTGTAACGGTTCAGTCTCTTGCGCTCAGCCGTTGCTGTGGGCTGTGTGGATGATGGCATGGCAGCAGCCGAGCTGGGAGTCTCGGCAACGGGAGGCACGGCAGTCACGGTGAAGCCGGGCCCAGCCTTGTCGCCGTGTAGTGCGTTGGAGCGGTCGGTGGCATCGGACGAAGTGGAGGAGCCAGTGCTGTTCTGGTAGATGTACTCGCCGTCGACGTAGACGGCGTTGGAGACGAAGGCCGAGCGTCGATGACGGCTGCGGGTGTAGCGCTTCTCAAGGCGGAGAAGCTCCAGCTTGGCCTGGATCTTGTCGAAGAGACTCTTGCCCATGGTGACGTTTGGGACGGGGAGTTTTTCTACGGATGGAGGGTTCGTGTAATGGGAGCTCGTGCCGGATGGATGCTCGGCTGGGTCTTTTGTGCTCGGTTATCGATTGAAGCCCAAGGAAGATGACACTTTTGACAGGTGCGACAGCTCTCTCGTTGGATTGCTCGTTGGGTTCAACACCGTGGATATTATGGCGAGTCGCTATTCGTACGTCGTCTGATAGGTGCCGAAGACAAGCAAGCAAACGAGGAGGTCGATTGTGGATGTAGAGAAACGAGAGGCAACGGCCGTGAGAAGGATGATATCGCCAGGAGATCTTCCGTCTGCCAATGGTCCGATTTTTTTTTTTCGGGGGGCGGGGATGCCAGTTGAGAATGAGTGACTGAGGGCAGGGGGGAAAATAAGGAGGTTTGGGATGAGAGCGCGCACGATGTAGATAAATGGCAGGCCTACGGTTGAGGAAGACGGTTGGACCAGCGTCAGAATTTGGCAAGCGGATGGACACCCCGGCCAGGTACTATTGCTCCGTGCGTTTCTAGCCTGACAACCCAAGACGAAAGAGGGTATGCGCGATATGGTTTGAACTCAGCAGCTTGGCTCGAGGACGATAAGATGGCCCAAGGATGGGCTGGGAGGGGCTTTGATCCCAGGTTTCTGCATGGCAACGACTCGAAGACACCCACCTGGCGAATCAGCAATGCATGTCTGACGGATCCCCCAGACGGCCGCGCATGGCGCTAGACAAGCCCTGCTAACAGCAAAGCCTGGCGTGGTCGCATTCATTGCGGAGCTCTGCTGGGGGCGCACGCAGGGGATGTCCGAACGAGCTTCTGGAGCACCGCCGTTGGCGATGCTTGCCGGCAGGTCGACTGCATCCAGAGCATGCGCATCATGCCAGGTCAGGGAGGTAGCGACGGTGCGATGCATGAGCCGGGCAGCGGGCATAAAGCAGGTAATCACCATTGCGTCTGCAAGCGTTTGCGACTACGGATACGGCTCAAGTCAATGCTACTAGTCAGATGAATGCAATCAACGGACGTGCGCTAACGGGCACCCTAACGATGGGCACACATGGCGTCTTAGCGCAGCAAGCGTAGCATGTCTGCAATTCTACTGTAATGAGCATCCAAGGCCCAACTCTGCACCGTCCAACGTCTGGTCACTGCGGGATCGCCATGGCGCTGGTACATGAGCTATGTACTGGCAGGATTGGGCGTGCTCCGTACCTGTCTGAGCGAGACCAGGTCTAAGGCCGCAGGTGGTGATGGATTTTCAGGGGTCGACGCTGCTCCAATGTCACAGACGGGACGGGAGCTATGATAGAACCAGGAACATTGTGTGCTTAGGTAAGGAAATCGCTCTACTGCGGCAATTGTTGATTGGCCAGGGGTATTGCCTCACCACTAGTACCTGGTGTAGGTGCACATCTTGGCTTTGCACCACCGGAGTTTGCCACAGGGGCCCCGGAACCAGCGCTACCTTAGCCTAGCACCTGGGACCGCTGGGCAGCTCGCTAACTCAACTGGAATTCATCCACTGCAGGCATTATTAATGTAGTGCATTAGCCTGTAATAATCATCGACAGCACCCTAGCCCACGCTAACACCACTGTTGCGTTCCAGTTGCCACCATGGATGGATCCTTCCTTCATTGTGCCATCCGCTCCCATATCCGTCCCAGCTGCGTACGTATGCGCTCTCGACACCCTCAGCAGCCCTCCATCCAAGTCGTGCTACGCAGCGCGTGTCGCACTGCATTAGCCCAGATTCTGCGTCCTGCCGTAAACGATGGCCACGATTCTCGGTAATCGCTCCTGGTCAAGCCCTCCCACGAGGTACGTAGCAACTGCAATCCTGGCCTGGTGAGCCCGCCACACTTCCTCGTGTTCGCTCTGCGACAGAGTGGCCAACCGGGGAACGCACCGCCGGCTTTTGGTGGCTCCGTCGCATGCAGCCAGAGAAGAGACCTAGGATTGTTTATGGACCGGCTCAAGAGCACTGGAATCCGCCAGGGACCCCTCCCTTACCAATGTGGGCTCGCTCCTCTCTGCCAGCCACTCACTGGCCCCTGTGCCTTTATTAGGTGGGCAATTAATATCCAGCTACACGTGCTAATAGCTCCCGAGCACTTGCAGCTTCTTCTCGAACGGTGGGGGAGAAGACGGGCTAGGGATGTTATCGGCGTCTCTTGGTTGGCGCTACCATATTGCGAGTTGGCCCGGATCCAGGACTAACTAGTCTAGGCAACGGATAAACTGAACCGGATTGAGCTTGAACCGAGTATCGACCTCAACGTTTAGCTATCGAACTTGTGTCTCGCACTATCTCTATCATGGACGACAAGCTGGTGTGGAGAGGGTAGGATAGCACCAAAGTTCCCAGTTTGAGCAAACCAAGTTATCGCCGATGAACCGCCAAGCTTTGCCATCCTGACATTGCCCTGTTGTACGGGATATCTGACTATATTTCAAGGTGTTACTGTCAGGACTGACGGCAAATCAAACAGCTCCAGATAGCCCCTAGGTTGTGTAACAACAATGGTCAAGAGTCAGTAGCAGACAGCACAACATTACGCTGTTTCGTCATCTTCTGCTTTCTGCTTTACTGCCAGCCATGAACACCAAAAGTATGGTCCGAGACATCTGGTTTCGCATGATACCATCCGCTGCAGGGGTTCACTCTCTCACCGCTGCTGGAAGAGCCATAGTTTTCGAGCTCGTCAAGGTAAAAGTGAAGCTAACAAACTATACAGCCTGCCAGACTACTTTTGGTTGAGTTAACCGCGATTCGGGATGTTCTTCCATCTCGCGTCTCTGTGTGTGCGTGTCACGCCATGGTCTGCAACATGCCAGTGCCAATTTTAATTTCATGTCATTGTGTCAAAAGGCTGTCAAGTTGAGTGACACATGGGGTCGGGTTCCTACCGACGACATGTACGCCCACTTCCGTAATCTCATACTCACTCGAGTCCACGCTCACAGATTTGGCCCAATTGCTCTGGAGATCTGAGGAACCATTATGACGGACGTCTGTAAAGCTAATTGACCCTCAACCAATCGCTCTCTCGGCGAGTTGTGACCCCAATACAGCTCCTATCCGTCAACAATTGAGCTCGAGTTCCGTCTGTCGAGGTGAGGACAAGCACGATGGCGGAAGATTGTTAGTTTAGGCAGCTCTTGGTTTCACACAGCGTCCTGAGGATCCCAATGCCTTGTTTAGATATCTCCCGCCCCTTTTCTTTTTCGCACACCCCGTAAACATAGAGCCCAACGTGACACCAGAGCATACTGTCCGCACTCGGTCATGGGTAGACGTGATTTGAGAGAAGCAGTTGCACAAGGTAGCTCCATGCGACATCCGCGCCATAACAATATTGCCGACGTGCCGGAGGCTATAAGAGCTGAGTTTTCTCACCGTCGATACCCTAAGTATCTCCTCCCTTTGGCCCCCATGTGCCCATCGTTTGTAGTTGATTCCCTGTTGATGTGTTGACAATGCGGCCGGTCTCTCAGCTTTTGGTACTCCTGGCGTTGGTACTTGGCACGGCGGCCAGATCGTATCATCGCCGTGAACAACACACCCAGATCCTCAAAGACCCCGGGGAGCGGCATGAGACTGGAGGAACAAACAAGTATATCATCGAGGTCGAGAAGGTTAGTAACGACGAAGAGGCTTGAGAATGATGCCATCTCAGACAAGGACGAAGAGGTGCTGACACAACCTGAAGGGTACGAGACTTGGGACTCTTTCAAAGAGATTTGAAGAGGAATCCCAAGCCAATGGCACTTACTACAAGGAGTTTGATTGCAGTGATGTGTTCTCCGGTCTCACCATTGAGTCAAAGACCGACAACGTCGACTCGCTGCTCTCAATTGAGGGAGTCGTCAACGTCTGGCCCTTGAGATCTGTGCCGATGGCGCCGCTGGCGAAGAGGAGAAAACTGTCGGGTAATATGAAACATCCAAACACCTCTGCTCACCACTGGACCGGAGTGGATAAGCTGCACAAGGCTGGAATCAGAGGCAAGGGCGCGACCGTGGCAGTGATTGACACTGGGATCGATTACACCCACAAGGCGGTAGGAACTCACAGCTCGACATTGGTTCTACTGATTTCTAACAAATCCTGTAGCTTGGTGGCTGCTTTGGGCCTGGGTGCAAGGTCTCTGGAGGATACGACCTTGTCGGGGCAGACTGTAAGTGACGGCACATGCGCTAGAAAGTTGAGAGCGAGACTGACCCGCCAAACCTAGGGGACTCTCACGAAGAGATGCATTTTCCTAAGAGGCCGGACGATGATCCGAGAGACTTCTATGGACATGGAACGCACGTTGCGGGCATAATTGCTGGAAAGAGCGACTGGTGAGAATGAATATCTGAACAGCTTGACATTTCTCCAGAGTTTATCGTTAAACAGTCACTCTCACAGGTTTACTGGAGTAGCACCTGATGCCGACCTCCTCATATATAAAGTGTTTTCTGATGTATGTACACCGATATCGCACACTGGTATTTGGATGACTGACAACGCAAGCAGGATCCATTGGACACCGACGAGGAGGTCCTCATTCAAGCCTTCTGTGATGCGTACAGCGCCGGTGTAAGTTACTTCCATCCGACTCAGACAAATTATACAAGGTCTCACCACGAACTAGGCCGATATCATCACGGCAAGCATTGGTAGGCCTAATGGTTTTGTGGACAATCCATGGGCGTTGGTTGCCAGCCGCCTTGTCCAGCGAGGCATTGTTGTCACAATATCGGCTGGCAACGAGGGCTACACAGGCCCCATCTACTCCAGCAGCGGCTCGAACGGAGATGGAGTCATCTCTGTGGCTGCAGTCAATGCCACCGGAAACACCAACGATACTGTGGATTCCAGACCGGTTGCCGCTTACTTTAGCACTTGGGGTCCTACCAACGAGCTGCTCCTGAAACCGGACATCGCCGCACCTGGCTTCGACATTGTCAGCACAGTGTTGGACGGGGAGTATGAAGAAATGAGCGGGACGAGCATGGCCGCGCCGTACATCGCTGGAGTCGCCGCCCTCTGGGTTGGCAAGTATGGCGGCAGGGCTGTTCATGGGCCTCAGACCGCCAAGCTGGTCTCGGAGCGCATCACAACCAGTGGAAGCAGCGTTGCCTGGAGTGCAGATATTGTCCGCTTCAACCAAACGGCCCCTCCGTTCCAGGTTGGAACTGGACTAGTCAACGCTTTCAAGGTCCTACATTATGACACGCAGATAAGTGCGAAGCCATTCTCTCTCCTGGATACAGAGTCATTCCAGCCCGACTGGACGGCAAATATTACCAACCGGGGAAATATCAGCGTCACCTATACTTTTGAAGTCGAGCCTCAATCCGGAATGGAGCTTTTGGATAGCTATTACGGCATCAAAACATTATTTGAACTCACCCCCATAAGCATCGTCCCCAATATCACCCTTCCCAAGCCAATCACGGTTCCGCCCATGAAGACCAAGACAGCCGAGTCTGTAACTCTATACCCCTTTTTAGACAGAGAACATAGACTGAGACGTCCCTTTCTAGATTTTCCTTTCAGCTCCCCAAGGTTAATGATGAGCTCCTACCACTCTATGGTGGAAAGATATGGTTCAAAGGGAGTAATGGGGAAAGCCTGTCTGTCCCCTATGGCGGTAAGTCTTGCCAAAGCATCCTTGAAGCAGAAAACAGGCTCGAAGCAGACTTGCCTCCCTAACACTCATACTCCTCAGGTGCGGCTTACGACACCGAAAAGGAGTTTGACTCCATGTTCGCAACTCAGCCGTATATAAACGAATTTGAGAACGATTGGAAGTAAGATTCTCCCCCAACAGCACAGCAAAGTCTTAGTAGCTGACGTCAGATCCCACAACCAAGGTGGAGTTTCAACACCAACGTGAGGCCGTACGACTTCGTGGAGCTGTCTGCCCGCCTCCGGTATCCCTGCTCTCACCTCCGATGGGATGTAAGTTTGAATTTCCTCAACAAGCCTAGCTAGGTGCTGCCAATGAGCTGGGTACTGACACATCTTATAGATTTTCTCTCGGTATTGGGATGAGCGCAGTTGGGTTCTGCCCACTGTCCCCGGGGAGAATGGCTACATAGGCTCAGCGACTACGTTCCGGGACGCCGACATGTTCTGGTACTTTGACCCAAAGCGCATGGATAAGGAGGACACGATCCCCTTCCCCATTATGCGGGTTCCGAGAGGTTATGGGAGCTACTGGTGGTTTGGCAAGTTGGCCAACGGGTCGTACATCAGGCCGGGAAATTATACGTAAGTCACTCACTGCATTATGCCCTTCCACTTTAGTTCGTTACCGTGCGATCACTAGAAACAGCCACCGGCAACATATATGAACATTTTCTGACACTCTTGGGAACAGGATGCGATTCGCGGCGTTGAGACCGTACGGGAACCCCAACCTCACAGATCACTGGGATATCATGGGCCAAGATGCGCTATCATTCGAAGTTCTACCAATGAACACTACAAGAAATTCGACCAGACTAATCAGGCATGCCTACACATAAGCTGGAACCCCATGAACGTGGTACGGAAATGCTTTTTAATTTATTGGCCCCACCATTTACGAGATTTGGATGGTACTTCAAGAGTAGAGCTTGAGCGGAGGTTAATAATGTTTTACTTGAAAATGGATGAGGATTCAGATGAGAGGACAACAGGCGATGGATAGGGAAAAGGAGATAATGATCGGAGCACGGCTTCTTCCAGTTTAGATGAGTTTGAGCTTAATAGCATCCATGGTATCCAGACATTCAAGTCTACCTATCTATCCGATAATAATCCCTGACATTAAAGAGCATATCACAAATTCCAAGAGCTGTAGGTAGGCACTGGAGCGTGTCTGCCGACCTAGGTATTCATACAAATCATAGATCCCGACATTAATATCGCGACAACAAGCAAGACATACAAGGTTAGCCTTGCAGGCCACAGCGGCTAAAGTATCCAACATCAGGTTGGATCACGCCTGAGGCATACATCCAGTGTTGCTCTCCAGGCTGTGCCACTTGAAGAAGTTGATGAAATCGATTTATGCCCATTTACCTAGAACACTCATGAGGACCAGACCGCTAATTAGACCGAAGAATGCCACGCAAGTGGTGATGACATTAGCATCAGCGAGTTCCGCCTTACGGCCATGAGAACCCGTCACCCAGTCCGCGGCCCACATCTCAACGAGACCGACCCAGACGAGCATGCCAGCAGAAAGTGCATCAAGTGTACCAATAGCAATGAGTGTCGACTTATCATTGCCATTGAACTGTTTAAGAACACCGATGCCAATGGCCATACCAATTGGGGTGATGAACGCGAAGCAGGAAGCGAGAAGCAGTTTCTTCTTCATGCTTAGTCCTACAGGGACGGTCTCGGATGTTTCGGAGGAGCTCTCTGCTTGAGCAGCTTTGCTCTCATCAGGACCTAAAACCCCACCACTCTCCACGGGGTGAAGCTCAGGATCGTCACGAGTTCCGATTGTAGCGATTCGGGTTCCTAATGCAAGACCCTCGAATACTTGATGGAAAAGAATCACGACGAAGAGGGTCAAAAAGAAGCTGTCGCCAGCAACGACAAGGGTGAGACCAATTACTAGGCCAATGTTAGCGGAAGGAATATCGGAGAAGGATGAAGCAAGCTTACACAGCGAGTGGAATAGGATACCGGCTTCCATTACCGTGATGCTCACGACCTCGCTCGAAATCAAGGCCTTGCTCTTTTCTTGGGGGCTGAGCGCTGCTTCGGATCGAATTTTGGTTTGAACAATGCGATGTCCAACGTACTCAACAAGGAATGAGAGGAAAATACCAGCCATGACGATAGCTGATGTGACACCTTCGTATTCAAGTTCACCAACGCAGTCATTGCTGAACATCATCGATGCATGAGTGTACAGCTATTGATAAACGGTCAGTAAAGTTGATTGGAAAGCACGACATAGAGATATATAAACTCACGTGGATGAAAGCAGTCGAAAGAATGATACCGGTACCAAACTGTTTTAGCCCTACAAACAGCAGGTTGAGCTTATTTTGGAAGAGCTTGTGCATCAAGATGGGACCGAAGACGCCTATCTCTTGTCAGTGACGTCCAGTCAGAGCAAAGGGGTATCGGCAGTACCTACCTAGTGAGCTTGTAGCAAGGATGACAAACAGCAGACCGACTCGAAGGCCGATGTTGTAATCCCGGGAGGTGGTTGTACAGGACGAGCTCGAGCTTGAGCCAGAGCTTGAGCCAGAGCTCTCCTCTTCCTCACTGCCCCCAGTACAGTGTCTAGAAGCGCTTGTTAGGAATTGTTTACTAAAAAGTTGCGACTAGGGCAAGGTGTCTCGATGACTTACTCAACTCCGGCATGGAAGTGGCAGTGTTGATTATTGTTAGTAGTTTCCTCCTCTTCATGTTCATGGGTCTCTTCAGTCTCCTCAGAGCCAGATTCACTTTCAGCTTGGACATCCTCTCCGCTTTCGTCCACGCAGTAACTAGGATGGAGATTAGTGGCCGACAAAAAGCAGATTAAAGATGACGGATTGAGGTTTAGAAGAGATGACGTACAAACTTGCGCCATGAGAATGGCAGTCTGTGTATTGCGCTGGAAGGGAGGTTGTGGCTGTCACTGTCGTCTTGATTTTGTACTCTGCCGTGCCAGCAAAACAATATCTATTAGGAAGATTAGTGTTGAGCTGGACAGGAAGGGTGTCGAGGCCGCTCACAAGTCGGATGCATGAAGGTGGCAGCCAGTGATGGCCGTGACCTGAGCCTGTGTTGTTGTGGTTGGCGCCTGGGTTTGTCTCGGGGCGAGATCAGCCATCGCAAGGCCACAGAGGGCCAATGTCAAACATGTTTTGGCAGACATGCTGACAAAGGTAATTAAGGTTGGCGTTAAGGTTATCCTTGGTGTGTGCCAATCCAAATCCAAATCCAACCCAAAAAGTTGAGGTAACACCCGTCAGGAACCGCCGCGGAAGTGAGCTCGGCGTGAACAAATAGGTACCTAGGCGACGTGGTGGAGGTAGGGATAGGATGGATGGGACTAGGACGTATGGTTGCGATCAAGCTTATTTATCAGTTCGTGATCGATGCAAGCAGATGCGCTAGAAAATCACGAGTGACACAAACCCAGAGTTGGCGTTACTCTTGGGACAGATGTAAAGGGAAAATGGAGCTGGATGAAGATATTTCACCAACTTCTCCGCTCAATCGAGGCATATACCTGCTGGAGAGGCAGGTGGTGGCTGCCTCCATTGGCAGTTGCTGCGGCCGCCAAGCCATGGCGACGGGTGGTGAGGACCTTGATGGTTCTGCCATGAGAGAGAGTTGAGAACCTTGATGGTCACTGTCCACCAATTTTGAGGAGCCGCATCCTTTCAGCAACGCTCGTGCTAAGCCGCCCCACCCTGATGACCAAAACCACCACGCACTTTGGCCACACTTAGCAACAGCTCTGGCACCACCAAGCCAGTACCAGGCCAGGAGGCCGTTTGTATTTGAAGAATTAAGGGCTCGACTAATGAATCATGGTTGACATCCGAGAGGCCTCATCCCATCACCCCAGACTGCCGCGAAGTTAAAAACCTAATATCAGGAAGGCCCCTGTCAGCATAGTGCATCAAAAACGGTTGGGCATAAAGTAGATGCTCCCATGTCATCCCAGAAACACTTGTCTGAGATATGTAAGACCGGTCCCGTGTTGAGGTCAGACTGTCTTACCACTGATGAATGTCTGCCACGTGATGAGGCAATGGTGCTCTCAACATGTAACGGCTTGTACGCTGTGTGACGCCCTGGTTTCGGATAACCTCGCCAACTGAGAAGCTTAGTCATCATCAAGGTGTCTCGGCAAAGACTTATTCCGCGCCGAAATAATGGGTCCGATGAGCCAGGAAAGTACTAAATCAACAATGCAGGAGCAAATTTTTTATTTCTTTTCTTTCTTTCTTCTTCATGAAACCTACTAGAAAAATTAATCCTTCAAATTCACTCTGGCTTTCAAACTCAATGGAGGTAGCGGAGGGGAAACTGGAGGAAAGAGAAACATCGTCGACTTACCCTCTGTTTTGCTTGCAGTTCGCTGCGAATGAGCTATGGAGAAATTTTTTCGACGGCGAGATATTCCTTCATCGACCCCAGTAAATGTTGTAGAGCATCAAAGCTAGAAGCGTAGAGCGCCACGCTCGCAGACCACGTATGTCCACTGATAAAGATACAGAGGATAGCGGCTGGAAATAATGGCTCGTTGCAATGAATCGGCACGCGAATGGTGCTGCTCGTGCAAGGATTGATACAAACCAGGGGGAAGGAGTTTCTGCTGAATCTCCATTCACTGTCTGGTGTTGTCCATACCTTAGCTTGATGTGAGAGGTCGAATGCCGCCTTGGTGTCATAACCATCTGCCATTATTCCTAGATGAGCAGGAAATTTCTTGTCCGTTTTCCCCGATGGGACCATACGCACAAGATGAGTTCATATCTACACATATGGCAACTCTCTCATCACACGGAAGCTACCCTATGGGTACTAAGTACCCACAAGATAGTAGAACTAGGAAGATACTTGGACAATGTAATAACCAATCGACGCATAATTATGAAGCCCCGACAATGTAATAGCAATTCAACGTTTCGATTGCTGAACCTATTGTGCTTTCTCTTTCTCTCCACGGGCTTCCTGAACTCTTCGCTCAAATCCTGAAGCATTCTTCATCTTCATTTTGATGTGTTCTGCAACGATGTTGTTCTTACGCCAAGAGGAGGGGGTTCCTCAAGGATTTTTCTTCTTCTTCTTCTTCTTCTTCAATCTAGAGTCTTTTTCATCCTGCTTCCTCTTCTGCCTTGGCTGACTGTGTTGACCTTGGCCGCGCTGGCCTCCTCGACGATCCAAGCTCCTTGGAGCGGGCTTATCCGGTGCTTTATTGGCGGCTTTAGCTTCCTTTTCTCCTTCACTGTCAAAGAGGGTGAAATGGTTCAGGATGGAGACTCCAATCTCACAATAGGTCACAGAGTTCTCAATGGACCTGTTCGCATATACCATCCTGACACCTGGTCTTGGTGCAGCTTAAGCGTTGGCACAGGCGTATGCTCCGCCCCACCACCGTGATGACACACGATCAACCATGGAGAACTGATTAGACAGATGCTACCTGGTCGGGGACGGCACAACCTAGCACAAAAGGATGATTGATAGGGCAAGTTTAGGCTGTATAATCCAGTGCTCTGCTTTGCCGTCATGTAAGAACACTTAGGCTCCGTTTTACATGTTGTGTCATCTTCGAACAGTAAAAAACGTCGGGAGGAAACGCGTTGGTTGGTGAATCGTGGCACGCTACATGATGACTGTTTGTGATCGCCCTATATTATCAACCCCGCTACCCCGCCTACGACTCGTTACACCTATCAAGGCTCGAGCATTTGCGATTTCTTCGACACTCTGCTGAATTCTACCCTCTCTCCATTTCCCTTTACTTTCCAGGTTTTCTGTCACATTAGAGTTTCCTAGGTTGAGAAAACTTTAACCAGCAACTTCCAACCCACACATCTTTTTTTTTATACAAGAAATTCCCTTCACCATGGCTGGTGGCGCTCCAGGGTCAAGCTCCCGCGGTCGCGGTGGGAAGTTCAAGAAGTACACAAGAGGAGGTAAGAACGCAGCATAAACCAAGACTCAAATATTGTTCCAGCTAACCGAGTGGCTCCATTACCTACGCTACAGGCGGCCATCACTTCTCACGCGATCTACAACCCCTCGACTCGGAAGGAAATGCCGTCAGCATTTGGGGTGTGGACGATGCGAAGAAGGACGACTCCGAATCCGAGGAAGACTCCGAGTCCGAGGAGGAGGACAGCGAGGACGACGATGCGAACGCCAAGGCGTCGGCCGCTGCCGCCGCCTCGCGCGATGACCGCAAGGCTCTGAAGAAGGCCCGCAAGGAGGCCGCCATCGCCAAGCAAAAGGGCAAGACGGTCGAGGTGGGCGACCTGCCCTCGAGCGACGAGGAGAGCGAGGAGAGCGAGGACGACGACATGCCCGCCAACCCCAACCACTCCAAAGCTGCCCGCAAGCAGGCCGCCAAGCCCGCAGTGAGCGACGACGACGACGACGAGGTCGACAAACTTACAGATAAGGTGAAGAAGTTGCAGCCTCTGAGCCGCAAGGAAAGGGAGGCAGCAGAGGCTGCTGCCGCCAAGGAGAGATATATGAAGCTACACCATGCGGGCAAGACCGATGAGGCGAAGGCCGACTTGGAGAGATTAAAGGCTATTCGTGAGAAACGAGAGGCCGAAGCAGCACGTCGGCAGGTAAGTTTTTGATCAAAATCCCCACACCATCACGGTCGCTAATTCCTTGTTTTCTCTAGGCCGAAAAGGAAGAACGTGAAGCCCAGGAGAAGGCCCGCCGAGCTGAAATTGAGGCTAGGGAAGCCAAGTTGCGAGCGGCGGCTGCTGCTGCGCCCAAGAAGGGGAAGAAGAAATGAGGCAATACACATGGTGCTCATCTATAGACATTTCAAACTTGCCTTGGCTAACAGGCTTGGTTTATCGCAATTAAACCCCGCATGATCTGATTTATCTTCTGTGTGAATTCTTCCAAATATCTTCGGAAAGTAACATTGATAGCAACAAATGGCAACTTTCCCATCAAAATTTTCAACTCTTAATCTTGTGGGTTTGTAGACCGCAAGGTAGCACCAAACCACGCGCTTGGAAAATTGACACCTTAGTAGTATGTATGTTATTTCAATACTTGTAAATGTATCATACGTCACAGAACAAGAGCTCAAAAGCCATGCTAGACCTTATCTTTATTTTCATACAAGATGTCCCAACCCCAAAATTGAAAAAGGAGGTATTTTCCAAACACAGAAACGCCAAGTAATGCTAGAACACGAAACTGTTTATCTACGCCTTAGGTCGAGACGATCCCATCCCATTCACAGCATGGGCTTCAAGTCGTCAGCAACCTTGAAGGGGGCCTCAGTCTTGCTCTTGATTTCCTCCACCGTTACACCATCAGCAATCTCGATGAGAGTGAGGCCCTGGGCAAAATCGACATCAAACACGCCCTGAAAAGCAAACACGTTAGCTCGGCCCGGTTCCCAAAGGAGCATGAACAAAACACTTACAAGCTCGGTAATGATCCTGGATACACAAGTACGCCCAGTCAGGGGGAATGCACATTGCTTGACGATCTTGGGGTTTCCTTTCTTATCCGTGTGCTCCATTGTGACAACAACCTTGGTTGCACTTGGGTTGCTCACCAGGTCCATGGCGCCGCCAAAGCCCTTGACCTTCCCGGGAAGCATCCAGTTGGCAAGATCGCCTGTCGCACTAACCTGCATGGCACCCAGGATTGTGAGGTTGATCCGGCCGCTGCGGATCATACCAAAACTCTCCTCACTACCGAACACAGCAGCTCCAGGGTTAAGGGTAACGGTCTCCTTTCCAGCGTTAATCAAGTCGGCATCCTCCTCGCCCTTCTTTGGGTAAGGTCCAAGACCCAGGATTCCGTTCTCGGACTGGAGTTGGACCTCGACCTCAGGCCCAACGAAGCTAGGAGCTAACATGGGCATTCCTATGCCAAGATTGGCATACATGCCGTTCTTAAACTCCTTGGCTGCACGTCGGACAATTCGCTCGCGTTTTGCTGCCGTTTCGCCCTTGCCTAGCGCCGCGCTCGCATCGTCATCCTCCTTCGCCCATGTGTACTTTTCAATGTTCTTCTCAGAGAGACTCTGAATAACTCGCTTAACGTAAATTCCAGGCAAGTGGACAGCCTCGGGGGGGATCTCGCCCGGCTCCACGATATGCTCAGCCTCAACAATAGTCATCTTGGCGTTGCGACCCATGGCACCGTTGAAGTTGTTGGCGGCAAGACGGAACTGGCAGTTGCCTAGCTTATCTGCCTTGTAGGCCTTGACGAAGGCATAGTCACCGTCGATGCTGTTCTCGAGAAGATATGACTTTCCGTTGAAGACCTTGACATCCTTAGGGTAAGAGTACTGATCTGGCGATCCGTCGGGTTTGTTCTTCAAGGGCAAATCTCCGGTCTGGACAACTGTACCATAGGCAGCGGGAGTGTAGAATGCAGGGATTCCCTTTCCACCTGCCGCACAGCGTTCCGCCAGGGTGCCCTGGGGGGTGAGCTCAAGCTCAACCTCGCCAGTTAAATACATCGACTCGAAGGTCTTGTTCTCGCCGATGTAGCTGGCGATCATCTTCTTGACTTGCTTTGTCTTGAGGAGTTTTCCCAGACCATGGCCATCAGTTCCGGCGTTGTTGGAGACTGCGGTCAAACCCTGGATTTCAGGCTTATTGATGATCTCATCAATCAGTGTGTCAGGAACGCCGCAAAGACCGAAACCACCACAGAGAAGGGTTGAGTTGGGTTTCATGTCCTTCAGAGCTTCAGACGCTGAAGGATACACCTTGTTGATTTCGGCCCGTCTCAATGAAACTGAGAAGGCTCTATTGAAAACTGGAGAGGGCTTGAGAGAGGTCAGCGGCTGAGACACATGACGGTTCCTGTTCCAACTGCTAAACCGGCTTACATTTAATCCATGGCGAGCGATGGCTCGAGCTGTCCTCAAACGTGTCACAAAGGACGACATCTTGACACCAAATGAGGGGACGTGGGGTAATGAGAGAGCGACGTTTGACTCTCAAGTTGGTGGTAGCAATTCAGTCTATGGTGCGATAGGGCAAGATGTGCCAGTGTTCGTGAGTAAGGGATCAAGCAAGCATGAGATGAAGATGTCCGAACATAATCCCGGTGGCAGAGACGGCGATTTAATAAAATCGCTGGAACGCCCTGTCCTGGATTTACCGTGTCTGGCCGAAGAGCGCCGAGCACAAGAGCCGCGGAACTTGGAGGGGACGGAATCTGGGGTTATGGGAGCTAGCCTAGTGTGGATTAGCGGCTGCCTACGTCGGATCCGATGGTTTCGCGAAAGTCAAGACAAGAGGCCTGTTGCAGTCCAGCCATCCCAGGAATTCAAACTCGATTGAAATAAATTCATGTCGTAACAATACAGAATAGACGTCTCTTTTTGATTGCTGCTCAGAATATAGGACGTGGTTGGGAGCAGCATCTTCCACTGTGTACAAGTTAGGCTGCCGCTATTAGCCAAAATTATCCGAGTTCATAAGGTGAAGCTCGAAGCCCGTGCCTACTCTTAGACAGAAGCACTGCAGGACTCCGTAGTCGGCTCACACTACGGATCAAAGGACCGGTCCTGGGTTCCCGATCTTCCCGTGTAGAGCTGGCGGATAGCTGTTGAAATCGGTTCCGTCATGTCTCCCGAGGCGGGCGCATATGCCATGTAAAGCGGGTCCTGCCGGTACACATTACTACTTCCAACACTTACCGACATATCGCAGAGTCAAGGTGAAGGGTAATTTATTCAGATTCGAGGCTGCAGCAACGTTGAGCGCCAATTCAAGGACTTTCACATTTGTCGACACAAGAACGGTGAGCTGGGGGCTATGTTATTCAAAGCAACACAACACCTAACCTTCCCTTCCAATACTCGAACACTAAGAACAATTTACCGCCATAAAAAAGGTTCTACCATGTCTCGGGAGATTATCAAATCTCGAAATGAATTCTTGCAGTGTTTAGTATGAGAAGATATCAAATATCGCCAAGAGCGAAATAGCTGCGAATTAAGTAATCGACTTTTGACGCAAAGCTCTGGAAGGCTCGATTTCAGGTGGTCCGTGCGCAGCCTTCAGGGACAACCACCCACCTAACCACAATGAGAAGTGGGAGGCTGCCACAATTTTTTGGAGCTTGCTGCTGGCGATAGACTGGCCACCTCCCACTTGGCTCAACCACGACACGGCGAGTACTCCTATCCTTCGACCTCGCCCCAGGATCTCTGAATCCCTTTTTCCGGCCTCCCCCAGTGTCATTCTTGCGTTGATACACTTCAGAATACCGTCAGAATGTCGTTCGGCGGTCACACACCGACGATCATCGTCCTGAAAGAAGGTTCGTTACCCCACCGTTGCCTGCGTTTTGTGCCCCAAAGGCCACTGACGAGTCTATTATATTAGGAACCGACACTTCTCAGGGAAAGGGCCAGATTGTCTCTAATATTAATGCCTGTTTGGCTGTCCAGGCCACCATCCGATCGACCCTTGGTCCCTATGGCGGTGATCTGTTGATGGTGGATGAGAACGGCAAGCAGACGATTACCAATGATGGTGCTACTGTCATGAAGGTACGGGCCCAGAAACACCTCCTCCGGGTATGAGAGACGACGTTGACAATAGAAATCTAGCTCCTCGATATTGTTCACCCCGCTGCCCGCATTCTCGTCGATATTGCCCGATCCCAAGATGCTGAAGTCGGTGACGGAACCACCTCTGTCGTGGTGCTTGCCGGCGAGATCCTCAAGGAAGTCAAGGAGCACGTTGAGCAGGGTATCAGCTCGCAGATCATTATCAAGGGCCTGAGAAGAGCATCGCGGATGGCGGTCAACAAGATTAAGGAAATCGCCGTTAGCACAAACGAGGGTAACCGCCGTGAGACCCTGAGCAAGCTCGCCGCAACTGCCATGACCAGCAAGCTGATCAAGAGAAACACTGAGTTCTTCACCAAGAGTGAGTTCATATTATTCGGAACCGTATTTCCCAAACCAGAATACTAATCTGCTTTGACAGTGGTTGTCGATGCCGTGCTATCCCTCGACCAGGACGATTTGAACGAAAAGTTGATCGGCATCAAGAAGATCCCCGGTGGATCTCTCACCGACTCCCGATTCGTCAACGGTGTTGCATTCAAGAAGACGTTTTCCTACGCGGGTTTCGAGCAGCAGCCCAAGTCATTCAAGAACCCCAAGATTGTCTGCCTGAACGTCGAGTTGGAGCTCAAGGCCGAGAAGGACAACGCCGAGGTTCGTGTGGAGCAAGTATCAGAGTACCAGGCTATTGTGGATGCGGAGTGGCAGATCATCTACAAGAAGCTCGAGGCCATCTATGCAACGGGCGCCAAGGTAGTGCTCAGCAAACTGCCCATTGGCGATCTGGCTACACAATATTTCGCTGACAGAGATGTATTCTGTGCCGGCCGAGTCACAGGCGAGGATATCGAGCGTGTGGTGCAGGCCACTGGCGCAGTCACTCAGTCAACATGTTCAGACATCCTTCCCGAGCACCTTGGAACATGCGGTACCTTCGAGGAGCGCCAGATTGGTGGCGAGCGCTTCAACTTCTTCGAGGACTGCCCCGAAGCTAAGACTTGCACTCTGATTCTACGTGGTGGAGCTGAGCAGTTCATCGCCGAGGTTGAGCGATCGCTCCACGATGCTATCATGATTGTCAAGAGGGCGATCCGCAACCACCTGATTGTCGGAGGAGGCGGTGCTACTGAGATGGAGATCTCCAGCTACCTCCACCGCTATGCCGACGAGAACATCACTCGCAAGGAGCAGACCATCTTCAAATCCTTTGCCCGTGCACTAGAAGTCATCCCTCGCCAGCTGTGCGACAATGCTGGTTTTGACTCTACAGACATCCTCAACAAGCTCCGCGTGGAACACCGAAAGGGCAAGACTTGGGCTGGCGTCGATTTCCAGAATGAGGGCGTTACGGATATGATGGAGCGATTCGTGTGGGAGCCTGCCCTGGTCAAGACCAACGCCATCCAAGCCGCCATCGAGGCAAGCTGCTTGATCCTTGGCGTTGACGAGACCATCCGAAACGAAGAGAGCCAGAAGCCCCAGGCACCCGGCCAGCTGCCCCCAGGCGCTGCCCAGCGAGCACTAAGGGGCAGAGGACGAGGAATGCCTCGTCGGTAAATGCATCCAAAAATCAAAAAGTTAATGGGGTGACGGATCACGGGGGTGTTCAAGGTCTGTATGATACCTAGGGAGGATCTCTCATAGACTGAATGGGCCCGAGTCATCTGGGTAATTGGGATGAATATTTGCTTGCTATACGTGAATATATTACGATGAATGGAAAGGTCCTTGAATAGAAGCCGTTGCCTACTGACATAAGATTTCCCTGTAGTTGAGGATAGACCACCTGCCCGCTACATACCATGTAGCCGCTTGTTGAATACTTCCCTAATAAGGTACATCTATCATGGGTAAGGGGTCGCATTTGGACGTTCCTGTTGTCAGATATCTCAATTTGGAGGCGGGGCTGTCAGATTGATGATGTGCACAGACGGCACACAGGGGTTTAGCATCCATGGCTCATGGGTATATAAAAGGTGCATGTCGACATGGCGGGGCATCACTTGTTCTTGCTCTGAGGCACAGAGCGTGGGAAGAGCTGAGCCTCACACAGATGCAAATTGGAAGTCAGTTCCATGCGTATCAGGGACTGAATCAAATGAGAGCAGGGGCATTTAACTGTGGCCTGGCTGCTGATCGAAATGCAGCCCGTCAGTGACAAAATGCCCCCAAAATGCAACCGCACCAGCGCGCTACCCTAATGCGGCATCAACGGCCTTGGCTGGTGGCCACTTACAGCCTCGTATCACGGCTTGCACGGCTAGAATTGGGAACTAGCGACATGTAATGAAAAGGGGTCCCCATAATTACATGATTTGATAGTCAGATAGTCAGGGTCAAATAAATAAGAGAGCCGGTTGGACTCGAAGAGGGGTCATCTGCTTGTCCCGCGCCTGGCAATTGATCATCTGTTGGCAGTGATGCGCCAGTGAAGATCCATTCACACACGCCTCCGAGCTGAGGCACTTGCTATGGGCGTAGGCCCACGACACTCCTTTTCTTATACTTCATGTATCACTTTTCATCTTCATTCTCTGGATTTAATAATACATAATACCTCGAGACAGCAAGCCCAGCAAGCATTACCATGATCTGCGGCGCACGGCGCTCAACGATCCTCTTGGGAGGAATCGTCCTCTTCTTCCTCGTGGTGTTTTTAAAGGTAAGTGCGATACCGCAAAGTGCTGCCTCGAATTTATATTTCATGATGGGTGCTGACAAGGATCGCATGTAGCGCAATGAGCTCTCCGATCATGTTCCTCAGCTGTCGACGCAGCACCACTTGTCCCCCAGAGATCGACTCAACATCACCACCTCGAGACCAGAGGACCTGAAGAAGGTCCAGCTTCTCCTGCCTGCAGCCAGCGGCCAGCAGAGCCTCTGCAAGACTTTGCTGACCGCCGCTGTTCTGGGCTACCCGATCCCGACTCTTGTTGCGTACAACAGGACTTACACACAACGTATGTCTCACATCTCCATCATGCGCCCAGCGCATTGGCGGGCCGAGTGCCGCGAACTTTGTCCCGGCTGGAGGGATTTGGTTTAGGGAAAGAGCATTATCGCTAACCTGTGCTATTTTGCCGTGTTATAGCGAATCTTGTTGGTGGAGGTCGTCATGTCGCCAAAATCGAGGCCATCTCGACTTATCTTGAGAATATACCCAAGTCCAAGGACAGCGATCTGGTCATCATAGTCGACGCATATGGAGGTTTCAACTACCAGTTCAACTCTGAAGATATTGAATCCCACATGGTGGGGGACGCATGGTTCCAGCTGCCATTGGAAGTCTTGGTCGATCGCTATCGGGCCCTCATGGACAGGGCCAACAAGGACTTGGAAATCAGCATGGGCAAAGCGTACCGAGCTGCAGCCGTCAACCAGACTATCCTCTTTGGATCAAGCAAGAGGTAAGAAGTGGCCATGATTTGGGGAGGGTAATCTGAATCAGGAACCACTGAACTAACATGGATTCATTTCAACAGATGCACCCCCAACAATGTCCAAAGTTCGGCTTGTTACCCAGTCCCCGAATCGCCTCTGTCTCCCAAGCTCTATGGCAAGTACACGGATGCGCCATCCCTCGAAGTTGGCCAGGGTGATTACGATTCCTACCGCCAACGTTTCCTCAACTCAGGGTTCATCGTCGGCCCCGTCCGCGACCTGCGCCCTCTCTTCCGCCGGGCGCAGAGAAAGGCATCAGACCAGATCAAGCTCTCCCAGACAAGCGATGACGGCTCATCAACCATTAACAAGCTCCACGTCGGGTCGGACCAGGCCATCTTCTCTGCTATCCTGGGCGAGCAGGAGTTCCAGCGCGAGGCGATGCGCCGCAAGTACGGCGAGCGCCCACGTCCCAAGAGCCGCATCGTCAACGTCCCCATCGAGGACATCCTCGACCCCAGCTTCCCCCACGAGGTCCTCCAGCCCAAGGGCGACAAGTCTGGCGAGTTCGGCATCGTCGTCGACTACTGGTCCGACCTCGCGATGCAGACGGCCGACAACGGCGAGGATGGCCGCTGGCTCCTCCACAACCAGCCCGTCCAGGATCAGCTGCTCGCCTTCCCCCGCCAGCCCTGGAGCTGCGTCCCGCAGGTCTCCAACGACCTCCCCGCGGAGCTCGTCAACAGCACGAGCATCCCGCGGGCCGCCATCTCCGAGTCTTCCCAGTTCAGCCCCACGCACGGCTGGGACGAGGTCCCGCTCTACACCAACGTGTGCCTGGGCACGATCCCCGTGGTGGTGAACCACAACGGCGACCCGAGGCAGCGGCAGCGCGACTGGCCCCAGATGTGGATGCAGCCACACGGGCGGCGTCTGATCGAGGAGATCATCGCACGGGGCCAGGGCGGGAAGGAGGAGAGGGGAGGGGCGTACCACGGCAAGTATCAGAAATGGGTGAAGCTCTGCCCCTCCACGCTCGAGAATGAGCTGTACCGGGAGGAGAGCTACAGCGAGATGGTGTAGAACTACCAACGTTTTGATGATTTGGAGTTTTGGGTTTCTTCACATGCGGCACTGTACTTTTCAGATGGGTTCAAGTTGAAACTATGCTTCTCGTCTTCTTCTTTTTGTTATGAGACTGCATACTTTTCACAGCAGAGAATGCTGTCTGGTATTTTCGCTTCTGAAGTATATATACAACCATATGCATCACAAGTATATAAAATTTGAACGTATATTTGCCCCTGACAGCGGAAATGGAATCAAGGCCTTCTTTGTTATTTGACCCAACGAAACGAAGGGAGATTGTGTCTTTATTTGAACATTGAGGAAAATAATTTCTATATCTTTCCAAAGTGTTCCGTGCAATATGATGTTATTATCCAGGGCAACATTGCATGCCGAAACATGAAAGTTGGGCAAAAGCAGGAGCACAAAGTTGCATCGCCGAGCCGCTTGCGAGAAAGAGATGGATCCAACCACCAAACTGGGAAAGACTCGAACACCGAAGAATGTCGCATCTGCAACATGCTACACTATAGCACAACCCTCTTGTCTTTCTCAGTTGAATTTCCCAGTCCTCCCATAGGGTCATCATCGTCATCATCGCCATGTTGGATCAGCATCTCCAGATCTCGGTCCACAGCAGATGCGTCGGCATCCTGTTCTGACACATCTACATCATCCCCAGTTGCGTTTAACAGGGCCTGGAAATCCTGGGCCTGGTAACTATCGAACGGGTTGTCATGGTGATGAGTGTGGTGGTGATTGATGATCTGCGAGTCCGCAGGGGGATCGGAGTAGTGATGGCCTTGTAGCATTGGATTGTGGTGAAAGGTGTGAGATGGTGTAACGGTCGATAGGTCATTGGGGTTCGCATAGCCGCCAGAACCTGGGTGAGGGTCGGGATGAGAAAGCGTAGGCATCATTGCATGAGGATGCCCCAGAAGGGTGGTGTTCCCAGGAGTTTCCTGCGGAGGAACATGGTCATCCGCACCTCCACCGAGCGTCACTGTTGCGGCAACTGGGGGGTTCATGTTGCTGCTATTGGTAAAAGCGCCTCTCTTCCCGCTGCCGGAATTAGGCGATTTACCCAGATCCTTGCACTCGGGACAGTTTCGTATCACATCACTGACCGTTTCTTTGATTCTACTCCAGTGATACTTCTCCGCAATTGTCGCGGTGGTCTTATTGATTCCGGCGTGCTGCTCTGTATGAACATTTCTTGAGATCTCATACTGCTGGGCGGGGTCCGAAATAACCTCCTTGTCCTTGAGCATCAGCTTGTCGTCGTCCAGGAGCTTATAATGCGTCGCTGCGCTGCGCAGCCTGCTCTTTTCAGCGCGATCGGCGCCGTCCGGATACTTGCCGTACTTAAGGTAGAATTTGATCTTGTCAAAGCGTTCTTCACTAACTAGTTCCTCTGCCTCTACGGGCGTCAGGTCTCGGCCGTAGATGATGGCGTCAATAAAGCGATCTGGGTGAGATTTGAGGTTCCCGCAACCTTTGACGCGGCCGATCCTTTTGAAGCCCAGGCCATCCCATATGCGACAAGAGGCCACGTTGGTCTCATAGACCAGATTGAAGACGCTATATGTGTAGCCTAATCGCGGAGCCCAGTCAAGATACGTCTCTCCCATAAGTCGGCCTACGCCACGGCCTCGTGAGGCATCAGTCACGAGAAAGCCACCATTGCAGACGTGACTGCTTCTCCCCGGGTAGTTGGGTTTGATGTAGAAGCTCCCCAGGCATTCCTTGCCCCAATCCTTCCCCTCTACCACGGCCTGGGGGCCGTCGATATTTCCCAATAGCATGACAGCACCAAAGTTTTGAAACCAGTATTTAGCGAAATCTTCCGGATCAAAGAGGTCCAGCATCGGATACGTATCGCCACCTTCGATCTCTTTATTCAGCTGCTCGCACAAGTATACAAGCAGCGTAGCAGGGAGTTGGTGACAAGACGCAAAAGGGACGATGGTAGCCACTGTCTGACGGTCTCGAAGAGTCACGGTCCGTGGAAGTATATCCAGGGGGAGAGACGGAGGGATATCGGGGCCGGGGAATGGGGGAGCCCCAGATCTTCGGTAGAGGGGAGGACTGGTCGGGTCCTCCAGCATTGCTGGCATCGCGGCTGAAGAATCGGTCCCGTTCTTCGGGTTTCTACTCTTCTCTTTGGTTCGGGGTATGCGATCCTTGTTTGGTTATTTACCTTGCTTAGGCTTCTGAGGTCTCCAGTGAGACAAACTCGAGCCCAATAGGGGTCTTCTCGGAAAAGTTAGAGTGCTTGCGCCGCTGCCTACAACCTTCTTTCCCAGCGTCGCCCAACGATGCTCAGGGCAATGTGTGTCCCCTCCCCCACTAAAGGTCTGCTTACCGCCCACGAAGGTCGGGAAGGAAGGCTATTTTGGTATTTTGACAATCGCATGGGGTTTTATCCGGGGTATACTAGTCGCCGCATTGAGAATTGGGTAGATCGCTAGGTGTGTCGCTGGGTTGAAGACAGTGTAGCGCAAGAGAGAAACCGTTTGACTGGAAAGTTCAGGTCGTGGGTGCATGGTCTTGCCGACAGGCTAATAGTGGGGCAAAGGTTGGCAGCTACCCTTTACCCCACGCCGTTCGTCCATTTTTCAGCCGATATACGGCTCAAGGTGTTGTACATGAAGCAGCTTATAGTAGTGTAATGATCTCCTCATCCCAAAGATTTATTCAAAAGCCTGTTTGAATACCCAAGAGAGGATCTAGCCCCTTGCTTGCGCTAACGAGTGAAGAGTACATAACTTTAGGTCTTTAGGATTCGCTCAAATGTACATATCTGACTGACGGCTTTTCCTAATTTACATATCCGCATATTATACATATACAACACTGCTCTTAGTTGTTTAGCCCCTTAAGCTCAGCCTCAACTTCCCCTGCCTTAGCCTTCACGCTTGCAAGCTGGGCTTCAATTTCCCCCAAGTTGGGGGCAGATGTGGTAGGTTCTGAAACTCCATCCACAGTAGCGGTCTCTCCCAGTGATTCGAGCATCGCGGCCTCGCTGCTGTCTAGCTCCGCCCTGGCATACTGGGATTGAAGAATGTCCTGTTCTTCCTCGGTAAATCCTACGACGTTGTCTTTCGCGCGACTCAGAGCCAGCCGCTGCTCCTTCTGGACATTTCGTCGATGTTTGGCCATGAAGTCGTTCAGAGTGGGGGATGTCTCCCAAGGGATGGTCTCCTTCTTCTCCGAGGCGAGTTTACGAAGCTCCTGTCCTCGCTCACCCGCACGACCCAGAACACCTGCAATCACACCAATTGACCGCAAACTAAACGCATAGATTAGTACAAGGGATAGTTTGTTTGGAGGAAAAAAGACAAGCCACAACTCACCTATCATCATTGGCGGGAATAGTGTAGGTAACCCATGTAGGATCAGCATCAGTGTCAATAACACCGATTGTAGGAATGTCCTTCAGCCCGCACTCATAAAGGAGAGTGTAGTTTTCCTTAGGATTTAAGCAAACCACCAGATCAGGCAAAAGAGGTCGGGCGTTTTCCGTGAAGACCCCGAAATCCTCCAATGGCTGGTCTTTTTCATCCACAACCTTGGTTGTGGCGTACTTCAAGATGGCATCTCGGTTCGTAATGCCACCGGGGGTCCACTTGGTAAAGACATGGCATGCACCTGCCAACTCGGAAGCCTTGGTAACAATTTCCATCTGTCCCTTTCGAGTTCCAACGAAGAGGATAAGGCCACCGCATCTTGCCACCTCTTCCACAACACGTGCAGCACGTCGAAGGTGGGCAGCAGTGGTCTCTAGAGAAATTATATGAATACCCTCGCGTACACCGTAGATATATCGAGAGTTGCCGGGATTCCAGAGAGATGTATGATGACCCATGTGTGTTTGCGACGCCATGAGAAGCTCAAGAGTCACATCTTGCGGTCTAGGCGGGTCGTTAATGAGGTCGGTTGGGTTGTACTGCCGTTTTACTACCGATCCCAGCTTCTTGGTCTTGGCCCGGATTTTTCGAAACTCGACCCATTGATCCCAGGGAGTAAGCTCCTTGGAACCCCCAATCTTACGAGACCTTGTCCACGACTGACCCTCGTGTGTGGGCGTCGAGTTAGAACCTAGGGTCATGATGGTCTCCTTGGCCTTCGACATCTTTAACTGCTTCGATGACATCGCAAGAGAATTGTCCCTCATGTGATCAGCGGGCAATTGAGCCTTGGGCGGCGGCGTGGCAACAGCAGGCTCCGTTGGTAAGCTCTCCGATGAGAGTTGTCGTAGGGTCGATCGTGAAATTGGGCTCGCTAGCGCGCGGCGGCCTAATGGCTCAATTAACAACACGTTAAATGACAACATACATGTACATGAACTTACCATGCCGCGCTGCAGCGTTTCTTACTATCATAGTGGTGCGATTGATGCTGGATGCTGCTGTATGATGCATCGGAGGAGAAATTTGAGAGAACGAATTGGCTGAGTGGAGCCCAACTTTTTCCGGGCCGGCGATTTACAAAACGAACCACAAAGCTTCCCACAGAGCTTTTCATGGCTTTGGACGTCTTGTTTTTTTTCCTGATTGGGGTTTGGCTACGGCTTGCACACTAATTAAAGAATTCTACTCGTTTGACGAGGAAAAGAGCGCTTTTTTGGAATTGCTATAAAAAACTATTTACAAATACGAATAATTAGACCCGGCCATTCTACGCACTTGCGGCGCCCAATGAGAGATGGCTCATTCATTAAGTAGCTACTATACATAACACCACTTATCGGGACGTAATTCTGGAGATGGTGAAGACACCAACTATGACAGCTGCTAAAGTGACGATAGCACCGGGAAGGAGAAGCTCGTTTGGAACCCCTGCAATGACCTGGTCTTGCAGAGGATCGTTTCTTGCTCTTCGCCGGCGGTGAATTGTGGATGCCTCATCGTCGTAATCTTCATCGTCATCATCATCGTCCACGTATATTCTACTACGACGTTCACGGATACCAACTGCGGAGGATGCAGGCGGTGTTGGAATTGCGTTGTTCTCATGAAGAGATGTAGCCAACGGAACAACTGGTGGCTTCTCAGGATCATGGACAAAGAGATCAACCTTGTCTCGGTGTCCTTGACGGGCCAGCAGAATGGCCTCTAGCAGGTCATTATCAGTTGTGATTGAAACGGTATCGCCATCACTGTCGGCGTAGCTTAGAGCAAAACCCGCCCCGTCTAGCTTGCCTTCTTCGACGGTTGGGACACCGCCGATGCCCTCAACCTCGTTGCCGAGCTTGGCAGCCACTGCAGCCACAAGTGCCTCGATTCCATGGGAAGCAATGACCTGTAGACGGTGGACACGCCCAGAAGGAGCTTTGAATTTGAAAGGAAAGGGGATTTCGCCTGGGAAATGTTCTGGGACATCAGGAAGAGCAGATCGAATCGGCGACTCCATTCCGACATGAGAGGCAGAATCTCCTGGTGCAACACTATCCCGATTCATATCAGGCGACATCATTCGCGAGCCAAGGTTAGTGTGACGGTGGCTTTGGCTCCCATCACCGGATACCATGGACTCCGTCTCATTGTCCATGGACAACCAGAACTTATTCCATGCAGGGCCCTCACCGTCACCAGTGGCCATGGTGTTAATCTGTTCCAAAGTAGCGTAGGTCAACTTCAACACATCAACCATGCCAACGATCTCGCCGCCATCGTTCATCACGGGAAGATTGAGGTAGTGGCCATCTACCAGAGTAGGTCAGTATTTGAAACCAGAAAGTTCAATCACAAGGTATGCTCACCATGCATCTTTCGAAGGGCAGCCTGAATTGTCATGTCCATAGGAGCAAAGTCGGGATGGGGGGTCATCACACGGACCACGCTACAGTTCGTAGGGTCAAGGCCAGGGGCGATGACCCTTAGGACAACGTCTTTGCTGGTAAAAATGCCAGTAATAGCACCTTGATCCTGCACTAATACTGCAGTTGTGTGGTTCTCCCTCATCAAAGCCGCCGCATCCTTAACAGATGTCCTGACGCTCACAGTAGTAGGTGGTGTGCCGTCTAGAACGGACTCGAGAGTAGGGCCGGACATCTTGGTACGAAGAGCTTCGACATATTGAATAATCTGCTGAGGCTGGCTGGCGCCAAGCTCGGATTGCACACCCTCCAAAGCGTCGTAAAGTTTGCGGGACGAAGAGTAGGCACGCTCCAGCTTCTCCATGGCATCGTAAAAGCACTTGGTGATATCCAGAATACCGGAAATATCTTGATTTTCGTCCATAACTGGCAAATGACGGAATCCCTTGCGAACCATGAGGTCCAACGCATCGGTAGCACTCGTGTCGGTTCGTGCGCAGAGAGGGTTCTTGGTCATGATGTCGGCAATGGTGACGTTGGAGGCCTTGGAACCGGAACCGACAACCCTGAAAGCCAGGTCCTTGGCCGTAAAGATACCAGCGATGCGATCATCCTCGTCTGTAACAAGAACGCAGTCCTCACGCTTTGCGGCCATAAGCTGAGCTGCCTCAGATACCGTGGTGTTAGGCTTGATCTGCAGGGCTGGGCTTGGCTTCAGAGCGAGGACAGTGCCGGGGGGTGCTTTCCGGGTGTGGCGAGCCCGTGTGTTGAGATGCTTCTTTTTGGAGAGATCATTTTCCAGCTTTCGGCGAATGGCCTGGTTCAAGGTTTGGTTAGCTACAGTGCTTGGTGGCAAGCCAATTGCATTTTTGGGTGAGGCATCATCTGGAGAGAGGGGGAGGGGAATATATGTTTGGGTGGAGTTCTCGCTCAGGGCACCATTTACTACGCACCTCATCTCTTTTCGATTGCTTCTGCCTGCTTGCGCTGACAGAAGATGTGACTTCGGCGGGCTTCTCGTCAACAACAGGACGAGGGATACCCGATCCGCCGGGGCTATTTTGAAAAGGAATCTGGCCTCGTCGGTCGCGATTGGGGGTGCCTCGCATAGTGCCCCCGGCGGCAGCATTGCCTGAAGACATTTTTGCGGTGTAGAAATTGTCGGGCAGAAACACCAAGGGAAGGCCAAGCTAAGGGAGCAAGCTTGGGCTGGCCAGACAGACGATGAACCAGCCAAATCTTGAAAACCTGGAGAAGTAGGAAAAGGAAGCCCAAGTGAAAAACGACGCAGCCAATAGGCAGGTGCACAGAGGCAGGTTTGTCTTAAAGCAGAGCGGACCCCGGTGCAGAGGAGGGAGGGCAGTTCAGATGGAGCTGCTCAACGCACTCACTCGGCAGATATCGCGTTGATTGCACCCGACACCACCTGCTGGGTCATTTTGTTTGCCGGCCGCTGGTTGGTCAGACGCCGCCGAGGAGACCTGCGCACTGACCACGCGCCGGAGCAGCATCACCCTACAACCACTGAAGATCAGGTCATTCAGACGTTCTGGCGAGCAACATACGAATTCCTCCGAGATAATAATAGGAAACGGGAGCCCGTAAGATCAAGTGGCAAGGACTGGGCTGCGCGCGACGAAAAAGATTTGATGTGTAAGCGCACGCACGAGGCACGATCCCGGATCGGCCATCATCAGACGAAGAGCCCGGTCCTCTTACCGGCTGCTACCTACCCACGCACGCCATGGGATCCACCAACGTCGCTGAAGCTATTCCCCGATCGACTGTGGTTCACTCGAGCTTGGGGCTTGGGTAAGGTAGGCAGGGCTGGCTGCATTAACACAATTTTTTTTGGTCTTTTCTGACAATTATTATTAAAGGCAGCACGTGAACGCAACACAGACTGGCGCATATCTCGTCCAGTAACTCCTACCCAATGAACGCACAGCGTTGAGGGATACGACCGATTTCAGACATTGGAAGTGTATACTGTCTGCACCCAAGAATGCCGTTTGTTTTGTTTGCAGAATGTTGCTGCAGTTTCCGCCGCCACCGTTTTGAACGGCGGCGAAATGGTCGCTGTGGCGTCCGTCTGTTGTCCCGCCAGAAACACAATGAAACAAAACGTCATGCGCACGGATCCAATGACCCAACGGCACATTCATCAATGTAAGCTCGTACGTCGGATGCTAACTTGCACAAAAAATCAAAACACCAGAAACGAGTGGTTTGCTCATTATTACGTCTGCTGTGTGTCTGAACTGCGGAACCCGGCAGGATATGAAACCTAAACTCATTTGCTATACATGCAGCGTAGGTCCCAGATCGGGTTCCCAATGTTTGCCGCTTTGGACCGCGATTCGAAGACGACATGTGATCATCCATACGTCGAATCAGCTTTGTACATGTACTGGGGCCGAGTGAAGAAGCCGTGGTGTAGACGGCATCAGCAATGTCATTAGCCAAGTCCCCCATGTGATGACCTTGTTGCTTCAGCGGTGGACCGGCGGTGCTGGTCCAACCACAGCGGTTTGAGACAGCTATGACCAGGTCGAGACAGCCAAACTCAATTAAATGTCTTGCCATACAAGGCAAGTCGGCCAGGGGTGACGTTGTTGAGTGGTGCGATCCCTTGTCGCCTAGCCGCCAGCTCCGTTGCTGTGGCGACGGCGTCAACAATGCGCCAGACCTGAATGCCTTTGGCCTCTTGGGCCAAAAGGGTCTGCATCTCGAATCCACACTCGCGAACGAACTTCTCTGATAGCTATTTCCGGCGTCTTCAAGAGAGTATCGCATCTTAGCATTTGATTCCCGTCCATCGGGGACAAAGAACGTTGAAAGACTAAGAGCTTTCCAACCATCACTACCATCCCGCCTGAATAAGGCACATACCATATCTAGAGGTCTCCATCGCAGTCACTGCCGACTGAGCACGACCGCAATCCCTTTTTAGCCCGGCGCCCTGTGCTTGCGCTGCGTGAGGTAAGAGGCGTGATGCTTTGTCTCCTGGATGCTCTGGACAGCTGCAGCTAACGGACAATGCGAATGCAGTTTCGGACCTACAGGTTCCCATTCGACAACAATTCGACCGACGACAACGACAACCGGACTCCCTTGCGACAAAATGCTGTCCAATTCACCAACAAAACCTCACGCTGGGCAGAGGCAACACCACCGCCGCCAGAATTCGACACCCTCTGCCCCTTTCGACACCGTGAAGGTCCCGACCCTGCAGAGTGCCGCCCAACGTAGAGCAGCCGGCCACCGCCGTGGCATGAGCCTCGACATTAGGAGACAACATGCGGCATCAGCTAACATCAGACAGGATTACGTGGTAAGTACACATACTAACAATACAGGACTTGCAAATATTCCGCAGCATCATGTACTGCGAGAAGCGCAGCAGCAACGCATTCAAGCACGCCCGGGCCCCCAGCACAACCTCTACTCTCACCCCCAATTACCTCACAGCAGCAGTGACAGCTATCTGGTGTCTCCTCATGGCACTCCCCATGCTCAAAGATTCGATCCATCATGCCTCGACCCTGGATCAATTCCATTTGACCCCTACGGTGAGCATATGCAGACATTCATGCAGAACCAAGCTAGCTTTGGCCAAAACATGAATGTATCGAAAGACTTTGAGCTCTTTACCACAGATAGTGCTCTCTCTACACCCACATTTATGAACTTCGCAGAGAGTCCTTCCGCACCCGGCTGGATCTCCGAGGGCGAGACCTCAAGCACAAGAAGGTCCTCTCGAAGAATCAGCAACGGTATCATGGACCGTGTCTCTAAGTTCGAGAATCTGGGTTTGGACAACGTATCAAGACCAATCACACCCCCACATGCAGACGCAAATAGTGAGTCTTCCTCTTTCGATGCCTAGAGAGAAGCAGCTCTAACCTTCTAGGCTTCGAAGATTATTTCCCCCCAACCCCTACAGATACTCCACATGACCGTATGTGCAAGCAAGAGCCTGTACCCAACCGATTCACCGAAGGCTATGATGAGTCTTTGGAAGAGACTATCAAGCCAGTCAGGGCTCGTTCTAACCTTGGGGCACAATCCATCTTTCAAGATATGCGACAAGAAGCAGAGCAGCAACATGAACAGCCAAGCTCTGCCAAGTCCGCCTCATTTCCAGTCTCCCAGATGCAGGGCCCCATCTACGCGGCCAATGAATTCAGCGAGGAAGAGTTTCTGAATTTGCAAGCTTCCTTTGATGGGCTTGTCTCTGGTCCCATTATTGGTGGCCAGCAATCCGCCCACAGCTCCACGCCCAGCACTCCCCACAGAGCCCAGTTCTCAGCCTCTTTTGACAGTGCTCAACTCAGCTCCCTCCAAAGCACTCCCCATTCAGCTGCCCCTTCCCAGTCGCCAGTCCACCGTAACTCGAGCCATCGACGAACTGAGTCTCTTGCAAGCATTGCTAGCGCTGCTAGCATCGCAAGCATCAACATTGAAGAGACTAAGACCGAGACCGGAGTGACAACTGATGATATTGCTCAATTCATCTGCGGACCCGATTTAAATGACGGCAAATGGACCTGCGTTTATGAGGGCTGTGGCAAGAAGTTTGGCCGCAAGGAGAACATTAAGTCTCACGTCCAGACTCATCTGAACGATCGCCAATATCAATGCCCTACATGCAAGAAATGCTTCGTTCGCCAGCATGATTTGAAGCGCCATGCCAAGATACATACCGGAATCAAGCCATACCCCTGCGAGTGTGGAAACAGCTTTGCCAGACACGACGCCTTGACTAGGCATAGGCAGCGCGGTATGTGCATTGGTGCTTTTGATGGTATTGTTAGGAAGGTAGTAAAGCGCGGTCGACCAAAGAAGAACCGTCCGGACATGGAAGAAAGGACCACCAAGTCGGCGAGACAAAGAAGGAAGAACCTGTCTGTGAGCTCTGTCTCCTCACAATCGGGATATACGGACAGCTCAGCAGCCAATTCTCCGGACAATGATCTGGATATGCTTGATGATATGCTTGATCTAGGCATTGACTCACAGCCTCAGCAAATGGCCTCGAGCTCATCAGCACTCATGCCTTCGGTGACCAGCCAAATACCCCACGACGTGATGTCGTCTCCTTCTGTTGACACACCTCACTCCTACGTCTCACCAGAAGCCATCATGGAAAAGATTCATTCCCGCGCAGTATCACCATCCAAGAGCGTTGCCAGCACCTACAACACTCCTCCTGAGCTCTCGCAGTCATCATCGCCCCCTCCTGCACGTTTGTGCGACTTCGAAGCCAACACATCATGCGGCGCTGAAGACGTTGCTGCCTTGACGGCCAGTAGCAGCATCTTGAGTTCGGCAAGCCTCGACGGCACGCTTCCCCTGCCGTTTGGCGACCAGGATTCGAACATTCTTTTGTCGTTCAGCCACGATGAAGGAATTGTCCCTCTGGACCGGGATCCCAACATGATGATGCTCAGCAAGTTTGATGACGAGTTTGGCAGCACGAGCGATATGTTTGTTGACAACGACGACCTTTTCTTCGGCACCTCATGAGCGATCACAGCACGACAATCTTGCTAACAATATACACCGACTTAATCTGGATTAATTAGAGCTGGGCTTGGATATCTTTTTTTCTCTCTTGGGCAAAGGAGTCTCACGTTACGACACTTATGTCTGATCTTCTGGTTGAATTTTTTTGTTCTTGGCCATAATTTTGCGGCGTCAGGCCTTGATTGAAAAGGAACAGCGGTTATTTTTCTTCTGGCGACAATTTGTTTGTATAGTATCAACTGGAATAAAGGGGAAACAATTATTTGCGATTTGCGTGTTTTGGGAATAGACGGGAATTACAAAGGACCCCGTCTCATCAGAATGTTCTCGATGCTGGTGGTCACTTTCTGGATTTTTATGGGAAAGCAAAGGCGTGGCGTAGCAGCCGAGAAGGAGGAGAGTCACGGGCTTCAGTGTCTTTTTCACTCTCCCCTCGAGCGGGCAGCTGGAGTTTTGATTGAGTCTTTGCTTTTTATAGAGAATATGAACCACCTTTCATCAACTACAGATCCAATTGAGAGGGAATGATTGAGTGACATGAACGACTATGGAAATGTATCCTGATAAGATCCAACTGGAGTGTGTGAAATCCTCCACGTATATTATTTAGACTTTCCCATACGAGTGAGGATTCAAGTGCCCCAATAAATGTAAAGCTGTACACGTAACGAAGAAATAGTAGGAGTGGAATTAGATTAGTGTGTATGGAAAATGGTCTGTTCATCACCGTCCTTTATAATCTGATGTCTCATGTGTGTCAAGGGATTGCTGGGACTCACTGTGGCTGCACTGTATGTAGTGCGCTGTATCTCACCGCCTTGCGCCTGCCCATTCCACTAAGGCGGACTTGCCTGAGCTCGGTGTCCCTATGAGCCACCTGGAGTTTGAAACAAACAATTGGGCGTCTATCATCTTTCACCTTTCTTTTTCTCTCGGCCCTTGAAAAATTTCAACGATGAACCACTAGAAAGCAGCATCAATCAATTGACATAAGAGACGCCGACAAGAAAAATGTTGACACCAACAGTCGCTAACCATTTCAGCTTTTTCTATGCTGTTGGAAACACCCCCGCCATCAACTTGACGCGGTCAGTTCCTCACGGCCAGGATGTCTCGGCCTTGTCTCTTGGCTGTGGCGACCTAAGGAATCTTCTGTATACTGCATATATTGAGGATGGACTGCGTGAGTACTTTACTGATGGGTCAAACTGTTAACAATCCAAAACTAATACAGTTTCCAGCTGAGAGGAACTTGGACTTCACTTTCTGCGACATTGATGAGAAGATAATAGGTTTGCGAACGATTGCTCATATTCTCCACCTATGGTTCTTTTTCTCACACAGTTTTAGGGAGAAACATTATACTCCTTTCGTTCATTATCGATGGGCATGAAGGACCCCTGAAATCGCTTTGGGGGATATACTATCATCTCTATGTCAACGATGCCACCGCGGCAGTGATCAAGGACCAGGCCACCAAGCTCGTCCGTCTCCTAGAATCTATAACCTCTTGGAACGCCAGTACATACGGTTCCGTGATTAGGTTCTGTGACCAGGACACCGTCGATGATGTCCGTGGCATTTGCAAAAGAATTTCTGAAGGAAACGGCAACTTGGAGAGTCTTTCAAATGGCATCGAACAATCAAAGTCTCTCTTGCTCCAAGCCTCTGGTCAAACTGGTGGCCATGGAATGGTTCTTACCAGCATCCGCTCGGCTGCTCCCCTCTCACTACAGGCATACAAAACGCTCCCAGAGGCTCATCAGAAATATTGGGAGGAGGGAACATCAGTGCCCAGACAGTCCGCGGAAAAAATCCCTAACCCGATGTTTGCACCACTTCTTTCGCGGAGAGGTATTCTTCATTATGGTACAGACCCAATCCAAGGATTTCATTTAGCAACTGCTTATGCAGCACTGGCCGACAACTCACCGTTAAACCCTACTGCCACTTCAGCCAAGGGACCAAAATACGCCGTTGCGGCCCAAATTCAATTCTCAAGTTGGGTCTCAGCCCTTCAGAAGTTGCTCAAAAGAGGAAATTTGACCCTCCGATTTGTCGTGTCCGATGTATATTCCTTCTGTCATACTCTTCAGTCTTCCGGGAAGTTGAGTACTCTATCCGCAAACTGTTTCCGACGGCAATGGGATGGCAGAACCCTAAAGCTCGATGAAAGGGATTATGGGAAGGCGAAGAAGGCACCTACTTGGTTTGACACGATTGACACTTCAAACTTGTCAGATCATTTTGGTGCTCTTAACATTCTCACAGCGACAGCCCCTTTGCTAAAGGATGAGCCTTGGTCTGCCGTTTCTACTGAACTCTTACTTAAACGGGAAGGCTCTGAAGAGGAAGCATTTGACCAGCTTCTATGTGGCCCAGCAGCAACAATATCTCTCCTTCTTGGGCTGTCCGCTGTCCAATATTGGACTAATTCAAAGGTAGAGTCTCACGTGGACGAGGTTTTTCTTGCTTTGTCGACATCGAACAATGGGAAGGGGCCTGGAGAGACTCAACACCGCGCCTGCATATTCTGGAAACAAGATGGACAATTCTCAGGTCACCCAGACGAGCGGGGCAGTCTTCAAATCGAAGCCAAACCGCTGGCGAATATCCTCCTGCACGTGTATAAGCAGATGTTCCGAGGAGAAGATAGTAGACGGGCAACCTTGAGATCAGCAGCCTATTCCAGCTTCCACAGGGGTAGCTTCGCTGTTTTCCTCAAGTATCTCAAGTCCCGTGTGACCACTAATTGGAGTGAAATGTTGCAAAAGCTCATAGTCGATGTTGGTAACGACGAGTCGCTCGCACTTTCAAGCAACTTTCTCCAAGACTTTTGTTGTCAGCTTCACACGAACGATGTCGAAAGACATCAGTCTATCTTGATTAATCCTGCGACTATTCCGAAACTCCTGAGAATAAAAGGGTGGGACTATATCCCTCCGGTTGTTTCTGTAACGGTGGTCGTCCCGCGCAAAGCTTTCGAAAAGCTCTTTTCTGGATCAAAACAGCTGGCAATAGCATCACCAACTATTGTCGCCGAGCTGAAGTCATCAGAATGGCACAACTTGTATAGCGATGTTCACATTCTATTTGGTGACGTCAAGTCAAGCGACCCAGATGAGAACAGCCTTGAGATAGAACAGGACGTTCTTGGTTGGGAAGGCTCGTCGTCCCTTATTGCTTCGTTCTACATTCCCACGGCATCATTTAACGCGGAAAAGGGAATACCCGTTGTTGGACTCTCTGTTTTACCCACTGGCCAGAACCCTTTGATTTATGGACCTGTTCTTGGACCAAGCATGTCGATTTTCGAAACCTCCTTGAAGGATGAGAAGACGGTGCTTATTTCCAGGTACTTGCCCGGACAAACGGCTTACCCTGGGCATTGTGTCGGGGTAAGTCCACTTGGTAAAACCATTACTAGAAAGAATGGGGAGACAGGTGTGAGATTTGAGGCAAATGTTACTGACTCAGAGCCTCAAATTACATCCCTTGTTGGGCATCTTGACTTCTTAGGTGAAAAAGGGAAGAGGCTTCTGAAAGAGAAAGCTCCCATTGAATTGAAACAAACGAGCCCCTTCTCCATAAGCATTGCTTTTGGTAACAACAAGTCCGACATCTACCCTCTACATTTCCCTATACCTGTCTCCAAGGAAGGGGCTAAGACACGCATTGCGAGGGCCTCAGGATATGTCGAGGTCATCGCTCCATTCGCGAATCCATTGTCATCGGAATGTCTGGGGGATTTTGTCTTCCCCTCATACCTTTCGTCATCAAGAGTGCCGGCTGCTTTAAATATGCCACATACCAACCTTGACAAGCTTCCTGTTCTCGACGTGGATAAAAAGAAGGAATTGTCATGGTTAACCACGCTGACATCCTTCCAATTTTCATCACGAGAAAGGCACATTCGTGATAGGCGAGCTGGGACAGGTATTTCTTCTGACCCGAGGACGAATTTCAAAGACTCGCTTCTCACGATGTTTATGCTGGCATCTGGCCTTCAGGGAGGCCAGACAGGGTTATTTACCATCAGCCACCCGGAGAGAGGTGGCAATCACATCCTCATGGTGGTTTCCGCAATCCGGCTGGATGGCGACACTGCCTCAGTGGTTCTTGACGCAGCAGTGATTCCACTCACCATGGGTCTGATCGAGTCGCACCGGATCGAAGAATTCCTCCTCGTTCTTGAGGGACTGGAATGCTGCGCTGTTACGGTAGATGATGCAGAATTACAGTTGTGGAAGAAGGTCCTCCCGGCATTCGTCGAGCGATGCAGGACATGGTCTCATACCGCCAAGTGTGAGTATAAGAAGAAGGGGGCCACGATACCCCTGAGTCTTGAAGACGGTGAACAACTCTTGTGTTCTTGTGGTAATGGACAATTGCCTAAAAACTTCGTCAACATCCCGGAGTGGGAGATTGCGGCCACGGAAGCAGTCCGTCTGGCAATCAGCCCAACTTTTGCTGCAGCCATAGTGGAGGAATTAGCTGATACCTCGACATTTGGTGAGAAAGGAGGGTCTTTGGCCACTCCTCAGGAACGGTGTCGTTTCTGTGGCAAGACACAGAACAGCGACGGAAGCGCTTTGAAGAGATGTCAAAGGTGCAAAGAGGTCAAGTACTGCTCGGCTGAGTGCCAGAAGCGGGATTGGAAGACGCATCGCATGGAGTGCAAGGAGTCCTCTTGAGTACCTCTACAAAATGGTGTTGGTTGTGAGGATGATGGATTTAATATGCGTCAGGGAAGACTACGTAGTGCGATTTAAGGGAACGAAATGTCAATGGATGAATGAACGATGTGCCTGTTGTAAGGTTAATAAGCTAGGAAGATGAGTAATGGTATATGTTCCTTTTTCTCAATACCAGGTAAGGGTTCCGAACAGCCAGACCCAGGGGATAGTAAAATGTAATGGGGGCCTAGCGTCGAAATGCGAGAGAAGGTTGAGGAATGTCGATGATAGCTATAGCTTCACCGCCTGCCCTGAAGGAGGGGCAGAAAAAAAGTGGCAGCCCACCTACGCCCGCCCACCATCTCCTATGTTAGTTGACACCAGGCTAGGTTGAAATAACCCACCAGGAGAACCAGACACCACTGCGGCTCATATATCCATTTGATTAGGACTCGAAAGCAGCAGCAAAATGTCCGCCGCACAGCTTCTCAACCCCAAGGCCGAGTCCCGAGTACGTGCTACCAAACACCGGTAATCAGCAAATCCGAAGCTAATCGTGAACAGAGGAGGGGCGAAGCTCTGAAGGTCAACATCAGCGCTGGCCAGGGCCTGCAAGATGTGCTCAAGTCCAACCTGGGCCCTATGGGAACGATTAAGATGTAGGAAAACACAGACCATTTTCTTTTGAAGTTGATCTTTACTAACTCACCATGTAGGCTTGTCGACGGCGCTGGCCAGGTCAGTCTTGGGAGTCGGAACCCCTCAGCGAACTTCGTTACTCACATATGCGGATATAGATCAAGCTTACCAAGGACGGAAATGTGCTATTGCGAGAGATGCAAATCCAGAACCCAACCGCCGTTATGATTGCGCGTGCTGCGACAGCCCAGGATGATATCTGCGGAGATGGAACCACCTCCGTGGTTCTGCTGGTGGGAGAGCTACTCAAGCAGGCCGACCGTCACATTTCTGAGGGACTTCACCCCCGAATCATCACTGATGGCTTCGAGATTGCCAAGGTGGAGGCTCTGAAGGTATGCAGTTGATAATGGACATCGGCGGTGGCGTGCGAGGGCTAACTCTGCTACAGTTCCTCGATGACTTCAAGATCGCCAAAGAGGTCGACCGAGAACTTCTCATCAGCGTTGCACGAACATCCCTGGCCACGAAACTAAACTCGACACTCGCTGTTCAGCTTACCCCCGATATTGTCGATGCTGTTCTGGCCATCTACCAGGCCCCTGCCAAGCCCGATTTGCATATGGTTGAGATTATGAAGATGCAGCACCGCACTGCCGCCGATACCCAACTGATCCGCGGTCTGGCCCTGGACCACGGCGCCAGACATCCGGATATGCCAAAGCGACTGGAGAACTGCTATATTCTGACGATGAACGTGAGCTTGGAGTACGAGAAGACGGAAATCAACTCTGGATTCTTTTACAGCAGCGCCGAGCAAAGAGATAAGCTGGTAGAAAGCGAGCGACGATTCGTTGATGCCAAGCTGAAGAAGATCGTTGAACTGAAGAAGGAGGTTTGCGGCAATGACGGAAAGAAGAACTTTGTCGTCATCAACCAGAAGGGTATCGACCCTCTCTCCCTAGATGTCCTGGCAAAGAACGGTATCCTCGCTCTCCGAAGAGCTAAGAGAAGAAACATGGAGCGTCTGCAGCTCGTTTGTGGAGGTATTGCTCAGAACAGCGTTGATGATCTGTCAGAAGATGTTCTTGGTTGGGCAGGTCTTGTCTACGAGCAGACCCTGGGAGAAGAGAAGTACACCTTCGTGGAGGAGGTCAAGGACCCCAAGTCAGTGACCCTCATGATCAAGGGTCCTAACGCGCACACTATTGCACAAGTCACAGATGCAGTACGAGATGGTCTTCGGAGTGTTTACAACATGATTGTCGATAAGAGTGTTGTTCCTGGCGCTGGTGCCTTCCAGGTCGCTTGCGCAACTCACTTGAAAGGAGAGTTCAAGGACAGTGTCAAGGGCAAGGCTAAATATGGCGTTGAGGCTTTCGCTGATGCTCTACTCGTCATTCCCAAGACCCTGGCTGCCAATGCTGGACACGATGTCCAGGATGTTTGTGAGTAACTCCCCTATCCAAAGATTCTATTGATTAGCTGCTGACATGACTTCCAGTGGCCCAACTCCAAGATGAGCACAACGAGGGTGATATCGTTGGCCTCAACCTCGAGACCGGCGAGCCCATGGACCCCGAACTAGAAGGTGTCTTCGACTCGTACAGAGTCTTGAGAAACTGCATGGCGTCCAGCTCTGGAATCGCTTCTAACCTGCTGCTCTGTGATGAATTGTTGAAGGCGCGCCAGATGGGTAGAGCTGGAGGTCCTGGCCCAGGTATGGACGGACCTAATGATCACATGTAAGAATAAGAGCTACAAAATCGGGGATAGATCTCAAGACTCTTCAATGTCATTATGGCCAAATATTCTAATGATGATACACTCTTCCTGCTTCCGAATCGGTTGCACGCTACTCACACATTGCAAAATAATACGTCTCGTGTCCCTTTGTTTGGTTGCCGCACACATCCCACCAAAGAAAGCCTTATCGGCGGCGATAAGCCCCGCATTGGGCTGTATAACATAGAAAAAAAATCCTAACCCCACCATCAGTCAGTAAACTCGATAGGAACCATGGCTTCATACGACTCAGATTCCTCAGACGGGGAGTTCGAGGAGACCAATGTGCTCCTAGGATATGCCTCGAAAGAAGCCGACGAAGACACAATCAGTCGGTTAGGCGGCGTACCAGTAAGAAGATATTCTATAGAAAGCTTTCTCGCATCAAGTGTTGACATGACTAGGATTGGCTAGATGCCGACCACCCACCAAGCGCTGCGTTGGCGCGATGCAAAGTTTGCAAAGATTTAATGGTGCTTCTCCTCCAGCTGAATGGAGAACTCGCAGAGCGCTTCCCTGGTCATGAACGACGAATCTACGTTTTCGGCTGTCGCAGGCCTACGTGCCGCAGGAAGGACGGGAGCATTCGGGCTCTGAGGGCACAGAGGATCTGGAAAGATGAGACAAAGGAGGAGCCGAAACCAGAAAAGGCAGAAGAGAAACCGGAACCGACCCCTTCGAAACCAGACGCTCCAACTTCGGGACTTGGTGAAGCTTTATTTGGAGCGAAAGGGTTGGGAGCGTCTGCGTCTGCGAATCCCTTCTCAAGTGGTGGCGCGAACCCCTTCTCGAGTGGTGGTGGCGGCGCAAACCCATTTGCATCTCCGTCGGCCTCCAATAGCAATCCATTCGGCTCCTCGTCAAAGCCTGACACACCCGCCGAGCCTGCGAAGGCAAGCGAAACCCAGGAAAAAGAGAAGTCTCTTACGAAATCGTTCGCGGAAACTCTTTCGCTTAACGCTCCTCCAACTCAGCCTGCTCCGCCCCCCGAGCCTTGGCCAGATGCCAAAGAGCAGCCCCAGCCGTACCCGACTCTTTACCTGGCCGATGCGGAGTACGAAACTCTCGATCCAACCCCAACCAAGCTCCCTGAGAATGCTCGCATCGAGGATGCCGATGCCCCTGAGCCTTCCGCGCTTGACCGGGAGGCGTTCGAGTCCACCATGGATTCCGCCTTCCAGAAGTTTGCGGACCGGCTCTCGCAAAACCCCGAGCAAGCCATTCGGTATGAATTTGGCGGTACGCCTCTTCTCTACTCCAAGACGGACCCCGTGGGGCAAAAGCTATCCCAGGGAGGCATGCCTGGCTGCGGCAACTGCGGTGGGCGCAGAACATTCGAGGTGCAGCTGACCCCGCATGCGATCGCAGAGCTTGAGGAGGATGATTTGAGCTTGGAGGGGATGGAGTGGGGGACGATCATTGTCGGCGTTTGTGCGTCGGACTGCGTGCCCCGTGGCACCAAGACGGGAGAGGTAGGGCACATTGAAGAGTGGGCGGGTGTACAATGGGAGGAACTGGTGAGCAGAAAATAAAGACGTAGAATTGCCAATGTGAAAACGAAAGATTCATGACCCCAACCAACTCGTGCTATTTTCAAGCGGTTTATTTTAGATCTTGCTATCGCTCTTCAATGACATTGCCCTGTATATATATATAAACGCCATGGTGAATTCTTTTCTTTTTCCCTTCCTAATTCATGCCTTATCCTCTTGCATCATACGACGTCATGAACATAAGCCACTCCCATCTCGTAGCATTCATACAACCTCCTCCCAGGATCTCCGGATTACCCTTGAGAACTGCTCGACGCTGACGTCCTCACGGATCTCGGCCTTCTTGGCCTCGTTGTCGGGGTTCGAGGGCACCTTGACGGATCCATCCTCCTCCACTGACCAGCCAGCAACCTCCGAGACGAACTTCTTGGTGGCGTCCTCGCTCAGCCCTAACCACGCCTCAAGATGGCTCAGCTTGATCTCGCGGAAAGCTTGGGAAACGAGGAGGGCGATGCGGTGGCGGATGGTCTCCTCGAAGCCGGAGATGTCGGCGATGAGATCGGCGCACAGGTCGTCGCCGTCAAGGGTGGCCCAGAAGCTGGAGTACTGCGCACCCTCGAGCTGCGAGTTGAGCGTGCGGAGCTTGTTCACGGCTTCGTGGAGCTCGCCCGAGTTGGCGGCGGAGGGGTTGATGAGGTGGAGGGCGAGCGAGAACTGAGGGGAGGGGAACTGCGTCATGGCCTTGACGAGACTGTTGGTGACGACCTCATCCTTGAGTCTGTCGGGGTTGAGCTGGTACCTATATTTCAGAATAATGGTCAGAATCTCACAATTTCATCCGACGCATGAAGGAGGAGAGCGGTAAGAGTATTATTGCATGAAATGCATTCAGACACACTAAAGGTAACTTCAGATGCGATGATATATATCGCGATATATATCGCATTCAGGTAATAGGAAACGTTGACATTCAAGTCATCATGAAACATATAAATCCAACGCAAAAAATCGCGGCGGCTCAACAAGACTCCATTAAGACTCACAATTTCAACAGCGTGCGGTTGGCATTGCTATCAGTGTACTTCTGCTCGCATTGCTCTTGCAAGTAGGATTCCAGTGTGCCAACAGCCTCGGGGTTGTAGCGCTCCAGGCCGTTGATGATGCCGGAGATGTACTCGGGTCGCTCGGGCGGGTCTTCACCGTTCATTGTGGCGGTATTGGGGAGATGGTGTTGGGGGTGTGTCGAGGGGGAAGTTCGCGATGGTGGGGCAGGGGAAAGATTTCGATAAGTTGTGTGGTTAGCTGGTTGTGGGCGATCAGGGAGGGGGTTTTGCCGGAGAGTCACATTTTCCGCTCCTTGTATTCATGCATTGCTTAGTCACGTGCTTCGCGTGAACCGTCGTCATGTTCACGATGTAAGGGGATATGTAATGAATCATAATTAGGTGCTGATGGTAAACGTGTGTTTATTATGAAATTTTGACGAAATATAGAGGATGCACAACGAATCCTCTTCTCCGATGTTTTTCTAGCTCGTTTCCAGCATCATTTCCTCATTGATCATTCTTCGCTCTTCGCCATGCCGAGCCCGGCGAAGAAGCGGAAGCTCAATAATGGTTCTAAAACACCAACTGTTCCTGCAAAGGGGTTGGAATACTTCTTCTCTAAGCAAAAGAGTTCGGGTCCCTCTAAATCTGAAGAACCATCCTCAGCAGGTGGTACGTCAAATGAGGCCGAACTCACAGATGAGGAGCTGGCCCGTAAACTTCAAGCTGAATGGAATCAAGAGGTAGCTCAAGAAGAGCTAAAAGGGGAACCACAAGTTAAACAAGAGGATTTTGCGGCCAAGGCGTTCGATGGAACTCAAATCAAAAAACAAGAATCGCTTAAAGAAGATGGAGATCTCCAGAGCGATGAAGTAAACAAAACGCCAGCTCCTGGACGACCGGAGGCTGCTCTGAAGAAGACACTGACTCTGCAGCCCACCAGGATGGCCGAGGACTCTGTGACATATTCTATTCCTTTAGATGAATCGCCTTTGACATTCGACACCACCAAGTATATTGGCTCGCTGCAAGAGGCCTGGGCTCCTGAAGGAGGACATGCAACATATGCTCTACTCACTCGATGCTTTTATCTCATTAATGCTACGAGAAGTCGGATAAAGATAGTAGACACACTGGTCAACTGCTTGCGCATTCTAATAGAAGGAGACCCTTCGAGCTTGTTACCAGCTGTAAGTGGGATGCCAAACATCAACATTCAACCTTGTCTAATATGCGTAGGTATGGCTAGCAACAAATTCTATTTCGCCCGCATATATCTCATTAGAACTAGGACTAGGGGGGTCGATGTTGTCCAAGGCTCTCAGGCAGGCGTGCGGTTTAGACAACAGGTCACTCAAATCCCTGTATGACAAATATGGTGATGCTGGTGATGTTGCATTCGAAGCAAAGAAAAAGCAAAGCTTCACTTTGAGGAAGCCAAAACCGCTCACCATACAAAATGTCTACAAGAGTCTAGTCAGCATTGCAAACAGCCAAGGAAAGGGCAGCGCGGAGGCAAAGCAGCGAATTGTGGACCGTCTGCTACAGGATGCGCAAGGTGGTGAAGAGAGTCGATTCATTGTCAGGACTCTCTGTCAACATGTAAAACCCTACACTTGGCCCTCTTGAGAAAACCAGGCTGACACGCATATTCTAGCTTCGCATCGGGGCTGTCAAAACAACCATGCTTATAGCATTGTCAAGGGCCTTTCTGCTTTCAAAGCCCCCCGGTGCTGATTTCCCCTTGAGATCAGCCAACGAACTATCCAAATTGAAGAAAGAGGAATTAGCTGAGGTTTGGGGCAAATCAGAAGAATTGGTGAAGGCCTGCTTTGCAAAGCGGCCAAACTACAATGATTTGGTACCGGTTCTACTAGAGATCGGCGTCACGGAGGAGCTATCGCTTCGATGTGGGCTGGCCCTGCACATACCACTCCGTCCTATGCTGGGCAGCATCACTCGCGACTTATCCGAGATGCTTATAAAATTACAAGGGCGGGACTTTGCTTGCGAATACAAATACGACGGTCAAAGGGCACAAGTTCATTGTGACAAGGATGGAAAAGTGTCAATATTCTCTCGGCATCTGGAGCTCATGACAGACAAATATCCCGACCTTGTCGAACTGGTTCCCAAGATACGAGGCGATGGAGTCGAGAGCTTCATCATGGAAGGTGAAGTCGTTGCTGTGGATAATTCCACAGGGGACTTGAAGAACTTTCAAACCCTGTCTAATAGGGCACGCAAGGATGTCTCCATGGGTGCTATCTCTATCAATGTTTGCCTCTTCGCTTTCGACCTAATGTTTTTGAATGGGCAGCCATTACTTGATCGGCCTTTCCGCGAGCGGAGAGAGCTACTCCGATCACTATTCATTGAAGTCCCCCACCATTTCACTTGGGTGAAGAGTTTAGATGCAACGTCCCAGGATTCAGAATCCGTGTTAGAATTCTTCAAGTCAGCCACGGAAGAAAAATGCGAGGGTATCATGGTCAAAATGTTAGATAATTCATCTACCTCTGCTATCGGTCCTGTTGCAGGAGAAATAGCCAACGCCTCAGAAGATCCGGAGACTCTTGATGAGGCAGAGAAATCAGAAAAGAAGAAGGCTCCAGCTGGAGGCGATAAAGACGGGGAAGAAAGGAAAACTAAAGGTCGCAGGAAGCCGCTTCTTGCCACATATGAGCCTGATAAACGACTAGAGTCATGGCTCAAGGTCAAGAAGGATTACCACTCTAGCTTTGATACCCTCGACTTGATACCTGTAGCAGGGTGGCATGGTCAAGGCCGAAAAGCAAAATGGTGGTCGCCCATCCTTCTTGCCGTACGCAATGAGGATAGCGGCTCCCTCGAAGTCGTATGCAAATGCATGTCTGGCTTCACAGATGCATTCTATAAGGCAAACAAGGAGTTTTATGATGATGGGGCTGAAACAGGTGAGCCTAAGAATACAAAAGCGCAGCAACCAGGCTTTATAGAGTATTCTGGCCCGCACCCTGATGTCTGGTTCGAGCCTCAAGAGGTTTGGGAGATGGCCTTCGCAGACATCACGCTCAGCCCAACATACACAGCAGCAATAGGGTTGGTGAGCGATGAAAGAGGTTTGAGCTTGAGGTTTCCTCGGTTCCTGAAAAAACGGGAGGACAAGAGCATTGAAGAAGCCAGCACAAACGAATTTCTTGCTGGATTATGGAGGAAGCAGGAAGCTAAAGGCACAACGACCAAGGAAGAGTCAGAGGAGCCAGCCGATGAAATCGAGGAGTGATCTCAGTTATAATCTTAGAGAAACAGAAAATTTACAATATTGCGAAGCACACATCAGGAGCCTCGTCGCCGCATTACTAAATTTGCCCTCAGGTTGCCGGATCTTGGTTGGTAATTTACATTATCGAAGCACGGGTCAATTGTGCCTTTTGTCTGATTATTTGCCAGCATTCATCTTCTGGGCAATCACGCTGAACACTGCAATGGTTCCCATAAAAAGGACAGCGTTGTAGAACTAGGCAGACAGACGGTATCCTAGTGATTAGAAATGTCGCTACTAAGAGGATGAATGAGAATGAAAGTCAGAACTCACCGCCTTTCTGGAGACTTCTCGTTCCTCATCGTCGGTCCTCGCCTCAATGAAGAGTCGGCGAAGGTTCGGGAAGTTTGCCTAGCGCCAATCAATTATGTGTACAGGCATAGTTAGAGAGCTCCGAGCCTTACCATATTATAGATTTGATAGGCGACCGAGATTATGAGAATTTGTCTTAATTGCCCATTGTATCATTGGGTGAAGGGACCAGGCAACGAAATAACGTTGCTGAGGGTTCACGTGCTATCTTCAGGCGGCGCTGTAGTGAGATTAAGTGGTGGAGAATGGAGATGGTTGACGGATGACTAAGCTGGAACAAACTGTCCCATTGCCCTGTGATGCAGTGCTCAGGCGCATGCCTGTGGCGGCTTAAGGTAGGGGGGATTACTATCCTGTAGATGGCAACGGTGTCTTGCTCTTGGCACACCAGGTACTGAACCTCCAACTCTACAACACTCCAAGCGACACACTTTGGTCACGATTTGGCCAACTTCGTGTGGTCTACGCTGGCCTTGCATTCGGCAAACGACTGGTTTAGAGTCTTGCTCTCGGCGAGACGCACCCCTCAACCTACCTCTTGAACCCCGACCAGCTCAAAGCCACCGACACCTCGATTCCTGCTGCCCCTCCACCGCGACAAGTCTGACAACCACCCACGATGGCGGTCAATCGCATAAGAGGCGCCTTCCAGGTACCTCGGAAGGGAGAGACGTTTGAGCTCCGGGCAGGCCTGGTTTCTCAATATGCCTATGAGCGAAAGGAGTCTATTCAGAAAACCATCATGGCCATGACTCTGGGCAAAGATGTCTCAGCTTTGTTTCCGGATGTACTGAAGAACATCGCAACAGGCGATCTGGATCAGAAGAAGCTCGTTTATCTTTATCTCATGTCAGTCACCAACCAGAGCGGCCCCCTTTTTGCTTCCAGCTCCTTCTCCTCCTCTCGCATGCTAACACTATCCCCAGGAATTATGCCAAGTCACACCCTGACCTATGTATTCTGGCTGTGAATACCTTTGTACAAGACTCCGAAGATCCGAACCCCTTGATTCGAGCACTTGCAATCAGGACGATGGGCTGCATTCGGGTAGACAAGATGGTGGATTACATGGAAGAACCTTTGAGAAAGACATTACGAGACGAATCGCCATACGTACGAAAAACGGCGGCTATTTGCGTTGCGAAGCTCTTCGACCTGAACCCTTCGATGTGCATCGAGAACGGATTCCTCGAGACTCTGCAAGAAATGATTGGTGACCCGAACCCTATGGTGGTGGCCAACTCTGTTCAGGCCCTGTCGGAAATCCATGAAACTGCCCCCGAGACAAGGGCATTAATTATCACATCAGCAACACTCAAGAAACTTCTCATGGCACTCAACGAATGTACCGAATGGGGCCGAGTAACAATTCTCACCACGTTGGCCGACTATAGCTCAACCGACATCAAGGAGTCTGAGCACATTTGCGAGCGAGTTGCCCCTCAGTTCCAACATGTCAATCCCAGCGTTGTCTTGGCCGCCGTCAAGGTGGTTTTCATTCACATGAAGTCCATTGGCCCAGAACTTGTTAAATCATACCTCAAGAAGATGGCTCCCCCTCTGGGTCAGTAAAACACCAATGCTCTAAGACCCCGACCTGCACTAACTGTCCATTAGTTACCTTGGTTGCATCAGCGCCTGAGGTGCAGTACGTCGCTCTCCGAAACATCGATCTCCTTCTCCAAGCCAAACCAGACATTCTTAGCAAGGAGCTTAGGGTTTTCTTCTGCAAGTACAACGACCCACCGTACGTAAAGCTGCAAAAACTCGAGATTATGGTACGGATAGCAAACGAGAAGAACTACGAACAGCTTCTTGCAGAATTGACCGAGTATGCTCTGGAGGTGGATATGGATTTTGTGCGACGAGCAGTCAAAGCTATCGGGCAAGTTGCTATCAAGATTGAAAGTGCCAGCGCGAAATGCGTCCAGGCTTTGGAGGAACTACTAGCAACCAAGGTCAACTACGTTGTCCAAGAAGTGGTTGTGGTCGTCAAAGATATTCTCCGCAAATATCCCGGCTATGAGGGTGTCATTCCTAATCTTTGCAAACATATCGATGAATTGGACGAGCCAAATGCTCGAGCTGCTCTCATCTGGATTGTGGGAGAATATGCCGAGAAGATCAATAATGCTGACGATATTCTGGAGAGCTTCGTTGACGTATTTAACGAAGAGTTTGCCCAAGTAAGCTCCAAATCTTCAACCCAGCTTCTTCACCACTGACCAGCTAAAACTAACATTTCTACTCAGACACAACTACAAATTCTTACAGCGGTTGTCAAACTATTCTTAAAAAAGCCAAGCAACACACAAGGGCTCGTACAAAAGGTCTTGCAGTCTGCCACAAATGAAAACGATAATCCGGATATTCGAGACAGAGCATATGTCTACTGGCGTCTCTTGTCAGGCGATCTTGATGTTGCTAAGGTGAGTCGATGCATTTGAAAGCCAAGAAGCTCTCCGAGCTAACTAGGCGCTTTTTAGAACATTATCCTCTCACAGAAGCCCACTATTTCGACGACCATGACCAGTCTTCCGGCCACCTTACTAGAACAGCTTCTTACAGAGCTATCGACGCTGGCCTCGGTGTATCACAAGCCCCCTGAGTCGTTCGTTGGCAAAGGACGTTTCGGTGCCGATGAAATCCAACGCGCAGCTATCCAGGAACAGCGCCAGAATGCCGCAGAGAACCCCATTGCGGCTTCAGTTGCTGCTGCAAATGGAACAAGCAGCGCACAGTCTCAAAACAATATCGAGAACCTTCTCGACATTGACTTTGATGGAGCTGCGCCAGCATCTCAGGAACAAAATAACAGCGGTACACCTAGTAGGACGGCAAGTCCTGCCGTGGGCGGTGCAGCCAGTGGAGGAATGGCCGATATGATGAGTATGTTCGATGCTCCGCCAACACCATCAACGGCAGCGCCACCTCAGCAGGCCCCAAGCAACGGCATGAATGATTTGATGAATGGATTTGATGGACTCAACTTTGGTGCCCAGCCGTCGACTCAGCCACTCCCAGCAGCAATGCAACTACAGAACGCTCAGGGTGGCCAGGCTGGAGAACAAGCTCCCAAGAAGGATAGCGATGATCTCCTTGGCTTGTTCTAAATCTACGAATTGGAAGACTTTGTCGCAAACATAATATTTAGGAGCGGTGGTCAGGTTGTATGAACAAATATAGCTCTATTGGGGTCCTCAAAAAATCGTAAAATGCTTGCGTGTAACTAAAGTCGTTATCGAGCGTCTCACCTAAACACCATGGAGATGATGTCCTTATTTCTTATTTTCTTCTTTCTATTTTTTCCCCCGGTGGCCCTCTTGCAGCACGCCCACCCATTATTCCGTTTTCCCGTCTCTTGTTCGTCGGTGAAGGTCGCAGTTGCGGAGAGATTATGTATTGGTCTCAAACTGTAGAGGAAATGGTTACTGCGCCGTGCCCTGGACCTGGCCTCCCACCGTACCATCCAGGGACGGCGCATCCTGGCCCTGATCTCGCTCCCATTCCTCCGGCGTCTTGCACTTGGCCGTCCAGGCGTGGATGCTGGCGATCTCCTCCTTGAGCGCGCCGTTGACGAGGCGGTGGCGCTTCAGAGAGTTGAGGCCTTGGAACTGCGGTGATACAATCAGGGTTGTGAACGCTTGGCCGCAGCCACCTGGAATCATGTGTCAGGGGACCGGAACTTTATTGGTAATCGGGATAGAGTTGAGGATGGTAAAAGGTACCTGACATGTCCGTCACCTCGACATGGATCGCTTGAAGGCGCTGGGTGATGGTTTCGCGCAGGCTGGCATCGGTGATCTGTGCCATGTTAGAGACAAGTACGGCCTACTGAGCGGTGCTGTTGCTGTAGTTGGCTTGTCTTGACTCTGAGCCGACCCGGAATTGGCGATTCGGCTTGGAGGGGCATTGCGATTGATTAGATATGTCGCGGGGTGGTTACAGTGTGGCAAACTCTGGTTTTGGCACAGTATGATCTCAGCCTATTCCGGGACGGCAAGCTTTGACCTTCACTTAGGTCGACTCTGTAAGTAGCCAGCACGAGACCAAGGAAGAAACACCTCGAAAATCGTGTGTTGGATGATTCCGTGTATCCATTGACATGAGAGGATTTGGTCTTTCACATAGACTGTACTGCGCTGAACAACGGCTTCTATCCAAAGCTTCAATTCGCCAAACACCCTTTCGCCCACTCACTCCAAGAGCTACACCACCGCCACAGATCTTCACTCGATCTTGCTTCTCTTACTCTCAAACAAACTCCAAGGACCCCTCTACCTCAGTGGAAAATCAGTACTCCTCCTCTCAAAGCATGGCTGACAACGGAGCTTGGGGTGCTTGGCAGGTTGAGCCTTCCAAGTTCACAAAGGCGGTGGTCGATTCCATGAAGACATTGTCAGTGAGCATCCGTCTTGCATCGCTTTGCTATCCATTCTAACCTCATTTTCATTTAAAGGTATCCGGAAGAGCTTGCAGATAGGGCATGGGATAATGTTGGTCTTCTTGTTGGAAACTCGGAGTCCGACTCCAAGCCAGTAGTTCTAGTGACCAATGATCTCACATACCAAGTCGCTACCGAGGCCATTGAACGAGGTGCCAGCGTCATTGTCAGCTACCGTACGTACCAACGTCTGTACCAGTCTCGCCTCAAATACTAACTGGTGAAATCCAGACCCCTTTATCTTTTCTGGCCTTAAATCTATCACAAACAAAGACCCCCAGCAAGCCACCCTCCTCCAGCTGGCCAAAGCAGGGATCGCAGTCTACTGTCCTCACACGGCTGTAGACGCCGCGCCCAAGGGTCTCAACACCTGGCTTGCGGACATTGTTGCCGGCTCTCACTCGTTCAAGAGGTCCGTGGCCATCCCTTGCCGCACGGCGCCTGAAACCCACTCCCCAGCAGGGTACGGTGCCATCGGCGAGTTCGACCAGGAGGCGGACGGCGTCCCCCTCCGTGAGATCATCCTCCGCCTGGCTGAAAAGCTCGGAGGACTGAGACACATCATGATCGCAAGCCCTGTGGGCGCCAAGGTGGAAACGACAAAGGTTCGCAGCTTCGGTGTCTGCGCGGGGAGCGGTACCGACGTCTTAAAAGATGCCAACGTGGACCTTCTGGTCACTGGCGAGGCAAGCCATCACCCTGCTTTGAAGGCTATTCAGCAGGGGAAGACTCTCATCACAGTCTTCCATAGCAACTCAGAAAGGGGCTACCTGCAGGAGGTTCTCCGGCCAGCGCTGGAGGAGCAACTGCGGATCACAGAGCCCAAGGCTGAGGTTCTGGTTAGCGAACATGACCGCGACCCGTTCACTATCTTGGATGTAAATGAGTTATAGATAGGCCAGGTAGACATCCAATCCAAGGTCGTTTTGATGAGGCAACAGGTAGTAGAAGCAATTCATTGGGTATCACAAAAACGCTGCTTAACTGGAAACGCCAAAACACGTCTAATTGTCGTCCGGGGACGGCCTCGTGGTTTCTGACTTGGCTGCGGACTCCAACGCCGCGTCTCCTTCCTCGATGCAGGCTTGCACGTCATCCCCGCCCTCGCCCAGCTCTTTCCAAGATACCAGCAGCTTCCTAGGCATCAGCCACTGCCGTCTCGCCTCCACTAGTTTACCCTCCTTCACCAAACTCCGTATCCTCGCCGGGGTCTCTAATAACTGGACTGCGAGCTCCTCCGTCCGTCGCCGCCGCGTCACAGTCCGCCGCGCCCTCATCTCCTCGGAATCTGGCGAAGGGATGGATTCTCTAAGTGAATCTCGGAACGCAGATGCCTGGCTGTATATTTGTGCAATAGCAGGGTCGAGTGTCGACGCCATGGGGTTCAATGGATCCATACTCGATCGCATCTATCATATGTAAGCTTTGCGAAAAATAGAAAGCTGACTGAGAAGAGACAGAATAGCCATGCCGGCGAGAATCAACCCACCTTACGAATCGTCTCGGTCGCAGATATTAGTTTGCTGTAATTGTCGTAGACGAGAGCCTTCTTCTCCGCATCCAATGCGCGCCCTTCGCCCAGAACCCTCGCATAGAGACTCAGCAGCTCCGCGAGGCTGCTCTCGGCCATGACCTTTTGCACATACCGGTCGGCGTCGAAGTTGGGTGCATCGATGTCGCTGACGGGCACTTCGGAATCGGGGAGCTCTATCTTCGGAGGACCAGATGCGGATCTGAGATTGTAGTATTCTCGTAATGCGGCTCGATTGGCTCGTTTCGCTGGTTGTGGTGGCGGCTGGGTCGGGCCTTGGGTAATGACAGGCGAGCCCACGTTGGAGCGATGGCTGTCGAGAGAGGGGCGGTTGGAGGATGTCGGCGTGCGGCGGGAGGTGGAATGGTCCCGAGGGGAGGCGATTGTAGACATTGTATCCGACGAAAGAAGAATCACTGCAACGTTCTTGAGGAAGGTCTGGCGCTCAACTGCAATTTGGACGAAGTTGACACGATGGTTTGGAGCTTATGTCTGAACGCGAATCCTAGATCTCCCCAGAGCCACTATTTTTAGCGGCCTGCGCCCGAGATTAGGCCCCTGAGACGTCATCGCTACGCCCCGAAGACCCCTGGCATCCAGGCCTGAAAGGCCTGAATATGCTCCAACGGGAAATTTCCAGAAAAGCGTGTAAACCACCAATATATCCTCAGATGCTCTATCAATTAATAGATATTTGAAGAGCAAAATTAAACCCGGTTTCATTTGGCATTTGCCCAGAGCCCATAAGAACTTACCTTACTCTTCATCAATGGTTTCTTAAGTCTCCTCAATGGATCTCGCCTCTCAATTACACTCCTCTATTCTCTCCCAATCACTCCCTCCTCCATCCCAAACCTTTGTCACCTCTCTCATCGCTGCCCGCAACCCCCCTCCTCCATTAGCTTCTCTTGTCGCAACGGCCAAGTCTCGCCTTCTCGCCTGTGACCTGTCCTCCTCTCCTTCCCTTGACTCGGCGTCCTTGGCCGTCTTCCCCGCCGGTGTCGAGAACACCCACCTGCGCGAGCAGTCGCTCCAGCGCGACACCTACGTCCAGGTCCTCGACATTGAGAACCTGAGCCTCAGTCGCTGGGAGCAGATCGAGGAGCTCGAGTCGATCGAGAAGGGGGAGCGCACGCGCGGCAGGGAGATCATCAGGGTCACGGCCGACCAGGACGGCAGCAACGGGGAGCCGCAGCAGCAGCAGCGGGCGACGCCCTCCAACGCCACGCACCGGCTCGTTCTCCAGGATCGCAGCGGGAAGAAGGTGTACGGGCTGGAGCTCCGGCGAGTGCCCCAGATCGGGGTGGGGAAGACCAAGATCGGCGAGAAGCTGATCCTCAAGGCAGGGACTCGCGTGGCTCGGGGCTCTGTGATGCTGACTCCGGAGACATGTCAAGTGCTGGGAGGCAAGGTGGAGACGTGGCATAAGACGTGGACAGAGTCCCGGATAGCGAGGTTGAAAGAGGCAATCGGGGGTGATCAGCGTCCATAATGAATGAGCCAGAAGCAGGCACGCTGTCTTGAGAGTTTACTCCTTACTTCACAACAATATGATACCCCTTTGTACGGTCGCCTTCCAAGGGTTTTAGGCATTTAGAAGAATTTGATCATGACTTTTTTATTCAACCACCATCTATCAAAGAATCTAGCAGTGCAGTTTTCTTTCAAAAGCAATATATTAGATGCCTTGAGTGGCGATCGCCAACGAGGCCCATCCCTCGCTTTCCCAGGGGGCCAGGAACGCCGCCTTCTGGGCATCGGAAGCCAACCCAGTCCCGGCATATGCCTTTGTGAGATCATGGCACTCCAGAGTTCCCCGTGGTGGGATTCCTTTCTGTGCAACTTTTAGTGCCATCTGTGCCGTGTACTCATCTCCGGTGGCCTCGGTCAGAGCAGACCATCCGTGAGGGAGATTGGGGAATAGCATGATGTCAGTTTGTGCCTGGGTTGTAGTATCCTGCTCTGACTTATCCTCTGCCAGTGTGGCTATAGCACGGAGTACCTCTCCAATATGTGACTGCTGCGTTGGCGTGACCTTGTCATTGGTGCGAAGAGACTCGAGAGCCTCGGTGACGGCCTCCAGGCTGTCCGGGTCGTTATCCAGGAGAGCAATGACTCCCAGCAAGAGAACACTCTGTACATGGTCTGGCCTCTCGCCAATCACCTCAAAGAGGGCTTCGCGGGCTCTTTCCCGAGCTTCTTCAGATCCCTGTGCCCAAAGAACCTGGGTGAGAAGGCAGACTGCATCGGGATTTCCATCTGATTCTTCCAAAGCAGACTCAAAGTACTTGAGCGCATCGTCAAATCTGTTGGCGTAATAGTGTGCTAGACCGACCGTCATATGCGCCGACAGTCTAGCCTTCTTACGCTGCTCCCCAGACAGCTCACTGTCACCATCATCGCTGCTCAGGCCCAGTGCCATATCTCCGCACTCAACCGCCTTCTCGTATGACCCAGCAGCCAAGTACGCTCTGGCCAAATCAGTTCGTGTCATTATAAACCGTGCCAAACTCTCAGCGGATTCTGATTTCTCGTAGTCTGCCTCGACTAACGAACATATCTTTTCAAGTAGGCCGACAGATCGGGGGCTGTCCCTGACTCGTTCTCGGAAGTGTGTTGACAGGTGCCCAAAGGTGACATCTTTGGGCCTCAAACTTTGAACCTGGTCCAAGGCGAACAAAGGCTGAATTAGGGATGCAACATTCAGGCCTGGAGGCGCTGTGAGAATATGGTCAAACATTGAAGCCGAGTAGTGGTGGCGGGTAGGCAGAGACGACGCCTCAGCAATTCCCATCGCATGCGTAAAAAGGCCTCTGGCTTCTTTCTTATCACCATACATCAGTGCCAAGAAGCCCTGTCCAAGCCATGCATGAGCGTAATCAGGGTCAGTAGACTGTGCCCTTGTGAATGATTCGTTTGCCAGCTTGATATCGCCGGAGAGCAATGCCAGTGTACCCAGATTCGTCCAGGCTGCCGGGTTGCGCTCATTCAGATGCAGACTTCGCACAAAAGCATGTTGGGAGACAGCAGGATTGATCTCTCCCGTTACTACTCCCAAAGCATTCCAAAACTCCCAGTTGCCCGCCTCCAACTCGATTGCACGCTTGAAAGCCCTAACAGCCGCCTTAATATAGGCGGTCGCGATCCTCTGAGATTCAGCAGGAAGACAGGTGTGCGCACGTTGTTCGGCCCAGCCCAAATTATAGTATCCGACGGCTCGGGCGTGTCGATCAAGCGCCGAAATATGGATTGCTTGTTTATAACACAAGATCATCGCTTGAATACAACGTGCCAAGTCCACGTCCAGCACGCCCGCGGTTTCTCCAGACGCTTTGTCATTAAGAGATTCGATAGACACTTTGTCTATTTCCGCGAAAGTTGCGGAAGCCTCTGGAGAGATCTTTTCAACAAGGGTTTTCAAGCTTTCTAGAGGTAAGTCCTTGGCAAAGTTTTGGACGGTCACAAAGACCGAGCACGCATCACCAAGACTCTTCCAAAAGTTGAAGGTGTCCAGAACACTTCCACCTGTTTGCGCTGCAAATTCGATCGTGCCAGTTGCGAGCTCAGCTGATTTTCCAAAAAGCCCTTTCTCGATACTACTCAAAGCATTGTCGATCATGGTCTGCATTAACGCAAGCTTGACGCCCTCCTCTTCAGGGTGGGTTTCCATCACAGCTTGATACAAAACGATCGATTCGTCGAAGTCTCCGAGTTCTCGCCTGACATTACCCAGCATGTACTTTGTAAACCAAGTGTCTCCGGAGATGTCAACAGCGGAGTCCTCTTCTAGCTTCTGGGCATTAAGAATAGCTTTGGTAGCGGCAATAAACCTGCCAGAGCTGTGATAACTCTCCCCTAGTCCGACCCAAGAATGATAATCGTTTGGAGAAAGCCGCAAAGCTGCCTGAAAAGATACTATCGCTTTGTGGAAGTCTTGCTTGTTCAGCTCTGCAACACCAAGAGCTGCAAATGGCCAGCTGATACCTTTCCTCTTTGAGCCTGGAGGGGGCTTGACCTTGCCGGAGTCAACAATACGTTGGGCAACAAGCTCTACTCTGTCCCAATCCCCATCTTTGGCAAACGATCTCGCCAGCCGCTCTGCCGCAACAACTTCAGAAGGCGATATTTCAAGTGCCTTCTGGAAACACCTTCGGGCTCGCTTTTTATCCTTCGCATAATCTGCGTAGAAAATACCGAGACTCGTGTAAGAAGGTGAGTGATTGAGGTTATTGTTCAAAGCGGACAGCCAGTATGAGTATGCGGAGTCGCCTTTTCGTCGTTTTCTCTCTTGTTGGCTGGGTTCCAGGTTCCAAATACAAACTCCGAGGCGGTATTGCGTGTCTGCTAGAAGATCCTTGGAAGGATTGTCCTCTAGGATACCAAGGCACTCCTGCAGCTCAGTCTTGGCTTGTTCCCATTCCTTCTTCAAAGCCTTTACCCATGCAGACTCTGATTTGACACGCACGTTGAGAGGATCTCTTTCAAGTGCTCTTCCGAAGAAATCAATTGCTTGATCGTATTCCTCCTCTTCCTCATAGATCAATCCCACTCCGATGAGTGCGGATGTAGAAGTCCCATCATGATCCAAAACCTTTTCGAAAAGAGCTTTTGCTTCAGCATGATGCCGTGGAGACTGGAAATAGACAAGAGCTGTGCCGAGGCTCAGAAGATATGAATCCCTTGTGTTTTTGAATTCGCAACCCAGAGCTGCCTGCTCCTTTTTGAGCAGATCTTGCGCTTTGCGCATGAACTCTACTGTACTTTCGTACTCTCCAAAGTGCACAAATAATTGACCAGCAAGCCTGAATCCGAATATTGAATCAAGGGTGCTGACACCCTCCACCAGCATACTCAGCCTTTCTTCATGGGTGAGAGGGACAACAAAAGTAGGAACGCCTCCTTCGTCGTCATCCTCACTATCATCAGATGCCTTTGCGATTGAACTTTTCCGGCCATTCTCGGGCTCTGGCTCTGGAAAGGGGGACAAGGTGCTGGTAAGAAAAGCTGTAATAATCTTGTAAAGATCGGTGTCTGGGAAGAAATTGCAATAGCCGCGGAGTAACTCCACATTGAAATCTTTGATTTCCTGCTTGTCTTGCCAGTTTATCGCGATTTCCCAAGCAAGCTTGTATGGGTGCTTGATAACAACCATATCATTAGCAAGGCCAAAGACCTTCTGTCGCTCCTGATCCTTTGCTTCCCCGGGAGGTTGAACCAGCATGCGTTCATAGCAATGGTGGATTAGTTTCTCTTCGTACTGCCGCCTAATATCATCATCACGAGTCCAGTTAATGAGTTGTCGGTAGATGCCTTCGAGCTTGCTCTGGCCGTAGACTTCCCTCTTGACTTCGAGAGTCACCTCGCTCAGCTTTGCTCCCAGGCGAGTTCTCCGTTCACCAATCAAGGTGTTTATCCGTTTCTTCTCGAATTCTTCTAGAATTCCCGCCACTCGATCATATGTCTGCCCTGGTGGTGGAAATCGACCCTCCAATAACGGGTACAGAGGACTCTCGGGGAGCTGGATCCAGAGGGCATCGGCATACTGAACCTTGTCCCCATGGACACGCACATAGTCGAGATATTTGTCTACCACATCCTGAGATTTGTACAGCTCATCTGCTTCATGGAATATGCGGGCAAGGTTCACAACAGCATGCTGATACGGTCCTAATTTCTTAGTGCCCACTTTCTCGTAAAGCTTCACTAGCCCTTGCCATGCTTGAGCATCTCCAGGCCTCAATGAAGTGGCTGCTAGATAAACTCTTTCAGCTTCTTCGAGGTCGTTTCTCTTGTCTTGGGCAAAAGCCAAGAAGATGTGCCTGACAGCCCGGTTAGTTATGTTTTTTGAGGAGGGGGAGGACAGTAGATGGCGGGGCTGTGCTGAAAGCTGTTGAGGGGAACTCACCCTTGGTAGTTTTTGGACTCTTTCTCTAGGAATTGTTTGGCCTCCTCGGCAGCCTCATCGAACTTTTGTTTCTTGATGAGATCATTGATAGCTCGTAGCTTCGTCTTGGAGCTTGACATTTTGGCGGGGTGTGCCTCCAAGTTAGGCAGAAAGCGACGTGATTAGGACCCCTGCTCGTCATCTGTGGGAGGAGCTTTTTGCGCGAAGAAACTGCAAAGGATCTTCCTCTTCCAAATCCCCGAAAATGGAGCAATAGCCGAGTCAAGACTAAGTAGAATTGGTACGATTATATGTCGAATGTTGTGAAAGAGCTGACCTCGAGTAGTAGTTCGTAAATAGGTACCTAGGGTAGGTGGGTGGGTGGTGATAGAAAATGCCCGGGGTTTAGCCTTGCTTGCCGTCACAGTGGAGTCTATCTTTGTATCACGCACAGGTCCTTCTGTGATCATCACTGTTCAAGAGCTAGACTAACAAGCTTACACACTCAGAGTCTTGCTTACCCTATTCCTTTGTTTCATACTGCCACAAAGGCTGAGAATTGTTGAGAATTTGTATGATTGTGCATACAATGGTAGTAGCATATCATTCTGTCATTTAAATTGTTGTCTAAATACAGTCGATAAGTATAGGTTAGTTGCAAACAAAAACAACTATATAGTTTAGAGACATGGTGCGGCTACCTTAGGTAGTCTGTAATCTCACAAAAGATGTAGATTGGAGGCTGGGATAAGACATTCACGACCCCGCTGGAATCATCGTTGAAATGAGCTGTGAGTACTTTTTTTTAGTCCCTCGATATATAGTATTATGGGCATCCTGCTACAATCAAGATTCTTCATGACTCTCAGGGAGTCAGATACTGTCGAAGACTTACACTAGTACGAACCTCCCGGATGAGGTCGCTCATAATTAGGAAGACCCGCACCAGGTTTGCCGGCCCTCAGGACATCTAGATATGCAGTCCATTTTTTCTCTGTCCAATCTCTCAGGTCGAATCCTTCCTGCCCGGGTTCCAGAGAAGTTGCATTGACGCTCAGGTAACATCCATGTTTCAATTTACCCTCCTGCCAACCGTCTTTCTTCGGTCGCCATGCTTTCACAATGCCCGTCTCTCCAAGCCCGAGCTCGGCCAAGTCGACATCTATGAGCTCGCCCTCGCCCATGAAGATGAAGCATCGTGTGGCGCACACGCGGCAGTAGAAGAAATGGAGGAGCTTCTCATCGCATTGGTAGTCTCCCATGTCCTGGAAGGGATCCAAAGGGGAGAGCAGGAGGAAGTCATCCGGGGAGGAGTTCAGGCGAGCATGGAGGAATCCTGACTTGTGGCAAATGCTGCAGTTGCACCGGTAGAACGACTGCTCCCCGTGTTTGCGAGTCTGGGGCGGGTTGTGGGGAAAGGTCAGGAAGGCGACATAGCGAGTGGCACCGCAGTGGCAGGATCCCTTGAAAGGGCGACGTTGGGGATTTTCAGCCATTTTTATGCAACTTTGGAAGCGTTTGCGACACCAAGGGAAGACCAGAGCTTCGTGAGTATTATATAGTAGCCGCTGCTGCCTACGGCAATTGGGTCTTGATTATAATCTCCGCCCCAACAATAAGCCGGCTGTCGGCCTGCCGTGTCTCAAGCTCCACCACTGTAACAAACGATATAACTTTACCCTTCATGGGTAAGGTAGCTGCCGACTGGTTACATTAGTCTGAGAGCCGTGAGCCGATCTTGCCTCCGAGATAGGGCAAGGTAGGAGGTGCATGGGCTGGGCTGAGTTCATGCAAAAGGTGTCTAACCAATTACGGCACACATTACCCTACCACTCTTATAATGACGATTTGGGTAGATGGGTTGAGAAGGAGCTATCCATGAGAATGATATGCACAATCTAGGAGGTAAGAGACTGTTGATTTGAAAGTCTAACAAGTTCGTAGAGCAGTGAGAACCATCCCCATGCTCATGTGCTGGGCGACATCAGAGCGGGGCCAGCTAACCAGTCATGAGATTAGCGGCGGCTTCTAGCTAAACCACTGACCTCATCATCCTCCCCAACTCCGCCACGCATTACCCTATCGTCTGGTTCACGACAGCGTCTTTCCATCCCTTCCGTTGCATCCCCGTTGGCTCGCTCGAGACGGCGAGCCTTTTCACCAGGTATTCGACCGATAGCCATTCCGCAGGCTTCAACTTGTGACGATGTCCTTCCGGTTGACCATCGAGGACGGCCAGTTTCGTGATGGTCACGGTCGCCAGGTAGTCCTACGGGGCATCAACGTCGCCGGGGATGCCAAACTGCCCAGCGAGCCTGAACAGCCTTCCAACGTCGGCGATGACTTTTTCGATGGCGACAATGTTTCCTTCCACAAACGCCCATTCGCGGCAGATGATGCCCACGTTCATTTCTCGAGATTGAAGCGATTCGGCTTCAATACAATCCGCTATGTTTTCACTTGGGAGGCCATCGAAAGCGGAGGACCAGGCGTATACGACGAAGAATTTGCCCAGCATACGATTAATATATTAAGGATAGCCAAGGAATACGGGTTCTATGTCTTTATGGATCCTCATCAGGATGTCTGGTCTCGTTTTACAGGCGGTTCCGGCGCTCCCCTGTGGACTGTCTACGCTTGTGGTCTTAACCCCCAGAGTTTCGCCGCAACTGAAGCCGCGGTAGTGCATAATACATACCCCGATCCCGAGACCTTCCCAAAAATGATTTGGTCGACCAACTATTGGCGACTTGCTGCTGCCACAATCTTCACATTCTTCTTCGCTGGCCGCGACTTTGCACCCAAATGTATCATCGATGGTGTGAATATCCAAGACTACCTACAAGACCACTTCGTTAACGCATGCAAATTTCTGGCCAAGAGGATTCATGAAGCAGGGGACCTCGAGGACCAGGTTGTCATGGGATGGGAAAGCATGAACGAGCCTAATAGGGGTCTTATAGGGTATGCGGACTTGACCAGCATCCCTAAGGAGCAGCATCTCAAGAAGGGGAGTAGTCCCACGATATGGCAAGCCTTTCTCACAGGTAGTGGCCGGGCTTGTGAGGTTGACGTGTGGGATATGGGAGGTATGGGCCCATACAAGACCGGAACAAAGCTGATTGATCCCCATGGAGAAGTTGCATGGCTACCAGAAACCTATGATGATTCCCGCTATGGTTGGAAGCGAGACCCAGGATGGAAGTTGGGAGAATGCATCTGGGCCCAGCATGGAGTTTGGGACCCAAGCACAGATACTCTACTTCGGAAGGACTATTTTGCTCAGAACCCGCACACGGGGAAGACCATCGACTATCCTGAATTCACCAACACATACTTCATGGACTTCTGGCGCAAGTCAAAGGACGCATATAGAAGTTGCCACAAGGACTGCTTGCTTCTCATGCAGTTCCCTACTTTGGAAATTCCACCTAAAATCAAGGACACCCCCGACGATGACCCGAGGCTGGTCTTCACTCCCCATTACTATGATGGAATTACTCTTATGACCAAGCACTGGAATAGCACCTGGAACGTCGATGTTGTTGGCGTCTTGCGTGGTAAATATTTGCACCCCGCCTTTGCCATAAAGATAGGGGAGACTGCTATTCGGAACTGCCTTCGGGATCAATTAAAGTTTCTTCGTGAGGAGGGCAAAGAGCAGACCGGGAATCATCCATGTGTTCTTACCGAATTCGGTATTCCATATGACATGGATGATAAGCAGGCCTACAAGACTGGTGACTACTCTAGTCAGAGTTCTGCTCTGGATGCGAATTACTTTGCTGCCGAGGGTGCAAACCTCGAGGGCCACTGCCTCTGGCTATACTGTGCTACGAATAACCACAATTGGGGCGATAGATGGAACGGAGAAGATCTGTCCATCTACTCGACTGATGATAAAATCCCATCGCTCTCAGCGGTACCAAGGAACACCGCCTTACATCGTAGCGCTTCCACCGAGTCGAAGTCTGCTACCAGTGCCAATGCAAAAATTCTTCCCGACGACGAAACCGTAACTCCTGCAAACCTACAGAGGACTCTAACCAATCCGTCTATCAGCTCGGAACCCTCGTCAAAACAGCCAGAATTGACGGCAGCAAGTGGGTATCGTGCCGCCGAGGCGTTCATCAGACCTACACCAACAGTCGTTGCTGGCGATGTGATCCAGTATGGCTTCGATCTTCGGAGCTGCACGTTTACGTTGAAATTGTCGGCAGAAAAGGCCACTTCGGACGACGCACCGACCACTGTATTTTTACCAGAATATCATTTCCCCAAGGATCTTTCTGATGTCTCGGTATCCGGCGGCAAGTGGGAAATAAGCTCAGACGAGACTGAGGGGCCTCTGCTTCAGCGATTCAAGTGGTGGCATTCCGAAGGCGAGCAAGACCTTAAAATTACTGGTCTTGTTAGAAAACACAACGTTCCCCAGGGATCTCCGGAGGATGCTGGGTATTTGGAGCAGTGCCAGCAGGGTTACGGGTTTAACTTCTCGAACTGCAGCGTAATGTGATGCGAGCGATCGGGATTTTTTTCTTGGCTTCTTTCCCCACTCCCGTGTGCGGATGGGTTTGGCATGGATTATATGATCTTCTCTTATTCCTTGGCTTCAGGTGTTGCGACTTGTGCGATTCGGGCGGGCATCATTGAACTGGCATTTTCCCTAGATTGACTTATTCATTATCAATATCAATAGTCTGTTCCTGCATATCTGGATGTGTATATGAGGTTCATCAGTAATTGCACTGTCGCTTCGCTGAATCCGGATGTAAAAAGTTGGAGCCAGGCACCCTCTTCCGCGCAGATGAAACATGCATTCTGTGGCACAAAGGGGTCTTGGCTTGGCCACGGAACGCGGTTTGATGGGCATGTGCACGGATCAGGAGTGCACCGGTTAGGCTGGATTGGGGCGAAGGAATCAAAGGTACCTGTGTCGTGGTGATGCTTAGACGACGAATCCGCCCCATCACAGTCTAGAGGTGTGCCCCAGGTGTGCCCCAAAGGAACGTCCTCTGCACGTTTCGCCGTAAGCTGAGGCACAGGCAATACGAGCCCTGCGTCTGTGCCTGAGGTTGGGGCTGGGTGTGCACCCCACAGGCTGCGCTTGTGGGTTCTCGGAGGCGCTTATTGGTTCGTTCAAAGCCATTTTAGCTGCCGTTAAGCGCGGGGGTCCCTGTTGGGATCCACAGCCAGCTGTTTAGTGCATAATCAAGGCATAATTTTATGGAGAACGAACAAAGCCACGGCCAGGTCCATGTTCGTGACGGCCGGCCGGTTGTCCAGCTGTATCCAGGCCGTCCCTCTTTTCGCATCTTTTCTGCGTGTCAAAGGCTCCCCTGCGCCAACGACCATCGGATGGCCCGATAGATGGCTGCTTGCCTGCATCTGTGTCCCAATAATTCTAGAGAGGCGGAAGACGAACGAGCGCCAGTCCGTTCCGAGACAAGTGACGATACCTGATGCCGGGTGCTGGGCTGCGCTATTCGAAACCCTGAGTCTTAGCGGTGGTTGGCGTTGGTCCCGCACCATCGAGTACCTGCTTTGCCTTACGCATCTGCACTGGGAAGGCCAAGCCAACTAACTGCTGTCCGCATCGCCAATCTGGCAACCACCATCAAACAACGAACTAACTGCCATTCTGTCTCTGCAGTCTTACCACCAGATAAAAATCACACGCCAGTCGCCGTACCGCAATTTTGTCTCCGGCACTGTCCCTCTTTCTCCAGCAACGACTCCGCCACCCCCCTCAACTGAGTTCTAAACCACCGTTGCCGACCGTTTCTTCGACCACCCGACGACACCTCGATCTTGAACCCAATCTTGCTCGCGGAGGGCTTCCTCCCCTCCGGCGTCGCTCACCATGTACACAACCCCTCAGAGGCATCCGGGCGACACCCAGCGGCAGTACTCGGTCCCGCCGCCTCCGTCCATGTCGCCGCCGATGGCTGGAAACCAGATGAACAACATGATGCCCCTGCCACCGCCGCCCCCTCGATATACTGTTGCAACAGGTGTCCCAGGAACACAGGGCCATATGATACCTCCTCCTCCCCCTCCTCCTCTCAGCGCTTCCAGTCAGCAAGCATGGTTTAGCAGTGGATATGTTCGCATGAATGATAACCGCTTCCCGCCGCCGCCGCCTCCCCTGGGCCAGAAACAGCTGCAAACGTACAATCCTAGGGATCATGCGCAATATCCTACAGCACAGATCGTGTCTGTACCGCCGCCCGTAGCGCCGGCACCCCTGACCAGTGCTACCTATGTTCCCAGTGGTGATACCTTCGGGGAAGGTGTTGGCATTCCGGGGTTTGGCCTTGGCCCTGATGACCTATCAGCATCGGCGGTGCCTCACTCCCCGAACTGGGCCTCCTATGAAGGCACAGATACACTGGGAACAATGGGCACGCTAGGCACGCTGGGGACGTTGGATATGTATGGGAAGACACCTCCTATTACCGTGACGATATCAAACGAATTAGCCGCCCAGTGGCCGTTGGATACGGTTCTTATCTGGCTGGCACACCACCAATTTTCCAAGGAGTGGCAGGAAACCTTCAAAGCCCTTAATCTTTACGGATCGAAATTTCTCGAAATAGGGATTCATCAACAAAATAGCCGTGGATCTGCGAGTATGATGCACCAGTTGGTGTATCCCAGGTTAAATGAAGAATGCGTTCGAAGCGGTTGTGCATTTGACCAGGAGAAGGAAAGAAAAGAGGCATCGCGAATGAGGCGACTGATCCGATCGATTGTTTCATCCGGCAGGCCTGATGGATCCAATACCACTCCTGGATCAGGATTCAGGGACTCTCAAGGAACAAGTATTCCTAGCGAGGCCGGCGATTCCCCTATTGTAAGTTCAGACTCTGCTCTCAAGGGTGGTTATTGGAAACATTAACAGGTAATAGACACCGGCTCACGCACACGGGCCTACCATTCTCGAGAAACACGCACCTGGGCCCACCATTCTCGATAAGCCAGCAGGAAGTTTCTCGGAGAGCCGGCCGCAGCTCAAACCACCACAGAATTTGGACTCCAGTGATTTCCATCGCCAAGTGTTCAAGAGCCTAGATTCCGAACCTTCGTATGGAAGTCCTAAAGGCGATCATGCAGAGTTTACTGGTAGTCCCTTCCAGCTGGGCACCACCTTAATATCTCCGTCACCAACCAATACCGAATTTCATCATCGTCGAGGACGTAATAGCACCGACTCTACATTTTCGGTGGGACAAGGAAACTCGGCCGACGCCTCAAGTTCAAAAGGTTTGAGCTTCCAGACATCCGCAGGAATCACCGAGCGTCCAAAACAATCTCCTCTGGACTCGGCTGAACGACCTGCTGCAGGGGAAACCCCGGGCTGGCAGCAAGGCCTCACTAGGATTTTTCGTACACGTGCCAAGACTCCAAAGGACGAACGAGAGTCACCTGGGGAGGGTGATTCGCCAACAGATCCAATGAGTAGGGATAGGGATGACGCCGCTACCATGAGCCGGCCTGGTGTTGCAACAACCAACACGAGCAACAACACATTCACAATTGTTAAGCGCACGAGGATTTATGTGTTGGTGACAATGGATTTCTGGAATTATCGCATGTGTGATGTCACTACCGCGTATACCGCAGCCGACCTCCGCAGAGACATCTGTGCCTCCCTTGGATTGCACGATAGCGAGAACTTCCGAATTCATCCAACCGAGCTGGGGAGATTTGAGCACCTCACGCCTCTTGCCGACCAAGAACTCTTGACCTTGAAGCGCAACAAAGCTGATACTATTGGAACGCTCAAATTCTTCGTTGCTCCGTTGAGCCAACCAAGCGGGAACTGGCGGCTCTCTAATGGCTCCAACAATAGCTCTAATAAGGTCCCCCATCCAACTACCCTTTCACCTGGTTATCTTCCACCTGGTGTATCTGTGGAGGATAGCAAGAATCCTCGTAACAGATCAAAGCCATCACCGGGGACAAACTTGACAGTTGACACCAGTCTGGGTAAGAATGGTGAGGAGAGAAGGTCTCCTAGTGAGAGAAAGGAGGAGCAGCGGAGGAAGCAACAAGTGAAGGCAAGCCCGAGATCGCCCGAATCAGCGACAAGCATCGTTGGGAAGCGGCACGTTGACTTCAATCAACCGCGAACCTCGCCTTTCGAGGAAAAGAAACACGATATTATGTTCCCGCAAAGGAGCCCCCCTGCTCCGCCTTCGGATCCCTCTGCTACCCTGATTAAAGCCAACTCTCTTTCAAAGCCCAAGGGCGCAAATCGTCGGTCTGCAAACCGCATCTCGGATGGCTTTATAACACCAAGAGTGCCATATGAGAAGATGTTGGAGAAGGATAAGAAATATAGACCATTGCCGCCTAGCGCGATGAAAAAGGACATTGGTTCGAGCGGATCGCCTGCATTAGGATCATCGAAATCTCCTGGATTCGCATCTCCGCAAAAGTCGGCGACAAAACCAGGTAAGAAATACTGTCTGGCACAAGAGTTCATGCATCCAACGATATGGGTTGTAAATTCACGGCGCTATGGGCCCAATGTGATCGAGACTCGGAGGAGCGAACGTGGACGTCTCTTTTGTGGCTCAAATTTTTTTTTCCAAAAGTGTGATTTTGTGCTAATTATTGAAGTGACAGAATTCCAACCCGCTGATCACAATTCTGGATCAACAAGCGGGAGCCAGAGGATATTAACCCCGACAGCTGATGAAAACAGCGATCCGATGCCCTGGGAAGAATTCTCGGGAGGGTCCTTCGCAAAGACAATAACCTCTCCAACTCCAGAGCCGGACGCCGATGGTAGTGATGATTCTGACGACGGTCTGTTCGCGATTATGCCGAACAGAGGAAATAAGGCACCTGCGAAGAAGCTTGGGCGGGCTCCATCGAAACCAAAGACCCCCAAGTCCGCGCTGTTAGGCAACAGGGAACGAGATAGGAAGACCCTGTCTGTTAACTTCAGCACCACGTCCCCTAAATCGCCTAAATTCCGAGATGGTGATGGCGGCAGTGGTCGTCGTCCTCGCCCTTCTGATGCCGAAAGGAAAAAGGGGAAGAGAGGATCATTTATTGAGATGGAGAAGGATATGGATACATGGGCTAACCGTCCTCCCACCGATGCTCTGATAAACAATCTGGATGACTTCTTCCCTAACCTTGATCTTGATGCCCCTGTTATAGAGGAAACTGGGGAAGGAGGAATGGCAGCGTCGCCTATTACCCCTGACGACGATGATATAGAGAGAATTGACCAGGCCGACAAGAGGAGCCCAGCATCGCCAACTGCTGGGCCATCCTCAGCCAAAAACCCGGAATCCGATGGAGCGTTTGGACCTGGAAAGTCCTTCCTGGACAATGACAGCGATACTCTGGGCTCTGATGAATCAACACTCAAAGCATTGGAGCGACCTATGTCGATGCATAGCCATAAGAAGTCTAATAGTAAAGGGGACCGACGTTCCATGGGAGGGCTTGGGCGGAAGAACACCATTCGTGACATTGCCAACAAACGGTATACTCGAAACATGCAAAATTACGGAACGAACACGAGCAAGGCAACCGACAAGGATAAGATTATGCGACGCAAGAGTACCAAGATGTTTAACGCCAACATTGTTCAGATCAGGCCCGACGAGATGCCAGCCATACCTATGCCACAAGAGCACGAGCCTATGCCAAAGCGACAAACAACTTTCCGATGGTTCAAGGGTCAGCTTATTGGCAAGGGCACCTATGGGCGAGTGTACTTGGGAATGAATGCGACCACTGGTGAGTTCTTGGCTGTAAAGGAGGTGGAGGTCAACTCTAGGGCGGCCGGTGGCGACAAGGAGAAGATGCGAGAGATGGTTGCAGCCCTTGATCAGGAAATCGACACCATGCAGCATCTGGATCACATGAATATTGTGCAGTACTTGGGTTGCGAGCGAAAGGAGACCAGCATTAGCATCTTCCTCGAGTACATTTCTGGTGGTAGCATCGGATCGTGCCTACGCAAGCATGGGAAATTCGAGGAGTCTCTGGTCTCCTCGCTGACGCGCCAAACTCTGGCTGGATTGGCGTACCTTCACCGAGAAGGCATTCTGCATCGGGATCTCAAGGCAGACAATATTCTGCTTGATCTCGATGGCACCTGCAAGATTAGTGATTTTGGTATCTCCAAGAAGACAGACAACATCTATGGCAACGACAAGACGAATTCCATGCAGGGTTCAGTCTTCTGGATGGCGCCTGAAGTCATTCGTTCGCAGGGTGAGGGCTACAGCGCCAAGGTTGATATTTGGAGTCTGGGATGTGTAGTATTGGAAATGTTTGCTGGCCGCCGGCCCTGGGCAAATGAAGAAGCCGTGGGTGCAATCTACAAAATCGCCAACGGAGAAACACCGCCGATTCCCGAGGAGATTCAGGAGACGATTGGTCCACTGGCAGTCGCATTCATGATGGACTGTTTCCAGGTGTAAGTGCAAGGCAACTTTTCTAGGCTTTGGAGGCAATTGCTAATATATATGCGCAGGAACCCCTCGGAACGGCCTACGGCGGACAAAATGCTCTCTCAGCATCCATTCTGTTTCGCAGACCCTGAATTCAGGTTCGAAGATACTACGCTGTATGCAAAGATCAAGGGTATGGCTAGTTGAGTACCTTGCTAGGAATAGTTGGTGGTATCCTTGGCGTTCCCCCCGCGCCAACCTTTTTGACTTATCTGTCATCTATATTTTCGACGTATGGTCTGCAGCATGGGTATTGGGTGTGAATTGCTTTTTGTTGATTTTAGCTAGCGACGGCGCTATTATGATTGGGATGAGATGTGACCATCAATTAATTGGCAGTTGTTTTATGGTTGGGTTGGTTTCCTCGTTCCGTTTATCCAAGCGTACCTACCGTACCTACAATGAGGAATATTGGTTCTGGGCTTCGTCCGGCTGCTTCGTCCGCTTGCTGAGCTACAGCGGAAATACAAGGCCTAGTGTTGATGTGCTGCCAATCAAGCAGCTGGATGTGACTAGTAATTAACATTGCCGTATGCGCCATGTCACATGTGGAGATTGCAGAGAGAGTCAAGAGTGTGTGTGTGTCCCCAGAGTGAAGGTGGCATATTGGATCCATCCACCTCCCCAATTAATGGAGCCGTGCCACTAATAAGCTTAGGTGCTTGAGTCCCCTAAACTGGAGGGTCGCATCGGGACATCAGGCGACCAGACTAACCTAGAGCTGACCTCCATTGAAAAGCTCCCCAAATTGGACTGCGGGCGTCCGCTACCGACTTGGCATAATGATGGCGTCCATCTCAGGCAAGACCCTGATGCAAAGGCACTTTGCACATCCCCCGGGATGAGATGAGGCCTCGTTCTCCCCTTTTGTATCGTACCGAGCTGGGGCTGCTCGAGACCTACCGCGTTCCCTGACTTGGTTCTGCCTTATTTCCTCGCCTCCCTCGTCTGAACTGGATTTCCCTTCCCCGGCCCCAAGCTCTTTCTCTTGGCACTGCCGTTTTAGTGGCGGCCGGTGTTGCAGTGGGACATATTGCCGGCCTTTGAAACCTGGCGCGCTCCTCCCTCGGAACAGCGTGAGCAAGGCAAGTAGGGAGGGCTTGGTCTGTTCCAGATAGCTCGTATTTGAGTTAATGAATCGATTCTTTACTCCTACACAGGCAATGTTACCAACAGAGGCCCTCGAGACCAAATACCACACCCTCGACGACTTCACGGCCTGCCGCTCGTGAGCAGCAACGCATCCCAAGATGCTCCCCCGTCGCCGGTATCGACTCTTTGTCGTGGGAGCCATCGTCATTTGCTTTTTGCTGTACCGAGTGCTGCAGAACTCATGGGACCAGTCCTACGAGAACTCGGCTTTCGCCCAAAGCAAACCTCACACACCTCAACACATGAATACAGGTGAACAGACTGTCCCTGCGAACCGTCCCCAGCCCCAAGTATCTCTGCCCGACAAATCCAAGACTAGCGACAAGGGCCAAAATGATCGCGATTCTGCGCCCACCAAAGAAGGACAGAGCGATGAGCGGACCGGACTTGATAGTTCGAGCGACTCGAACGACAGCGGAGAGCAAGACGAACATACGGAAGCGCCCTTCTCGCCAAAGAATTCTCTTGATATTCAGACTACAGACGATGATACACCCGAGATGACGTGGAAAAACCCACCCAATAAGGAGAAGAATGTGGCCTTCCTTGGCTCAGAGGTGCACTGGACGAAGCCCAAAGAATACTTCCCTGTCCCTAAGGAGTCCATCATTCCTCTTCCCACCGGCAAGCCCAAGGCCATACCCAAGATACAATACGATTTCGGTGCCGAGTCCAAGGAGAGTCAAGCTACTCGAGAGAAGAGGCTTGGCCGAGTTAAGGCTGAGCTCACCAGAGCTTGGTCTGGTTACAAGAAGTATGCTTGGATGCATGATGAGTTGAGGCCGGTCTCCGGGGAATACAAAGACCCATTCTGTGGCTGGGCGGCCACTCTCGTTGACTCTCTTGATACTCTTTGGATTGCTGGAATGAAGGATGAATTCGATGAAGCGGTCAAAGCTGTTGAGAAAATTGACTTTACGTGGACCAAGCGGCATGACATCCCCGTGTTTGAGACTACCATTCGATATCTTGGTGGTCTCATTGCTGCCTTTGATGTGAGCGGTGGTCGCAAAGGATCCTACACCGTGCTTTTGGATAAGGCAGTCGAATTGGCCGAAATTCTGATGGGCATCTTTGATACCCCCAACCGAATGCCTGTTCTGTACTATGCGTGGAAGCCTGACTTCACCTCACAACCACGCCGCGCTGGTCGTGTTGGCATGGCAGAGCTAGCCACTTTGTCAATGGAGTTTACGCGCCTGGCCCAGTTAACGTCGGAGAACAAATATTACGATGCCGTTGACAGGATCACTAATGCTTTGGTTGATATGCAAGAGGCTGGAACAGCCTTCCCAGGTCTATTCCCCGAAGAACTTGACGCGTCTGGCTGCAACAAGACGGCCACGACAACTTCTAGTTCCCTCAGCAAACTAGCCCGGGATCAAGTAAACAAGGGAGGTAGCTTGGGCGACCCTGAGGGTTATGTTCCGGGTAAGACCCCTTTCGGGGATGACCGGAAGTATGCGAAAATTGAAAATACCAACAGCCCAACACCATCGACCTCGAATGGCCATCTTTCACCCAGGGCGAGCTCAGATACGGATTCGAAATCTTCCCCGCCGGACAAGAACGACCTTGATCGAGCCATTGACCGTGAACGGGCCCTGGCTCCTTTTGCAGCTAATGGGCAAACGTCGAACTGGGACTGTGTTCCTCAGGGTCTGGTACCCGCTGGTTATGGCCAACAAGTGTTCCACATGGGTGGCGGGCAAGACTCGGCATATGAATACTTTCCGAAGCAGTATCTGCTGCTGGGAGGTCTTGAACCCAAGTATCAGAGACTCCACGAGGATACGATTGATTCAGTCGACAAGTATCTGATGTATCGTCCGATGATAAAGAATGATGATGACTGGGACGTTTTGTTTCCAGCCAAGGTGTCGACTTCCGGACAGCCCAGTGAAGATGCCTTCGCCAATTATGAGGTTACCCATCTTACTTGTTTCATTGGAGGAATGTATGGTTTGGGAGGCAAGATCTTTGGACGGGAGAAGGACATTGAGACGGCAAAGAAGCTCACTGACGGCTGTGTGTGGGCGTACCAGTCGATGCCGTCAGGCCTCATGCCAGAAGGCTCAATTGTGGTCCCTTGCCCAACACTTGAAAAGTGCGAATTCAATGAGACTCTTTGGTGGGACCGGTTGGATTTCAGTAGAGAATGGCGTGAGAAAGAAATTGCACGATGGGAGGCTACTGAAGCAGAGCTGAAGAATAAGAAGCCGCAGCAACAGAAACAGAAACAGCATCAAAAGGGCCAACAGCAGAAGCAACAGCAGAAGAAGCTCAATGATGCCAAGGTTCGAGACAGCGAGTCCGACGATGAGCTGAATGTTGGAGCAAGTGATCGGTTACGTGATAAGGGGCACACGATTGAAACAACCGGCTCCTCGGCCAGTGATCTTCACAAGAGGGTACCCCCGCCCATCACCAAGAAGCAACAGAACAAGGGGTCTGAACTCCCAGACTCGTTGAAGAAAAAGTTGGGAATCACCGATGAAGAGTCTCCTAAAGCATCCGCGGATAAGACAAAGAAAAAACCCAGCTCTAGCGGAAAGGTGAAATCTGGGTCGAGTGACTCAGTTGATGATAAGCTAGACGAACTGGATGACTTCGATGATCTCGATGATCTTGATGATCTCGATGAGACCCAACCCAATGTCCCGCATTCCAACGTACCATCCAGGATGGCTGTGAAGTCTCAGAAGCCTCTGACCCATGAAGAGTATGTGAAGAAGAAAATCAGTGACAAGGCACTGCCTCCAGGCTGGGTAGACGTCCAGTGGCCCAATTATATTCTACGGTGAGTTGTTTAATTATCCACGCATTGCATAACCCAATGAATATATGCTAACGTAGTATTATAGGCCCGAAGCTATTGAATCTGTCTGGTACATGTACCGTATCACCGGCGACCCTGAATGGATGGAAAAGGGCTGGCGAATGTTCGAGGCCACGTCCCGAGCAACGCGTACTCAATTTGCCAATAGCGCCATTGACGATGTCACTCGTGAAGAACCGTCACTGCTGGATTCCATGGAGAGTTTCTGGATCGCCGAAACACTAAAGTACTACTTCCTCCTCTTCTCTGAACCAGACGTGATCAGCTTGGATGAGTGGGTGCTCAACACAGAAGCACATCCATTCAAGCGGCCAACATAAAAATATTTAGAAGGAACAGACTATCTTGTGACAGTCCTGGGCTGTTTGGTCTTGAATGAAGAATTGTGAATTGGAAAGCACTCGTCGCATTTGTGAGCGATTGATACCATGGTTTTTGAGGGACACATTGAAGGGCGTTTTGGGGTAAATCACTGTATTTCTTTCTACTTCTTTTTCTGGGAACAACGGCAGTTAGCAAGTGCATGTGGCATTGGGTTCTGGGAACCGCGCGTTTCAAGGGACTCGACTGGGGTCATTCATTCTACATGATCGATCATATCAGCTGGACACAATGGACATATAATAACAGACACTGTTTCTTTCCAAGCAAACACTTGGTTGGTTTCAATTAGACTATGGCGTGCACAAAAACGAAAAAGCATCGGTCTTCTCCTAATGTGCACTTCAAGTTTTATTTGTGCTTCTTATACTATCTATACACATACACTACGCAATATTTCCACATGTCTGACGGAGGCGCAATTAGAGGCTGAGAACCATGTCGGCGTGAATAGTTGTTGCATTCATTGGTTGCTTTGGTCCGTCCAGCCCCGTTGGTTGAACATTCAAATCTTCTCATAGAACATAATCGCCATCATTAAAAAACAAACACCACCAGGTCCGTCTTTCCATATCAAAATATCCATTTCCCGATTTTCCACCTCTATAAGTTGAGAGAAGATAAGAGTGGTCAAGTCCTACTCCAAAAATACAACGTTGCCTTTAAAAAAAAGATTCATGTCCGGGGATCAAAAATAAACAAATTCGGGTTCCGTCAGCCAGGCTCCCTTCATCGAGTTGAGTGCGTGTCGCGGAGTATCGTCTCGTGAAGCTTCGTAGGGTCCGAGGCTTGTTTCCGATAAACACTCACGAGCGTTGAAGGAGCCGGCGAGGAGAGGGTGGTAGTAACTATCGGTAGGGGGAAAGAAAAACAACCGTGTGCCGTTAACTCCGATGCTCAATGCAAACGCGTAAAAAGGACCTTGACCTCCATTCTGCATCATATACTTCATCTTCCCTGGCTCCTTTGTCAAATTTCCGGCTATGCCGTCATTTGGCTCAGGAATTGCATGCTAATAATCATAACAAGCAAACCTATCGTGACAACGATGAGCAGGGCGAAGGAGAACCAGCCCATGACCATGGCACTGGTTCCAACACCACTCTTGACAACGCCGTTTCCGAAATCCTGGGCTATAACCGAGGCGGCGACGGAAGCTGTATGCTGCCACAAAACGGAGACCAGAATAAAGATGGAGGCGACGAAGATAATGGCGAGGGCCACTTGAGAGACAGGTCGGGAGGGGAATGGCTTAACGGCGCGTTCTGAGCCTTCGGAATCCTCCTCCTCATGCCATCCGGGCCACGTAGCGAGCAAGATGAAGCAGATAAAGGCGAAGATAATGGCAATGATACTAGTGGGGGATGGTGGGTTAGCAATCTTGATCGTTATATGTAACTTGAGGACTTGGAAGTGCTTACATCAGGTACGGGAACACGATCATATCCTTGAATTGCGCTGCCAGCCAAATCAGGTTCAGGGGGTCCTGTTCGATTTGAACCTCCTTGGCGAGAGCTGTGGCATTGTTACTGCATAGCCAGGAGCCGCCATCAGGATTGATACAGATGCCGAAGTAACCGACACGGGCTTGAAGATGAGCGCCTCTCGTCAGGCTCTCCAGATATGTATGTACACCATAGTGGACTTGAGCTGTGTCTGGCACGGCTTCATATTCCTTGTAGTACAGGGACAGGAGGAAAATGTCGGGGATGAGCGGTGACGATGAAGAACAACCGGCCAATAATAGTGCTGGAATCCTGGTTAGCAAAAAGCGAAACATGACTTAGAGGCGTGGGCTTCAGGAATTACATAAAAGGATTATTGTGACAGCTATTAGAATCATCAAAACATGATGATAGCCTAGAAATGGCAGATATTCTAAGAGAAGTTGGCTCGTTAGCATATTTGGTGATGTCAAAGGTGAGACATGGGGAAGCAAGGTAACATACGGTACCAAACGTCGTGGATGGTTGTTACACCCTCGTTGGTCTTGGAGCTACTGCTCCCGCTGCTTGTTCTACTACCCATAGCAGCGGTGTTGCGGTGTGTCCCAAGGTCAAGAAGGCGGAATCAGCAGAGAAAACCCACACCGGTCTTCCTCCACTCCGGCCGTGAGAGAGAGACGGTTGGCTCGTCCAAAAGATCACCAGCCCCTGGCCGCGGGCTTGTTGTTTGTCGTCCTAGTCAGGGCTGCTGGGCGTTTTCAAAAATTGTGTTCTCCCCCAAAATCTTGCAGGGCCCAATAACGGCGTCTCGGTGGATCGTGTAATCGTTTCGCTGCGTACAGCTATTCTAGCGGAGGAATGCTGGCTGGAATGAGTGCGCGATACTCGGGCGATGAAGCACTGAGGTGAGCGGACCGAAACGAGCGACGACGACCTGGAATGTGTAGAGTAAGACTTGACCTCGCCGATGGAACGACAGGAGGCTACAACAAAGACAAGGAGTTATTGGTTAGTAAGAGTGGAAAGGATTGGAACACTTATTCAGACTTTGGTATCGATATCAAAGGAGAGAAGGAACGTTCCGCTCTCGGGCAGCGATGGTTTGTTTGCAATTGCAATTGGGATGGCTGGGAAGAAACCGGCGCTTGGGAAAAGAGGTATGGCAGATCATATGCATGCGCCCAACCAGAGCGTTTAGAGGGGATACGAGTGGCACCGGGAAGCGTTGCCCAGCCACTCCTTTTTTATTTACCCAGGCCGCGTTGACTGGGCGACCAGGCGGTGACGTTACCCCGTAGGCACTTGTGGGGCGCCGAGCCCCGTTACGAGCGGTCTAAAGTTGAGATTTCCAGGGGACTGAAGCCCCACAACTGCCAGCAGAGGGGCCTGGACCCATGGGTTTTCCAGGTTGGGCTGCTAGCTGTAGCCGCCTCACAGTGGATGCGTACGCGGTGGCCGTTGGGGAGTGTAGTGTGGTTGCTGGCTGGACTCGGTGCCTGGATTCTCTTTTGGGATGCAGCACCCTTAACCTTAATTGCGTCGCTCTTCATTGACGAATCGATGTGACAATGACTGGCAGCGAGCCGCGTGCGAGAAGTAATTGCAGCCAGAGCTTTCAGCGCGGCCTCCGCGGGTACCTGAGCAGCCGCGCATGCATGCATACCCAAGCTTGCCAAGCTGCTTGCTTGACATGTGGCTCGCTGATGGCCCAGGCTCAGCAGGCATTGAGCATTGCTCTTCCGGTGGCAGGGCTAGGCGATAGGAGCTGTTGTCGTGACAATTTAGCGCTATTCGTAGCTCCTGCCCGTCTTTACGACGTCTTACACCAGCAAGCTCATTTCGAGATATCTTGGCCCTGAAGGATTGGCTCTGCTGGGATAGATTCCGAAACGCCGATTTCCATCTGCGATCTAGAATAGCTTGCCCTCTCCGTAGACGGAAGTTGGTCTCGTTGTCTTGGAGTCCCAGAATTGTGTTAGTCAGCGAGAGCTACCTACTAATACGCCTGAGATACCTGTACTCGTCAAAGAAGATACGTTGAATCGTCAGTGCCACATTGATAATAAACTATACGAGCTGTTCATGTATTCGGTAGATCCAAAGGCTGTCACTGTATCTCGGAGATTTTTAGATTGATTAGTTAATAGACATGTCGTGGGATGCCTTGCTCAGTGCCCAAGAACCTGGTATTGGAGACGCTCGGAGAAGAAAATATCCGGCAGTGAAGCAGCTTCCCCACGTCATACGTTGAACTAAACAGATTGCCCGCAGAGCTATACCTGTGAACCCAGTAGACGGAACAACGCCCATGTGCCGTCCTATCTCTCCAAAAGAATGGCAACATCACCGTTCATTCAAGGGACATCCCTCGACAATAGAGTAGAGGATTATCTTGACGACAAACTTCAATCGACGACCGATCTCGATAGCCTAGACGAACTCCTTGCGAATGTCGAGCTGCAGCGAAACCAGCTACAGACTCAGCTCGACGATGCCGTCAAACAGCTCGAGGAAGCTCGACACACCGCAGAGGGCAGAAAAGCCTCCCTCGCCGCCCGAATAGAAGAATTCCAGGAGCTTCAGGAAAGCATCGACCGGCGTGAAGCTATCGCTGTTGCCTCCGATGCGCCCGACCAAGCGATCGCCCGTCTCCAGGCTCCGATGAAGAAGCTGCGATCTGTAGATTTGGCACAGAAATATCTCCTGCTGGTCCAGGATGTCGAGAAGCTCCGCTCCGAGGCTCGCTCACACTTACCCGAGAGCCCTAAGGCAGCCTTGGAGCCATACAGCAAGCTCAAGCAGATGGCTTCCAGGCTGAAGGAGCTCCAGGGAGAGGAGTCGCTGCACTTGGTGGAATATGTTCATGGCGTAACGGAGGTGCTTTGGACGGAAATGAAGACCATAATGTCTGCTGATTTCGAGACGGTCCTTGAGAAACGGAACTGGCCCAAGGTCGACCCGCAATCGCAAATGGATGATGAGTGGGTGGCATCCTTCGAGAAACTCATAGACCTGCAAATACCCGAGGTCCTTTATAGCACTGAAGTCGTTGGGCTTTTGCCTCTTGATGCTATGGCCAAGATTTTTGCCGCAGAGTTTCGATTCCACTTTCTCAGCGACAGGCCGACCAGCGACCCCCAAGCGATCGGGACCCATTGCTTCCCCTGGTTTCTGATGACAGTTGAGAAATGGGAAGACTTTCTTCGTGATAACCTTGCGCATCTTCTTGTGTCCAAGTTCAGGGACACAGGGGCTGCCACTTCGCTGGTCTATGTTGACCCAGTTTGCGCCTTTATCACCTCCTTGCTGCCAGTGGTTAGAGAGAAAATCCGAGATGTGACCGACAAAGCGGCAGACAAGCCTGCCTTTTTGAGCAGTTTCATCGCTCAGCTCATGACATTTGATGAGGACATCAGATCCAGATTCAGCTACGATGGCGGAGACCCAGACCGTGGCTGGAAGGGGTTGGCAACTGAAGTTTTGGACACACATTTTGAGACCTGGTTCCAGGCCGAGAAGGACTTTACCATGGAACAATTCAACTCAATACTTAGATCTGAAGATGGCAGAAATATCGACTTTGACTATGCAGCCGACGGACGCATGAAACCGACATACGCTGCTGTCCGAATCACCGATCTCCTTAGAAATACGACTAATCAGTACAACCGGCTGAGGAAAACGAAACATAAGATAAGATTCCTCATCCATATCCAACTTGACATTCTGGAGGAGTATGATGGCCGCTTGCGAGGGTCGCTTGAGGCATACCAGGCGATTACCTCAACCCTCGGAAGGACATTGCACGGAGTAACAAAGGAGCAGCTCGCGGCACTTGAAGGTACCGGAGCTTTGGAGACCCTTTGCAAAGTCCTAGGAAGTTCGGACCACATTGTGCACACCTTAAAGGAATGGAGCAACGAGGAGGTGAGTTTTTAAGCTCGATTCATGCATCAAGCCCCCAGCTAACGGAACAAGTTCTTCATCGAGCTTTGGGAACAACTTCAAGCAGGACCCAAATCCAGTGACCAAGGCAATTTAAGTTTCGACGAGGTCAAGGGCCGCACCTCAAGCGCTATGGGTGAGGTTGAACAAGACGGGGCGCTTTTCGATGAGATGATCGCTTCATACTCGATGCGCCGAAGTTCAGCTCAAACCTTGCTTGTGTCGGCACTGGTAGACTCGCACTCAAAATCGTTCCGAGGCTACTCTAGTCGCGCTCAATTTACTACCATCGGTGATGCATCTGACCTCGGTGAGTATCAACAAGCCCACCAATTTCCTAACAGCAGACACTGACAATCACCAAGATGACCCTTGGCAGCTTAGCATCTCTCCTGAGCTTGACGAGCCATTGCGAATCCTTAGTCGCAACTTGGAGTTCCTTGTCAAAGCTCTCTCCACGGCCGTGTTCCGCCGTGTCTGGCGTGAGGCACTGGGCAAGCTCCAGGATCAGCTATGGCATGAGGTCTTGCTCCGGCAATCCTTCACTGCATTTGGCGCTGCCCAGTTCTTCCGTGACACCAACGCCGTATTCACCTTGGTAGATCGATATATTCCAGGCAGCTCGACTGTCATGGGCACTCTGCTAGATGGCGTCCGCTTGCTGAATCTACCCGTCGAACTCAAGGGCGAAGAGAAGGGCTTGACGCTAAAGGAAGCAAGCGACCGAGTATTCACTGATAATGACGAGGCTAGAAAGGTCCTTGCTGACCTACATCTGGACGCATTGACTCCGCAAAACTCTAGGTATATCTTGCAAAAACGGGTTGAAAATAGTGAGAATGTGGAGTGGTAGGGGTCTATATATAAATATATCTATCCATCTATCTATTCAGAAGAACAAGAATCGAGATAGACATGACTGTAAGAATGCGAACAACGCAATTTTCTACTCACTCCAAAAGGGGCATGTAAAAACCATAACTCCAGGATGGGTGGATTTTACCCATAAGATAACCCTCGCAAGCGGTTGAGAGGTGCGACTTTTTTCTATGACAAGCCCTCCTAAAAAAACCAGAACCAGATGTTGAATGACCTCAAGGCCTCCATAAGACCTCAGCGTGAACCCCGTGTTCCCGCTTCCCTCCCTCACACGGAATTTAATTAATCAAACGCATTGTAAACTCAACCGTCGCAAAGGTACAGGCGCTGACCGGCATCGCCCTCAGCAAGGTAGGCCCGATACCCTTCCAGAACCCCCTGATTCCATCGGCCTTCCACGTGGAGGCGAAGCACGAGCGCATGGTCGGGTACTTCTGCTCGGCGCCGAAACCATCGGTCTGCATCTTGCTCTTGACGACGTCGAAGGGGTAGCTGGCGAGCCAGAGGGCCTCTCCCGCCAGACCACCATAAAAGGCGACCTTGTAGGCGGGGATGTCCTTGCGGTCGATTTTGTTGCGGGCGGCGTCCTTGTTCATCATGTACTCGAAGGCGGCGAACCAGGCGCCGTAGGCAAACGCCTCGCGCCAGATAGTGACGACCTCGCCGCGGTAGATGCCGCTCAGGACACCCTTGTGGGCTCCCAGCTTGCGGATGCAGTCCAGGGGACCGTCGTAGAGGCGGGCGGCGCCGTGGGGCTGGCTCTGCAGGCGGATGCGGATGTGCTCGATGGGCCCCGAGAGGACCGAGTTGGCCACGCCGGCGAAGGCGCCCGCGGCAGCGTACTGGCTGTAGGAGAGCGAGCTCGAGCCTCCCTTCTCGGCGTTGCGAGACTCGAGGAAGCGGCGGGCCTGGTGGAAGGCGCCGAACTGGACAGAGACGCAGGCGCCGATGCCGACGAGGGGGGTGAGGGTGCCCTTGTAGAAGGCCAGTGCGCCCTCGTTCCTGTAGATTGATGTGGCAGCGTCCACGGCAGACTTGTACTGGGACGTGGTCTGGAGCCGGACCTTGACGATGTCAAACGGCTGACCTGCGCGGGAGAGACTTGTCAGTTTAGGTCTCGACTGAGAAGAGAAGGCGGCTGATAAAAAATCCGGGTTGAGCAGCGGACAACTCGTCTCGCCTCTCATTCCCGTCTCACGCCTTTTCGCATATTTCACTCACCAACCAGAACCTGGACAATGCCACCCATGGCTCCTGCGAACAAGTCCTTCGCGGTCTGAAGGGCACCGCCCTGCTCTTTCTCAGCTCCCATTGCGGCGACCTGAACACACGCCGATTGGCCGGTCTGTGTATATGCGATTAAGATGCAGGACCTGTAGCGACAGGCAGGCTCAATGGCATCGATTGAACACTCCTACAGCAGCAACGGGAGGTTTGGGCAGGTCTGGCGGCAGCTTGAGGAAACGCACCCGACAAAATAGTATCAATTCGGTCGCTTAGACTTGCCGAGACTGACCCAGCGCCCGCCATCGGTTTTTTTTGCAGGGCCACTAGAACAACTACACACATAGCTACCACCGAACATCTGATGCCCCGAAGTCGGATTGGGAGTGGGGTCTAAGTCATAGCCGCTTTAATCTAAGTAGGCAGAGGGTGATCTCCCATATGTTTGGCGCTTGTATTCTTATCCTTATCTCATAGAGCCCGTTGATGCTCTGTACCGGTACTACCAAGTCTAATTAGTAGCTGAGTACCTTAGACTATAGGGGTTATTGATCTCAGTCAATGATTATTTTATTTTTTTAGTGTATACCTTTTGTGAGCGCAAGGTGTGATGAATATAACGAGCTATCTTTCGGTAACCTTTCAGTGATCAGACTAAGTAGATGCACGAGAAATTGGTGTAGCTAGTTTCATTTCTCATGAAGGCCTTGTTGCAAATCGCCGCCGGTTTGCCAGCCAGACCTAGGTTGACCCACAAACGGGAAAAGTAAATGTTCATTGGTCACCATCGGCAAGATACACTTATGATTGGCTAGAGGGGAGGCTCTTATCAAGCTGTAGCTGGTATTAGAGGGATCTGTATATACCACTCTTGCCAAACAGGGCGGTTATGGTAAGTATTATCTGAACCTCCCACAATACCAGGTAGTGAATGTTTCATTTTTCTTTCTTGATGGGAGCATCGGCAAGCCCAATATGAACACCGCACGGCCATATCGATCGCACAGGTATCCTGCGTGTGCTCGTTGCCGTCAACTCCGGGTTCGATGTGTAGTCGAGGTACAGAGACCGGGCTGCTCACGTTGTCAGCAGCAGGGAGCTTCTTGCTCCCTGGCCAATGCCTTCTATGCACGGCCCAGAGTTGATTTCATCCACCGCTCGGAACTCGCTGACGACCAATCTCTGGACTACCGGACGCGGATATTAGGACCTGTGGTAGCCCGTGATACTCATATGCTGCATCGGTATGTTTCGCACGGAGACAGCGCGCCCTTTGGGGTGCTGATAAAGCCAGCCCAGAACGAAGGGCAATCATATCGGCCAATATACCATGTGCCGCTTCCGCCGCGGATTCCTGGTCCTTCAGGTTGCCAATGCCCGAAAGACCGTGTGCGTCTGCTTCTAGATACGGTTGAGCCGTTCCTAGAAATCTTGATCTCTGGATACTTTGAACATTTGGACCCATGCTACCCTTTGGCAGACGAGGACTGCATAATGACGCGGCTCAAGGACCGCAACAACCTGCCCGAAACCTTTTTACTTCTTCTCGTCTCTTACGCTCTTTTCTACTGGGATCTGATCCCGGGGTTATCGACATATACTCGGCCAAACCAGGACTTTGTCTGTTATATTTCAGTCGCTTCCATAACTGCTACTACAGATGAAGGCGATATGGCCACTGTCAGCGCTTTGTGTCTGGGTGTTTCTGGGAGGCCGTGGAGACGTCTTGTTCACAACGCCGCGGGAGTGGCTCGCGCCGTGGCTGTTGCACACACCATGGGACTGAATCATGACTGCAGCGGATGGAACATCAAGGACCTCGAGAAATGCATGCGTTGGAAGGTCTGGTGGGTTGTTCTCATTCTAGATCAATGGTCCAATTTTGCCCAGGGCACACCTACCTACATATCGAAGGGGCAATATGACGTGCCGCTTCCGACGATGGATATTCTGCTCACGCGGAAGCGAGCGCAGTCCACCAAACACATCCGTGCCGCCGAGGTCTATTTGCAGTTGTGTCGGCTGACAGAGATTCTCGGAGACATATTACCCTTGATCTACCAAATTCACACTCCTACCAATATCCACAACACTGCATCACGGCTGTCTGGCCCCAATGAGGTTCTCGATCAGTGGGTAGATAATCTGCCTCACTGGCTGAATATGAGCGATTTCCACGAGCGGCCGTTTGTTCCAGGTCTTGCGAATCTGCAACTCTCATACTTATCAGTACGCATGCTCCTCCGACGTATCGCGTGGCATGATGCCATTCGTACCCAGAGTGACAAGAGCTGCTTATCGTCGCTGTTATCTCTGTGCCAGACCGTAGCAGAGAACATTGTTAGGTTCGTAAGCTCGTTGCAAAGACGGGACCTGATCGCTTTCTGGCTTCCCTACAATGCTCAGCATTTCACGTCGGCTGTTACACTATTGCTTTGCTGCGCACTACAAACAAATAACAGCAGCACACGCTCTAAATGCATGATGGGTGCGCGAACACTTGTAGACTCTCTGCATAGACATCGCAACGAGAATGATTGGGATCTGTCTGAACTCTGCCTGAGCCAGAGTGAGGCAGTGCTGAAACGCATGGAGGAAGCACTCCCACGGCTGCTACTGAATAATACTTTGACATCGATCGCAGGGTCACCTAACATCCCAGACCACGATATAGAAGTAAGTAGTCGTATAGTTGACGACATGAATAATGGGGGAACGTCAGTAGGATATATCGGCACTGAAGATGAGGAGCCAACTAGCCTCGCAGCACTCTTCCCTGAGCTATTCAGGGATTTGTCCAGTGAAAACTTTGATGTTACGCAGTATGATTCAATGTATTCTATATTTGATAGTTAGATGTATAAGGAAGAGCCTCACATATTTATCCCCTTTTGTTTATCTTCAAGTCCTAGAACTCTTAGCAATATAACCTGCCTGTACTGGGCTGAGCTTAAATGGTAGGTATTTTTATCAAGCGCTGGATGTAGTTCAAGTACCCTGGGGTTATTCCCCTGTTCCAGCCTGTATTCCTTCAATCGTAGGCTGGCTCTTACCTCTTCTGTGTGCATCTTTTGGAAGTATCTAGTTAATATAAAGGCGCTGATCCTGCAGTAGTTGCCAGCGCCTTCTCGAGAATAGCAAGACCCTCTTCAATCTCTTTCTCGGTGGTCGTAATTGGAGGCGCGATTCTCAGGATCCCACCTGCCGAAGGTTGGCCGCTGATATTTGCCCACAGTCCAGATGCATAGGTTTTGTCGGAGATCTCTTGCGCCAACTTGGGGGACAGGGCTTTGGTGTCCCGATCAGCAACAATCTCTACTCCCGCCATCAGGCCGCGACCGCGCACGTCTCCAATGCAACCGTAGCGGGCCTGCAGCTTCTTCAATCCCTCCTGCAAAGACAGTCCCATGCGTCGTGAATTCTCGACCAAGCCGTCACGCAACACAATTTCAAGAACTCTATCACCTACAGCCGCGGGCAGTGGATCGTTTAGGTGCGTCGTGGCAAAGAAGAACCCGTTCTTGTTTGCAACGCTTTCGATCTCTGGAGAAGTCACAACAGCGCTGACTGGGACACCGTTCCCGAGCGTCTTGCTCAACGTTAGGATGTCTGGAACCACGTTCTCGTGCTGAAAGGCAAAGAGATCCCCGGCCCGGCCGATGCCCGTCTGTGCTTCGTCCACAATGAGCAGCATATCTCGCGCTTCGCAATGTTTCTTCAGCGCGGTGAGATATCCCGGCGGCAGAACATGCATGCCCCCTGCTGATTGAATGCATTCCACAATGCAGGCACATAGAGATCCACATGAAGCCATGTCGATCATCTGCCAGCCGTGGTCCATCTCAGTTTCCCAATCATGGCTACCATCGGGCTTCCGGAACACCGATCGATAGGCGTTTGGTGTAGGCAGTTGATGCATACCAGGCATAAGCGGCCCGCAACCTCTGCGGCCGTGTGTGTACTGCGCTCCCTGGGCCTGGGCCGTGACTCCATGCCACGATGCGCCGAGCCCAACAATTTCAAACTTGCCCGTATAGGCTTTTGCCATCCTAATGGCTGCCTCGTTGGACTCCCCCCCGGTGGACAGGAACAGGGACTTTGACAGGGGCCGAGGAAGCACGGAGGCAAGGCGTTTAGCGAGGCTGATCACGGGGGGAGAAACCATCCCACTATATAGGTGGTCTAGGTGTTTGGCACTCTCGTTGATCACGGATACCACTTCTGGGTGCCCGTGACCAAGGAGGCAAGACATTTGCCCAGAGGTCCAGTCGAGAATCTTGTGGTTTTTGGCTGTGTAAATGTACAAGCCGTCGGCACGCGTAATGACTTCGTCAAAATAGGGAAGACCACTGCCAGCCAAGTACTTGCGGGCATCCCGTTCAAGACCTTGTACCTCAGCGTCACTATAGACCCGCGGGTTGTCTCCGTTGATATGCTTGATTGACATTGGAGCTGGATTTGCACGTTTGGAATTATCGTGATGTCGTGAAATTGTAGGGCTGAGTTATTAAACCAACGATGACAAGCATACAGTTCATCAGGCATACCAGCTTGCATTCGATAATAGCAGATAGATATAGCCAAAGCCAGGTCTGTACCCACGACGGCAAAAGTAGATCTTCATTGGTTGTAGGTCTGCAAAGTCGTCTAATGGTTGGATTAGTTGGATTAAATCGCAGATAAATACTATAGCCAAAACCAAGTTAAACCCACAACGGCAAAAGTAGATCTTCATTGGTTCTAGGTCTGCAAAGTTGTTCAATGATTGGGCAAAATGGCAGATAAATATAGCTAAAACCAGGTTTAACCCACAACGGCAAAAGTAGATCTTCATTGGTCACAGGTCTGTAAAGTCCAATGATTAGACAACATGGCAGCGGCCAAATGCGATTGCAATTGGCTAGATGTGAAGCTCTTGTTAAGCTGTAGCCGGGCTCTTATCTACTTACCTACCTATCCACGGTTCCTACGGAGTCCGCCCCGTTCCAGATCTATTTCTTTCTGGCCTCACAATACTCTCTGTATATCTCAACTTGAAGACTAACCCTCATTAACTCACTATGTACAGTTGACTCTAACTCGTTTCTATCCTCAGCAGCATTGCATAAGTCACCAGTGATCACAAACCTGTCGCTATGAGCGAACTCAAGCCACTCCGTCTCTTGGGCGGCTTGTATGTCAACTCTACCCGATTGTGTCCCACAGCTCACTGACTCACTCATGCACAAAAGGGAGCTCTATTCATCGACACGCCACCATATGGGCATCTTCCGTTGTGTTATCATCACAGCACGCTACCAGCCTCCCTCATCTTTAGTCCCTTGTTTTTCCTCCTCCCAGCAAGACGCCTACTTTACCGCGGCCCTAGCCTCCGTGGTAAAAGATCAACCTATGCTACGTGTTGGTCTCTTACACGAGGACAATCCAAAGAAGACGTCCTTCTCACACGTTGAAAATATGACCCTAAGCAACCACTTCGAGTATCGCTCCGTTCATTGCACATCTGAGGACGATTATGAGAGGCAGCTTGCTTCTACCCAGTCCTGGCTACATGACCAGCTGTGGCCAAACCTTGCAGCCTGTCCGCCGTGGAGGATCATCATCCTACGCCCGGTGTCCAGCTCCTTTTCTACCTCTGAATTTGATATTATGTTCGGCTACCATCACTCCCTCTTCGACGGTACTAGCGGGAAGGAGTTTCATCAGTACCTCCTGGCCGCCCTTCAGTCCCAACCCACCAACCCAGACCCTATCTTTACCCTTCACTTTCCCTCACCACCTCAGCTGCCGCTCTCACAAGAGGAGGCCATAGGCTTCAAGAATTCCTACTCTTTCCTCCTTCGTGGCTTCTGGAATCTCGCTGTCCCTTCCTTCTTCAAATCTCGTCAGCAGCGCCTTTGGACCGCCCAGCCGATTCGTCTCCATCACCCGTATAAAACCCGCATCCATGTGGTTGAAATCGACGCCGCCTCTCTCGCTTCTCTCCTTATAGCCTGCCGCGCTCAGTCAAGTTCCCTGACTAGCCTACTACATGCTCTGATCCTCAGCTCACTGTCCCGCCGCATGCCAACCTCGTCCTTTTGCAGCAGCACCCCCATCAGTCTCCGACCCTGGATCTCTGATTCGACGCCCTTTCAGATGCGTAGCCTCACTACGGCGCACGCAACACCCCACCCATTACCCATCGTCTTGGGCCTCGGCCACCCGTCAGCCACCGATGCCCTTATTTGGGAGTCCGCTCGGCGTGTAAAGCAGGACGTACAGTCCCGGCTCGCAAGGATCCCCATCGACGATCCCATGGGTTTCATCCCCCTAATACCAGATCTGATGGCATACTGGCGCGGTAAGGAAGGGCAGCCACGTGACGAGACTTGGGAGGTCAGCAACCTGGGTATTTTGGAGCAGGACACCCCCCACGACGGGTGGGAAATCACGCGTGCCTTGTTTAGCAGTGGCGCTATGGTGACGGGCGCGGCCATGGGCTTCAATGTAATAAGTGTCAGGGGGAAGGGTCTAACTATAGGCGTGACCTGGCAAGATGGTGATATAGATGAGGAGCTTGTAAGGAATGTGGCTCGGGATATTGAGAATTATATAAAAGAGTAGGCGATGAAGAAGAGTTTTTTATTACTTTGTTTTAGATTTGAAAGTTAGGTATTAATTATATTTAATATGGTTCACAAGCGAGCGAATCATCCAAGTGAGCGAACCACTTTCCTTAGCTTATCCTAGGTACGCTTCAATTTGAATTCTTCTTCTTCTATTATAGCGAATGGAGTATATATCAATAGAAGCCAGTTTACCCCTAGCCCTTCAGGCTATCAAGCAAGACCAAAAACTTGTATCTGACAAGCTGCTCAACTCTATAATTGTTACGCCTTATCTAGCCTTAACTGGGTAAAGTTCGTAGTGACGATGGAGGCGTTCTTCCAATAGGTGACCGTATTCTACGGTCGCGTGGGTTGAAGCTGCTTACCACTAAACCTACGCTTTATAAGGCAGATTGTATCATGTACAGAGCTTGCTTCTTATCTAGGTAGGTTGGCTGGATTCTTCCCTTTTAGGGGTGGTCTAAGAATGAGCGGTACAATAATGCTGATTGCACAACCCTACGCACCAGAATGAACGGACGATGCGCTCGATACGATACTCGCGCCAATGCTACAAAATCGACTCTCCCTAAAGAAGAGACTTTACTTGATCTCATCGGAGACCTAGATTCGCTATATATTAATGCGAAAGGAAGGTCTAAAGCTCTATAGAAGGTTTTTCTAAGAGAGGGAAGGAATAATATAATAAAAATAACTATATAGCCTAATACCTAGCTACATAGGTAAGTAAGAGTTTTCAGAATAGGCAACCTAGCTAGTATAAAAAGCGCGAATAGATTATATTACTCTTGAAGTAACTTCCGATGGAAGAGGATGGGAGAGATGATGGAAACCTGAGCATTACTGAGCACGGGTGTTGCGACCCGAAGCAAGAGCGGCGCTGCGAACTAACCCTGGCGGGGCAACTGATCGCCAGAGTTTCGCGTGAAACTATCAAAATACGCACTGCAGCAGTAGTATTACACCATCTGCGAGAAGGCCAAGACACCATTCGGACCCGGCCCGTTCAAAGTTCCCAACCAACGGCGCCCATCACCTACCGCCGATTTCGGACCGCTAACCAACGCGGTCCTTGCCAACGGCCAGTTGCCCCGGCTGCCGCAGTACCTTAATCTATGTACATAGGGCCCAGGTTACAACCTCTCTCATGGGTTCTCATAAGGAGGCCAGAGGTTTTTGCCGTTGGCGTTTCTCGTGATGCTCAGCTTGGAGAAGTCCAGGCCGTCAAAGACCCTGAGGTTCACCGGGTGGTGCTTCTCAAAGAGCCCCTTCATCTTCTGCTCCTGCTCGGGCAGTTTCGCAAACTCGTCGTCGCTGATGGGCCTGTACTCGTTGGTCAGCAGCGTGCCGCACTTGGTGCAGAACGTCTTGGAGAGCATGTTGCGGCCGAAGCTGTATCGCCCGATATCCTGCTCCTGGCTGCTGGCTAGGACCACCTCCTCTGTGAGAGGGTAGATCCAGGTGTAGGCGCCCTGCATGGTCATTGCGCGTCAGCTTCAGGTGGACAGTGAATCGCCCGGCCAGCTCATCTCCGGTGGGCTTACCCGTTCGCAAAAGCTGCAGTTACACTCCATGACTCTCCCAGCGAAGGTCTCGTCGATGGGCTGGCTGGCGACGGCCACCGTCACGGCGCCGCAGTGGCAGCTGCCTGTGTACGTCTTCCCACCCTCGACCTCACCCTTGGGGTGAGCTCCATGATGTTTGGGTGTCTCGTAGGCGTTGCCAAGCGCCCTGCCATCGTATCTTTGGCTTTGTGTTAGCACTCTGTTGCTGCATAAGAGGTGTGAAGGGTCTGCGTACGGCTTCTTCTCCAGGTCCCAGGTATCCAGCCCTTGGAAACTATGAGCCTTTGGAAGCCCGGGTCGTTAGATCCTCATGTCCATCTCACTCTGAGGGATGGAGATCACTTACATTCAACATCGTGTTCATTCCGGGTGGGCCCTCTGGCATTGTAGCCAGCACAGCAATGCCACAGGTTGGGCAGAACTGAGAACATCAGGTAAGTATCAAGCCATACCAAACGGCGCCAAATAGAACTCTACCTTGTGCTGGATCTTCTCAGAAGCAAACCGGTAGGTTGTCAACTGGTCCAGATCGCCCTTGACAACCTCGAAACTGCCCTCCACTGGGTTCACGAGGAGATACCCCTTGCGGTGGCATATACTACAATTGCACTGCATGACATCCTTGATCTCTGGCATCTGTGCCTCGAAAACGAAGGCGCCACAATGGCAGTTGCCACGATATGTTTTGAGGGGGTTGTTGTCGTTGTCAGCCATTTTCACAGTGATGTGCACCAAGTATCAACTTGAAGGTTAAGAAAGAGGGGGATGAAGTCGAGAGTCATATCACGAAGCCTTTGCGCAGGATAGCACTTATGTAGTAACTGACAACCCCTGATCAAGCCGGATAGACGGGCATGACTACATACATCATCTCTCCGCAATTCATTACACTAGGTGGCAGACTATTTCACGAAGCTTTCACGAAATACGGGGAGTAGTGCAGCCCGTTTCAGCCGCATGTAGCGGCGTGCAATTGTCCGTACTGATTCCCTCTGAACGTGCACGGGGATTTTGTAAGCCCGCTTTCGTTCTAGCAACTCAACAAAAAAGAAAAGCTAGTGAAGCAACATCACATCACAAGTGATAGCTGTATTGCCAGAAAGGGAATTGGCCGCATGCTCATCTTGATAAAAACCTGTCAGCTACTGTCTAATTAGCTAATTGGCTTTCTTAAGTCTATATGCCAGCTGTACAATTCTGAAAGTATATCGGCTAAAAGAGTATGCTCAACATTAAAAGTAAGCCTTCTGTTCCTCAACACATCTGGCTGTGTTTTCTCCAATATAGAAACACTCAACCATCGGCCCATGCGCATTGCGTGGGTTTGTTTCGAATACATCCCGGTCAAGCCGGCTCATGGTGATGAATAAATTAATCACCATGAGTCATATGCCCGTCAGTAGAATCTCCTTTTAGTATCGGCGAATACCCTTTTTCCCATCGCTTTCCTTGGTCTGGGCATTGATACTCATTTCAATCGCCTCTTTCAGTTTCCCGGTGATTTCAGGTTGGTGGCTAAACGCCGTTTGCAGGAGGTTCTCCAGCTCGGCTTCTATCTTGGCAATTGGCTTAACTCCGGCCTTTCTGTTCTGCGAGTCAATCATCAGAGTGGCCCACCGATTCGTAAAGGCGTAGATGGACTGTCGAAGTATTTCGTCCAGCTGTTCGCTCATGTCCTCGACAGTCATTGTCTTTGCTGTGACGGTCGGTGTGCCCCGAGACCATAATGCGCCCCCGAGTGACCCTCCAACAATGCTGCCAAGGAGGTTGCCCCAGTTCTGGGGGCTCAGTGTCTCCCAAATGTGGCTGAAATGCTGCAGTGAGGATGCTTGACTCTGGCCTCGAATATCGCCAAATTCTAGCGAAACAAGCTCATTCTTGATAATGAGAAGATTCTTGATCATGAAGATATCGGCATCGGTGCGTTTCAGCGCCCGGATCCTAGCCTCTGCCTTTTGCAAAAATTGTATAGTCTCGCGAACGATTTTGAAAACTACAGAACTATTTTTCGCCTGAAATCATGAAGAATTAATACCCGTATTTGTTCTTAGATGTATATATACCGGGAAGTGAAACTTACAGATCGTTCTTTGGGCATGGCCTGGTCAAACTGCGCAAGAAGGTTGGTTGCGCGTTTCACCAGCGGGTGAGCATGGGAGGTGATGCCATTTTCTTCCGAGGTGCCGATATTGAGCGTGCTATCCTGTATTGTTGCTTTCGAGATAGACTTGGTTATTTCAGCTTCGAATGAGGTCTCGATGAATGGCCAGATTACGTCGATTAAGACACGTGCAGCGTACTCTCTACACTTGCGTAGGAAGGGCGATTCATCGTCCTCGTACTCCGCCACGGAGTATTCGCTTGCCAGCCAGCTTGCAATGTTGCATTTTGTCTGTAAATCGGCAGGCTGCAAGGTGGCTAGAAGAGCTGAACCGAGGGGTGCAAAGTGCCCAGGGTGAATCATGGTTGTGTTGATCCCTTTAATGGCATGGAATGCCGAATCAACTGCATTACTCCAACAAGGCTCCACGCTAAAAATCTTGATGAAAATAGTCTCCTCATTATAAACACGCTCAAATGACTGCTTGATGAAGTTGCGAGAGGCAGTCTCAATAGACAGGTTCTTTGATTCTGTCTTGTACTCTTCCAGATCATGCTGGGTCATGACCTTGAGTTCACGATCCCGGGCCGTCAGATAGGTTTGGAAAATGTTAGTGGCAGAGTTAATGTAGGTCGACACGTCACGAGGTGTATCGACTTTTCGGCCGTACTGATCATAGGCATGGCGAATGACCCTCTGGACATTTGGAACGAGGAAGTATGTGTCCATCACCATCTCCTCAAAACGCCCGTAGGCCAGAGCATGACGTGCCGACTCTGATTGTGTTTCTGCAATCTGACGCCCGATCTCGGACATGATCTTTTCTAACCTGCTTGTGAATCCGTGATCAAGGAGATGCAGCGCCTTTGTTAAGAGCGAGCTATAACGTGCGAGGTACGTATCATGATCTCGATAGTTTTCCTGTATTCACACATTAGCATTCGCATGCATGATTGGGGTTTCGGAGAGCTCACATGGTCTGTCATAAACTCGATGCAGGCATTGATGTCCTCCACAACACCTCCGAAGTCCTCGCCGTCTACGAGGCGGCCCGCCCCCGGAGCATTCAGTCGTCGAGTGGCCGTATCCAGGTAAGTGTAATAACGTAGGTCAGTGCCTACATCCTCAGCTAAGTATTCAAGCCGCTGCTGTTCGGACAGGAGATCCTCGCATTGGGACTGGAAGCTCGATGTCTGTGCTTCAACAGCTTTGAACGAGTTGGAGAGCGTCGTGAGAAGGTCGAGGGTCTTATTTGCGTCGTGAATCAGGCCATCCAGATGAACTTCGGTGAGCATAAGTTGGTCGCCATACAGCCTTGGACGTGTTAGGAGATCCCAGGCCCAACATTCTGAAGGTGAACACATACAGATACTTCTCCTGGCTTGCTTCAAGTAGCTCGGCGCTCCGTCCAGCGTAGGTCGCTCGCTCGCAATTGGTCTTGTTCTCCAATTCGAGAGCTCCTACTGACAGCGTCAAAGCTTCCCATTGTCTATTTTTCCTCCCCGAAGACCTTGTCTCCTTCGTAGTTTCTCTCGTATGCTTTCGGTAGAACTCGGAGGTGGATGCCGCTCGCCGCCTCACTGTGGCCTCTGGCGGGGTGTTGGTGTTTTCGATCTCTTCATAGACATTGTCAATATGCACTGTTGTCTCAGCTACTGAATTGGCTGTCTCCTAGAAGTTTTTAGTTAGAGAGGTCACTAATATGAGGAAGAGCAAGTAAAGGCTGTGGTCCAGCTACACTACACGTACATGTGGTTGCTGGAGCAAGGTGTTCCCCCTCCGTCGGGCCTGGTTGGTGCGAGTTGTTGCGGGGGACACCTCGGGGACGTAGCTATACCATGAATCTTCGTACATTGTAGTCTGAGCTGCAAGGCAGGGAGTTGTGAACTGCCCCAGACCCGATGGCAGATGGTTACAGCATGCGGCCGCTCGACCTCAATTCTGGTCGGGACGTTGGCACTCCGGACACCGATGCTCGATCGCTCGTGGGTCGCTCAGCAGTGGGCCGTGTGCTGGGACAGTGCTTGTACCGCTATACCTGATGGGCTGGTTGGGGAGATACCCCTAGAACAGACCATGGCGTAGCTTTGATGCCCCTGGCGGTCCGTGCACTGGATCCAGCACTACCTGTTGAAGTTGTTGTGGAGCCTCTCTCTATCACCAATCGATAGACTTGCTGTTTACCAACTGAGAAATCGATAAATGGGGGAATTGAATACGTGCACTTCCACTATTTCCTCGTTGTTTCATACCAGAAAAGATGGCTGTCGGTAGAGCCAAGGCGTGCAATTCACTACAGCAGAAATGCAGACCACCTACCTCAGGTTACGTTAACTTCGAATTCCATTATCCTTCTATATCACAGCGATGGGTAACTCGTTGCGAGAAGGATACTGTTTCTATATCAGAGGATTAATAAAAGTTGGCATATTTTCCTCGGGAATATGTCATTCTTCAAGAACGTCTTCTGGGGTTTGAGCTCGAGACGGCTGAGTCAGCGAAACCATCATCAAGTGCTGAAGCTCAACTCGCCTCACCCTAGATTGCTTAATCGAGCCAATGACACATGATTGGCTGGAGAAGCTTTAGCTCCCCGCGAATCCGAATCTTCTCAATCTAGATGACCTCACGATTTGCAATATCTTGATATCTAGGTCGAATAGTTGGAGCGCCTTCAAATTCCGTTCATCATTGCAGCTGCAACTGCAACTGCTTGACACTGCACCATGAACGCCTCAAGGGCATTCCTTCGACGCACGGCCACCCTCAGACCAAGAGCAACACGGTCTCTGCCTGCGCCAGCTCGGCAATGGGTGCGCAATTCTAGCAATTCATCTTCGTCAGCTACAGGGAAGCCTCGTGGCTCAGCTGGCAAGTTTATCGGCTTCGGCGCCGTTTTTGGAGTCGCCGCTGCAGGAGCGTACTACTACCCAACCCTCAAAGAGCTGTTGGCCTCTGGCTCTGAATCCCCACAGTCGGGACCGCTCAAGGCCAACATTGAATTCGAACAGCCTAGGAAAGAGGCTCTGACCAAAGAGGAGTACCGGGAGCTTCTCAGCTCGCAACACCTTCAGATCCAAAGAAGCTGGGAGCATCCAGGTGTCTACGTATGGGGCTCCAACGTTGGCCAGGTTGTTGATCCCAATTCAAATCAGAAGTACATCAAGCTTCCCCAGCGCCTAGAGTTTTTCAACGATCAGATTTTGCGCGACCTGAAGCTTTCGCAGAGCTTCGGGGCTGCATTGACTGAGAAGGGTGATCTGGTGCAATGGGGGTTGGGCTTCTCCAAGACCGACCCCAAGCCCGTCACCACCCTCCAGGGGAAAGATCTCGCCAAGATTGAAATCTCTTCCGATCACATCATTGCACTGAGCCGAAACGGAACCGTCTATTCTGTTCCGTCGTCAAAGGATGATCTGGAAGGGGGGCTAAAACAGGAGCAGCAAAACGGGTCGTGGTCAATATGGGCCTCATCAGGAAAGGGGGGCATCAGCTCCCGGAAGCTGACGCCTTCGGGACTAGGTTACGGAGAGAAGATTGTGGACATCAGCAGTGGCCTCGAGCACTGTTTACTGCTCACCTCGAAGGGTAGAGTGTTTGCTGTCGCCTCTAGCGGTTTGGACTACCCTTCCAAGGGGCAGATGGGAATTCCCGGACTTTCATGGAACACAAGGCCCAGTGGCCCATATGATCAACCCTTGGAGGTCGAGCCTCTTCGTGGCCTTGATATAAAGCAGATCGCGACTGGAGACTACCATTCGGTGGTCCTTGACAAGGCCGGCCGGGTATTTGCATTTGGCGACAACCTCTATGGGCAGCTTGGGTCCGAGCCGCTAGTGTCGGAGCCTTCCGTTGAATATCCATCCGAAATCCCCACGATCACACTATATAAGCGTACTGGATTGATTCCCAAGGTTACATCTATCGCCGCTGGAGGCAATACGACCCTTTTCGCTGTGGAAGCTGAGGCAACCTCGAACGAACAGAGTGGCCAAAATGTAGCACCGTCTCGGAAATATCCCAGTGGAGTCTTCGACTTGTGGGCAGCTGGGCAAGGTGTGTACGGAACTCTGGGCACTGGAAAATGGACTCATATCACACTGGGCCCAAACAAGATCAAGTCTCTATCCTCCCTTTACGAGTTTGACGAGAAGACAAACAAGATGGCACCAATCAAGATCAAGTCCATCAGTGTTGGAACCACACATTGCGCTGCTGTTATGGACAACACCACGGAAACCTACATTTCTTCAGGAGCTTCGCAGAATCAAACGTATACCGGTGCTGACGTCTTGTTTTGGGGAGGCAATGAGCACTACCAACTAGGCACAGGAAAGAGGTCCAACCTAAATTTGCCCGCCTACATTGGCCCTCTCGACCGAGGTGAGGGTGATGCGCAGAAGGGGAGGCAGGGAGAGCATCACAGACTCTGCCTGGCGCCTAAGCAGACGGCTCGCATCGGCGAGCACGGGCAAGGGAGAAAACTGACGCTCGAGCAGAAGGTTGAATGCGGTCAATATGTCACAGGCGTGTACTCTTCTATTTAATCCAATTTCGACCAAAAAGAAGATTGTATTCTTATCACGGCAGGCTAATAGGCCTTTCTTGTAACTTGTACGATGAGCTACTGGTAAAGCAAGCAGGAGGGTAGTGCGGCGTTGGGAAAACTGAGGATCCTAGACACCACAGATCCATGTACAATATGTTTTGCAGGGACGAAATAGCTACCTAATTCCAAGTCAAATATCTGAACGTCCTTGGCATCAATAGGCATGCACATACCCCCAAATCCATGCTACAAAAATATAGATAATACGGGACAGACTCGGATCCTTCTGCCTAATCCAGCAAGGTGAGATCTACGGTGGAATAAAAAAAAATCCAGCAAATTTGGAACGATTAATCGATGCACGTTCCAGGTTCCGGCAACGCAAAAATTTGACCATAATCTCCGTGTCATCAAATGAATGTCCTAGCTAAGAAGGACCTCGCAGGTGCAGCGCTGGAGACAGCTCTTGGTGGTTTTGCATCCGCGTAGTCCAAAAATAGGCAGCTCTATTAGCTAGATCACTTAAGGCATCACTTAGTGACATGTTTCCCGCTCAATGGGAGATCGGGCAATTGGCGTCCCAGTCGTATGGTCAATGATGTCGATATTAATAGATATTAAGAGCGTCCTAAAATTGATTGCCAGGCTGGGTCGGGTAACATTGCTACCCCGGTCTCCCACGCACACGGTTTCTAGAAACCAGCCGGGGAGCTTGACTGTTGGTTGATAGGAGAATGCATGAATCGACGGATGGACAGATTGATTGACATGGTTCACTGAAAACGGGCAGCCGCCGCTACCAAAGCGTTCTGCCCAAGCGAGCCACCGACCGCGAATCATGCCAGCAGCCACGAACCAATCGATGGGCTACGGTGCGACGCTGATCGAGTCTCGTCTGGTCTCGTCTGGCCCTGGAGGATCCCGCCTTCCGGCCCAGTCAGTGCACTAGGCAAAGAGCAGAGGGCAGGCACCTAGAGAAGGGGAGAGCTAGGAAGCGAATCTAGGCGGCTGCTCCCACAAACGCGCCCTCTCCACCAGTTCACAAAGCAGGCTCCCGTGAATAACAGGTATTGATATGACCTGCCCGTATTACCTGGCCGCTCACTCGCGCCTCCGTATCCCGTTACCGAGCACAGAACCGTAGGCACCCATGCTAGCGCCTGCTTGTGCAGCGACCGAATCGAATCGCCGCTGTCTCGATCTGCTTGGCCCAGATTTGCCTCCGCCATGCCCAACACCAGCGGCACTAATAATACCAAAACACCCACTTGGTGCTGACGGCGATACCTAGCCGGGCAAGCTCAACTCTGTGTCCATCCGTCAGGCCAGGCTTTATCTCTGCGCGCGCATGCGTCGGGGACAAACTCTCTCCAGCATATTACCACGTCTTCCCATCCCCCCGCTCTCTCTTCTCCTCTCCACACGAATGCTGGCTTTGCTTCTATTGTCCCACGTTCGCCTCCCTTGTTGACCAGGCTGGGCCAGACCGTCATCACAAACGCCGCCAACGAGCAAGCAACGCTGAGCCTGGCCCCGCTTCTGGAATCTCGCCCTGGCGCCTCACGACCGCCTCATTCTCAGCCTCGGCGAAGCCACTGAGGTGCCCTTTCCGCCCCATTCTCGGCCTTGACGAAGACAGCGACGCATTGTTACCGCACCGGCGCGACTCTCTATACAGGTCTTTGACCTGACACGGAAGCTATGGACAAGATTCCCAAGCTCCGCCGCAAACCTAAGCCGCCGACAATCGAAACCCAGGTCGATCGAACTAGTACGGACACGAACGAGAGTTTCAACAGCACAAGCACCGCTCCTGTCTCTGCCACGGAAGGGAAGCCTAGAAAACAGCCTTTTCCCAAATCACCTTTCCGTAGCTTCAGGCTGCGCACGTCGGGGAAACGAGCCCGTGAAAGCTCCCCAGCCAACTCATCTGCCAGTTCCAGCGTACCTCCGCCCACGGACCGTATACCCCTTGAAGGCGTCAAGGTGCCGCGAAATGCCTTGACCACCCTGGATGTGCCCACAGAGCGAGCTGGGAAGATGAGCGAAGACTCCCATAGTTCCGATCCCGGTCCCGAGAGGCCCTCCTTTTTGGATTTGTCAAGACAAGGTTTGTAACCCTTTCCACGTTATCCCCCATCAGCAGACGCAGAGGCCGAGGTAAATGATGAGTTAAGCTGACCGCCAACCACATCAAGACATTGACAGCAAACTAAATGAACTGAACTGGGATGAGCGGATCAGAGCCATGGCAGGCCAGCGCTCGGATAACTCAGAATGGAAATGGGGAGTGTTTAAGCAACCTGATGTGGAGGAAAAGGGTCTCATGGACCGCTACATCAATATCAAACCCTGGAATCACAATCGTATCAAGCTCAAGGTTCCGGAGGGCCAGTTAGACTACGTGAATGCCTCTAGCATTACTCTGTCTTCGCCGTCGGACTCGTCACGGCCCACATTACGCTATATTGCCATGCAGGGACCAACCGAACCATCAATCCCTTATGTCTGGCGCATGATTGCGGAGCAAGTCGAGAGCCCAATTGTCATTGTCCAGCTTACGACCATGGTTGAGGGTGGAATTCTCAAGTGTAACCAGTACTTTCCCGACACCAATGACGAGGATAGTACATGGACCCTCAACGAAGAAAATGTTTGGGACGATGGCTGGACTGCCAAATTAACCCTGGAATCGACTGAGGAACTTGCCCAGGGCACCATTGAGAAACGCAAGTTCCTTCTTCAAGTCGAGGGCGAAGAGAACCCACGCGTCGTTTGGCATTTTCTCTACCTACGCTGGCCTGACTTTGGAGTTCCTGCAATAGGCGACATCGACAGCTTCTTCGAGCTGATGAAGCTTTCGCGGGAGCACAGCTCACCCAACGGGCCACGCGTCATCCACTGCAGTGCTGGTGTTGGTCGCACGGGAACATTCATTGCATTAGAACATCTAATACGCGAACTCGATGTTGGCGGGCTAGTGAGCTCCTCACCACCAAAACTACAGGAAGCTCCAGGACTGCGACATCGGCAGCAGCAACAGGAGCAAAAGGGCGACCCGATATTTCAAACAGTTGACAGTTTGCGCCAACAACGCCGAGGGATGGTCCAGGGCGAATTTCAGTACCGCTTTCTCTACGAGGTCATGCGCAAATTATGGCAGGATCGATACGGCGCTTTCCCGGACGCAGATGAGGACGAGGACATGACTGATGGCGGCGTTAAGATCAAGTCGAAGACGCCTGGGTCTCAAGATCCCTTCTTTGATCCCGATAAGAACGATGACGAGGGCGATGATGACGATAACGACGACGGCGGTGGTGCCGTAGTCAAACCGAGTGCCAAAACCTTTAGGAGCTAGAGTCTTCGGCGAGCGGGCCGTTTGCGACGTTTGGCTCAAGCGCGTTCGGATATGCTGCGTAGGTGGCGCAAGAGGGTGCGAGATTCATAATGGGAGTGGCTTCTACATATCTTCCGCCTCCCCTTTCTTGAGCTCTATGTCGAGGCCTGTTGGCATAGTTTATTTGTATCAAGCATATTTGTCTCTTTCAGCATTGCATATCACTCATTGGGAGAGGAGCATGGAGGGAAAGCGTTTGACTTATTCATTTACGGCAACGGCATGGGCCACGTGCCTGGGCGGTGTTTTCTTTTTGACTTTTGAGGGGGCAAGGCTAAATGGAATAGACGTTGCAGAATCAGCAACTGTACGATGGTGATGTTACAATCAGCGTTTGGTTTTTTATGGTATCACTAAAAGGGGGATGACAGCAAGACATAGTTCAAACTAGAATAAAACTCCAACACGTTAATTGTTGTTGGGGGGGACATAATGCATTAAGAATGAACAAGCAACACAAAGTTTAGACTGCCATGTCTCCAAACAGACGCTATTATTTTGTGAAGAAACAAATTTTAGGCGTCGCTCCCATTCACTCAATGTGGTTGAGACTACTCCTAATGTCAAACATTTCTCATTCATAAGCTAGTAATTTAATTCGAAGATTTCTTTCTCTCGCTACCTATACCGATAGATCCAAACAGACTAAGAAAATGACAAAAGAGAGCATTTCAACTCGTTGTTCTACCCCTCTAGGGTTTCGAACATTGTCAATGGACATCATCGTTTCCCCTCTCAGGGGATGCTGCTAAGAACGCCCCGATACCTGAACCCATGATATAGATGAAAGGAAAAGACGGAGTGCAAGCGAATAGTTAACCAAGGAAACAAAATTAAGACGAGCGGAGTAGACCAAGAGTGAGGTGGGTTTTGTAGCCAAAACGGGGGAAAATATTAATGCTGCGTTGGGAAACTAACTGAAATACAAATGAACTGTGATATATAATATGTCCCTTTTTTTTCCTACTTGAGATGTCCATGCTGCTTTCCCCTTGTGGAAAAGAGCGCCAAATATTTGCAATTAGGGGGGGTGTGGAGGGAGGCACACCTAACCAGGGAGGATGAGGGTTGCGGTCACCGTCTCGTGGACCTTCTCCGTGACGGTGACGGTGAAGTAGAGGGACACGGTGGGGATGCCGTCGACTGTCTGGGTTGTGCGGAGGTCGGCCTCGTGGACGACGCTCGTGGCGGATGCCGCTGGTGCGGTGGATTGGCTGGCGACTAGGGTTTGGGGCGCCTGCGAGCTGGAGGGGACGGTGGTTGTGTCCTCTATGGGGATGATGTTGGTCCACCTTGAGGTGGTTGAGGATGAGGATGAGGATGAGGAGGGTTCCGCTGGTCGCGAGGTGGTCGGGGGAGGGTTGATTGTCTGGGTGAATGTTGTGTCGCCCGGGGGCTTGCTCGTGGTGGGATTGCCTGGTTGGGCGGTTGGAATTGAGTTCACGGTGGTTGTAACGTGAGGGACGGACGAGGAGGATGAGGAGGAGATGATGTTGGTCACGGAAGGTAAGAGAGTTGTGGGCGCGGAGGAGGGCTGTGACTGCGAGTGGGTGGTCGACCTGGATGATGAAGACGGCTGCTGCTGGACTGTCGAAGTCGAGGTCGCAGATGAGGTCGAAGGCACAGCAGAGGTTGTCGTAGGCTCCGCCGTCCTGGTGATAACGACTGTTGACTTGATGGTAGTCTTCCAGGTAACAGGGTCCTCGCTATTGGTTGCGATCGAAGTAGCTGTTGCAGTACCAGTCGAAGTGCCAGTCGCAGTGCCAGTCGCAGTGCCAGCAGCTCCTCCCAGGATTCTCTCTGCATCCTTATCGTCCCAACATCCAATCTTGATCACATCCGCGTACTCCCATGGAACGGCGTAGCAGCTCATACCAGCTGAGCACTCTGACAGTTGGTAGGTACCGCCAGAGGAACACTGCGCGTAAGCTCCATTGATACATGCGGGCTCGCCGGCAGTGGAACAGGTTGACGAGGGGGTGAGGGTGGTGAACTCCTCGTTCTTCTGCTTCGCGTAGGCCAGGTTCTTGTCATAAGTGCCGCTGGGGACCGCCGAGGTACCTGTCGGGGTTGCGGTGATGAAGCTCTGGGACGCCTGGCTTGTCGTCACGGCAGGGACACTTGTAGGTGCCAAACTCGACGATGTAGAAGACTTGGACGTCACAATTACCGAAGATGATGCAGAAGTTGCCGCGCCCGTGCTGGATGAGAGCGTCTTGTCAGTTGGCTGGGCCAGGCTGGAGCTTGCTCTACTGGTAGGCCCAGTAAGAGCGGAGGAGGGGATAATGGCAGCGGTTGATGATCTGGAAGCTGAGGCTCGCGATGTAGAGCTCTCGACCTGTGCGCTGGAAGGAGTCTGTACAACTGAGGTGGAAGTACCTCCAATGGCACTCTCGGTTCCAGAGGGGAAAGAGATGGTGACAAAGGATGGCTCCGGAGCAGCAGTGTTCCTTGTGGTACTTGAGGAACTCCTTGTCAGGCTAGTCACTGAAGATGCCGAGCTTTGTGGTGCGGATGTGGGAGCGACGCTGGTTGGCACCCCAGGAGCTGACGAGGGTGCGATAATAGTTGTAAAAGATCCTCCCGGGCTGGACGGTCCAACCTTGGTGCTGGAGCTCTCGTACGCAGAAGTAGATGTGTATGCAGGAGAGCTCTGGGGGGGAGCAGAAGAGCTAGCACTAGGTGTTGGCCAGAGTGTCTCTTCGGTAGGCTGGAGACTACTAGAATAGGCTGAGCTGCTTCCAATAGGAGCCTCGCTAGAAGATGACACAGATATCACAGGACCCGGCGAAGAGACGCTTGTCAAGGAACTGGGCGCACCTCCAACCGCGGTGCTCGTGGGAGCCAGTGTTGAAGAGGTGGTAAATACTGATGTCTCCCTAGTAAAAGTGCTAATGTGCGTGGAGGAGCTTGACTCGGTCAGTACACTTGTGGCACTTGGTTCTGATGGGATAGCGCTTGTGGCCGGCAAGGTATTGCTCGGCGCAGAAGTCGTATCAGACTCGATCGCAGTAGTCTGGGCCGGCAGAGATGTATTAATTGTCGAACCGGGCGGGAGCTTAGTCTCCACGGAAGCTGTCGTGGTATCTTCGATCGGATAGATATAACAGAGCTGATCAGGAGGACAGCTGGTGGTTGAGGATGTGGGTATAGCCTGGCTCACATCGCTGCCCGGTGTTGTTACAGCCGTGATGGTGTCTCCATAACGAGCAGCCAGATGAGGTTTGCGCGGTCTGAGAAAGGCCGGTATGCGTTTTTCAATATTGTTTATGCGAGCCTTGGTATCTCGCTCGCTCGATTTCGGTGAGAAAGAAGGTCGGTCTGTCCATTTGAGAGGGCCTGCCTGAACAACAACGGACAGCAACAGAAGGCAAGCCACCATGTAGAGGGGCTTGCTGCATTTTCGCCAACGTGAAGGCATTTTGAGTGAATGAAATATGGAGATGAAGTAAAAATGAGAGATCCAAGAAAAAGAAAGTGAGTAAAGTTGCTAGATTGAAGTCGCAGTTGAGAAAAGATGCCGACTTTAGATTCCCCCAGTGAGGTAAGAGAGAACAATCCGAGTTTGTGTATTAGTTCCCTTGTTCTCAAAGGAACACAGAAACGGAGACAATGGTGTAAAAGCCCCGGAGTCGGACAATGCAATCAGCCCACAGAAATAACAGAACTCTCTAGCACATGCCGTCCTTTCGCCAGCGTGGAGGGACAATGAGCGGAGGTGGTGAATGGTGATCCAGGCTATTATTGTGAAGTTGCTGGAACAGAAGAACGCTGGACAAGAACGAAAGATAGAGAGTGAAGCAAGGAAAAAACGAAATAAGGAAAAAAAGAGGAAAATCAAAGGAAAAAGCGAACGTGTATGGCGCGGCCCTTGTTTTACTATGAGTGAAGACTACCAAGTCAGAGAGGGGAGTCGATCAGTTCATCACAGACGTGCAGGCTGCATCTTTGTATCCCCCCAGGCACGCCATGGCAGCCTCAGCAGGCGCCGAGCTCCAAACAAAGCTGCGAAAGCAGGAAATTACGCGACCCAAAGCCACGGCCAGCAGCCTTTGCCGTTTCGCAACCTGCGAGAACGATCCGCGCGGCTGGATATAATTGGCAGCCGGCGTTTAGCGGTGCGTTGAGGGTCCGGAGCGTCGGGCACTAACAGCCAATCAGTGCGGCGCCCCGCTCTGCTACCCGCTACAGTGGACTGACGCTGGACCGGCGGCCCCTGTAGCTGCCCCAAGCCACCGCCATAATCGTGCCGGTACCTCCACTAATCCTCGCCAGCAGCGGTTTACGGGTACTAAGCACCTCTCGGAACTTGCCCCCGGCGCCTCCTACCGCCTGCAGGTACTGGCCGTCGCAGGCCCTAGCCTAGGTACCTAGCACTATACGCTAGCCACTGCATGTGCCGCAACCTATCACTGCCTGTAAGCAGCCTCATCAGACTGGGCGCGCCATGCAACACGAACTCATCAATCTTGTCGTCTTTTCCTCGCGTCTTTCTTCCGCAGCCTTTCTTTGCTTTTGCTTTCACGCACCTCTCCCTATTTTTATCTCGGCCAAGCTATCCGGCTCAGCGCCGGTGGCTTTTAGCGTAGCCCTGTCCCGTCGCACCCAGTCTCACCAAAGCTGATGATTAACCGCCCGTCAAGATGAAACGGGTCGCAGACCTCCATCCAGAATACGACTTGGCGTTGCCCAATCCAGATCGGACGGCAGCCCAGACTGAGCGTGGTGCATATTGCAACCTGGTTGTGAATAAAGATATATTACTTAAACGCCTGGCCGGCATTACATGCATGGATGCTAGTGTTAGACCTGCATCGGTTCCTTTCCATTCCCTGCCCTTGCCTTGCCTTGCCTTGCCTTGCCTCTACTTTACATTTCCTGTGCAGATCAACACTAAATAATGTACAAACCCGTGATCTATCTAATGCACCTTTATCGTGAGATGCAGAAAGTGTACAGACGCCTCCATTGTAAATGACTGGTCGTTATATGCAATCGCCTCCGCCCCTATGTGTATCGTTTTGAAAAAAGGAAAATAAATTCGGTCAAAAAGCGTACCTATTCACCGGCCGCGGCTCGAGGCCCGGAAACGCCTGCGTCTGGGAAGGCGTTTCTTTCTTTGGTTCCACCAATGTCCCTGGCGGTTGCAGCTACATGTCGAATTCGGCCTCCAGCCCTGGTTGCCGTTGCCTATAGCGTACCCATTCAAGGACGTGAGCAAGCTCCTTCGTACCCTGGCCATCCTGGGTGTCTCGATACCAGCGGACAGCCTCGTCATCAGGCCAGACCCAGCCAGCGTGAGCCTCTTCGATTGTTTGGCGCAGCCGGTCCACTCGCTTAGTCTCGAGCATCGGCTCGGCCAGCAGCCGGAAGACACACAGCACCTGGGTGAAGTCCGCCATGGGTGGGATCTTCTCGCATTCGTCCAGCGCTTTGCAGAGGTCGGGATCTGACCACTCCCGAGCTAGGCGGGTGAGTACGTTCACCATCTCGTCAAACTCGCCAACGAATGCCAGGGTCTGGAGATGCTCGTGAGCGTCCTCTGCTCTTACCGGATCTCTGCGGGCTAAGATCTGATCCAGGGGATCAATGCGATGTATCCGGAGAATCTCGCGGCCCTCGTCTTCTCGATGAACCATGTAGTTGAAGTGCTGTTTCATCCGCTTAACACTCACATTGATAGCATGGAGATCCCTCTGTTCTCTAGCACGCCGATCGCTCCGTACCCCCTCGAGATTCTGAGAAGGTGATGAACCGTAATGGTGAGTTTGTGAATCATACAAGGTAGCCAGTACAGACTGTCGACCAGCCTCCAAGTCAGACATAATACGGCCCAGTTCTCCTGCGACCATTTTGCGCAAAGATTTGCAAAACTGTAAATAAGAAGACAGTGGCAGAAGGGTCCTTGCCTCGACAAAGCCAAGTATCTGATTATACAAAGTGAGCTGTTCGTGGAGAGGCCGCTTTTTCCGCTGATATGGTTCAGTGATAGCTTTCATGATCATGCCCCAGACCCGTGGTGCCCACCCTCTGTTGGCATGGTCCACTTCGAAACGTTTCATAGACAGGAAGATGGCTCTCTCCAGTGCATTTTTGTTCGGATGCTCGCGGCATAGGACGTTTATGTAGGCAGAAAAGAGAGGCATATGAATCTTTCGTAGCTTGATTGGGTCCAGATCATCCCCAATTGAGGTATCAGCCAGAATCGAGTAATCAATTTCACTGTCTCGCAGATAAGAATGCGCCGTCTCAAGGTCCTCTGCGTGCCAGACGAGAATATTCAAGCACCCTTTCCTAGGACGAATGCCTCCCCTGAGCATCCTCTCATACAAAACAGACACAGTCGGCGGTTTTAGCCGAGCTCTGCCAAATTCTGACAGGTTCAACTGCTTAACAGGAAAGTTGACAGCCTTGTCTCCCGGATATAGGTTTGTGCCGGGCCATACATCTGGTTGTAGTAGTTTTGCGAACATTGCCGCATATTCTTTCAGGCCAGGTCTCTGCCATCTCTGTGGGGGGTTCAGGAATCTGCCCCAGGCCTCCTGTGCATCTCGTGTCGCTCTGATGGAGGCAACCCAGGGTGTCATATCATCGGGGAATCTTGAAAGCCGTTGTTGAATGGTCGGGGTTCCATCAGCAGCCCTTCCCTGAAGAATGTTGAGGGACTCTTCAAGCTCGGTGCTGTCAAATCCTGCCTCTTGAGCCAGAGCATTAGCTTGCACGGACCGGCTCCAATTCAGTTCAGGCTCGGTGGTCTCATCCATTCCGTCGCTAGGCGTTAGATAAGGAGGCCAAGACTGGGCATGGAGACTTGAGCTATGGCTCTCAACGTGATTCTTCTGCTGTCCAGCTAACACCATCTGCACGGCGAAAAAGCTACGACGGTTCAGGAGCAGAGGCCTTTCGAGGGTCGCAGACATTGTCAAAAGCTTCCTCTGTGCTTCCCAAATGTGTGGAAATGATCGATAAGCCTTTGTTTGGTGAATTGCCTTGCGTGGGCTCAGTGCGGCCAACGTCTTGTTGAAGACTACGCACTGATCAGAGAACGTTTTCTCTGGATGTTGGTCCCACGAGCGAAGGTTCAGGATATATTGAATGGCAACATCGGCCACATAAAGGCAGAGCCGGGATTCCACCTCCAGGCACCTTTGGATTAGCATGGCCAAGGTTGAGCTGAAAAGGTTCGGGTCCATGTTCAACATGGGATTCTTCGAGCGCAGGGAACCTCGCTCTCTGAGGCCAGGAAGTTCTTCGCCTCGTTGCCAATCTCTTCGTCCATGGTAAGTGTCAGAAACGTATTGAATCAGTTTGTGAAGAACAAAGACGTTGCTTAAATCGGCATTAGGTCGGAGGAGGTACCGAAGGAGAAAGATAGGTTTATGGCCAGTGTATTTGAGAAATCGTTTGCACGACTCGTAATCGGTTCGGCCTTGAATAATATGCACCATTGCGCTAATTTCGTTGCGCCTTAAACCATTACCGCTCAGGATTTCAATGATTTTCCTCCTTTCGTGCCCCTGTGGCAACAGCTTCAGAATGTGACGCTTGTCTTGACGGCTTGTGAGGATGGTGCGGCGGATAGACATCTGAAGTATAATAACTTGCAGCCGAAATGATCTGAGAGATGCCACCCGCTCCCACCACATAGACTGGTCTTTGCCCGGGTGTAAGACTTTGTGCCACAGAATCTCCGGTCCGCGATTGGCCCACGATTTAGATAGTTTGCTCTTGAGCTCTCGACGGCGCTGATGTAATGTTGATTCCAACCAAGTCGATGTCTCGGGGTTCTCAGTATGTATATCGTCATTCAAAAATGGAGATTTCCTCATAATCGTATCCGTACAGTCGTCTTCTGTGTGTTCGGGTTGGGTCGCGCCTCCGACCCTTTCCTCACTGCGGGCACCAACAAACTTCGCGGCGAAGGCATCCCTGCCAGAATCCCCAATCGAGCCCGGGGATTGAGGATTTGCATTCTTATCTAGCATCTCTCCCAGAAAATGGTTTGTCTTTTCTCGAGATTGCTGAAAAATATCCCTAACATTGGAGGGGCTTCCTTCTGGCCTCAAGGCTATAGGCTTTCCTTCGGAGGTCGTGGAGAATGCCAAGGGCCAGGAATCGGGGTTTCTCGTTGTGATCTCCTCTTGGTCGGCGCTGCGCTTCGCGGGCGACGCGGATGCGCTATAGGTGCGTACCTAGACTCAGTTCATTAGAAAGCGGAATTCATCATAGGAGACCCAGACTGTTCCTCTGCGCACTTGATTTTGAAAGGGTCTCGCAAGAGGAAGCAGCAAACGCTGCCTTCGCCCAAGCTTCCATATTGCGGATTGCAGCATGCCTCAACATGACTTCAACACTGCTGGGCAATGGCAACTGATTTAGGGGGTGTCGGAAGATGTTCCTAGCATGGCTAGCAATTGACTTTAATGCGGTAGTTCTAAAAAAATTGAAGTTCGCGATCTAGCGACGAATGTTGATCCCAGATGCAAAAATTGGGGCATTGCACCAATGGGAGGCTTGGAATTGCAACCCCGTAAGTGGCCGCCTCGGTGGATAACCAATAAGCCCAGGAAACACACACATCAAACCTACCATAGACATCCGGATCTTGTTGTAATTTTATATTTCTCTTGTGCTAGATCTCGGCAGCATGATATAGTCCCCCCTTTGAATTTTAATGGGTAGGTTTTTTAAGGCTTCAATTTCAGAAAGCTACCATTAGTCGTTTGGCGTCTTCCCGCCTTTTTCGCCTTCCCCTCCCTCCGCTTTATCCTTGCGCTTCTGTACCACCTCCCAGTTATAAACTCTTGCGATAGCAACCTCCATTGTCTAGCTTAATGTCAGAATGAGTGTTAGAAAGATCGAATAAACCCAAACATACTGTGATCTGTTCCCGAAGGAAATCCAAGTCCTCCTCGCAATTAGTCAAGCTAGTTTGGGCTGTCGTGAGCTTTGAGCCCAGAAGCACCTCGGCTTCATCAATAGGATAAGACAGCATAACGTTGGCCTATTTAATATCAGCATATACATATAGGGCTGGTAACGATCTGCATACACCAAGCCAGATATGTACTTCCTCCGTCGGCGGGATATTGGCTCTTGCGTAAAGAGTATCGTTGAGTTCAAAGGTTGTTTCGATCGGCTCGGTTTCCTCCTTGTTGCTCATCAGTACCATGTCTGGTGCCTATATGCGTTGCGCCCGACTCACCTTTCTGAGCTTCAAAAACCGAACTGTATCAAGAGTCTTCTGAATATCCGGTATCTTCTCTCTCAGTCCGGTCATCCGCCGTTGCAGGTTCACCTCCATGAACTGGTATTTCCTAGATGCGAAGTCCGGTTACCACACTTGTTTCTCCTCTAACTTGTTGGAGTGCTGCTTCGATTCGCATCGCAGAGCTTTGAAGGTCGAGGGTGGCTCACGAAATCATCTCTTGGAAGCTGCGCAAAGTCGGCTCTACATCGTCTCGCGAAGCAACATAGTCCTCGACCTTGTCCACGAAGGGGGCATAGGGAATGCCGCGGGGGTTGCTTGGAGTAGCATCCTTCCCACTGTAATTGTGTTAGCAAGGAAAACTCTCAGGTTAGTATCTCGATACATAGAATTACCTGGCATCGGCCTCCTTTCCTTTGGTTGCCATACTGGAAAGGCGCCTTGAGAAACAAACCTGTGAGGTATCGTTGATGCGGAAGTCACCTCTCACCCACAAACATTTCGTCAGTGGGGTGGTGTTGCTGCTCGGTGAAGATGTAGGTGGGGTTACACCTCACCGAAAAGTGGGCCAACACTTTGTCTGAGGCCAAACAGAACTAGTAGGTCGAGGTAATTCATACAAACAGAGCTATCACAAGCCCAAAGGCTGTCTATTCGAAATAAATCAAACCTCTCGGTTTAGATCCCGGGATCAAATCACAGGTAAATTTCCCCTCGCTCTGTTTCTCATTAGGATGTTGTTTGTGAAGAGCAGCAAGATCTACCGTATATCGAAACCCAAACTTTACACATGCTAGCTTTTTGTCGAAATAGATTCGTAACATTAGGCATGTAATCAGACAATGCAAAAAGTATATTCATAGCTCGTATAACTGTCATGCTTCCTCACTCGTACCACCTTTTCCCATCCCATAACTGAGCACTCTAGCCATCTCGGACTGGTCATCAATCAGCACGCTTTTTCGCGTCGCTTGGGCCCGGAACTTCTGTGTCATTGGTCTTCTTTGATGTATTGCCATCAGCAACATCTTCCTCATCCCAATCGTCCTGCGCGTTTTCGTCCCAATTATCAACCTCTTCCTCCAAGGTCCGAGCTCGCGGGGCTTCGTCAGCGACCCCCGTCTCATGACCCTCGCCAAGTTCTAGGTCCGCTTCGTCTTCCCCAGGGACCGCATTGTATGTTTTACGCTGTCGCCGACGATCTAGCATGCGCTTGTGATACCAGGCGCAAAGTCCTAGACCAGCCAGACTGCCCACGATGTTGGCAACAATATCATACATGTCGAATTCGCGGCCATTCGGGAGGAAGCTCTGAAGAAACTCAGAGCCGATACCCAGGATCAAGGTACAGACGATGAGGGTCATGTGAAGCGTTCGGCGTCGGTTTGTATCCACAATCCAGTAAAATACCACGGTCAAAACAAAGAATGTAGCAACATGCAATACTTTATCATTGACAATGTGGCCGAGTTGCAATGAGGTAAGGCCGGCGTATGCGGCAGCTAGAAGAAGGAGCAGGAAGACACCTGGCGACGAAACGTCAACTGACGGGTCTGCGGAGAGAACAAGTACTGTTGCTTCAAACCTACCTGCAAATGAAAATCGGATCCTCATGGCTGCTATATGATTCGGGGTTGATCTTGGATATGCTGAAGTGTTGGATCGAGTGGCTCCGGGTGCATTACGCAGGCCTAAGCTAGGGAAGCTGAGCAAGTTCGACGATAGCTATGGGTGTACACCAATGCAGCTGTAACGCGGTGGCAGTGTTGCGACACGGTGATGATGTTCGCCGAGTATGTCTAAGAAAATATGTGGCTGGGCCTGGCGATAACGAAGTAATGGGGTGTGAATGCCTGCTGCCTGGCTTGATGGCCCGATATTGGCCAGAAGTGTCCGAACAATCGCAAATCGTTAGCAGCTCATGGCTGGTAACACGAGCGGCTGGCGACAAAAGGTACTTTTCCCATGTACCTAAGCCTAGATTGAGCTATGAAGTCATCGGTCCATCCCAACGGTACGGGATGCTCTTGACAATAATTGATATGCCGCCAATTCCGCATTACAGAGGGTATCACATCGCGAGAATTTCCATTCAATTGGATTTGAAATATTTCCTCTTGCTAGATAGCACCAGCACTCCCAATTTCGGAGGAACGCCAGGCAGACCTTGGTACGTAGCATGGTTTGGCCCAGCAAGGTACTGGGATACGTATACAGATCACATGACACTTCACCTGATCAGCCTCTCTACTCCGCAGTCTTGTGCATCACTAATGCTCAGCTCCGTAGTACCCCATACATGCTACCATAGAATCTCTGTCGCCATCACCCAGTGAGGCTATTGTAGAAAGTTTAGAATAGATGTCGCAGTGTTTTCCTCGCCAGGTATAGTTATTTTGGCCTCCGTATTTTACGGCGCACAAGAATACGATGACACAGTCCTTGCCTGTGGCATTCTAAGCCCCAGGGTCTAATGTACCTACATGGTTAGTGAATCTCTCCCCAAGGCTGTTCTCCCAGACAAGTCCCGCTTCGGGAAAGGTGCAAACTCCCAAATCTCAACCTCACCCCATGGAGACACGGCAAAACCATCGGATTGCGAATCATCAAAGCACAACCATACCCAACTAATTTGTCGCGAAACCGCGTCCTCCATCTCAGTCGATGCCAGTATTTCCTCTCATGCCGTGTTGAGCGTCTCATCTGTCTTTGTTACGGCCCTACGCGAGCGCATTTCGCTGCGCATGGCGACGGTCGCCATCTTGTCGCTTCCATCACCAGGGCCTCAATATGTCGCTTTTCAATGGCCAGTCGACCGGTCCGCCTCCCATATCGCAATACTCAGTCAACAATAAAGGCTTAAATCCTCTGGATGATGGGTCGGCGCGCAACTCCAATATGTCAGTGTTGATGCCTGAGGCATCCATTGATGTTGAGGAAGAGAACCGTCGCGCTCTTTTCGCAGAGTTGTATCATCAAACCGAAGATCGGATCTCTCTGATATTTGGGGATGATGGGGGGTATAACCGCGACGCGATTCGTGCCCTCACACGCGCGTCTGCATCTGGCAGTGCGACCACCCCCGCCGTTCTACCTCCGACCACCGATCACGAGCCGATAAAGGAGCCACCTTTGAAGAAGGCGAAGAGAACCATCGATGAAGATGACTACGACGATGACGATGAGGAGGAGGATGAACAACCCCAACCAACCTCCATAAAATCCCAAAATGCTGCCGCCGCCAGCTCGCTCCTTTCTCCATCGAAATCCGGATCCTCCCCTGTTCAGTCGGTTAATTCGCCAGACAAGCGAATAGACAAGATTAAGGGGCAGGATGGCTTATCCGATCGGGGGAAACCCGCAGACGAAAGTAACAAGTCGCTAGAGGAAACACAAAAGGCGATCGAGGAGGCCGCAAGGAAAACCTTCCACACGATCATATACCCCTTGGAGAATGACCGGGCGGCTATGCTCGAGCAGCAAAGGCTCGAGGACACCGAGAAACAACTTCAAGCAGAAATGGATCATAACGGCCATACATCTGGGGGTCAGCAAGCCAGCAACCAAGGGACTCTGAGTAGCGCCAATCTAGGCGCTTCTAGTTTGACTTTGAAGCATCTCATCGCGAGGATTGATGCCAAAAGAGATCAGGTCGCAGCTTCTGATGCTGAACTTAGGCTTTTAATGAATGAGGTCAGGAAAAATCGGAGCAAGTGGGCGAGTGAAGAAAACGTCAATCAGGAGGAGCTGTACGAGGCTCTAGAAAAGGTCTTGACAGAGTTAAAAGCTCATACCGAGTACTCAACCCCCTTCCTCACCAAAGTCAGCAAAAGAGAAGCGCCGAACTACAGCGATTGTATGCTCTTACCCTCCTTGCGGTTACCTTTGCATGCTAACTCTTGTCGCAGTTGTCAAAAATCCTATGGACATGGGCACGATGACGAAAAAGCTCAAGTCGCTGACTTACAAATCTAAAGCCGAATTTGTGACTGACCTCAACTTGATATGGGATAACTGTCTCAAGTACAACCGAGATATGAACAGCCCACTACGGAGGATGGCCAATGGCATGAGAAAGGAGGCTGATAAACTCATTCCCTTGATTCCTGATCTCGTCGTACGGTCCCGTGCAGAGGTAGAAGCCGAGGAACGCCGCAAACACAACGGTGGCGAGGATGACGCTGGTGACGATTCAGACGATGAGCCGATAATGTCATCGCGTGGCCGGAAGACGGGCACCAAAGGCGCCAATAAGTCTCGGAAAGCTCCCAACGACAAGAAAGAAGACACCCCGGCAATCGATCAAAAGCCAATCCTTCAAGTCAATGGGATTCTAGGGAAACATGGCCGGGAAGATTCTGAAGCCTTTGACGGTAGCAACGGATTCTCGACACCAGTTGGCCGGTCAAATACTCCAGGGATGCCTAACGGTGTCTCGAATATGGGGAGTAATGCTGACGCCATAGATGTTGACGGCTCAACGCTCAGTGGGATGGCCTTGAACCAGGCTTTCGGCGAGGCGGCTGAACAAGCATTCGAAAGTGAGGAGTATAAAATATGGAAGCAAACCACGAAAAAAGATCGCGCCCTGGTAGCCAAAGAAAGGAACCTCCTATTCAAAGAGAACAAGCTGAATGCCGAGGCCTCGGCAGCTCTTCGCACAAAGGCCGCCATGCGACGTTTCTTAAAACATCAAGTAGAAGCGGAATCCCAAGCCACGGGGGCAGATTTGGATTCGGATGCCCATGCTGCTCCAGTTCAAGATTCGGCAAACAAACCTTCCGAGACTCTGGCGGAAGGTATTGCTGAGGAGGTGGAGAGAGTCCTTCCAGATTACTACGACACTCTAAGCAATATCCCCGATATCGAGCCGAAATTCCGCTGGATTGAGGATGGAGAGGGTCATGTAATCAATCAACATGAAGATTTTCTTCATACCGTGACGCCGGGTTCATTTGTGGCCCCGCATAGTCGCCTGGCAAAGAAGATCGACAACAATATCCACCAAATTCAGGAGACAAGGAAGCTTTCTAGCAAGATTTCGGTCATCAAACAGATGCAGGTGCAGACGCAGGTAAGAAACAATCTGGACGACAGACACATCCAATGCTGACGCGACATAGGTGTATGCAAACCAATTCCCGAAATCCAACCATGAGCCCTTCATCGAGCAGGATATTGAACCGCACTTCATTTCTGATAATGGCCCGGTGATGGCATCAGATACTTGCCAGATCGCCCTGAAGCGGTCTATCACCAAAATTCTTTACCACGCTGGATTTGAAGAGACGCAGCCTTCAGCCGTCGATGCTTTCACTAGTATCGCCGCCGACTACTTTCAGAAACTCGTCAAGACCTTCAACGTCTATCAAAATGTAGAAAAGAAGGCAGTACAGACACCTTCAGGCGTCCAGATTCAATCAAGATTCACGCCTGAAGAAATAATGCTGCATACTCTAGATGAGAACGGTTTTGATGTCGTCACTCTAGACACTTACATCAAGGACGAGCTCGACCGTCATAGCAGCAAGCTCGGGGCACTTCACGATAGGATGAAGGTCCATCTCACTGACCTTCTGCGCCCAGCGCTTGCAGGAGAAACCGGTAACGACGGTGTCGGGGCATTTAAGGATGGGGCCGACACATTCGTTAGTGGCGATTTTGCGGACGATCTTGGTGAAGACTTCTTTGGTTTCAAAGCGCTTGGATTGGATCAGGAACTGGGCGGAGCCCTGGGTGTTCCATTCCACCTCCTCCAATCCAGGGTACGGAATCAATATCAAATGCAGACGCAGACCTCTGGTTCCACGACTGCCGATCTCTTTTCTGCCCTCGATCCCCTTGAGGCTGTCACCCGAGAGAACATTCAAGACCAGATTGGACTGGTCAAGAACTTCTTCTTGGCCAAGCTACACGCTAACGGCGATCAGCCCCTGGTCGAAGACGAAGACTTGCCAGTCAAGCAGAGGAAACCACGCCCACGACTTGGCGCGAGTGGTAAAATCGTGTCGGCCCAAAAGAGGCCACCCAAAGAGCAGCTGGCTCTCGCCAAGAAGAAGAAGAAGATGGAAGCCGCTGCCGCAGAAGCCAAATTAAATGCGGCTGCTCTTGAAAAGGCCGGCTCGGTCAACAATACTCCATCTAAGAAAAAATCACTGAGCATGCCGAACGGAGCAGCTCCCAACCCTGCTGTCCTTGCACTAGCCCCCGCCATGGAGCGTGCGGACAGCACCCAGAGCCAGGGCGGCACCAGCCAGACCGACAAGGAAGAGGGCATGGGCATGATGAGCCCAGAAAGCATCGCCCCTTGATCGGATAGCAGTTGATGCCTACCATTCACGATCGTTAAGGGGCCTCTACAATTGGCTCAGCTCCCTACCATGGAACATGTATCCGGCTCGGCACCTAGACAACCCACACATGGTAAAGGGTGAAGAGCCAGTTTGATAATTTCCTTAATCACTGTATTTTGCAGAACGCCTTGTTTCTGCTCGTTTTTCCCTACCATACCCTCGGTATCCTAACCGTTTTATGGAACTCGAATATTTCTTATCATTTTTTGCATCGCTTCAGAGCCTATTGTATCAACTTTCCACAGCAGGCGTCAAGGAGAAAATCTGGCGGAGGCCTCACCCACGAAATCACACGACTTGAAGAAGAAAAAAAGACAAAAAAAAAGACCACCTCTACTACCGGGGCCACCTACGAGCTCTCCTCACGCATTGTAACACTTTAAATACTCATTCTACCTGGCTCTCCCGTCCCCCTCCCTCGACGCCGGGGAGCCCTCGAGCCGCTGGTGCCGGCGCATTAAACCTTCAATTAGTCTGACATAACAACGAAAAAAGGCGATTGGCCAACAAGACGGGAGCAATCTTATTTAGAAAATTACATTGGACTGGCAGCATGGTGTCGTTTGAGAATTGGTTTTTTGCTTGTTTTAAATTAGTTTCGATCTGGAAGCAACTGCAGGGGGGGGGATGACACTGTATGGCAATTAGAATCTTTTGTCTCGGGGCTTGTTCTCATTCAATTTGACCAGAGACTGGGGGGGGAAGGAGATGAATATGTTTGTGGAGTGGTGTCCACCCGAGCAGAAACTGCTTGGGTATTTGTTTCATGGATGCTTTGTTTTTGTTCTATTTTACAAGCCGGGTGCAAGGAAGGAAGCACTCCGGTTGCGGGGGAGTCATGGCTGGTCGGGTTGAGGATATCAAAGAGATAGCTACGATAAGTTGGCTACTTTTAAAACATGTCGATTGGAAAGAGCAGATATCACGCAGGCCTGATCGCGAATGTATTCAATGTTTGAACATCAAAGTTACAATAGGATGCTGACCATGGTTGGTCTACAACCTTGGCAAAGGCCACAACAGACCTGCGATGCTGAATGCGGTAGGATGAAGCAGGCCAGTTTTATAGACGCTTTATGTTCATAGTCTGATAGTATTTATTGTCTCATATTTGAATCGTGTTAAGACGATCTAGTTCGCAGAAAGAGCTCCATCCAGAGAATTGTCTTCCTGTATTTAAAACCCTTCTTTCATTCCATCCATTGCCCAACTCCCTCCAAATCACAAAAAAGAAAATCGTGCGCCCAGTAAAATGCATGCTTTTGTTGAACATTTGCCATCATCCATTCATGTTAAAGTGTAGCGTCCAGCTCCAAACTAGACTCCCCCTTTTTTTGATGAAAAAAATTGGGTTGTCTTTCACTATCTATCTGGGAGATAGTAGTTTCTGATCCGTTTCAGTGGTATCTTCAAAATTCACCACGTAACTCGGTACTCGCGTGCGAGTAGATATAGTACAGACATTTAGATGCCAGCATCCAGACGCCAGCCCTCAACAGGGAGAGGGAAAGAGCTGGTGTACTCGGAGATCTCCTTGCGGAGCTCGTTGATGCGGGCAATCTCACCGGTGGCAACCTTGGCCTTGAAGTCCTTGAGCTTGTTGGCCTCCTTGGGAAGGCCAGCCTGGACCTCCTTGCAGATCTTGACAGCTTCGTCAATGTAAACAGCGACACGCTCGAAATCCTTCTCGCCGAAACCACGGCTGGACATGGCAGGGGTACCGATACGGATACCGCAAGGGGTCAGGGCGCTCTTGTCACCAGGGATAGCGTTCTTGTTGCAAGCAATGTTGATCTGCTCAAGGACAGCCTCAACACGAGCACCGTCAAGAGAGTGCTGGCGGAGGTCAAGCAGAACCATGTGGCTGTCAGTGCCATCGGCAACAAGCTTGTGGCCGAGCTCCTTGAACTTGTTCTCAAGGGTCTTGGCGTTGGAGACGACCTTCTCCTGGTAAGCCTTGAACTCGGGGGTCTGGGCCTGCTTAAGAGCAACTGCGAGAGCAGTGATGGTGTGGTTGTGAGGACCACCCTGGTGGCCAGGGAAGACAGAGAAGTTAATGGGGCCCTCGAGATCGTAAAGGGTCTCCTTTCCGGTCTTGGCATCAACGGAGCGGACACCCTTGCGGAAGAAGATCATGGCACCACGGGGGCCACGGAGAGACTTGTGGGTGGTGGTGGTGACAATATCGGCGTGGAGGAAAGGAGAGGGGATAACCTCGGCGGCAATGAGACCGGAGATGTGAGCCATGTCGACGACGAGGTAGGCACCGACGGTATCAGCGATCTTACGCATGCGAGCGTAGTCAATGAGGCGGCAGTAGGCAGAGGTACCAGCAACGAGGACCTTGGGGCGGTAGAGCTGGACGTTCTTCTCGAGGGTGTCGTAGTCGATGATGCCAGTCTCGAGGTCGACGCGGTAGGGCATAGTCTCGAAGTAGGTAGAGACGGCGGAGATCCTGAGATTAGGTTAGTTTGAGTCATCCAGATGGCGAGGGATATCAGTTGAATAAGGGTCACGTACTTGCGGGAAGGAGTCTGGTAGCCGTGGCTCAAGTGACCACCGTGGGGAAGGTCAAGACCCATGAGGCGACCGTGAGGAGGCATGATGGCCTGATAGACCTGGAGGTTGGCAGGGCTGCCACTGAGGCACTGGACGTTGACACCCCACTTCTCGGGGTCGGCGTGGAAGGTAGCAAGAGCACGGCGCTGGCACAGGAGCTCGATCTGGTCGATGTGCTGGTTGCCTCCATAGTAACGAGCACCGGGGTAACCCTCAGAGTACTTGTTGGACATGGGAGAACCAAGGGCATCGAAGACAGCACGAGAGGTGATGTTCTCGGAGGCGATGAGAACAATAGACTCACGCTGGCGCTGGATCTCTGCCTTCTGTAGAAGTTGTTAGGAAATCACATTGCACAGCAAGATCGGATCGCCAGGTTGGTGTTGAGTCATACCATGATATCAGCGACCTCAGGGTCGGAGTCGAGAAGGCTCTTCTCGAGCAGCTGGAACAATTGGTTAGCTGGGACGGGTTTCCAAGTGCATGGCAGCAGAATGGCAACATACCTCCTTGTGGGAAGCCGACAAGGCATACTCGGGGTTGATGGGAGACATGATGATGGATTGACTGCAATTGGGAGTCGGGAGAGAAGTAAGGAAGGGCAGAGGCAGATGAGGCGATGGAGGGAAGGTCGAAGCGAAGGAGGGAAAATCGAGGAGGAGGAGGGAAGATAAAATAATGGGAGAGACGGGAAAGCACGGCGAGGGTGGATTGGACGACGAAAAAAATTTCAGCACCAAGGCCAAGTACCTGCGCCCGTCGAGTTTGCGGACAGTCTACCTACAACCTGTTTTAGCTTCAACCTTGTTCGCATCCATTATCTTTCACTGCGAAGTCGCTGGCTGGTGGCGGGGTTCCTGCTGGTGCGGGGCAGAGGCACCACCCGCTAGCTGAAGCGACCAGGGACCAGCCCCAAGCACCAAGCAGGTCAATTGATGAGAGCCAACTCGCCGAACACCGATCGATCCCGTCTTGCATGCCGTGCCGACATTAGGCAAATCCGGGGTTCTAGTGATTAGTTGCCTTCCGAGTCCGACATTGCTGCCATCGCCAGCTCGATCGCCAGTTGCTGCGAGTCGTGGCGAGCGAACCTGTCTGGACGGCGCCCTATAACGGAGCTAGCCCATTAATTGCATTATGTAAGGGTCCTAGTAACCGGCGCTATACAGAGAAATTGATTGGCTGTGCTATATGCTCTATGGAGTCATCGACTATCTGCTGCACCCGATGTCAGGACCTCCCTAGTCACACAGTTGAATGCGATCCCGACCAGGAGGAGGCTCGCCCGCATCTAGTTCTTGGTTATGTTGCACCTCTTGAGACATTCCTCCACCATCATGAGCGCGCCGCTGGGCAGAGCCTGCCTCACAGAGTCGATATCCTTACCTTCAAAGATGGTACCAAAGCTCGTCTGAACAAGCCCATCCGTCAGGGTGAACGCCTTGGGCAGGACCATGATGGTGCCGGGGTCGTCAGACGTGAACGAGGCGACGGCGCTCGCATTCTGGCACTGCATGTTGACCTGGGTGTGCAAGGTCCCCTGGGGGAAAATCGTCATCTGACCAGCTGTGAGCTCGGTCTTGATGATCCTGTCAGCGCCGTTGGCAACGACGCCGGCTTCCGGGACCATCTCGGAGTAGATCTTGCCGGAGGTGACGACGAACAGCTCGTTGGCTCGGAGGTGCTGATGGAGGGCAACCATGCCGCAAGCTATTGAGGGAGGGTTAGGTTAGCCGCCGCGGGGTATTGCATCAGGACGGAGCATGCTGTACGCTCGTCCTATCCATCAAGTAACTCACCTGGGAGCGAGGCATATGCCATGGCACCACCTACGGTAGACAGAGCGGGAAAGTTCTTGCGATAGGCCAGCGGCCCGGTCTTGAAATCGAACACAAAGTCCTCATCCTTGAGGAGGTTGAACTTGTCCACGGTACTAGTCAAGAAGCCTGCATTAGATTGGCTCTTTCGGCCAAAAGGATTGGATCCGCGGATCGGGACGGGACGGTACATACGAATCAGCGATGGTCAGTTGAGTTGTCAAGCTGGATCCGGAGTCATCTCGCTCAGCTACGGACTGAGACGGTGCAGCCACCACGGACGAGGTGAGTGCAAGGACGGCAGTAGCGGCAGCTGCGAAGGACGATTTAGGTGCCATCTTGAAATTTGGTCGCTTGAGCAGATTGACGGTAACTGGAAGCGAAGAGAGAGAATTTCGATCAATTTTTCTGTATTGCTGATGCTGATGAGCCTGATGTAGAGCTGATTACAGACGGACCTGCCTTGCCCTTTATACGCCATATTTTTCCTGACCTGCCGCCAAGATTCATGGACAACAAAACGCAGCCTGATCCAAGGCTCGGTAATGACCGAAATTCACGTTTCATTGCCAGCAACAGGGTCAGTGCCGAGCAACTCCGCCTCTTTGATCCGTCCAGCATGAAGCTGTCATGAGTATTGTGGACCCCGCCTGTGCCCAAACAGTTACCCCAAAGGCGTATAGACAGACGTATAGCGTATTCCCCATGCAGGACATGCAGCACATGTCAGAATACGCTCTAAAAGTCGGGGCGCCCCTTACACCCGTTGCAATTTAATGACCAAACGAGGCTTGGCCTTGACTTCGAATGGGCTTCCCTACTTTGAACAGATTGCAGGCTCAGAGGATCGCGGTTGGTAGCAGGAGAAGAGCCGCTGCGTGAGATGATGCTTGGCAAATCCAACCCTGCCCAAGAAATGATCGATCAATCAGACTCTCGGGGTAGCGGGGAGATGCTTTGATCGAGGCCAATACAGATTGCCCTGGGGCTTGAGCACACCGTATCAAGTCGCTGGATTAGCTCAAGGCATGCCAATACGGTGGCGAGCCAACATGATATCCTCAAGGGCCGTCTTATACGGGACCTAATCTTCTAATTTGAACCTTAAGCTTTTACCCCGCCAAGCCTTATTCTCTTTCTTTCAGTGCAATATGATGACTTGAACATTCCAAACAACAACGAAAAGAAACCCCTGTAACCCTCCAAGGCTCTCAGAATGGATCCATCACGAGGCTCCATGTCTTCAGCAGCAGCTACATCAGCCAATAATCCTGCCACTGTGCCTCGGATCAGATACCAAACAGCCGAACTCCTTGTCCAGGAGATTTACAGGACGCAAAGGAAGCAAGGCGATATCCTCTATGTCGAAGGTAATGAATACCTGATATATTCGCTTGGACCACTCTTTAGCTAAACCAAGTTGCATCAATCTTCAGATGTATCTCTACAGGTCTTTTCTATCATAGAGAAGTTTAGGGAAGACCACAACCGAAAATATCGGTTTAGGCGGTTTTATCCAGAACATCGTCTACTTGTTATGGCACTCCTAACTAGGTGTCACGAAGCATTGAGCAGCACCTTAGTCAACTGCATCCACAAAAGGATTCGCGAAATGGGGTTAGAGAATCACTGGAACCCAACCCGTGGCGCAACGTATTGGCAAGAAGCAGACGGCAGCGTGGGACTTGGAGAAGGTGACTCGAGCGGGCACCCGATCCAGCCAGGGGTAAGGAGCTGGAGGGGATGGCCTACGCTTGTCGTTGAAGCAGGGTGTTCACAATCTCTAGAGCATCTACGGGATGACATGGGGTGGTGGTTCAAGGAATCAAATCACCAGGTCAAAGTCGTCCTTTTAATCAAGTTTCATCCCGGTCCACTGGAAGAAATAACCATTGAACAATGGCGAGAGCGGCCTATTGGTTCTTCTGGTGTGCAGCTTGAGCTAGCCTGCCAACAAGTTGTCAACATCGCGAGGAACTCAGCTACGGCACATAGAACGCTTCCCTTGTCGTACACCGTCACTGGAGGTGCGCTAGAGCTGAGATTTCCCGATCTCTTTCTTCGTGATCCAGGCGAAGGGGAGGGAGACATAGTTGTTGAGGCTGAGGGATTGCAATGGCTTGCTGCCACGGTCGGGCACTCCATGTTCTAAAGGAAAGGCACCAGTGTAGAAGCTGCTTGGCCGCTGCAGGGTATCTGCCAATACTAGGAGTATTCTCGCCAATGCCCACTGCGCGATCAACCCTGTAGCAGCTCCCTATTAATAACTAACGTCTAGCAGCTGGAGCTTGATAGGTGGGCTATGACCAGTCTAAAACATGAATCAATTAGCACAACAATCAACCAGATATGAAGATAATACCCAAAGCAATAGATTTGATGTCATAACATTATCGCCAATCCAAGCATGCTGCATCTGTGACTTACATGATGGCGTTTGAGGAGCCACGTTTTGCATCACCCACCAGTTCGGGTCAGGACACCAAACAACGGCCCCACAGCAACTTGCTTGGTAATGGCCTAGTTATGTCAGGACAGCATCTGGTCAGAGAGCCACGACCAAGCCATAGTGTAAGTTAGTAGTCTAAGGAGGCGCACACCATGGGCTGGCCGTACGAGTTCGTCGACCTCACATCCGAGGAGAAGCTCCTCCGCCGCCAGGCCAACGACCGCTATGCCGCAATCGCCCACTTCTCGGCCCTGGCGCCCGCCGTCCTCTGCCTGCTCTTCCGGCTGGGCCTCGCTGCCGTGAAGCGCGTGCTCGCCGGCCGCGAACAGCGTTACCAGGAAGTTCCGGGCTCTCCAGTCGCCAAGGCTCGTCGCTCGGGCTTTCTGCACAGCTATGAGGCGCGATGGAGGAAGCTCACCTGGTGGATGGGCGACGATGTCGTCTTCCTCAACGACAATTGGGGCCAGAGGGATGAATGGGTCCTGGGTATTGCCTGGACCATCTGGTTACTGTTGCTGTCCGTCCTCGGCACTGGAAAGGGTGGGTGAAATCTTCCAATTGATGTGCCGTTTTCGAATTTCTGTCGTTAACCTGTTGATACACAGACTACCTGCATCTTACCAAGCGCTTCGGAGCCATTGCCGTCTCACAGATGCCCATCCAGTATCTGCTAGCCAACAAGGCTCTGAATCCATTCGCGTGGGTTTTCAAGTCATCCCATGAGCAGGTCAACCGCTACCACCGAGTCCTGGGCCGCATCATCTACTCGCTGCTCGTGCTCCACCTCATCTTCTACAACGTTTTCTTCATCGCCTCCAGCATCTGGCTCAAGCGCTTCTTCGCCCCAATCGTCTTCGCCGGCGTGGTCGCCTTCACCGGCCTCCACACCCTCAACGGAACCGCCATGAGAGAGGTCAGGAGGTGGTCGTACCGCGTCTTCTTCATCACCCATCTTGCCGCCGCACTCTCCGTCCCGCCTCTCATCTTCTTCCATGCCGAGTCAGCCCGGCTCTACGTGATCGGAGCTCTCCTCGTCTTCACGCTCGACATCGGCGTCCGCAAGATCCTGGTCGTGACAGCCCCCTCGACACTAGAGAGAGTCCCCGGGACGGACATCATAAAGATTGAAGCCGCACTCCCCGCCAGCAAAGTCTCATCCTTCGCCGCTCGCCCCGGTTCACACATCTACCTCAGCATCCCGCCCTCGAGCCGACCATCCCAGAACATGCTCTCGCCTTCAGGTCTCATCTACGAGTTCCTCTTCAACCCCTTCTCCGTGGCGGCCGTCAATGAGAAGACCAATACCGTCACCCTCGTCGCCAGGGCTCGGTCCGGACCCATGACCGCTCGTCTCTCCTCCCTCGCCAGCGGCACATCTTCCTCGTCATCATCATCAGATCCCGTCCCCCGAGTATCCTTGAACATCGACGGTCCGTATGGAGCTACCGGCAAAACCGCACAAGACCTCCTTTCCCTCAAGGTCGACCGCGTCCTCCTCTTTGCCGGCGGCGTCGGCGCCGCCTTCGCCCTCCCCATTCACCAGGCACTCATAAACGACAGTAACCCAAGTGCGGCAGCTTCCCCCAAAGTCAAGTTCATCTGGGCCGTCCGATCCGCGAGCGACGCCACCTGGGCCAGCTCCTTGGGTGCAAAGTCCATAATAGATGATGATAACGTCGAGCTCTTTCTCACCGGAGACATGGGCGTCGGCCAAGACTCCTCAGAACGGGAGGGGGGACAGAGCAGCGGCTTGGAGCTGGACGACCTGCGGCGGCAGAGCAAGAAGCGGCCCGATGTGAAGAAGATCATCGACGATGCATTCCGCAAAGATAGCCAGGGGAGCGTTGCCGTTATGGTGTGTGGACCTGCGGAGATGGCCAAGGACGTCAGAGACGCTGTTCGGCCGTGGGTCATGCTTGGCCGGCGGGTGCACTGGCACAATGAAGCGTTCGGATGGTGATGTTACTCACCCAAGATTCATCACCCTGCATGTCTGGAGCAAGGGTATGAATAGCCTAGCCGTTCCTACGATCATAGAAATGTGCGCATCTCTCAAGAATCGATTGAGATTTGCAACTGTTAGACGATAGAATAAACTTGTAATGCTTCGCGGCCGTTCCATCAACCGTACTTATCCCTGGAAAGAGCACTCGTTGAGGTGGGAATCACCCTTACTATCACTGAAATCTCTGAAAAGATGTTGCTCTACAACAGAACGCCCAAGAAACTCCCCATCATCCTTGAAATCCAGCCCCATTACCTGCTACCTATAATTTATCAAATCAATCAATGCCTCCCCCAATAGCCATGCAAAAGGATCCAAACTTAAAATGTTGATATAATCATGAACCATCAAGATAAAATGGCAGGTAGAGGAACCTGCCTATCATTGTCTGTACCGCGCCAACTGCGCCATGATGTTCTGAACTTGAGCAGCCGAATCACCACCGCCTGGCGATTGAGCTGGTGGTCCTGGTGGCCCTTGGGGAGGATAAGACTGGGGGTACTGAGCTTGGCCTGATACATGATGCTGGTGCGCTGGTGCGCCCCCGGATAGGCTACCTAGAATAGCTTGGATATCAGGTTGAACTGCTGGGGGAACATTCCCGTGCGGCATTACCGCGGGGATGGCACCTGAAGGGGCCCCCTGGATTGAGGAGAGAAGCCGTTGAAGAGTCGTGTTGTCTACATTGCCCAACAGTTTTGCAATATCAGCTGTGTTGGCAGCCGCCTGCTGAGGTGGGTAGGCGGCAGACTGAGGCAGCGGATAGTTACTGACTGGAGCCGGCTGCTGGCTTGGTGCGTTGTACGGTTGCCCGTAACCGCCAGGGGCACCACCGTATGGCTGCCCATAGCTGGGCATAGCAGAAGCCTTCGTCCGAACGATAACTTCAGCCGCAATGTTTGGATCTAGGTCCACATATTGGTCAAAGCGAACATTGGACGATCCTGCCGATCGGTCAAAGGCTTGGACTGGGATTTTGCCCAGTTGCTGTGCTCGCATGTCCAAATCGACCACAGCCTGTACACCTTCAACCGCCTGTCGTTGGATAACTTGGTCCTTTGGTATCCGCGGATGTAGAAACATGACCTCGGTTTTGAGTGCCTTGGCTTTAAAGGCACTTTCAACCCAGTTAACAAATTCACGACTGACGTCCGGCTGAAGGATTATCTGGACGTCAGGGACATCCGCTCCATATCTTCTTGGGAGGTCGATCTCTCCTCCGTCATTGTGAGATCGCCCGTACGGACTGGGGCTTCTGTGCCGGTACGAGTCACGGTTGTTATTGTTGTTGCCGCTTCGACCATAGCCGGGTGATCGAGATCGGTTACGGCCACGGCCTGCCTCGTAGTATCCCCGTTCTCGACCATAATTGTCGCCGTTGTACTCATTACGGCGAGGAGAATGGGGACGGCTACCGTGGCGATATTCATCCCTACCTTGGTTGGCATATCTGTCATTACGCCGTCCGCCATCTCGACCGCGTCCTTTATCAGGGCTTCGAGCGCGCTCCTTCTTTGACTTATCCTGAAGCTTGGATACCTCGAGATCTTTCCATTACACCTGTCAGCTGCGTCCGGTGGATAAAAAGGATAATATGGGTGATTCAACACATACGAATACGTCGCCCCTTGATCTCTGCGCCTTGCAAATTGTCTATAGCCCGCTGGCCTTCATCAACGGTGTGGTATTGGACAAATCCATAGGCAGACTTCAGAGATATTTGTGCAAGTCGGCCATACTTGTGGAACATGTCAAACACATTGCGCTTTGAAACCTTATCACTTGAGAGATTACCTGCCCTCTTGATTAGCACGAATTACGTGAGTCTGGAGGCTTATTTACCAATGAAAATGCGAGAGCCTTCGGGGAAGCGATCCCACTTGGCCTCCGACATGTATTGCCTTTCATCAGCAATAAACTGATCCCACTTGCGCTGGTAGTCGTCTTCCCCATCTGCGGGATAGGCGGCTTGAGCGGGGAATGGGACAGAGGTCATGGATGCGAGACTGGGGTGGCTAGCAAGGCCGGCTGGCGGGGGCGGCGGGAGATTGCTGATGGCTTCAGTAGATGTTCCTGGGGCGCCGGCCGCGACATACGTCGAGGGCTGACCGGGATTGGGCGGAGCAGCGACATTGACGGGTACACCTGGAACTGATCCGGCAGGATGGTGGAGAGATGCATACGTCTGGGGAGCTGCGTTGGGTTGAGGAGGCCGGGGCGGGAGGGATGAGGACGGTGGCAGAGCAGCAGATGGGCTTGTTTGGGGTGGAGGGCCGCTGGACTGCCCGGCCTGCGCAAACTGGGCAGATGGGTCTAAGTTATGATTTTCATCAGTGGGCTGGGGGCGCGTCAGATCAGCCACGAGTTGTTGGAGATCCGCTGATGAAGGCCTTTCAGGACGGTCTGCACTGTGGCCTCCGTGAGCGGATTGAGGTAAACTGGGTTCGGCATTCGAGTGATTGGAGTCGCTCAGTCTTTGGGAAGCTGCACCTGCCGCGGGCTGGACAGGCGCATGACTTCCAGCAGAAGGTTGCGCAGGAGAGGTATCAAGCACGAATTGCGAGGCGACTGATGGGTGGGTATTCAAGGCACCAGAATGTGAGGAAATATTGTTGGATTCTCGGAGAACTGATGATACAGAAGCTTCTTGTTCGTCCTCGCCGTCACCCTTCTCCGAGCCGACGGGGGAGTCAAATGTTTTCGCATAGTCATCGTCGTTTGCGACGTCTGTCTCCTCTTTAGTGGGAGGCTCCACGGCAGTTTCGGTTGGGGTGTCTTCAGCATATGGGTCGTTGAAGCTGTCGTCATCTACGACATCGTCCTCGTCAACAGTGTCGATCAGGTCATGTTTGGCGTGATGCAGGCCAATCTCCCCGTTTGTAGCAAGAGCTGCACCAACCATTGCGTCGATTGTATCGACAGTGTCCTGGAGGGCTGGCACTACAAGTGGCGAGGCTGTGTGGATGGGAGATGGTGAGACTGGGGAGAGGTTGGCAGTAGCCTGTAGCTCTGCCTCCGGCTCTGGCATTAAAGCTAGGTTAGGGGTGGGATGGCAGCTGGTAAACGTGGGGAAAACTCTGCGACAAGGACTCTGTGAATTCAAGATTGTCTCGCGACATACGTGGTCCGAGAAGGTACTATGTGGTAAGTGGAGGGAAATGGCGCGGAAAATAAGGCTGGGAGGTCGAGGGGTCCGAGGCGGCTAGGACAGGCAAACCTGAGCTACAAAAAAGGCTGGAGCGACGACGAAGGTATGAAGCAAAGGCTCCGGTGATTGGCAGGGCTGCTGATGCAGGAGAAGGGTATGGATTGGAGGGCTAAACGTCCAACCTTGGATAATTGCGCGCGTTGATATTGTGTCTGTTGGTGGGAGTGTTAAGCAAGAGGCAGAAGTGAGGCAAAAGAGTCAGGAAGGAAGAATGGGTGACAATTGCACCATGGCGGCAGGGCGGCTGAGGCTGAGGCGGGACAAAAGTGGCGCTAGGTCCTTTGCCAGGGCGGTGAGCAGGATAGAGCCGCCAGCTTTGGTGGGTGGCGGCGGGTCACTGTGATAAGCGTGCAGATAACCAACCATCGTCAATGTGCAGTTCCAGCATCACTGTGGAGGCTTGTCACAGCATCAATGTCGTAAGATCTCCAATAAGATGAATGCGAGGTTCGCCTTATCGCGGGTGCGTCCTTTAAAGACGCCGGCACTCGTGGGGCTCCCAAGGCTGGTAACGCGCCTCAAAAGATATGAGGCCTTCGATGCCCAACTGGATAACGATGCGCTTGCAGAGTCGCGAGCCTGGTTTGACCAGTTCGATGCGTCACAGCTCCCCAAGGGCAGCACGACATTTGCCAGATCTAGTGGGGCTGGCGGACAACACGTAAACAAGTAAGACAACCCATGCATAGTGCTAGATTGAGACGAGATCAGATGAACTTATTGATCTTAAGAACCGAAACCAAGGCGGTCACAGCCTACCCACTTAAAGATCTATTTGCCATTCTGCCCAAAGTGCTACACTCTGCTCTGCGATCTTCGAGATACTACACAGCAAACAATGATTCTCTCACGTTTCATGCTCAAACGCAGAGGTCGAGGACGCTGAATGCAGAGGACAACGGGCGGAAGCTCATGGATGAGATCACTCGCATCTACCGGGAAAATACACCCTCTGAGACAAGTGAAGAAAAGAAACAAAAGTATAAAGAAGTGTGAGTACTGTCCAGTCTGTTAATGACCATGCCATATTCCGGTTGCTAATTGACATCCAGTGCGCAACGATTCCATAACTCTCGGCTAATGTCGAAGAAGGCTCATAGTTCGAAAAAGCAATCAAGGAGAGGTTCTTCGGAATACTAACCAATGCACACCCGTGTCTGCAATTGAACAACCACTAAACTACCCCTGCTTCAATATGATCTGCTTGCATTCTGAATTTCAATTGAAATATTGACCCAGTAATTAGGTGTACCTGGGAACCACAGACCCTGGTTGATAGGTTATCGACACATGAATATGTTGGGGTAAATTAGTATAGAGACTAAGAAGACAGACAATGACAGCGCCTCATGGCCAACGTCCACCATGGTGTCACCTAAAAATGCACATACACAGCCCTACACACATGTGTTACATTAGGCAGTATTTAATGCGCATGATGATGTGATGGTTCAAAGAAGTTAGTGAATTTGACAGCAGGTGTAGGGTAGGAAAAGTGCTAAACGCATTCTCAGGACGTAACAAGCCCATTCCTCCTTGAGGCTGACAACTAGAAGTAGACTAGTAAGCATGGGTGATATCTAATGAAACGAATGATAGTTGGGTAGTTTGTTGTATGCGATTTAGTAGCGGGTTAGAGACATACACCTGGTTGCAGTGGGAAGGTTGAGTAGATCATTTGATCACCATGTTTTAGATGCGCTACCCAGGAACTCCAAAAGGCGAGTAGCAACAATGAATAATAAACCAAGTCCAAATGACCGACCTCTAGTATCTAATGTACACCCGAGCGCTTGCCCCATTTACAGAAGCATCCTCCTGGGATCCTCAATATATTCCTTGATCTTGACAAGGAATTGCACAGCCTCCCTGCCATCGAGCAGACGGTGGTCGTAGGTCAGAGCAAGGTACATCATGGGTCGGATCTCGACCTTTCCGTTGACGGCAACGGGGCGCTCCTTGATAGCGTGGAGACCAAGAACTGCGCTTTGAGGCATGTTGATGATGGGAGTACCCATCATGGAGCCGAAGACACCGCCGTTGCTGATGGTGAAAGTACCACCGGCCATGTCCTCAATGGTAAGCTTGCTATCACGGGCCTGTAGAAAGTTCAGGTTAGCTGAGACCCAGGTCAAACTTGATCCGATCTGGGAAACGTACCTTCTTGCCAAGATCTGCGATGGCCTTCTCAATGCCAACAAGATCCAGTGTCTCAGCATTGCGCACAACTGGCGTAACCAGACCCTTCTCAGTTGCGACGGCAACGCTGATATCAACGTAGTCGCGGTAGACAATAGTGTCACCTCCGTTGGGGCCCTCAATGGAGGCATTGACAGCTGGGAGGTCACGCATAGCCAGGACAGCAGCCTTGGAGAAGGCGCTCATGAAACCCAGCTTGACACCTGTCTTCTTCAGAATATCATCCTTGTAGAGCTTTCGGAATTCCATAACGTTGGACATGTCAACCTCGTTGAAGGTGGTCAACGAGGCGGCGGTGTTCTGGGACTGCTTGAGTCGCTCGGCAATACGAAGACGCATGCGGTTCATCTTGACCTATAGAAGTGGTTAATACGTCATCTGTGGCCGTAGGAGTGAGGGGGAAGACGAACGCGACGCTCCTCACGAGCTCCGGGCGTAGGTGTAGGCTCCTCGGGCTGAGATTTCGTGGGGGCGGGCTTGGATTCTTGCTTGGGAGCGGGCTTGGACTCTTCCTTGGGCGCAGGCTTGGACTCCTCCTTGGGTGCGGGTGTGGACTCAGAGGCGGCTTCCTTGGGGGCTTCCTTGGGGGCTTCCGCCTCCTTCTCGGCAGGCTTCTCGGCAGGGGCGCCGCCAAGCTCGATACGGATGATATCTTGGCCAACTGTGACGGTGTCCTCCTCGGCGACAAGGAACTCCTTGATAACACCAGCTTCGGGGGCGTTGACGGCGACATCGATCTAAGGGGCCGTGTGTCAGTGGCTGCTATGTTGGGAAAAGTCTAACGGCGATTTGAGGTCAGGTAGCTCACCTTGTCGGTCTCGATGGTGGCGATCTCCTCGTCCTGTTCTACGAAGTCGCCAATGGCCTTGTTGAACTGCTTCAAGGTGCCCTCGGAGATGGATTCGGCCATCTGGGGAACCTGGACAACCTTGTCGGCGTAGGTGCGGATAGCCTGCATCATGAAGAGAGGCGTTTGCCTAGGCAGTCGGACGGCCTGGGCGCGCATAGTCGGCACCATGCGCGCCGCCGTGGTGAGACTGCGATACATCATGACGGATAGGGATCTGGAGGCGCCGTAGGCTGGGGGAGAAGGCTGTTCAATGGCAGCTGTCGAGGGCGATGGGGGTTGAATGACTTTCTGGGTATTTATTATGTTCCTCAGGGTCAGCTCGGAAACAGATGGCTGCAAGTGGATCGAATAGCCAGCAAGTGGATCACGATGCCCTCGGGCTAGCCCAGATCTGGTAATTAGCCTTTTTTTTTTCGGCTATGTGCTTTTTGTTGCCATGTAACAAACAGCTGCAGAACACCACGACTTGGCTGAATGAAGATGACTGGCAGCTTGTAAATGGGAGCACGAGGCCCTGGGAGCTGCTGAAATGTAAATTAATTTACACCTGCACCAGTGAGCCTGAGCCAGGGCAGCAGTTGGAGGATTTGCTTAGGTGCAGCTCCGTTGTTCAATGTCGTCACAGAAGAGATATCCGAGGTCCGGGGTGCGCCTAGTCGCAGGGATAGGTGAGGCATAGGGAGAACCATCAAGGCGGTCTAAGGCTAAAGAATCTGGAGGTGATGGAAGAGGGTAGTTTAAATAGTCATTCGACGAGCGGCTCGTGCTGACGGCAATTGAGTCATCCGTATGAAGGTTTATATACTTTTCCTTCCGTATGACTGTAGCTTTGGGCTGGCGAAGCAGATTTTTTGCCTTGATATTCACAGTGTTGAGATGTCGGGTCTGGCATTTTGTATTGTTGTTTTTAACTTTACACTCGAACTCCCCCGCCGAGATCTCGAAGTGATGGAATGGTAAATTCTTAAGGTTGGGATGTAATTGGAGTGGCAATTGGTGAACACAGTCACCGGGCTTCCCTTTCTCCTACTAGCATTTACCATGTCATTCACATGATAGGGGTCATAATATGTATTTTACAGGTCTGCACTACTATTGACTTCTATGGAAGGAACTATTTCACCACGGCGGGCTGTTATTCCTGATCCTCTGATGGAGATCAACGAGGTGAGACCACAGCCACTAACACCGAACTTCGACACAGAACCAAAACAACCAGACTGGGAATCGGCAATTTGTCACGATAATTATCACAAAGCCTTTGTAATTGATTAGACTTTTTTCTGTTAGATCATAACCGATATTAGCCTCGGGACTCATGGCAGAGGCTCAGAGCGGCGTTTTAGTTCACCTTGTTCTACCTCCCCTTGTGAGCTGGGCCCTGCCTACCTACCTATGTTTAGATCAGCAGGTGGTGTTGAGTTAGGGGTTTCTTATATAACCCAGAAGCAGCCACTACTTAATCTCAGAAATAAAAATCATGGAAGCATTATGTGCTCACTTTCTCACTGCCGCCTTTTCTGACCGCTCTAGGTGAAGCTGCTCCGTCTCCATGATGGTGGCCAATTGGAGAAAGAATGCTCAAAACGTACGTGCTTGTAGCTGGTAGCACACTTGCTAGTGAAACGGTGGGGCAACAATCGGACCCCCGCCAACTTGCGACGGTGCAAATCAACTTCAGCTTCAGTTTCGCTTCCCTCATCAACACCTTTCCACTCGTGTGAATGCGAAGGAGCATATGCACCTTGTCTTCTAGCTTGGCCTGTTCACCAGCTAACCATTGCCCTCACTCTGCCGGATCAACAGAAAGCGCCGCTTCCCTGGGTAGGTCTCCTGTTGGTTCGTAAGCAGGACTCGACCCTTACCTTGACCTCCTCACCACCTCGATAGGGCTGGCGGGGCATCGCAACCCCCCCAAGTCCTCTCTAACCACCCACGGCAACATGAGTCAACAACAAACCAAGCAGACCCAGATCCAGCCTTGTAGATACAAGGTCGGGAAGACATTGGGTGCTGGTTCGTATTCCGTTGTCAAGGAATGTGTCCACATCGACACTGGGCGGTATTATGCCGCCAAAGTCATCAATAAACGCCTGATGGCTGGTCGGGAGCACATGGTAAATACCACCACACCGACCCTACCGGCGAGCGAGGATTGACCACCTCTTGGGAACGCTGCGACAGATGCTAACATGCATGCTTCACCCTAGGTACGGAATGAAATCGCCGTTCTCAAGAAGATCTCAATGGGACACCAGAACATCCTGACACTGGTCGACTACTTCGAAACCATGAACAATCTGTATCTCGTGACCGATCTGGCCTTGGGTGGTGAGCTCTTCGACCGTATCTGCCGTAAGGGCTCCTACTACGAATCCGATGCTGCCGACCTCATCCGTGCTACGCTCTCCGCCGTTGCCTACCTCCACGACCATGGCATCGTCCACCGCGATCTCAAGCCCGAAAATCTGCTCTTCCGAACCCCAGAAGACAACGCCGATCTCTTGATCGCCGATTTCGGTCTCTCTCGAATCATGGACGAGGAGCAATTCCATGTCCTCACCACGACCTGCGGCACTCCCGGCTACATGGCACCTGAAATCTTCAAGAAGACCGGCCACGGCAAGCCTGTGGACCTGTGGGCTTTGGGCGTCATCACATACTTCCTCCTGTGCGGCTACACCCCCTTCGACCGGGACTCCGACTTCGAGGAGATGCAGGCCATCCTGAACGCCGACTACAGCTTCACACCCGTCGAGTACTGGCGCGGGGTCTCCACCCACGCCAAGGAGTTCATTAGACGATGCCTCACCATCGACCCCGCCAAGCGCATCACAGCCCACGAGGCCCTCCAGCACCCCTTCGTCGCCTCCCAGGTCACCAGCGACGGCGCCGGCGAGAACCTGCTGCCCACCATCAAGAAGAACTTCAACGCCCGCCGCACCCTCCACACCGCCATCGACACCGTCCGTGCCATCAACAAGCTCCGCGAGGCCCAGAACAACGTCTTCATGGACGGTGCCCGATCCAAGGAGCCACAGCGCGGGCCCGCCCCCAACGCACTGCGCGCTCCCGCGGCAGCCTTCGCAGCTGCTGGGGCCGCGGCCAGGGACAGGGACAGTGGCTATGGCACAGTTTCTTCTGCTGCTGGAGAAGATGTTGTTATGGGCAACACAGACATGAGCAGCGTCCCGGCCTCGCTGCAGCCCGGGAACGCGGGTAACAAAGTCGTGGAAACTAGCAAGGGGCTCTGGACCGCACCCACGACGGCGGCCGCCAGGAGATGAGACGAGATGAAAACAGAGACATATAACCAAGGGAGATTCTACAGCCTGACCCAGATCTATGAAAGAGAGTAAATTTAGCCCCTTTCCTATCTCTCGTATTCTTTCTCGCCCAAATCACTTCCTCTGTTTGAGATCAGCCAATGTATCAAACAAGAAAAGAAAAAGAGAAAACCGAAGTGTTGAGGGTTTAGGGGGTTGTTTCTCGTGTGCTGGCACCCGACCGACCTGGGCATAACGACGACGGGCTGAATGAATACTTTCCTCTTTGATCCTCTTCATGTTTCGGCCCCCTTTTGCGTTGCCACCGGTTCGGTTCTGTGCCATTGTTTGACCAATTTAGGTTCCTCATCTTATGACTGAATGGAGCAAAGCTTAGAAAGGATCTTTTTTTTTTTTTTTTAACTTGTCGGGATGGAACGGAGAGCACGTACGTCGGGTTTCCCATTTAGTTGTTGGTATTTTGGAGGACTCTTCTTTTGTATTTTGTTTCCTTAGCGATATGGTTCTCTACATGCTTATGAAAAAATTGAAAAAGAAACAAAAATCAATTATTGCCGTGTCTCTTGTGTTGTCCCGGGGTTGCTCAGATCCATCCATATTCAGTATTCAGCTGAGGCATACTGGCCATGCTGTCAAAGCTGAATCATGGCACTGGATACTTATTGGGATTAGCGAGTAAGCTCTACCGCTGCACGTAAGATAACTAGAATGAGGCACGACATAGAGTAGTTTCAAATTTCGTATTTTTTATTCAAATGGTTGTTTTTTTGCTATGTTTTGTATCCTTTATAATCACACAGCGAGGGAGCCCTTTCTCCGTCTTGTCCAAGGCCCCTCCTGTGATGTTGAGCGAATGGTTCTGTCTTTTGACCATGACTCTGTCTCTCCCTTCTCTTTCTCGCGGCTATATGCCACATTATCGAATCGGCGCTCGCCGGTTCCATCTCTTTGCCGAGGTGAGTCTGTCCTCGGAGCGAGTGTTTCTAGTGCGGCAACCGTCGTCGGTCCGCACTGCATTACTCCATAAATGCTACTATATATACATTACTTTGATAGGTTGATACTATCGTCTATGTCCAGATTAAAGGCCGTTGAACCGGGTAGTCTCAGTGTATGTGAGAGGACCCGGCCATATTCGAACCGATAGGTTTTTCGGCCGAGTTCATACTTCGTTATAAAATGCAAGCAATCCGTCCTGGTGCGCCAAAGATATCGAAAATGCCGGGAAAAGAGCAGACCAGCTACCAAGGGGGGAAAGAAGAAAATCACGAAAATCCACACCAGTGTTGCCATCAAGGCGGATTCCGATCATCGCGTCACTACCACCTCAGAGAGTTCGATCTCTCTTGCTGCAATGGACCCATTCCACTTGTTGCTGGTGCCATCCTCGAGGAAGAAGCCGCCGCTTTCTGGGGTTGTCGGGCTCAGGGTGCCACTGCCGGATGACCAGCTGGAGCTGCTGCCAAGCGTCCAGCCATCGCTCGAGGTGCTGCGGCTGCGAGCCAGTAGCCCGGCCGAATAGTAAAGACCACGCTCCTCGTCCTCGAGCTTATGCGATGTACCGTATTCGACGTACTCGTAATCCCATCGGGTGAAGTTCTCGGGTTGTCGACGAGGAAGCCAGCGGGCACGAGCGGTGTAGAAGAAGAGGGAGGCGATCAGACCGCCAGCCACCAGGTCGACGGCATAGTGGTGGCTCAGATACATGGTAGCCCACCAAACCCATCCAGCGTAGATGATGAGGGCAGTCCTGAACTGAGGGAAGCAGTGGGTCAGGAAGAGGGCGACCAAAACTGCGTTCGCAGCATGGAGGGAGGGGAAAGCACCGAACGGGACAGGTGCCGATGAGAAGTTGGTCGTGTACAGATCGATACCGAAGATCGCGTCGACTCGTGCCAAGCCGGCGGGTGACCCGGGCATCCCATACTGAGCGGGAACCAAACCGCGCTCGTTTTCGTACCATGGGGGTGTGCATGGGAACACGAGCTGGATAGTGACACCGAGGACGCTCATCCAACCAAAGGTGCGAGCAAAGACGGGAGTCGATCCGGGAGCGGCGAAAATAAACATTACGAGGGAGGTGAAGACGGGGGCACCAAAATGGATGAGGCCGTATGGGATCCAGGCGAGAATGTCAAGAACCGCGTGCTGGTGAGCGGACAAGATGTTGGAGAGATTCGCGCCGTACAGGACATTTTCCAGGGCTGGAAGAACTCGCACCCAGATGTGTGGCCGGTAGTCGTAAGGGATGAAGCTGTGCGAGATGTCAGTTCGAGCGTCCGCAGATAGGGGCCGATCATTTGAGCAATGAGACTTACCGGCTACAAAAGAAATACACAAGCCAGACCCAGATAGGCAACGATGGCAGGAAGAACTGTCTCGTCGCTGGCATAAGCAGCAGCCACAGACCGCCGATGACTGCAAAGGTCTTCAGACCTGGAGCAGACGGGGCAATTGAAAGAGAGAACAACAGCAAGAACGCCAGGACGGCGTATTGCAAGTCGGTCTTCTGCCATCTCCGCTTCTGAAGCGCCCGAATACCGTCCCAAAGGTTGAAAGATCGCTGCAGATTGCTGATATCGGAGCTGTTCCACTTTGCCCTTGATCGGCTCCTGTGTCGGTTGGTCGGAAAGCGAGGAGAGAAGTGGCTGAGGAATGTCGTGTTGAGGTTTTCGGTCCAGATGAAGGGAATGACCTTCTTTGGCCTGGTGGCCGCGGATTCAGGGAGCTCATCCATGGTCGGAGGATTAAGAATATTTGTCGCACAGAGACAGGGCGTTGCTGATTGCTGAGCTGCGAAATGAATGAGTTCTGCCCGAGGACTACGAAGTGATCGTAGTTAAGACAGTCCGGTATGTATACGCCAAGCAACTATTGCATTGTCCACCAGGATGAAAGCTTGTTGAACCAAAGTCCTACAACAACAACAAAGAGCAGACACTTTCGGCACCCGACAGAGAAAGGTCTCGGTCTCGGCTTCGGTTGGTAAAAGGGACGATGACACCGGATAATCTAAGCTGTGGCTTGCTGGGTACGCCGGACGGATTGGAATGCGGCAGTTGATTATGGGCCAGACTGCGAAAACCCCGACCTCAGATCACTCGGACGGTAGGGAGCGACGAACCAAGACTTTCCCGGCGGAAGGTGGTGAGGGAGAGTATCGGAGGAAGGCGAGGTGATGCAGCAAGGCTGAGTGGCAAGTTGCTCGGGGGAACGAGCTTATGTATATGGAAGCAGATGGAGTCACAGAGGAATTACGCCAAGAGAGGAGCGACAGATCGAGGCAGGCAAACGAGGCCTCGCCGGGGGTTTTGTTTGCTACCCACGGCGGTGCGTTTCTATGCCTGGCAGTCATATAAACGACTGGGGCACCAGGCCTAAGACAAGCCGCCGGGGCCAAAAAAGCGGAAAGGAAGAGCCAGGCTAGCAGCAGGCCTGGGAACCGGATGCTGCGGATACCTGAGGTACTTCGGGGCCAAGTACCGCCCGCTGGTGTGGGCGGGCACATCTAATCGGACCTGGGCAGGATTAGGCCATGCAATGTCTTGGACAGCAGGGATGGGCCCATCTTCTATCCTGGGCCTCTGCTCCAAGATTAATATTACTTTCGAGAGGTGATCAGGTAACTTACCGAGCCATCCGTCAGATGTCAGCTTGCGGGAGATGCCTGATGCTATGATGGAACAGGAATCTGGAGCAGGCGTTGGGCCGTCTATCTAGGAGATGCTAGGCAATGGCTAGCCGCAAGCCATTACGTGGACTTCAGACACGTGCAGCCCAGATGGGCATGGACAGGTACCGCGCGACTCCGTCATAGTGGGATGGGATGGCGGTGGTGATAGCTTGGTCTCTGATCTGATAGCCCGCATGCTTCCTCACAGCACTTGAAACACCAAAGTGCAGGCCGCCAAGAGCCCGGTAAAGTTTACCAGATGGCTGTGTGAGCCAATGCCAAATGCTATTTGGGCTGACTCACTGCGCCTGGTGGTTCTCGATTGACCGAGCTGCCCACTATCGAGATAGGCTGTGGGCGGGCTCCTACTGCCTGGAACCGCACCATCACCTGTATCTGCAACACCCGCAGCACATGCCCATGCAGGAGCTGGGATATCCTACGTAGCCTAGGCCAGCATCGTCACATCGACGCATCACGACACACATTTGCTTGGACGAGGATGCCAAGCGGTTTGTCGTGCCACCTGGACAAGTCTCTACTTGGAACCCCTGATGACCAATCAGGGACCTGGTCACCGGCTGCTTGGCGTGGCGCTTCGGCAGTCTCGGGGTACTTTGTGAGGCGGTACCCCGTCAGGGTGGGTGCTGAGCTCTGCCCGGGCTGTCAGTCGCTGCGCTGGTGCTGGAGCTTTTTTTTCTCACGCGCGAGCCTGCCGTCCGTGCCTCATTACCTCGCGGGGCCTCGCAGACTCTTCGCTCTCCGTCATTGTCATTTGCCCCCATCCCATGCTCCCATGCTTGGCGCCCAGCAAACGGCGCGCTTTCCTCACGCGAGCAAATTAGTTCTGTGTCAGTGTGTAATTTCGGTTTCGATCCTCCTTATTATGCTTATTCCGGACTTGCGCTCTCGCCTTTTTCGGGTCGCTGCTTGAGTCCGATAATAGCAGCCGCTATCGACTGCCTTACTCGAGCAATCAACGACGTCTGCTATCTGCATCTGCCGGCCAGGGAGCGGTGTTGGTCTCAGGGCTGCTGAATGTCGTCATGCATGCTCAACCTGCAGGTAGCTTGCCAGCCAAGCTCCGGCCTTAGTACTCGCGCCCGTTGGTCCCTTAACCAGTGCAGTGTGCATTCAAGCACCTACCTTACCTAGCGCTGAAGTCATGATCTCTGGAGAGCACTGGATGACGTTGCTGGCGCGCTCTAGGTGACGTTGACCATGCGACAACGACTCAATGTTTAAACTCTCCGCTATAATAGGGCTTGGCTTGTACCAGCCACCGCAGCTCTTGGTGAAGCCCTACGGGCGGTGCATTTGAACGGGTGATTCGCCCCAGGATGGCGGATTGGCTTGGCTGCTAGAGCTACATCCCATCCATTCTCCTAGTGAGGAAACCCTCCTCTTCGTCAGAGTGCATGTTACAATGGAGCACGCGACCATCCGCCGATTCCTCACAGGGGTCCATGACATGCCACTGGCTAGCCCATCGCGCGTTTGCGTTTTCCGACAGCCCGAGTTCCCCACACAGGGCTTGCCAGTCAAGCCAGTCTTGTGAGGCTTGGGCGGCAATGTGCTCGGATAGGTCGCGAATCCCCTGGTGCGAAAATGCCCTTCTGGAGTGGAGTTGAGGTTGCGCCCAGGATCACACCCCATGCGTACCAGGGCGAACCAGAATAGAGCCTCGCATTTTCGCTCGCAAAGCTCGCCAGGAAGCCCGACAATGCGCAGTCGGTTTGCCCTGTTGTTCGCGTACTGCGTAATTGTGCCCAGCAGCCACAGGCACAAGCCACCACCAACGGTCTCTTCGCGCCCACATTTCCGCCGCCCAAGAGCCTGATGCATATTACGCCTGTAGACCGTTAGCGCTTCGTCCGACTTGTCGGTCTCGGGCTTTTTTGCGAATCCGACTTCTCATGCAAAGCGGGACAGACATGGGACTGCCGGTCGCTGCCGACAACCTAACGAAAAAAATTAGATTTTGGCATGTTCGGGTTTTGCTTTTTCCCCCACAAGACGAGCTTGCAAACATCTGATCGAAATTTCGGCCTTTTCCTTTCGCAATTTTGCATATGGGCCGGAGTTCGGTATGTTCAAGCTCCCTCCTCTCAGCCCAGTTCGGACGGTCGGACTGGTTCTGTCCCAATCCCGGTAGACGCCCCTTTCCCGCTCCCGCAATCCAACCCTAAAACCTCGGTAGGCAGTTGCTATTGTGATCATGACTAGGATTCGATTGATCCCAGGTATTCTACGATACGCATTGCGATACTGCGGCGCTAGCAAGCGCCATTCCATCGACCGATTTAGTCGCTCCTCCAAAGGACTTTGTTTCTAATTAGGATCTCCCTGGCCAGCCTGGGCAGTCGGGCTCAATTTTCTTTCTTCCTCACCTTTCCCTCACACCCCGGTCACCGCGCGCTAGAAGGAAGGGAAGGAGAGCCTTAATTAATTACAAAAGGACTGCTGAGTAACACACCCATGACGTCCTGGCAATCTACTATCTTTGTAACCCATCGCGGGGCGAACCGTTTGATTAGGTAGGAGGATTTTTGCCCAAAAGGAAAACCCTTGCGATTATTGTTGGCCACATCCCACTTTGCGAGCAATATTTCGCTGAGCCCACCTTTGGTGAATTGATTGCGGGTTAAGAGGTTGCGCGTCCCATGTAGGCGATGAAACAGCCGAATTTCTGAATGCGTCTGCACGCCGCAAGGAACGTTAATTGGCAATTGTGTACTTACGTATGCTCACGCTCCTGAGCCTCACTCTCGCTCTCGCTCTCGGTTTAAGCCACAATCATGCGTAACATTTGTGGCACTCGTGACCGCTCGGTTGCAGCTCTGCGACTCTGCAGCTCTGAGAAGGCCGTCACAGGATTTTAGGTTACAACGTGCATTTACACTGCCATCCTGCCAGCGTGAGGGGTAGGCAGGAAGAGGCACGGGTTACTTGGCAGATAGGCATCGCTAGGAATAGAAACGTGACAGTAATAGGACAATGGGAAACAATCTAACCCATCGCCCTTCCTCCAGGCAGCACGTGCGTCCCTTAAGCGACCTTGGCGCCCAAGCGGGAGCACCTTGCGCGGGATTCCTGGCCAGGCCTTGCTCTGCTCTGGTCGGTCGGGACTTTGAAGCTCCCGCAGCGGCATTGACTAAGCGGCCGGGTTCAAACTCCATGGAATGAACAGCATCCCCGAGGCAGTCGATGGTTTCGAAGCAACCCCGCCGTTCATCTCCGTTATTTCCGGCAGCCATCCCGGCGGGCGAAGAGCTGGAAACGGCCCGGCAACAGCAGCTCAGTGGTTTTTTTTTTGGCCTCTGCTTACAACTCACTTAAGCATATGTGATTTTATGGAGCAGGTGTGGATCTTCCCTGTCGGTGCTTTTCTTCATGTCAGCATATGCAGCTAAGTAAATCCCTAGTGTGGAAATGTAGGCGACGTATCCACCCCGATTTGAGACTCTCCGAGTAATGTGCTCGGAGCATGGAGGAAAACGAACCGTCAGGTCGGTTTCTGATTATTCAGCTTCAAGAAGTTTACATATATTTCATGAAAAAAATAAGCTAAACTTCCATCCTATCCGGCGCCCATAGCGTCACCAAACTTGACGCCTTCCTTGTTTCGTACTCCAAATGAAACTTGGGGAGTTTCCATAACGCCTCTCGTTTCCATCAATCCGGGAGAGAGGGAAAGCACTGATTATTGAAACATCAAAGAAAGAAAGAAAATCATTAAAGCAAAGCCACTAGTAATTTTGAAATGTTGGTCCGGGCACAAACGTAAACTCGGGGTGCATGGTGATGCATAATGCAGATTTGATAGCAAACATCTTCCATAATGGTCGGTGAGAAGCAATGCTTTTGTCAGCACTCTGGTTCAGTGCCGGGACTTCCTACTCCTCGCAGAGACCGCTACGATCCGATCTAGCTCATGCCCTTGACAACAGGTGGAGGGACGGGGGTTTGTCCCTTGGCCTGGGATGGGCCAGCGGAATCCTTGCTTTTGCTTTTCCCACTCTTAGCCTTCTTGGTCTTGTCACTCTTGGTCGATACAGGTGTCGACACGGATGCGCCGGGTTGTGGGATGGGAACCGGTGAGTTCTTGGGCTGAGACGATCCCGGAATACTGGGGAGTGGGACATGTGATTTTCGGCTGGGAGCCGGTGTCGACACACCCTGCGGCTCTATACTGGACGAAGGTACGGGAACTTCCGTGCTCTTTGCCTTCTTTCCCTTCTTTGAGGGCTTCGGGGTTGGCGTAGCGGCCATTTGAGAGGAGTCAATGGTTGGCAGGGAGGAGGGAATGGCGGGAGGCAGGATTGGCGTTTGTCTCGAACCTCCTACCTGATGCTCGAATCCAAGGTCCGGGCTACCGTCCCGATCCTTTCGTCGCTTCTTTGCGCCGGTGTCAGTTGATTGGCTTTCCTCCCTCAGTTGGGCAGCAGCGGCAAGAGCGTCATCCTCTGATGCCGTGTGCTTGCGCTTCTTGGCGGGAGTCACGGCGTTCAGTTCAGTAATGGTTTCGGGAGCAACTTTGTCCTTCTTCTTGCTCTTTTCTTTCTTGGCCTTCTTCTCCGTCTTCTCGGTAGGTAGCTCTTGCGATGCAGGTGCATCGGCCATCTCGGTATCCTCCGCATGCGTTGACACAATAGGCGCGTCGTAGACACCAATTGGCTTGAATCGAGCCCGAAGACCCTCGGGCTGTGGTCGGGCTGCGGGCTTTGGAGTAGGACCGACATTAGATTGATCTCCGGACGAACCGCCGAGTTGTGTAATACGTCTGACCTGCATAATTTGGTCGACTTGTCGGGGAGCTATATCTAATCGTTAGTTTATCGAGTAAGCCACTTTGAGAAGAGGTAGAGGATTTACCTGACTGATATTGAAGCCCGTCAGAAGAAGGAATGAGAATTTGAATTGTGCTCTTGGGGGTCATTGAGTCGAAGGAAACGCCGTAGTTCTCGCCGTTGTGAGAGAATACATGGTCGCCACGCTGGGATTGATCCAATGGAATCTCGAGGTTCTGCACAACAGAGACAGGGACATTTGAGGGCACAGTGAAATACCACACCTGCTTCCCTTGCAGGTTGGCCTGGCTGCAGATTTCGGCGACGTCCTTGCCATTGGCTCCAGCGAGACTCTTCCGTAGCATGAAATCAGGTGCAATCATGTTGGGAATGGTGACCTGTTGGCTGTCCTCTCGGTCTGAGATATGCATTGACTCGTCTACTGCCTGGTCGTCCTCATCCTCATCCTCAGATGACGACGATTCTGCTTCGGACTCTGGTTTTTGAGCCTTGGGTGTAGGCGCAGAGCTTGGCTCCTCCTCGCTTGAGCTCTCCTCAGAGCTAGAAGATGTACTTTCCTTAGAAGCAGCGCCATTCTGAACGGCCTTGGAAGCGGGTTTGGAGCTGCTCTCATCCTCATCTTCACTGTCCTCGTCGCTTGAACTCTCACTTTCGGATGACTCCCGTTTTAGCTTGTTCTGTGTCGCGGCTGGTCCTTGGTCCTCGCTTTCATCCTCACTTTCTTCTTCGGATGATGAGTCCTCAGTCTTGATATTCGCATCGGCTTTCGAGGTTTTCGCAGCTGGTGCCGGCTCAGACTCGTCCTCGCTGCTGGAATCGTCGTCAGAGCTGGACTCAGAATCGGATTCAGACTTGGAAGCCTTGGCAGGCGTGGCCTTCTTTGTGGACTCCTGCCTCTCGACGTCGCTATCGGCGATCTCCTCGTCCTTGCTGCGACGCTTGGGAGCTGGAGCACCGGTCTTGTTCGCAGCACCTAGGTTGCGGAGGAAATTGGAGCCGCCTTCCTCGTCGCTGCTGTCGCTCCCATCCTCGTTCGAGCTTGAATCGCCATCGTCGGAATTGTTGTTGAAGATAGCTCCGCTTGAGCCAGCAACTTTCTTTGCTGCTGCCGCCCGTGCACGTTGGGGGGTGCCGTTCTGGCTCTTTTGGCTGTCTGCAATGTGCTTCTTGAGAGAATGCACCTTGTAGGGCTCCCGTGGAGCCATGGCGGGATTGACTTGGGGGGTTGTGAGACGCGTGCAAAGAATTGGCAGAAAAGTTGGTCTCAAAAGCTCACGACGGTCTCATAGAGGAAGGAAATTTTGATGCTGGACGTGGGGAGGAAAAAAAAAGATCCACTGACGCGCTCGGCTGGGAGATGCGCACGGGCCCACCTGCAGCGTGTCGATAGTGCTAATTAACGGGCGCGACCTGCATTACGCTCCAAACCAGTTAACGCAACCATCCACTTGAGTTAAAGTGCTCTGTACAAGTTCAAATAGTAGATATTTTACTTATTGAAATATCTATATTTCTACATAGGTACACATATTTCTTCGAAGTCAAGATCTGGGCGCGAACCTTCTAGTATTAGGTTTGAGGATAATACTTGCTTTTTCCCCCTGTTTTCTTTTTTCTTCTTTTCTCTGGCGCAAACTGTTTCCTCACAACTGTTTGGTTTCAGCTGAACTTTTTTTCTTTTTCTTAACTCACCCTACATGGTTTTCCAATTTAACTAAAAATCCTTCCTTTCGTTACGCCAGGTCTCGCCCCAATGAGATCGACAGCGTCATGAGATTGATGAACTGACTGATGAATTGGCGATCGCGATACCTCTACTGTGGTGTCTGGTACTAGGTCCGGTCTGGAGGGCTTGATTCATCCATCTCGACTCGTTCTGTTCGTCCTTTCTATGGGCGATTTGGGCCAACCCCTTTTCGGACGTGACACTCTACGGAGGTACTTTTGAATAGAGACTCTTCAAAGTTTAGTTTACAATTGTTTCAGGTCGAGTTACTTATACGGAGAAACGATCAAGGAAGTCTAGATTCTAAGGGATCCTCAGCCCCCCCGTAATTACTTGATAGAAGCAATAGTCTAAATAGGTATTTCCCCTTTATCTGTTTACCAGGACGCTGTTGGTGGCGACATCGATAGGTCCAGTACTGACCTATCGCTAGTCCAAAGCACATCTTATATATCTAATCACTATAACCTGAGTAGTGAGATCATTTCGCCATAAGATAACAACTGTTATAACATGAGACGCCCAGATAACCATCAGAAACATATAAGAGGAATCAATAAGACCTCAGAAAACGACGGCCCTAGACCCTAGAGATGCTCTCGGTAGGGCCAACCTTCTCATCCGACCCATTGGGCTTCTCACTTGCTGGCTCAGAGCCACTGTCCCTATGGGGACGCCGGTGGCGCAACTCCCGACCAAGATCATCGTGAGTGGCATCCCATTCATCCACCTCAGCATTCGGCACGCGCAGGAGCCGGTGCGTATTGGCACCGTTCTCATCGACATTGATCACCTGGGCCCGGATGGAATATTTACCCCACCGGGGGAGAAGGTTCATCCAGAAGTAGTAGTAGACGTAGCAGATGACGATGATGCCAATCCCGACGATCATGTAGGTCGCGTAGAAGAAGCTCACAGTGCCGGCGTAGATGCCCTTCTCCGGAGGGATCCATGGCATGATCAGCAGGTAGACCTGGGCGAGCAGATACAGTATGACGATAGCCCACCAGGCCCGGAACTCGGACCGGGGAGTGCCGGAGACGTCTCGGCGGCGGCGGAGGATGAGGAGACCTACACCCATCGCCACGTGGAAGATGGCATCCGGATACGTCTTGAGGGACACGACGAACTGGAATGCGTCGCCAGCCGGGGGCGCCACGATCATGAGGAAGGTGAAAGCCCATTTCAGGAGATAGGGGCCGATGGGCGTGCCGAAGGGTCTGGTCGACACCCAGAACTCCGTCCAGGGGAGCACGCCTTGACGGGCAATCTCGCGGATCTGCCGCGATTGGCTGATGAGGACGGCCAGCAGGTTGCCAAAGGAGCTGAGGAGGACACAGAAGTTGAGGGCTGACTCGGCAGTGGATCCAAAGGCAGTGCGGAAGAAGACGGCGGCGGCCAGCTCGCTCGACTTGATAAAGGTATCCTTGGGAACGGCAGCGAAATACGCGATGTTGCAGAGAAAGTAGAGAGTGAAGACGATCAGCAGCGACGCAGTGGCGTTCTTCTTGAGAGTCGGAATGGGGTTCTTGATCTCGTTGACCATGCTGAAGGCGTTCTGCCACCCCGAAAATGCGAAGGTGATATTAACCATAGCTTGAGATAGGTTGTAACCGCTCGAGGTAGTGCCTATAAAGCCCTTGCCATCGGCAAAATTGAGGCCCGGGTTCGGAATGCTGGGAACATGGCCTCCAAGGATAACCAGGCCCGAGATGGAGATGAAGACGAGCAGTAGGAGCTTGAGGGCGCCAATTCCGTTAATGGCCCAGTACGCGTACCTGTTATGAGCGGCAACGCAAATGACTGCCAATGTGTAGGCGGCAATGGCCACGCCCTTGAGCTCCCAGGGGCTGGGCGTGCGTCCGACGATGCGCCACAAGTAGTTGGATAGCACTATGGCATTGCTACTGCTGAAAGACAGGAGAACTGTCTGAACTGCGTAGGTAACAGGGAAGAAGTGCTTAGGACGCGGGTAACTCTGCTCGAGCCAGACAACCTCGGAGCCGCTGCGGGTTGGGAAGTAACTGGTAAACTCGAGATGGACACCAAGACCGGCAACGGCCAGCAGGAATCCAATGACCCAGTAAACTAGAGCCAGTCCCACGGAGCCAGTTAGGCGGAGAATGGTAGCTGGCGTGGAGAAGATACCGGTGCCTACCATATGATTGACGTTGAGGAAGATGATAGTGAGCCAGTTGACGTGGTAGCCCAAAGGGGAGCGGGATTCGACAGGTGCGCCGACAGCCTCCTGGTATCCCGAAGCACCGTTGCCAGCCGCCTGGCGGACGTAGGCGAGATCTCCATCACGGATGACGGATGCCTCGCTGTCCGACTGGTTGTGGGAGTCGGGGGCGACTTGACCAGCCGTCTGCGGCTTGATTCTGGACAGAAACCCCATGATATCTGCCTCTCACCTGGGTGATAGACAATTCAGGCGGCTCGTGAAGTGTGAGGCTTCAACGGAAACTCTCAAAAGCAGTAGTCTTCAGCCAGGGATAAAAAAGGTGAGACATGCCAGCCTTTTATCACCAAGCCAGCTGTGTGGGCTCGGCGGCCTCACGATAGCTTCCAACATGTTGACCCCTGCCGATTAACTTGGCCACCAAGAAAATAGACAGGAAAACTTCAGACTTGGCCCCTATTTCTCTTCAAGCCACCAAACGTGACCGTTCTGAACGATGGCGCAATCATCTGTGGACTGACATTGCCAGACCAACGGGCAGCGAAATCTAGACCACTGAGCCAAGTTCGAACGAATTCAACTTCTATTACGTTTCTGGAGCTTTTCGACGAGCCCATGATCTCCGCGGACTCCAGCCCTGTCGACGGTCGGGTAATTCCCGATAATGATGCGCTTGCATCATCGAAGCCAAGATAAGCATCACCAGAGCTTCAGCAGTTTAGCTTTAAGCTTACTGGGTAGGTCCCCGTTATTTCTGGCTCGGCGAGTCCTTGCTAAGACGCTCTGGCTCAAGGAGGCGAGCTAGGCACATGCTACATCTGGGTAAGTTAAGAGGCTTTCGTGCTCGCACCCGGGAATCACGACATTTGGAATGTCACTCTGTGCCATATATGGGCCGGAGTGAAGGCGTAAGTCTTGACTAGGTGTCTTCTGATTGGCCAATTTAAGAGTTAGCAACCAAGTTATTATCATTATGCCTCATTCTTCCACCTTGGTATCTCCATTACGTGGGTTCAACCGTTATTCTCTTATTCTGAAGAACGCTATTATATTGGCGTCAGGTTATAGTTTGGATTCCAGGGTCTAGCTAAGCGATCCTTGGCATTTTAATCAATCAATTACCAGACAATATCCACACATAAGGCAATGACTTACGAATCCTCAGGATGTGACTGGTTCTGGGCCTCATCCGCCAATTCGACGCCTTCCTAAAATGACAATTGCTTAAGACGAATACTCAACCTACCTTGGATGAAGCAAGGCGGAGGGAAACCGACCGCTCACCCCAATAACTACAACACGCCGAGTTGTTCCTAGTTGGGGATAAAGTGCATAGGATTTTATTCACATCACCCAATGCCATATGGCAAGAGTAGAAGTAAAGTCTGGGGATTAGAGGAGAGGCTGGTGAAACGAATCCTCTGACTGGACCTGGCAGAGGCGTAATTCTGCTATCACATGGGGAATTGAGTATGCTCGATATAAAACTCATCGATTTTGCTCGCTGCGGAAATGTGATGCTGCGAGCAAGGCTCCGGCCTCACGCCGAATTTCGACGTTACTCCGTACCTTTACGCACAACATCGGCCCAACTCCCGGCAAAGCTCATCCCCGCAGCCCAATCCTGCGCTCAACACCGTGACCAGTCAGCCCATGGCAGGATTCAACATTGGATAACTTCAGCAGGAGAACCCTCTTGCCCCAGAATCACGTCATCATCATACTCGATGAGGTGCTAAGCCCTACGACCTGGAGACCACGCCTCGCTCCGTCCGTCGGCCCTGACGATCTTGGTGAATCCTGGTGTCTGGTATAAAGCAGACGGCATTACCCCCTGTCTACTAAGGGTAATATTGGCTCGAAAACACTAGTGATTCCAGAAGGTCTCTGAACCACATTACCCCGAATCAGCCCGGCGCCGTCCAATTCTATTGTTCCGAGCCCATAATCGACCAATATGGCCGCTGCAACCGTCGCCGTCCCGGCTCCACTGCCACTCGGCAAGGTGTTTTCCACAACGCCCGCCGCCCAGCCACCACCTGGCCAGCCAGATATTGCATACCACCCGGACTGGGACAAATACCAGGCCCGTGCAGCCCGCCGCACACAAACTGAAGATCTCCCCAAGACTCTGCCTGAGGGTTTCCCCAAGGAGCTCAAGGGTGATCTAGTCTGGGAGGGGGAGACTATCGCCCAAAAATACGACTGGACGTACGTGCTATCGGCTGATCAGCTAGCGGAAATCGACAGTGCCCTCGCGCACTTCAAGTGTGAGTGTTCTTCAAGCGTGATTTGCATCGACGATACCGCGGAACAAGCTGACATTAAATCAGCTCTTAATCTCGCCAAGGGCTACATCACGCAGGAGACGTTCCCCCTGCCCAACTTGCATGCAGAGCTCCGCCGTCTGTCCCATGAACTGCATTTTGGTCACGGATTCTTCGTCATTCGTGGCCTTGACGTTGATAAGTATACCCGCGAGGAGAACATCATCATCTACACTGGTGTCTCCTCACATATTGGCTCCATCCGCGGCAGACAGGACGCATATTTCGAGGGTAAGCGCGCCGACGTCGTCGTCGGGCATGTCAAGGATGTTAGATCCGGACTCGGTGAGAACCGGGACAAAGACAAGGTGAAAATCGGCACTCCGGCATACACAGCCGACAAGCAGGTCTTCCATACCGACTCAGGCGACATCGTCTCGCTTTTCGCGCTCTCAACGGCCGCCGAGGGAGGCGCCAGCCGTCTGGCTAGCACGTGGCGCGTATACAACCATCTGGCCGCAACGAGGCCCGACCTCATCCACACCCTGAGTGGAACATGGGAGGCGGAACTGTGAGTTTCCCCTGTCACGCCGAAGAGAATGTGGCGGCAAGGAAACGAAAGAGCCTGGAGATGACTAACAACGGGTTCCCCTCTTAGCTTCACCAAGACCGTTGACGACAAGGACAAGTTCATGAGCCGGCCACTGTTGTACCACCAGCCCGCCAGCGCCGATGGTAAGACCCCCGACAGGGTGCTCCTCCAATATGGCAGGCGGTACTATGTAGGGTTCGGGGAGCTGCCGCGCAGCAGCCATCTGCCGCCTATCACCGAGGCACAGGCCGAAGCTCTCGACGCTCTGCACTTCCTGGGTGAGAGATTTAGCGTATCAACCAACTTCGAAAAGGGTGATATGCAGTACGTCAACAACGTGGCCATCTTCCACGCCCGTGATGGCTTCACCGATACACCGGACAAGCAGTGAGTTCCCCTTGATGGCGAGAAGCGTACAAGGCTATATTACTGACCAGTCTGCGGCCCCTGCAGGAGACATCTGCTGCGCCAGTGGCTACGCGACCCTGAGAACGCGTGGGAGACTCCCGAACCGCTTGCCTCGAGATGGGACCGTGTGTACGGCGGCGTGACTCCCGAGTTACAAACCTTCCCGCTCGAGCCTCACACCCGTAGCGAGAGCACGCCCGGTGGTAAGAAGTGAGGAGAGGGACGTAGCAGGACTAAGAAATAATAGCAAACAGTATCACGTCAGTAGTGCAGCTCATGTGGGTTGAAAGTGCCGTAACACAAGTAGTTCTCGTAAACACTCCATGTTGTTCTCTGAGCCGGCGACTTGTTCTTGCCGCGCTTTAAGAGAAGTCCGTGATGTAGCCCTGATGTAGCGATTCTTGGGGCCGCATGAATAATGGATTCCCTTAGCGTGGGGATATTCGTGCCCGCGTGTACGGGAAAAAAGTTACCACATGGAACAAGATGAAAAGAGATGGAAAACACGAAAAAAGCGGATAGATTGGAATGGTGATCTAGCTAGGTTCTCCTGAGAGGGGCCCGCGGCCAGGATGTCCTCTTGGCTAGCCAAACTCAAAGATGGCAGTCGCGACCTACAGCTAGCCCACACAACAGCGGGTAACATTAATTTGAGACACTCTAATATTAAGTAGCTTATTGCCAAGTCTATAGTCAGTATTATAGATTATTGCGTGATTGTAACACGCCATAGGTAAAAAACAATATACCATACCATATAGTGTTACTTTCATGAGTTTATACTGCTGAATTTTTCTATTTATCACAGAAAGTGGTCTATTTGTTTTCCCATCAGGGTGAGTCGGTCGCGCACTTTGCTGCCCGCTTTGCCCGTGATGTGCAGGGCGATATCACAAGTCTCGCCGAGCAAGTCCGCCGTTTCAATGTAAGTTTGCCGTTCTGGAACCGAATTTATCAAGGGACAGGTACTGATCAATTGTTTAGGAACGTGTCAGCGAGCATGAATGCTCCCGTCAATCTACCGACCAACAACGCGATCAACTTTTGGCCACTATAAATGAGACTGTCATTTGCTTGGAAGAATCGCACATAAAACAAAAATGTCATTAAATTGCGGGAACAACGGGACCAGACTATCATTGACTTGAAGGAATCGAACACAGAATGGGACTGTTATTGGTCCCTGCAACTTTAATGATTGTCACACTTCATGAAATGGCATCAATTGTAGTTGTATGGTCTAAAGTTCCATATTCCTGTTTTATCATTGCGGGTGACCATCTTCATCTTGGCTGCCCAGTGCCTGTTGACTGTGATGACCTTAGTTCGCAGTCTGTTCTTCTCAGAAAGTATGAATCCTTCTGGTTCAGCCACTGTGTGACTATGGTGTACGGTAGTACCAATGGTTGAAGAGAGACTGTGTAGGTAGAATGGATTGGCTGTATAGGGAGGAACGTGAATCAACGTTTCTCAGTATTACCTATTCCTGGTTATCTTCTTCTTCGCTATCCTCTTCAACATCAGCAGGCGAAATAGCAGCCTGCCGTTTCTGTAGTGTTTTGCTTTCGTCACGCTCGAATTCCTTCCATATGTAGTAATAGTCTCCGGCAGCTGGCTTTCGTGTCGGGGTCTGCAGCACCTGAAAACAGGCGTCAGCTTTTGGGCCTCCCACTGGTTGAGCCTGGAAAAGTCGCTGGCAGTCTCCAAAGCGCGGACGCGGCCTCGCAGAATCGGATAAGCTGGCGGCACTCTTGGAGCATGTTGGCAGCTCTTCGAGAGAACTTGGAGGCTCGGGATCAAGGTCATCCACCACCTCCGCAGCCCCAGATATCGCCGCCATTCTGAGAGCAAGCCATTGGATTTGGACCAGCAACCTCGTCTTGTCCAAGTCCTACTCCTTGACCCTGATCAGGAGGATGTTTCCAGACACTAGTGGTCTAAATTTCAACCTCCGAGATAGAGACACTCCATGCGAGCTGGTGTTGCTCGTGCAGGTGAGGTGTCTAAGTTTTATCCAGGGTTCCAAGTTCCTCGCTGGCTGGGATAAGTAGGCTGTTAAATAATTTCCAATCAGCATGAGGTACCATTAGACAATAACATGGCTCAAAACGTCGCGTGCATTTGACAGTCTGGATCTGTTGTTAAGCGAGACTGGCATGATATGGCATGCTTCAATCTCAGGGCAGCCTGTCGCAATGCAACATTGGTCGCGTCGTCGTACCTGATTATCGTCCCCTGTATCATTGTCGGGGTCTGGTGGGCGAGGGAATATGGTAAGGTGATGGAGCAGGCTCGTAGCCGTCATAATAATCCCCCGAGGGGGTCGCCGTTTGGGAGTGCCATTTCCTGTGTCATCTCCAGCTGCCAGAGCTCACCCTAGTCCCCCCGTTGTCGCGTGATTGGCTAGAGGAGGGCTAGAGGAGCAGAATGTCTGTTCACTGTGCTACGTCGGTCCGGTACGTCGCCCAAGGCTTGGTCGAACCCTTAAAAAAATCACACTTTCATTTCGTTGCTGTCTTATCGATAAGACATTCCCTCAAGATTGACCAAACCAGCAGCTGTGAAGCTGGCTTGAGCCAAGCGCATCGATGTTTAAAGGCTCTGCACTCAATCTTGTCTCCCTATGAAGATACTAATTTAACTAAGGGAGCATAAAGGGGTGTTGGTCAAGTTGTACACAGCACAATGTCGTCCAGCAAACGACGAAAGCTGGATGAGCCAGAGACAGGCTCACAACGTGAGCCTGCACCTTCACCAAACTACACATTATGTTATGCGACTAACATATTCGGTAGCTTCTGCGAGCGCCGTCAGCGCCGTGAGTGCTCTGGCAGCCCGTCGGCGACTGGCCGCAGTGGCCTCTGTCGAAAGTAGCCAGCCAAGCAGTCCATCCAGAGGGGATACTTCTGTCAATAGCAGGAGTTCCAGTAACGCCAATGCATTCAGTGTTTTGCAGAATCTCAGTCGTCAGGGGAACTCAGAAAGCCAGTCTGCTAGTCAGGCAAGCACGCCACAAGACCTCAAAAAGTCTGGGCGGTCAACCCCGTTGAAAAGAAGCGAGGCAGCTAGAGGGTGAGACCACTTTCTCAAGATTATCCCTTGGAGCGTCCATCTAACATATTGGTGTTTCTTAGTTCCGAAGTTGCTGTAGCTTCTCCCTCCCGAAGTATTCAATACTCCTCGTTTAGAGAGACAACCCAGAACCACCGCACCACATCAAAGGGCGTGGTCCAGCTCCGTCTGAAGGAGAGCGAGGTAATTTACCTGTTGTGTCCCCCTTGAAACTTGTTTACTGACCACATAGCAGCGTTTCATGGTTCTTGGGAGTTTTGGTATAGTTCTTATCGAGGGTGAGCTTACCATTGCTGGAGCAACGTTGCGCCCATCGCCAGATCTGCAATGGATTCATGCGCCTCACTGCCACGCGATCCCGGTGTTGAGAACCACAAAGCCTACGAAACTGGAGTTACATGCCGACCCCGCTGCCAAATCATTGCGGCAACTTGGTCGACTGTCTCCTCTATTTCGAAGAATCTGGAACGACCCCGTTGAGGCTCCTGGAGCTCAACGCCCACCATCTACATTCCGCATTGTACGTCTTGGCCCCAATAACCCCCTTACATTTCCTAGTGTTAACGAACAACCCTAGCTATACTCGTCTGAAGATGCTCCTAAGAAGAGTATCATTCAAGATCTTGTGTCCCCTCCCGCATGGAACAAAAAATTAGCAGCTTCACTTGCTTCCCACGCCGATCAGACGTCATATACGACTCTCGTCTGCGGACCCAAGTCGACAGGCAAATCTACCTTTTCAAGACTTCTAACCAACCGACTTCTTACGAGATCTTCCCGCTCCGTGCCATCAGGTGTTGCAATCTTAGACTTGGATCCGGGCCAGCCAGAATATGCGGTTCCTGGCACCCTCTCTCTCGTCCACGTCACAAAACCAAACCTCAGCGCGCCATTCTCCCACTCCTGTTTCGAGAACGAGGGAGCAAAGGTGATCCGATGCCACGCTCTAGCAGCCGTGTCCCCGGCCTCGGACCCAGATCTCTACCGCGAATGCGCATTCAACCTCCATGACGAGTACCTCTCCAAGCTCCAAAACCTCCCCTTGATCATAAACACCCCCGGCTGGGTTCTCGGCACCGGCCTCCAGCTCCTCGAGGACATCATCAAACGAACCTCGCCCTCGGAAGTCATATACATGTCCGAAGAAGGCCCCGCAGAAGCCGTGGACGCCCTCGAAGCCGTCGCGTCAGACTCGCTCCGCACCTTGCCCTCGCAGCCATCCGAGTTTGCGACCCGAACCGCCGCCCATCTCCGAGCGATGCAGACCATGACCTATTTCCATCTCAGGAGCCACACGGCCTCCTTGTCGGGGGGAAGATTGCAGTGGAACCCTTCGCCCCTCTCGGCGATCCCTCCATGGCAGGTCGCCTACGCCGGCCCCGGGAGCGGGATCATGGCCGTCATGTCCTACGATTACCAGTCGCCCGCCGACCTCCTGGCCGAGACCATCAACGGAACGGTCCTGGCAGCGGTGGAGATCGAAGACGCCAAGGCATTCAGAGACCTGAACGAAGAAGACTCCAGCATGCCCAGGATATCCAGAACGCCAGAGGACCTGCCGTTCATCGCGAATCCCAACGACGTCGCCCTCGACCCCCGCCACTCCCACACCATCGGGCTCGTCCTCATCCGGGGCATCGACACCGCGACCCGCTCCATCCAGATCCTCACCCCCATTCCGCCCCAGACAATCGAGCAGGTGAAGGCGAGAGGCAACCAGATCGTCTTCGTCCACGGGAAGTTCGACGCCCCCGGCTGGGCGTACACGGAAGACCTGTACCTCCGCTCGGGTGATGACGACACCGTCATGGACCAGACGATGAAGGTGGAGGATCAGGATACCAGCGAGGATGACTCCGATGCCGAGGGCTTGGATTCGGTGAGTACCCGCGACGTGACAAATACGCCCTGGGTTGAGACTCTAAGGGGCAACGAGAAGCGTCCCGTGGGATCCAAGGTTTGGAGGGTGAGGCGGGATCTTGGACGTAGCGCTGGAGATGGTTGAAGCGTATCTGCCCTGTTATCATGAACAAGAGGCGGAGTGAGAAGATGTCCAATCACATTTGTTATCTAACCTATTAAAATGAATATTTCCTTGTATGAGTCCGCACCGTAGTTTCCTATTCTCATCCTGAGCTGGCGAGATGAGCCCCTGTAATGTCCTTTTCATCTAAACATCAATCAGAGGAGCTCCCAGCCTAATTCTACCCAAACTGCCAACACCCCCCGATCTGACAGGCCACATCTCACTCCGTCCCTTCAGTTGGAGGACCCGGGGGTGGCGGATCAGACTGCGCCGGGGTCTGCTCGATGAATCCAAGATCAAGACTCTCCCACCTCCATAGATTGGCAAGTTCTCCCAACTCCTCTGTCGCTATCGTGGGGAAGCCCATGTCGGGTCCCATCGACGGGTCCGCTGATGGATGCAAAGACAGCGCGTCCAAGGTCGGCTGCCCGTCGGGCAGGAACTGGCCCTGCATAGCCAGAGGGTCGAAGTACATGCCCGTCTCAGGGGGCCAGTTGTTGTCCGAGAAGAGAGGCATGTCGAATGGCCCGCTGGCGGGATAGGCCGTCGGCTCGGGTATGGCCAATTCCGGCCCAGCTGGCATCGGGGGTCCAGTCAGGCTGCTGCCCGACTCCACGGTAGTCGTCGAGGCACCGTGGGAGTCAAAGTGAGACCTCGAGCTCGTGCTCGGCCCGCTGGCGCTGGCCGGTGCAGCTTGGCTCGAGTAGGTCGAGGTAGTTCCAGGAGCCGGCCCAGGCAAGGACGACAGCGAGGACTGCTCCAGCCTCTGCTTCTTGTTCCCGATCCTGTTGAAGATGCCCAGCTTCTTCAGGACCTTCCTCTGCATCTTCTTCAGGACGAAGAGATATGTTTTGGCCGGCAGGATCTTCTCCTTCAGCCGATCTACCATGTCGATCGCCCTTTCGATGGCGACCAGGATCTCATCCCGCCTCTCGACTGTCTTGTCCTCGTCGTGTAAGATGACACTGCCGTGCACGGTTGCGGTATCGAAGATGCAGAACAGCACGAAATGGAACTTGGCATCGCGGGGCCATACGTAGTCAAAGAATCCGTACAAGGCATCCATCAGCCTCAACGCATAGCGCACGCCATCGCGACGAATTTGCAAAGACTTCTCCGAGGTGTTCTTGTTCACCACCTTTGCCAGGTAGGCTCGGATCGGGTCCAGAAGCATGGAGTGCGCCATGGTATGAAGGTAGTGTCGGTGAAGTACAATCCAGGGGTGTAATTGGTCCTGGCTCTTGTCCGGTCGATTAACGTCGTACGTCGGCGGGAACGTGCTGATCCACTGCTCCAGCATGGTCTGGTATTCGCGAACTTCGTCTTCGGATTGGACATTCTTTGGAAGCCCAAACCTATCGGCCAGCTGTTTTATCAACTGGGATTGCATAGTCATATGCAGGGAAGGGGAGGGCGAGTAGGATTCCAGGTTCAGACTTGGGAACGCGACGTTGCAGTCGGCGCGATCGATGATGATGGGTCTCGCTAGGAGGGCAGATATTTGCCTGGAGCATGTCAATTGCGGCTCAGGCGAAGGCCGAATCCAGAGCAGGCGTTGCTCGGTCTCACTCACCAGTCCCAAGTATCTAGGACGCACCATACGCGTCTACGCATTTCCTTCTCCAGCATGCTAAGCCCGTCATTTTCGGTTTCTTGGTGCATTCCTACGCGGAAACGAATTAGTTTTCACAGAAGCAATGCAAGAGGTCAGGTTGGGCAAGATATAGAAAGCCACCTACCCAAGTCCTGAGCGGCCCGGACGGCAGAGTTGAGGATATGCCAGGATTCGGGAAACTGTGCTTCAGACTTGAACCAATAGCACGAATGCAGGAGCTGCTGCACAGAGTAGAAGTGGCTGTGGCCGACGGGGATGACACTGTACAGCTGACGGCCGGCGCCGTGATACTTCTCGCCGAGCGTCTGGCAACTCTGGAGAAAGTCTCTCTGAAGCCTACCCTCCAACTCGACAGAGCAGTACTGTGCGGAGCAGGCACACACCATGAGCAAAAGACAAGTCCATTGTAGCCCGAGAGGTTGGTTTTCGGCTCTGGCAGTCCACCAATCCCGATATTCGTCGCGGAAGGAGGGGGGATAGATGATGAAGTAATGGAAGTTGACGTGCGTCAGAAAGTTATCAACAAGTTGATCTGTGATGGCAATGTCAACATAAGCAACAGGTTATGCCAATCCAGGGTGCATTCTGCGTTGCCTACCCAGATATGGTCGAGGAGGAAGTGCATCCAAGGCGTGCTGCAACTGTGGGCAGGCACTGGGAAGTGCGAAATCCTGCTTCTCCGGGGGTCTCATCTTAATCTTAGGCTTGATAATTGGAAGTGCGATGTTAGCAATGCAGCCAAGGGGCAGTATTTGGATAGATGTAGAGAGGGGAGAAAGAACATACCCCAGCGGCGTTTCTCATATCAGTGAAGATATTGCTGGATGAATAACCAAGAGCCTCCAGGCCCAAATCGTCGTTGTCATCATCGTCCTCGTTCAGAATGTCATCTAGCTCGTCGGCATGACTAGAATCAGGCTCTCGCCCGCGTTTCTTGGAAGTCTCCCCTGCCGACCTATCCACGGCGTTGGGGTTGAGCTCCTTGAAGTGGCATTTGTCGGCCACCTTTCGCTTTTGGCAATGATTACAGGGCCATTCACGATTGCACTGCGATGACGAGAATGTGGGATTAGGATCAAGGTTCCTGTCTATTTACAACGCCCGCCGCACCGGCTATGCGAGACAGAATGGAAGGGGAGGCGAGGTATAAGCACACATACTTTCTGCTTGCGGCGCTGGCACTCGGAGCAGGCAGTGCGGCCGTGGCCGTCTTTCGCGTCCTTGGTGTCCGTCATGATGCGAACAGTGGCATTGGCCAAGACCCGAGCCAGACGGTGGTGGTGAAGAATAAAGCACAGGGCAGAAGCGACAACAGAGGCCACCTGCAGGAGGTAGTTATCTGTCTGCGGCGGTGGGATCAAGAAAATAGGGCCGGAAGAGGGCGGATCCTGAGGGGAGCAAGGCCGTTGTTTAGCTCAGGCCTCACAGCATCTCAATCCAGGTCCTGAACCTTGAGCGAGGGACAGGAGATGGTTATTGGTGAAAAAGGTTCGGCTATAAACTTTGTGCTTATTCGCCCACGACAATGAACGGCAGCTAGCTCACACAACATGCAACTCCTGGCCAAAAGCTCCCAAAGGTCCGCCCGTTGGACCCTGCGATAGATCTTCTGGGCGGCCTGCAGACTCGGTGACGTGCGGGCCACCGCCACCGCGGGTCAATCTCAATCTAACAGCCGGACAGGGATCTAGCTGGACGCCTGCACACTCCAGATTCACGCGACATCTCTCCTCTCGCCTCGGTCTGTCTTGCCTGTGCTGGCTGTCTGTCGGGATGCGAGAAGTATGTGTGTGTGTGGGTACAAAGAGACGGCACCTACCGCTGGGCCGTTGGCTGGCGACACGGCCCTGAGTCATGGGATGGCATTTTGGGGCATATTGCGCTCAGCCAGACTGGCAATTTGCTTCCCTCTGCCTCTCGCCCCTTCAGCCGGGGATGCTCTCGGTGGCGCCAAGGCTGAGCCAAAAGAAAGAACACCTGCAGATTGTCCTCAGCTCATGCGAATTACTGCACGTCTTACAGGCCCTGACCCTGAGTATCTCTGGCTCAGTTCTGTGACCGACTGGCCCTAACTCAGTGCATCGCTTTTAATAGAGGCAAATACCGGTGATTAAACCCTCCTCGTCCCGCATCACCTGCATACACGCTACCAACGGGGATGCATGCTGCAGTAGGAAAGGAGGGCACCCATCCTGCCAATCAATGCCAAAGCAGTCGCCTAAACCCCCGAAAGAACCCTGAGAAAAGGAAAAAGAGGAGAAAAGAAAAAGGAATTGTCCGTCGGTTCCGCCGCCCGCCTCCACCTCCTCTGATTCGCTCGCCAGACACTGTCGATCTCCCCGTTTCAGCTTCACCTCCTCGGCTGCTTGCAAATCACCAACACCGCCACCTTTGCCATACTCTGGGCGCGAGCGGCCCTGCAGGCTCAGCTCACCTAGCATCGCTGACGATGAAGAGCACAAACTTTCCCCCGTAGCTACTACATACATTCATGAATTTGTATAGTCTAGGAACCTTGACGTTGGGTATTCCCAGAGCCATCAGCCAGCAAACCCCCCCCCTTTCCTCCCACCGTTTTTTGTCCGCCACCGCCCTCGCACCTATGGCAAACGAGCAATTCTGCACAATGCCCGATTGAGATGAGACAACAGCCAGGACTGAGACAAATAATGCGGCTGTCCCCCCTCTATTGTCCGCCAGCTGAGCGCCGTTGTCACACCTCATTGTGCAAAGTGCTGAAACCGGCCTCGGGCTACACTAGATAGACACACCCCAGGACCAACAACATCCTTCCGTCTATCCTCTACACCCTCCTTGGCCAACAGAGAGGCGGTATGCGAAAGCCAGGTTCAATAGCGCACCCATATTTCTTCTTCCTATCCTCGCGACCTCCGCTCTTTCTGGGCGGGGGAGAGAGTATATTGGCCCTGGGTCTGGATCAGTGGCTGCTCGACTAAGTCATCATACAGTCTCGAACTTATTACATTCGAGGCGTGGCATGCCACGTAATAGCTGGGCAGAAACGCCCAGCATGCACAGCAGTAGGTTATCGGGGCGTACGTGTGACCATGTTCGGTCTCCATGTTACTATCACGGTCATGGCTACCCAAGGAGTGAATACGGCACGAGAGATGGAACATTTTCAAGCAAAGGCCATGTATTCAGCCGCTTTCTTCTTTCGTCAGCTTGTGATATAATTGATCCATGCATGTGTACCCTCTTCCAGCCGTAGTCTCTCCACCGTTTTCAATAATCCAAACATCAAGCTCAAAAGAACTTGCTCTTCAAACTTCCAAGCACAAGATTCCTCTTCTGTTTGTTCATATACTTGCTCACGTCATCTGCCCATCCTTGGCTTTGGTTTTGCAGGCTGTCCATTGTGTCACCCATCATGTTCAGTTTCTCCGTCCGCTCGTTGAGCTGCCTTGTCAGATAGTCACCCCACCCTTCTTGGTCTTGGGAAGAGGAACCTCCTCCCGCCGCAGTAGCTCGCCTCTCAGCCGCGGCAGCCTCCAGCATTCGCTTACTAGGGGGCCTGTCCGGGCCACCTACCAGTAGATCCAGATCAAGCGCGCTGACATGCTGCGTGCCCGATATCCACTGCATGTTGGAAATCACTGGCCGGGGCGGAGTTTCCAGTTCTGGATTGACCAAGATGTCCTGTGACTGCTGCAAAGGTTTGCCTGCCCCCCAGACATGTATTACTGCCAGTTCGCTCGGTCCAGCCCAGCCAAACACATCGCCGGTTTGTGTGACAATTGTGTTTGTACACCTGCTCGGGTCAAGCATCGGAAGCTCAGCCTTGCCGATTTCCTTGAGACCTGGGATGGAGAACGCCCGGGCAGTTCGATCTCCAAAGACACCAACGACAGCGACACCTTGAAGCTCAAGCTCAGCAACGCCAGCTGCGTCGCACAGCGTATCTTCGAATTCCTTCGAGGCTCCCTTCGAGTTGGCGGGTCGGAACACTCTGATTTCTTTTTCCGTGACTGTGATGATAAGTCAGTTAGCCCAGTTGATTCATGTCAACTCATTGAGTCGGAAGAAGAGCGGTTTACAACTCACCTGCGACAACAACGCCATTTATTTGCCGCCCTTCCCTGAGGCTCCCTACGGTTGCTGAAGTAGCAGCTGCAGGCTTTCCCGTGTCAACTTCGATCGGGCTGAGTGACACAATTCTGTCGTCGAATGTAACGACGCCGGCGAGCTGTGTAGAGTATCTGCCATCCTCCTCTGGAAGTAGCTTGAATGTAATCACCTTCCCCAGGTTTGTCCCGACGAAGCAACAGATGCTCGAGTATGAATCCTCATCAAGAGTCATGACACCAAATTCAACCACAACGGGCCATTCTTTCTCTGGGCCCACGCCAGAGTTGCGGTGGCCCTTGAGAAAGGAGGATCTCTTTTCCTGCCGTGCAAAATCCGTCATCGGGGCCTGGTAAATAATTGCCGGTCCACGAAGATCGATCAAGGAAAGGAAGCCCAACTCTGACCCGATAGCCACGAAACCAACGTTTGAAATCTGAATGGCAGTGATTGGTCCCTGCATCATCTCATATAATAGATATGGCTGAAGACCTTCTCTCAGATTTGGCTCCGCTCTTGAGCTAATGTCAGTCAGGCCCATTGGGTTCGGAGCCAAAGGCCTCGGCTCGTCTTTCCCGTAAAATCTGTTGCTCCCCCAGCGGAAGATGAGAGCTTCGCCAGTGCGTGTGCCCACCACGAATTCGCCAGTGCTGCTTGACATGCTCATCGTGGTTATCTCGATGTCGTCATTGCGCCCCAAGGCCCTGGCAACATCCACCTGGAGCTGCTCTGTATTCTCAATTTCATCAGCGTGTCCCGAGTCCCAGATTCGGATGGTGCTGTCAGCCTGGGCGGCCTGGATTATGGTGCGTTCTTCGAATCTCTTAAGTGGCATAACCGCTGGTGCTCCTCCCTTGAGAATTGATTCACCGCGATCGCGCTTTTCAACCATTGATAACCACCTCGGGCGTTCCAGACTTGATACATTGACTCGAGTGACAAATGGGTGTACGAAGAATGTTGAGGGGTGAAGTTGATTGGTTGGACTGATGGGGTAGCCGGAAGGGAAGCTCATCGTGACAAGCTCCCCTGACGAAAGAAGCGATATTATCCCAATTGGATCCTGGGCACCTGCAAAGTGAGGTGAAGCCCGAGGTATAAGGAGGAACTGCGTTGCCAAGGCCCCGTTGGGAAGCTTCAAATCCTGTCGGCGCTTTCCGTGGAAGTAATCGGAGAGGGCTACCCATGTAGATGTGGCGTAGATAGGAGTTATACCCAGATCTATGAAGGAAATGCTCTTTGGTGATTGTTCTGGGCCTTGGCCGCCTGCTATCAGTAGCCCCGAATCATCGCAGTTGGTCTTGCAGCACCAGGCAATACTGGTATAGGGCTCGACATATGTAGTGTGAGGATTTGCCGCTCGCTGGTCAACTCCGAATTCCGTGAGGGTTCTTGCCAAAATCACCTTCTCCTCCTTAGGGTCCCAGAAGACAAGGCTTCCGTCCTCGTGTGCAGTAAGAACAAAGGTCCCGGATGGGTGCCAGAGAGCGTGTGTCAGCTTTGGCCGTCGTTCCTTATCGACTCCAGCGCCGTTGCCTCCCGGCGCACCGACGGGAACCTTGTACTCGAAAAACTGGACTGCCTTGTTTTGTTTAAAGGAGTAGATGACAGCTCCGTGTGTGTAGCCAATTAGAAGCTTCCCAACATCCCGCGGGTGAACTGACATGCACACCAGCTGGCAATTGCGTGCCTTGGCATCCCTCGTGGTCCAAAAGTTGGGGAGTCGGAATGTGCGTGCAAGGTTCAAGCGGTCAATGTCGTATGCCATAACATCTCCTCCCTGGAGGCCTACGAAGGCCCAGTCAAGCATTGGATCTGTCACGATACAAGATACCTGGCCCGCGATGACTTGGTAGCCCGCCTTGGTCCCCAGCTGGAGATCCCATACGGCCAATTCGCTGCGCGAGTCAAGGCTGATGAGGCGAGAGCCGACGAAATGGAGGCTCTTGAATGATGTGGCCCGCTGCAGCTGGAAGACCTTGTGCACGCGCTGGCGTCCAAAGATGTAGATTTTGCCCGAGCCATACTTGCTTTCGCTGGTGCCTATCGCAAGCAGCGACTGCACTGGATCATATGCGAGGCAGCTTCACAGTTCATGTCAGGTCAGAGTCAGCACAGTGGGTGCAGGGCTGGTGATGGTGGACGACGGGGAGCCGAACCTGATCTGCGAATTGATTCCATAGCGAGCCTGGTCATCCGGCAGGAACAGCTCGGGCCGGATGCTCGCAGAGAGATCCTTCTGGATCCCCGCCTGTTTCCCCCGAATGAAGCTGGCCATGGTGATGGTGTTGGTGTTCGTCGAGAGAGCAGCTTGGATAAGGCCATGCCACAGAAGCTGGCAATGCAAGTTGGTCGTAAGCCGCTGTCCATGCGGTTGCTTCCATCTTGTTCAGCTGGTGGCGGGGCGTCTTGGCCTCAGTGACAACGTCATTCACAGTGCGAACAGGAAGGTGATGTCCTGTTCCAACAAACAGCCCGCTACTAATTACGCGCTCCGTTGGGCAGTGGCATGTTTCTCTTACTGTATAAGTCACTGTGTCGTGCCCAACTTCAATTCATCATCACAATTCATCACAGTTCAATGAGAAAGTCCTAGTTGGCAATCACTTCAGTTAATTGAAATAGCTCACGTCTTCATTTATGCGACTCAACTACTGCTCCGCCGCTACACCCGCCAAAACCTTGTCACCCCTTTTGAAGTTGCCTGATGGCCTAAGATAAATTGGCCTAAGATAAAATCGATAACCACCTTGATGATTTGATTTCTTGCGCACTCCTCCGCCGCCAACTCCCGCCAAGACCACATCACCCCTTTTATTTTCCATTTCACGCCGATCCGTGGTTCAGACCGCCAACCCTCCTCTCTCTAGGTTGGCTTAGATAAACCACATAGTTCTCTCCATGAACTCAAGTCGATCCCTGGGACCGAGAGGCAAAAGATCGGGCGCCTCCTCGCCCTTCAGGTCTTCAGCCTTGGGTCCAATATGGAACCCCTTAGCAATTCTATCCGTAAGCATCTCAACACCAGCGCCTCCGTGTCTAGGCCCATCGCCTGACGGAGCGTTCTCATGGCAGCGAGCTCGGCTGCCTGCCAGATGAGCGTAGTATACTGCAGGGTGCAGGGACACTGGAGTAGTGGATCTGATGTAGGAGTAGCATTGATGATAGATCATCCTCTGCAGGCCATTGATAGGCACGTTGAACTCGTCAAGAAGCACATAGTAGTGAACAGGCCGAGCGGTTCCCTGGATGGCAACATGCGAGTTCAAGAAGAAGTCAAACATGAATGGATGTGTCACTTCATGCTCGACCAGAGTTCCGGGCAGAGGGTTCGAATTTCTGTCGCCAGCGCCCTGAGGAGGAAAGAACCGAATATGGTGCCTCTTTGTAGCAACAATGACCGTGATTTTTGGGCATTTTGCCCCAAAGTACCTCCGAATCGCGCCAATCTCTTGGTCGATAACTTGGGCAAATTGCCCCTCGCCAACACCATCGCGGAAATATATGAGATGAGCCGGGAATAAACCGGGGTGTCCGGCCCGCCAATCCATCACTAGTTTGCCGAACATCCTAGCCATATTCTTGTCTGTAATCATCTCGGTCCTGTAGCCATTTGTCTGGACGGCAGCATTGAATCGAATGCAGTTAGCATCGGCATTCATCGTCATGGCTGCAATAGAAGCAGTATTGCCTCCAGGTGCGGCGTGAGAGACGTCCACACCAATAACCATTGTCGGCCGGTTAGAGGGGAAGTAAGTGCCAGTAGTCGGCCAAGGAGGGTCAGTTCGCGCAGTGGCACCTCCCAGCTTAGCATTGACTTTCATGCAGACGTTCGAGTGATACTGGGCCTGGTTTTGTTGAACATGTCCTCGCTGAACAACCTGGGACAGGAAACCAAAGCGGCAATCAGCATTCTTCTTCACACGCTCGTAAAAAGGGCTGCCCTTGGACGGGACGACAATGAACAGGAGCTGCGTATGCAACTTTCTCTCCTTCGTGATCATCTCATGGGCTCTGAGGACCACGGTAGCGCCATTAGTCCCACCGATGGTGATATCCTCATTCCTGGGCCTTCCTTTATTCTGCAGAGACCAAGGGGGAACGATGACTGGATCGCTCTCAACAAGTCCACCGTGCCTCTTGAAGGTCATCTTGAACGTTTGTGTAAATGACACAAGGGTTTCCTTGTCACAGCAATCACCCATTGCAACGATTCCCCAACTTTGAAGAGGGATTTTGTTCGGTGTCCAGAACTTGAGATTGTCGATTCTCCACCGGCCCGAGAATTGGGGCTTCGCAGTGCCACCGGCGCGGAACTTGACGATCGGAGGTGGAATGACCTTTGCCTTTGTGGTCGAAAATTTCTCCTCAAAGGTGATGCCATAATGCTTCAGGTATGGGTCCTCGTCAAGTCTCAACATCTTTGTCTTGTCTTCAATGGCCTTCCTCCTTTCGTTGGGCCGGGTGACTGCAATTTTGATCATGTTGGCAGTCTGATCAGAGTTGAGCTTGAACGGGTATCTCTGCATTGGCACAATGTAAGCCATTTCCATGGGAATCGCGCCGCCTGTACCGGCATCGATTAGAGGAAGACCAGGCGCGCGAAGGTGCTGTTGGTATTTTTGCACGTAGTAGTCAAGAACGGAAGTCTGCTTTCCGTTGAAATCGAACTTGACGTTTCTGGAGTTGGCACCATCGGCTCCATACTTCTCCTCAAACATGATGTCTCGAAAGGTGTACACCATATCGGCGACTCCTTCCGGGCGACCTCTGTGTTTGACAGTAAACTTGAGGCGTCTCAGTTTACGGAGATGCTTGAAAGCATCAGACGAGTGCCAGTTATCGTTGGCACCAGGACGTTTCTTGGGCCTGAGGACATCAACGAGTCTGGCAGGAGTCAAACCCCTCCATTGAGAATCACAGTTGGCGAGAAAGCGTGGGAGCATGTCGCTCAGTCGCTGGTCGCCTACCCAAAACGCTGTGTTGGCAACATCGACATTGAGAGAGAGGCCGATACCCCCACTGCTCATGTCCTGGCTGAAGCGAATTGAGGCATACAGTCCCTTGTGGACTTCAACAACGCCTCCATCTGAGAGGTGACTGCCCTTTGCTTTTGTGTCGTAAAAGTTGCGCTTGATAGAGAGCAGGCGCTCAGAAGCACCTTGGCGGAGCAGATGGTCCAAGAAGCTCATTGCTTCAACAACAACGTTATTGAATTGGACGCGACTCTCCAAGTAGGCCGCGATGATGGCTAGGTTGATCTCAGTCGTTGCCTTGATGATGACTTCGAACACCGAACCAGGTCGAGGCTTCTCTCCAGCAGCTCGCTTCTCCTCATCAAGGTCGACCTTGAATTTCAATTGCTTGACATAGGTAGGTGCCCATGCCAATGCCTTTCCGTCAAAAATCCACATTTTGGAATTGTAAGGCTTGAGTGCTTCTTTGGTCGCACGATGCTCCAGAATCTTCTTCACTGGGAGCCTCTTGTTGGACTCGGGAATAGAGGAAACATTGATCTAGAAGAGCAGGACATTAGTCAAATCATTTCTTATGAGAACAAATATGGCTTAGACACTCACGTCATACTGATGGATCTTGCCATCGTAGTTCAGACTCTTCAACCGATATTGGTTGACGGCAATCTGAGCCGGTTTACCCTCGGTGTTGAACTTGCCACCACGTAGGGCAAATCTGGACTTTTGCGTGTCGGACACATAGGCATCAGGAGGTAGCTCCATGCGGGTGTTGCCCGACTTCTGAGCAGGTGGAACGACTGCTGGCCTTCTAGGAGAAGTAGAAGGGCCGGCCTTTGGTGAGCCGGGCGCGGACCTGGCCGGCGAGCTTGACCGAGGTGGTGTGGTCGACATCTTGACAAGACTGGTCAAAACGAGTTAGTAGGTTGAAGTAAGAAATTTCGTGCCAAGATGTATTGGAATTCTCCTCGTGAGTAGAGGTGAGGAAGAAAGTCTGCTTGGCTTGATGGGAGAAGTCTGCAGTATTTAAAGGGTTGAGGGGATGAAAGCCTCCAGGGTGCTCATGCAAGGAAAACAAATGTGACCATTCCAGGAAGACAAGAAAATCAGAAGTGGCGGTTCTGGGAAGACAAGGAACGAAGGCCGTGAGTTGGTAATCAAGCGCAAACAAAGGAAGATGATGGTCATAAAACAGTGAACAAACAGCCTGAGCTTAAGTAGTACACTTACCGGCTCTCACCACAAACGGGCAGCACAAGCTCAGTCTAGGCACGTAGCTGCTATTATTACGGTCAGTCCCAAAAAAGTTACAACAGAATGAAAGCAGGTATGAAATGGAACCGTGTGAAAGACACCACCAGTGCGGTTGTATCCAAAAACGCAGCCAAGAACAAGGCACCAAAAAAACAAGGGGAGGGAGGCAATAGGAAGCTCACCGTAACTCAAAGTTATCTTCAAGTGACTGGGATGTAGATTGAGAAAAGCTGCAAAGCTGCAAATAGCCAGCTGTGCCAAAACAAGTGGACAATGTGAGCAGAGAAAGAGCACGCGCCAAGTGGCTGCAGGTGGCTGCAACTAGTGGCAGATGGGGGAAACCAAAGTAAAGTGTGTGCAGGGAGAAGTGTGTTAGGGAAAAGTGTGTGTAGGAAGTGTGCAGAGGAAGTGTGTAGAGGAAGTGTGTGTGTTGTGAGAGAGGAAGAGGGAGGAGGGAAGAGGAGGGAAGAGGAGGCCTCTATTTATGAGTGCAGCGGAGGTGGTGATGCCTCGGGCAGAAACACTTATGAATAGAGGGAAAGAGCGCCCTGAGGGGTGTGTGAGCAGATTCTGAGAAAGAGACAATAGCTTCGGGGGGGAAGGAGTGTGAGACGGGCGGGAAGGAGATGAAGCGCGTACGAAGCACGCTCAATGCAAACTTACTGTCGGGAGAGGGTACGGCAGCAACCAGCCTCAAACGCTCAGGTACCTACTTATGTGGCAGAGGTCCAAGTGCTTGTTTGCCAAACATTTATGCACTATTTTTTGAGGCCAACGGGGCTTGGAACAGGTTGTGTTAGGCTGTACGTCGATTCACGTCTTGCTTGCATGTGGAGGCAACTCGTCGCAGCAGCACGCACCCGATGCCAGCTGTCTGCCAGTGCCACCGATCCAGATTCTGTATCCTGGAAACCTGCAGCCGCAGATGTATCAAGTTCGCCCGACCGCCGGGTGCCCACAGTCGCGCGAGGCAAATACTTTATTTTGTTGCTTCAACTGGATGCGTTTGAGACATCCATGGATGTCACCTCCCAGGAAGCGCAGCTTGGCCACGCTGTCAACTCCTTGGCGGTTCTTGAGGTTTCTCATCCGCTGAGTGCTCCCGTCTAATCAACCGGCGGTACAGGCCTCATACTTACGGGTAGAGGGGTCATTGCAGCTCGTTCATCATCTCATGTCACACATCATGTCGTTATGATCCAAGCCGATGTTGGCCAACGCCTACCTGCGTCCATCACCGCTCAGTAAGTACTAGACTAGACACAGGGGTGTGGGAGTTCGAGCAGCTTGACTCACACAGTAAAAACAGCAATGGAAGATGCCAGACCCGACATCTGAACATTATGAAAACGCAAGGCAAAATTAAGCTCTACTAGCCCAAGGCTACAGCCATGCAGAAGGAAAACTTTGTAAACCTTCACGCCGATGACTCCCTTGGCGTCGGGACGAGCCGCTCGTCAGGTTTCTATTTACCTTACCTACTCTGGCAAAGAGGTAAGGAGGTGGAAGTGTTCAGGGCTGAATAGAATATGGATAGCCTTGATAGTGGTGCTTCTTAGCCCCTAAAACCACCGTGGAAGAGATCCCAGTGAAATGTAACATAGTGGGAGCTGGACTAGACATACCCAGCCGTGTCATGAGTCTTCACTTTGGCCATTGGCACCCATGCATGTATATTTGTTGCATTTTGATTCAGCTACTGTAAATGGCGCCCGATAGTCCTCCAGCGGGCAAATATCTATAGGAACCTCCAGTATCAATTTACTTCAGAAAGCTAGGCTCATTCTGTCCATGGCCAATCATCTCTTACCCATTTCCAAAAATAAACGCCTACCAACATGCAGTGATTAAAAAGAGAAGGGGGGACGACAAAGTGGTAGTAGGGGTTTGAGACGTTGATCCGCTTGCTGGGTGCAAATAGGGCAATGCAGATACGTAGAGCCTCCCACTAACCAAAGAAACAAGCAAGTGTACCGAAAACGCAAAGGAGCCAGCTTGGATCAGACCTTTTCGGAAGGCCTAGTACCTGTACCCCCCGTACTGTCCCGCTGAGGACTGCAAGTAGCCTCCCTGACCTGGCCAACTCGGTTGCATGCCAGCAACAGTTGGGTCAGAGGGCGGCGGTGCAAACGGGTTGGCCGGGTGGCCGCCCAAGTTTTCGGCCCTCAAGGGAGAGTTTCGATAGCCCCCAGACGCGGAGGCAACCCTTCCATAGGGACTGATTGGCCGCCCCATAATATCTCCCGAAGCATGTCTGCCATGACCCGGTGTTCCTTGCCGGTTCTGGTCACCGCTCCTAGAGCTCCAGGAATTATAATCGGGGAGAGTTGTGCTCTGTAAGAGTGCTGTCAAACCCTGCGGGCTGAACCTCTGGCCGTCATATGTATGTGCGGGCGGGAGGATGCCGAGCAGGAACGTGATTTCACGGTTAAGTGCAGAGGACTGATTACGCCGCTGCTGATCAAGTCGCCGCCCGGCTGCGCCTTTCAAAGGGGAGGCAGCCCGGGCAACTCGCTTGGCTGGATTTAGTTCTTCTTCGTCGATACCTAAGGGCCGCTTTGGAGATGCGGTAGCTCGAACATATTGGAGGCGGGGGCTTTGTTCTTGGTGTAATGGCGCCGGGCTATTGCGGGCTGAGATCGGAGGCTGTTCTATAGTCGGTAGAACTTGCCTCGGCCGCATTTGCACCGCTTTGGAGATAATGATGGGGGCTGCAATTGGGTCAAATTTTTCTGTCGAATACCGAGATGTAAAATAGTTGAGTTTAGGATCCCCAGGGAAGAGCTCTGCCATTCTATCCTCGAGCTTGGAAATCTGGGAAAGCTCGCCGAACTGAGATTCATACTTGTGAAAATAAGCATACAGTGGCTTAGCTTTGTGCATTGTTTCTGGTTTTGATATTAGGCGAGTGACGCAGGTTTCGAAAACAACCCGTGCATCTGTCATCCGAGTTAGCTCTTTTTCTTAGACTGGAGCATAGGGAGAGGGGAGGGGGCAGAAGTGCGACTCACTGGTTGTATCGTCCTTCGCATGCAAGAATTTGAGGTACTCAAGCATGAAATTCTCATCACTCGGGAACAGCCGAGCACCACGTTCAAAAATCTTGGCCCCAACAGGATCCTTGTAGACCACCGACTCAAGTAGGGCGACGGCAACATACACATCGCTCGTAAGACGGCCTCGCTGGCGAGCATCCGTAAAAACCTTTCGTAGACCGCCAGCGGCTAGGCTACCTTTGCCCTGTATTCTACGCATCACACGAGCCAGAGCAATCCAGACATGCGAGATTGTCCGGGACAGGAGCTGACTCTCGGCAGAATATCCTTCCTGGATGGCCGAGATACGGTCCTCGATTGCTGACTTTTTGGGCTGTCCCTGCTCGTCGTCGTCGTTTGGCTCAATGGATGGAGCAATAGGAGCATCATGCGCCGCAGCTTGCTTCAGCGTCGCTACCTCCATCTTCTCCCTTTCTTTGACTTTATCACCCATGGCATATAGCGTATCCAGAACATCGTCAAATGGCTTCCGTACTGCCTTGGCATATTCTGCGGTATCGCCCTCCTTTGCAGGATAGTTCAGCTCAATGTGGTCTGCGTGCTTGAGAGCCAACAGGACGCTTTCAGGGTTCGCTTGAATTCCCTGGAGTAGCATGTCTGTGCCGGTTTCTTTGTCCATTTCGCGTATGTCATTCTGGAAACACCATTGTGCTGCATCCACCCAGATCTCTGGCCAAAAGCGCAAAGCCATGAGAGCCTGCTTGTAACAATATATCACTCTCTGCTTGAATGCTTTCGGTTCATCGTTTGCCAGGACCAGAGGATCTTCCTTCTCCCAAGCAATCCACTTCTTCCACAGTTCGACTTGCTCTCTGAACTCTTGGTCGCCATCGAAGCCAGGGGCAGGTGGAAGGCGAGGCAGGTTAGATCGTTTGATATTCCGAGTAATATTATCGAGGGCAATGTTAGCACTCTTTGCTGACATGTATCCCGGCGAACGCTCTTGGATAAATTTACGTCCCTTGAAAATCGTGAGTAAATCGTATAAGCTCAAATTTAACAATCAGCACTTACCGTCATTTTGTTCAGGCCCATCTCAAACTGATCATACTCTTTCCAAAGATTATTCACAGTCGACATTGGCACATTGATGGCTCGGTGGTACGCCTTTCGCAGTTGATCCATTTTTTGCTGGTCCTGCCAGCCTGTGCCGCCAACCTGGCCCGGTCCATTCTTGAGAAACTGAATGTAGTCTTGCCAGATATTCCCCGAATCCCTATCCATCCCAATGTTATCAATTACAAATTCATAAGATCGGGCGATAGTCTGTCGAGCTGTGCCAGTAGTATCATTTGTTAGATCATTGCGTCGCCGAATGTAATTGAGGTAAACAGTCCATAACCTGACATTGGGAACCGTCATCAAACTTCTACCAAAAAGCTGCTCAGCAACTGCGAATTGGTCCAAGCTAAGTTCCATCTCCAGCCAGTCTGCCCAGATGTCGGCCTGCTCGATGGTTAGTACAACCCAAACCTCAGATCAAGGTATATCAACTTACCGCTTGAGGAAACACCTCTACGAAACGAGTATAAATTTTGCGCAATCCCTCTATATCATTCCGGCGTTTGTAGTCCGCTATAAGATTCTGCCATGCGTCCATATCGCCCCGAGGGTCTTCCTTGATGCGAGCCTCGAGAAGCGCTACTGGGTCGAGACCAGCAATGACTGGTGGAATCCTTGGCTGGGAAAGTTCGTTGGCAGCGGGGGCTTGTGGACTCTCATTCGAAATGGTTGCAGATTGACGGCCATCAGGCTGCTCAGTCTTATATTCAACCACGGGCTGGGGTTCTTGATCATCCTCTTCATCCTCGGACGCCTCAACAATGAAGCCACCCGACATCTTGGGCTTTGTCGCTGCACGCTGAGATGAAACAAGGGGGACAGCCTCTACCGTCTGCACTGGTGCGCTATCGAGAGTAACAGACTCCGGATCGTAATCGCCTCCGTCTTCGGAACCACTGTCCTCTGCATCCCCAGGTGCATGAGAATTCTCAACAGCCGGGTCAGCCAGATGTTGGTCGTTTTGCTGGACATTCTCTCCCTCGGCGCCCGGGTATCTCCCCTCCTCCCATGTTGGCGTTTCTGAATGCATCGCTCGTGCGCCTTCCAGTCACGACTGATAAGGTAGTCAACCGACCAGACAACGAAGTTTCAGGCTAGGTGTAGCTGAAGCCCCTTGTACTGGTTCCGATAAGATGCCCGCGACTCGTTCGCATCAAATTAAAAGGAGCAATCGTTTACGTGCGACGTTTCGGTATCAAGGCCTGAGGCGATGGATCTTCTCAGGAAAAGACAGGTCAGGGAGTTTCGCCGGAGGTTGATCGCCGTAGGCTCGTCAGGATCGGTTGGTCGCAAGCCGTCCAACACAGTGAGAAAATTTGGCAAGCCCCAGCAATTGAATAAATCCGATACTGCGCGCCTCATCTATGGGCTACTCGCAGCCGCCTGGTGGTCTGGTAAGGCGTAAACGACAGTCAGCTCGCGACAAGAAAACTCAGGCGACAACAAAGGCCTGGCGACAAAAGCTTGCTTAGCTTGTTCAACAATGACAGGGCTGTCGCGATCAAAAGGCTTGGGCAGATTCACATAACGGGCTTAGCCGAGATTTGGGCGGTGTGAGGGCGATGGAAGTGGGGCTAGCCTTCCACCTAAAGATGTACGTATCTTTTTCGCGTCCAGAGGTGGTGCAACCACTAAACGCGCTTGGCGGCCAGCAGGCGCGTCCCACCACTATCCCAGTACGGTAATAATGTCCCACCCATTTGATCACTATTGTTCTATTACCTAGCCAACTCTCTGCCAAACCGCTACCCTCTCTCTTTTTCATCTACCAATGCTGGCACCATTCTGAGTATTTCCACTTGATTTCATCGCCTTTCTTCCAGTCACGCCATCCAACTGGGAGCAAAACATCCCTGCTTCAAGAATCAGCCATCGCCATCGACCCAAGAAAAACTTAGTTGATAATCTTCCCACCACCACCTACTTATCAACATATCAACAGACAGCTCAATCCCAAGTACCCTGTTCTACCAACACCCAGCATCACCATGTCTGTCGTCTCCCTTTTAGGCGTCAAGGTCATCAACAACCCTGCCAAGTTCACCGACAAATATGAATTTGAGATCACCTTTGAATGCTTGGAGCACCTCGAGAAGGGTTGGTTTCCTGATTGCTTAGAATACGATGATCTACCCTTCTGACCACCAAGCTATAGACCTAGAGTGGAAACTGACCTATGTTGGCTCCGCTACATCGTGAGTTTTGTTTCTCCTCATCTGCTTCCTGGCGAGATGCTGACCTATTGTTCTAGTGATCAATACGACCAAGAGCTCGATTCCCTTCTTGTAGGCCCAATCCCGGTTGGTGTCAACAAGTTCGTTTTCGAGGCAGATGCACCAAATACCTCGCGAATCCCCGAGACTGATATCCTTGGCGTCACCGTGGTTCTACTCACATGTGCCTATGATGGCCGCGAGTTTGTGCGTGTCGGTTACTACGTGAATAATGAATACGATTCAGAAGAGCTAAACGCCGAGCCACCTGCGAAACCCATCATCGAACGGGTGAGGCGCAATGTTCTTGCCGAAAAGCCTCGTGTTACTCGTTTCGCCATCAAATGGTATTACTTGCCAGCCCCATGATAGCAAACACGGATATTGACATAAATTATAGGGACTCTGAAGCATCTGCCCCCGCGGAGTTCCCGCCCGAGCAGCCTGAAGCGGATCTCGTCGCTGATGGAGAAGAATATGGCGCCGAGGAAGCTGATGAAGAGGCCGCCTCCACCAAGGCCAAAACTGAGGGAGGAGAAGACTCGGAAATGGCTGGGGCAGAGAACAGCAAGGAGGAAGAACAAGAACACGATCATGAGGAAGATGAAATGTCCGAGGACGGAAGTGTTGACATCGAAAACGAGAGTGAAGAGGAGCTGGAGGAGGAGGAGGAGGAGGTCGTTGACGGCCCAGAGGACGATGCCATGGAGGTTGATGGGGCCGAGAAGCCCAACCCTAGCGCTAAGCCCGTCAGCGTCGTCTCCTGAGATTTTACTTCTGTTTCCAGAGCAAAATGGCTATTTTCATTTTGAAGTTGGTATGGCTGAAGCTCATGAGCCGGTCTTGGCTTGAGGCTTTTATATTGGTTTTCATTTGCATTATCCCTTTGATATTAGCAGGTGTTGGATGATAGACTTTCGAGAAAAACAATGAGGTAGTTATAGCATTTGAGCATCCAAAGTTGGAAGTAAACTAAGTCCTGATTATTGGACCATCACGGTCAAGCAAACAATCGCCTCCCCGATCTCGGCACCGCTTGATTCAACAACGATGTCTGCTCACTTACTAGTCTATGGCCCTCGGCTTGCCTGATGCTGTGACATTGATTAAAACTAAAACTGTAATTCTTGAGGTGTTAATGACAATGAGACAAAATAATTTAATATTGATTTCATTTTCAATTTATTGCCTTTCACTTCCACCTTTTTTCCTTTTTTCCTTTTTTTTTTTTTGGGAAGGGGGAGAGGATATTTGGCCAAGCCTAACAGGGCGTAGATAAAGCAGCAAAAAAATGGTTCGGCAAGGCGAAATCAGTTACACTAGGTAGGTTCAGGTTGTGGTGAGATGCTTCCAATATTTGAGCATACCTACGTCTCGCTTCACAGGAAATGAGCCTATGGATATGTGACTGAAGAAAACAGATTTGCTCGGAGAATGAATAGAATACTAATCGTAAGGTGGAAATTTATCAAATTTGGTTCATCCAACCTCAACATGTTATGGGCCTGAGATCGATACAGGGTAGTTATTGCAAGGGTATTGAGATGCAAGTGATAATCTGCTTCTTAGTTCAGGCCCTTGGTGGGAAAATCAGCTTGCCGAGTCTGCCCAGCGCGAGTAACCTTTATCCAGGGAACGGTCGTTACTTTGGACCAAGGGATGGCTTCAGACGAAGGATCTTCGCAGCTACTCAAAATTGCGGCACCTTCAGCATTGATAACATCTGGAATAGCTGGCAAGGATTAGCGCAAGGGGCGCAGATCGCAAGATCAATGAGAAGCTTACCAAAACCTTGATCATATTCTGCTTGTAGGGCAGCAACTTTTGATTTTAATAAATCTTCCCTCGTGCTGGCGGGCCGTCCAGGCCGGCGTGCTTTTTTCAAAGAATCATATTCCTCGACATACTGGTGAATAAATCTGGATTGTTGGTGAGTACTGTTCCCTGGAATGATCGAGATGTGTTTCATCCACCATGACGGAAAGAGGCGAACTTACGCTTGAATTTTGTCTTGTATCGTCGTGAGCTCAAGCACCTCGCCCTTTGAATCTCGCAACGCTTCCTGGAAGAAGTTTACCCTCTTGACTATGACAAAGGCTCCAAGTGTCAGAAATGCGTAATTTGATTTTTTCTCAGACATTGCATATTTGCGATGTGGGCTTAACGTACCGATGGGTTGTTCATTTTTGCTCCGGGCTGCTGCAAGTCTATCGAGTCTCTGATCTCTCACACTGGCTTTGTGTAACCGAAGAGAGTCTCTGGATTTCTCATGCAACGCATTCATAACCCCATTTCTCTTTTTAGAGATCTGCTTGCGGGTCTTTTGCAAAGTACTAGGCATCTTGAAGACTGAAAGTGAGCTTTGCCGCTGTGTGTGACGTTGGATAAAGCGACTGAAGCCAAGCGAGTTTTTGTTGTAATTTTCGGATTGGTATAGGTTAAGCTGAGGCTCCAAGGATTGAGGTCCGCCGTACAGGTTCCATGCACAATTTTTAAAGTGGAGCCCACCTACGTACTCGGTATAACGGGCAGTCACAAGCTACCTAATACCAAATCAAGTGCGTGACAGGAGCCTATATACTTTCTACGATTAATAAAGAAGTTCAGTAGCATAAATGAAAGGTAGTAACAATATATGCAGTACACTCTTTTAAGTATGCATCATCAGCACTTAGTAATATGGAAATATCGCCCGCAGACTCAAAAATCAGCACCTTGATGTTTGAGCATCTCAATTTCAATGTCACCCATTGGCTAATCTATTTGCTCAACTTACCTATCTCCGCACTGCGCGCTAGCATTTGTGTCAATGCACTTGGCTAAGAGTTGAAGAGCGACTGGAAAATGATCTCTTGTTATCCGCACCTAAGCCAGTTGCTCGTACCATGCTCGTCGAAGGAGATTTGCCTTCGCTACCATGAAAGTCCAAAACAAAAATTTACCCATTAATAACAGATCCTTGGAATCGACAAACGATGGATGCAAAATAACCGTCCCCATTGTTCGTGTGAACAGCGCCTACCTAAGCAGGCACGTCCCGTGTGGCTGGTTAGTGGGCCGCACAGGGACAAGTGCCGTTGCCCGGGGGATCACCGAAACCCCGCTAGCTAAGACGCGCTGAACGACGCGCTTCACTAATTACCACTTAACGGGACTCGGAGCACGTGTGCCCATTAAACTGGACGTCACCCCAACATCGAAGCCTGGTCTCGACCTTCCACACCCAGGTATATCGGCGATGTTTTAATGTGTTTGTTTCGGCCTTCTTTTCGGACTTCCAAGTGCTTCTGCTGTTCATTATAGTAGCTCCCAGTCCTTGTTTACCGTTTTGTTTTTGTTTTTGTTTTGGTTCAACGTTTACGCGTGCTCGCCCGCGTTCGATATCCTTCACGCTCATGTCCATACTCACCACAGCTTAAACGGTGCTCCTGGAGATTGCAGAGGCAATCAATCGGTTGGTCTGAGGTATTGCCGGAAAGACTGTATTCAGCCATATTTGTTCCGGTGGAAACAGACTGTCACGATGGGTGTATCCGGTACGCTTGCACCCTTCGAACCCAACGTCTTACAACCAATATATTGACTTCAATTTTTAGGTCTTCTTCCGCTTCTCAAATCCATCCAAAAGCCAACTGAACTTAAAAAGTTCCGGGGCTTGACCCTTGGAGTGGACGCGTATGGATGGCTTCATCGAGCCGCGTTCTCATGCGCGGTCGAGCTTGGCCAGGGTATACCGACAGACAGGTAACTTTATTCGAAGCTCCTCTAACTCGTCTGGTGCTGACCTTGTCATTTCTCTAGATATGTCACAACTGCAATGCATCGGGTTAGAATGCTTCGTCATTTTGGGATAACCCCGTACATGGTTTTCGATGGTGATTATCTTCCCAGCAAGGGGGCAACAGAGGAATCCCGTGCCAAAAGCAGAGAGCAAAAGAAGAAACTGGCCATGGAGCTTCTCAGTGCAGGGAAGATCGCCCAGGCCACCCAGGAGTTCCAGAAATGTGTCGACATCACTCCGGAAATGGCAGCAACTCTCATTCAGCAACTGAAGCAAATGGACATTCCATACGTTGTTGCTCCATACGAAGCCGACGCACAGCTTGTATACCTCGAACGCCAAGGACTGATAGACGGGATCATTTCGGACGACTCTGATTTGCTTGTATTCGGGGCCAAACGATTGCTTACCAAACTGGATCGATACGGGAACTGCATCGAGATCAATCGTCGTGATTTCTGCGCTTGTCGGGAGGTTTCTCTTACTGGCTGGACCGATGCTGATTTTCGTCGGATGGCTATCTTGAGCGGGTGCGATTATCTCGAAGGGCTTCCATCAGTGGGATTGAAGACAGCATACCGGATGCTTCGAAAATCGAAAACGCCTGAAAGAGTCGTGAAGATGCTTCAGTTTCAAGGGAAACGAGTCTCCGAAAACTACATGACACTGTTTTACCAAGCCGAGTTGACGTTCCTTCATCAATGGGTCTTTTGCCCCACGAGGCGAGAGCTTGTTCATTTAACTGAACTCGACGGCTCACGAATGGCGGAGGAGATGCCATACATCGGCTCTTATGTTGAGACCAGCACGGCACGTGCTATTGCTAAGGGTGACATGGATCCCATCACAAAGCTGCCTTTCAACTTCCCAACAACGCCTACCAAGCGGAGACACTCGCAAACGACGACAGCTGCCGCTGCACCGATTCGGCCAGACACGAAGCCTATTAAGTCATTCTTTAAGAGACATGATAGGATTCCAATGGGGGAAATGGACCCGAATTGCTTCTCCGTTGACCCTCAGCAAGTGGCCCAAATCACTCATGGAGGCTTGGTCCCACGTGTTTTCCCTCTGCCCAGACCGTACATGCAAGAGCCAAGTGAATCCTCACAAGCTGCCAACGCTGCCCGTACGACACCATCAGCAGAAGCATCTACTCGAATCCACCGCCGTCGGACAGAGCCAATCTCAAGTATGCTGGCTCGCATGGCGAGCAGCCCAGCAGGCAAAACAGGACCCTCTAACTCAGCAGGCAGTCCTCAAACATCATCGTCCTCAAAACTAGAACATCCTGGCATTCGCCCATCCAAAAAAGTACGTCTATGTGACGAGAACAATGACCAGGAGGGATCGCCGAAGAAGAGTCGATTTTTCGCAAAACCCAAACTTCCTCGCAGCCCCAGAAGGGCGAAAAGCGATGCATATTTATTGTCCGACGACTCAATCGAGGAGGCGCTGCTTAGCCTTCCAGATATTGACGGGTGGAAGGCTGAGAATAAGCCAAAGAAGTCAATATCGATCTTCAAGGATTCGAGCCAGACCACGAGCCAAAACAGCAGTCAGGGTACTTCACAGCAAACTAGTCAGGCTTCTTCTCTCACCGAGCCTACTGATTTAAGTCAGACTTCCATGGCAGCAAGTGATGTTGGGACGCCTCTGGTAGAAGAAGTTCTGTCACTCCCTAAGCTTACTGGTGGCTCTTCTATACCCGAGTCGCCTTATCAGCTGAACCTACAGCGTTTCTCATGTTCATCGACTCCAATTTCGGAGGCATCGTCTCGCCGGTCTTCCATTTTCAGCACCAGGTCTATCAAATCTGTTACGCCTTCTACAGCTCCATCAACAACAGCCTCGAGACCCACACCACTTCAACGCCTTGCTGCAAAAGCGTTCAATGGCCCAGTCTCTCCACAGCCTCGAAATATCAAGAGACCTGCTGCAAAGCCATCTGTGCCGACATTACCTGTTAATCCTCCATCTGTACCGCTTCCTAAAGTTGACCTTGCCGAGATGGAAGCTTTGACCAGACCTTTGGAAGGTGTCGGTAGCGAGGATCAGATCATCCCCGATAGCGACGAGGAGGCTGATGATGATGTCGAAGATGACCTACCTCGGAAAAGACTTGATCTATCCCGGTTTGCCTTCGCTTTGGCCTGATTGTACTCCCCCAATTAGCGTTATTGTAACCTAAGCTTGAAGCATCAAACCACCAACATACATTCCTCTACGGCGAGCATACTCTCTATACCTCCTCCTCACACCCCCTACGCTTGTGTATATACATTATAACGACATAGACCTATTTTCATTTTTGGTTCATGGGGGGCGGCTTGCTTTCGAAGTTTCGGGGTTTCATTTTTTGGGTGTTACGGAGTATACGTGGACGGCCAGGCTACTTTTATATTTGTACATGAAGGCGCTCGAGGGGTAGATGCATCAAGATACCAATCCTGAATGCGTAAAGAATTTCTCAACCAACTTCCAAAAGCCAGTCCAAGGAGAATCGAATCTCTCTTTTGCCCAAGGCACACTCTTGGTCCAATATTGCTCTTGTGAGCTACGTACATACTCAAGAGCTATGCGCTAAGATTCAATGCATAGCTCGTAGTTCCAGCACCTGATGTGCTATATACAAGTCAAGACAGGCAGGCAGGCGACTGCCACAAAACATGGCACACCTAAGACCTCCAGCATTGAATTTCAACACAATATTAACACAACATCAACACATGGCAGCTAAATACTGTAGAATAATCACTATTAAGTTTCTTATTACTGCGTTTAGCCTTATGGACAAGAAAGTGAGGTCCCTGACTTGTGTGAACAGCGCTTTGGTGCGCCATGTTTAATGTCAGTTGCTTGGCAGGGCAGCTCTCCAGCCTCCAGCTGGCAAGGTTCAAATCTTGTCTTCACCAACCAGCAAAGATAGGGTTAAATGGGGTCAAGGAGTAAACTCAGTGCTATCAAAATGGAAAGACAAAGATAGCGCGGGTCCTACCGATATTGAGGTCTAATGAGATTAGGCACCTGCTTCTGACATCTTCGCTAACGCTTTATGTTTCATGATAATAGGCTGTTTTATTTTGGTTCAACTTGAGATCTTATGAGTAACACGGTATATCTTCTCGACGGAGGGGGCGGCCTCACTCGCTCGCTCGCAACCGGCTCGCTGGAGTACGAATGAGATGATGATAAAAAGATACAGACTACTAAATTATGCTAACACCGCCAACCTATCAAGAATCAAAGAACATAATCGTAGCGGTACAACGACCGCGGCCCAATCCCAGCATGTTCACCCTACTCCGAGTTCATGATAACGGCAAACCGAATGGTTTGGGAGGGGGAAACCGATCTACAGTGGAAAAAAGAAATGTGTGAAAACTGAAACTTGCTTAACCGCTTTATATATATGTTGTATGTGGGAAAATTGTACCAGCCTAAGGAGCAGCGACCGTTGATTTCTTCTGGCCCGGGTACTTTGAAGGAAAACGCATGAATGTGTGCGAAAGATTAAATTTAACGACGGCTAGTGCTGCTGGTGCTGCTGCCAATGTTCAAATCCCCGTTGAATAGCCATTTACCTGTGTCTCAAGAGTTAGCAGTTGAAATCTTATAATACGTATTTGTTGATTAGAGGAAACGCACCCTGTGCAAGGTTGTTGGCTGTGTCCTCAAGCAAGATGACCCGACGCTTGTTGCAGTAGGATGTTTTGTCCATAATGTCCACCTTGAGCTTTTGGTCGGACAACTCCACAATTGGCTTCTCGAACATCTCGGACAAATTTTCCACTGCCATTTCAAGATCCTTCTGGTTGTCCTCAAAGATCTCTGTGAGGTTGTTTCGCTGTAGATAAAAGGCGAAGGCGTAAGTCCACTTAAGCGTTTGGCGGCAAGTCTGGAGAGACTGCGAGGCAGAGTTCAGATATTGAACCTCGATCCATGACATGCCAGAGGCACTCTGCAACTGGACCATCTTCTTTTCTGTCTTCAACGCGATGTCCTTGTCCAGTCTAGCTGACTGCTCGTGGTTGGCATACCGGTTGTAGTAGTGCAAATATCGTTCCAAGGAAACGCGGGATTTCGCTTGAGCGTCTCTAGCATCCGAGCCACTCCTTTCCTCGAATCTGTTGCAGTTGTACCAGCTCGTGCCGTGCTCTGACCACAGCCCCATACACATCCAGCAAAATTCGTACTTGCATTTCCTGCACGTCATGTGGTTACAACCGCCGTTTTTCTCAATTGTAGACTGACATTTCGGGCATTCTTTCGTGTTTGCTGAGATCCAATTGGCAGTCTCGCTGTCATCCGCACACTTCTTCAGCCATTTCTTAACGAGCTCGCAAGGAGCTGGCTGGTGGTCAGGGTTGGGACAGCCAAAGCAGAAGCGATTCCCGCAGTGGCATTCGACTGTGGGAACGATCTGGCTCAGTTGGTTCTTCTTAACCCCACACTCCACAGCGTTTGGACAGTCGGGGGCAGGGCACCACTTGTAGTCGTCTTTGTTCTCGACATAGCTTCTATGAAGCAGTTCATTGTAACGCTCGACGAGATCAGACGTCACAAGGATGTCGAGAGATTTCGAGTCAAGGATACGGCCGCAACCGTCCGAAGGACACTGGATTCGAGCCGCCTCTCCTTCGTCCTTGATCTTTTGCTTGAGGTACTGACGGTAGCAGTCGACACAGTATCGGTGGCCACACTTAAGAGCAAAGGATTCTAGCTCATCGTCTTCTTCGCAGCAAATGTCACACATGAACCCAGGAATGGTCTCAAGCTTGGGGGGCTTTGCGGTCGCCGTGTTCAAGCCAGCGGCCTCTAGGACTTGCTCTGGGCGATCCATGTAATCCTCGAGTAGTCTTTCTTTGTTCCATTTGAAGTAACGGAGCATGATGGCGGCATCTTCCTTGGTCATGTCAAGAATCATATTAACCTCGTTGATCATTCCATCCTGCTGCTTCTGAATGTCGGCAGGGTCGTAAACGTTGAATGGGACGATGTGTGCCTGCTTCTTGGTCTTTTCGAGATCTTTGCTTGTTAGGTCAAAGTCTGGGTCCGGTTGATCATAATCATCGTCAAAGTCTAGGTAGATATTAGCATCAGGTGGTATGCCTTGAGGGGGGCTTGGATAGGGTTTGGGTTGTGCATACCGTCAGCATCTGAAAGTGCGTCTCCGCTGTCATAGTTCATATTCTCGTCATCGCTTGACATTTGTGACATGAAGTCCTCCTCTGAATCCATCTCGACGCTTGTGGTGGTGGTAACGGGTGTTGGGGGGGCTGCCAGTGCAGAAGCCGCTGAGACGAGAATCTTCTTGTTGGCGACGTCTTCTTTGGGAGTAGAAGTTATCGTCGCCTCAGCAGCCTTTCGCTTCCTCGTTAGAGGGGGAATGTTGGCGGCTTGACTGATCTCGATGGCTTGAAGTAGGTAGGGTCGGGCCTCAATGACGATATCGCTATCGATAGAAGTGGGTAGTGGCGATGCAGCGTGGCACGGGTAAAAGGGCAGGTAGCGACGGGTGATAGAATATACACAACACAGTCAGGTGCGGGTGGTTAGGTGGAAATGGTTCGTTGCGATGCAACGAAGGCAGGCCAGAGCGAGGACGCAAGGCTGTCTGGAGGGAAGTGTTCGGGAAGAGGACTAGATCGTCGAAAGGGCCGGATGACTGGGTTGGAGGGCCAGACGCTGGAGCGCAAGGCAACGAGCGGAAGTGGATACCAAATGTTTCGGGTGGCAGGTTACGTGAGCAGAGATGATGGCCTTGATTCGACTGACTGAGGCAAGGACGGAAGTTGGAGGAAGACGGCAGATGACGGTTGGTCGGTCGGGTTTGGAGGGGCAAAGTGACGGGTGGAAGTGGTGGTCTGTTAGTAAGTGGTCAGGTACACCGAAGTCGCCTTACACAGTGGAGGACGCAAGTACCCGGGCTCTTATATCGAGCTGGAGGGCACTAAGATTGGTGCATGAGCGCGCTGAGTCATCCGGCACCGTGGCTGCCTGGCTGCCAGTCACAGCCGGCCAGTCTGCCTAACGATTCATCACGCCTCTTTTGGGCGTGCCGTCTATTTATAGGGTGGCTATTTGGTTGCAGCAATTGGAACGCTGCTGGTGATAGTAACCCAATTCGCACGAAGGTTCTACCATGCGTTCAGGCCGGACGTGTATCCACTCGCCATCAGTCAGGTGGCACGGGAGGACGGATCAGGCACCCCAGCTGCTGCATTAGACTCCGCAGTATCTTTTCCAAGCCCAAGGCAAGATATCCTGCCAACCAGCACATAAGTTGACCAGGCACTGTCGTAGAGGCGTACAGGAATCATATAATGCTAGTAACCTGGCTACTATATGGTATCTATCGAATGTTCAGACAATTCTGGTGTCATCCGGTTTACCTCGTCCTCCACATCCAGCCACGGCACAACTCATAAGCTCATTACAAAACCTTCTCAGCCGAGGAAACTAATAATTAATTGTTAGATCAGCAATGACAACCTCGTGGCGCATGGGGGTGCACTTACCCTGGTAGCCAGTACCATCAGGCTCGACATGAGCTTCGGCAACCTTACCATCCACCACCTTGAGAGCGTATCTCTTGCTTCGAACACCTCCAAAGATAGCAGTGCCATCGAAACCAAGGTCGAGCGCCTCAGTGAAGGCCGCAGAAGGATCACCCAGGAAACGAATCTGCCATTCAACAATCAGGGTTCAGAATCTTGAGCTATGCCAAGGCAGGGTTAACAGGTGGGAACACTACAACTTACACCAGATGCCTGAGTTGGGTCCAATTGATCGGCCCAAGCCTTCATACTGCAGTCGTCTTAGCTTCGATGGTCAATGATTGCACTCGGCCGGTACTCACACGAAGCTATCGTTCACTGAAACAACGAACACCTTCCCCGCATCCTTGAGCTTGGGAGAGTTGATGAAGGATGGAATGTGCTGGCTGGAGCAGGTGCCAGAGAAGGCAGCAGGAACACCGACGATGTACCCATCGCTCCCCTTGAACTCCTCAGCCAGATTGACCTTGTTTCCCGGTGAGGTCTCGTGGAGAACCTCGAGATTGGGAATCGCCTCGCCGACCTGAACAAATGCGGGGCGCGTCGAGTGGAAGCTGCGGGCAACAGCTGGGCGGCCAAGCTGTGCGACGGAACGGATCGATGCCCGGAAAGCCATTTTCAAGGTTTGCGGGGTTGGTAATACTGCTTTACTGGTGGGAGGGAACTAGGTGAGGACAAAGTACGTGATATCAGGGCTGCGGTTGAATGAAGTTCAACGGTTCCCAACCTTCAGAGACCCGATTAAATTAGGAGAGCGAGAACGGCGGTGTCTCTCACATATTACGTCATCGCTTGGGGAAACCACCCTCTTCTGCCGGGAGGTATAGCAAGCCTAAAGTCAATTGATACTTCCAGGTCCGAGATCTTGCCTCTAGGTAGGCTACGGATTCGGGTTTGATGGGAGCCATGGAGAGCCTCAGAGTTGGCAGACACTCGTGCTGCCCATCTGAGGTATGTGCTTTGGCCAATTGGAGATCCCGGCAAGTTTACCGGATCAAGATTGTTTGCCTGCCGCCGTGCCGCCAAGCTTCCTATATTACAGAGTAAATTTGTCCAATATTTCGTTGGTGATGTTAGCTCACATTGGGGCGACCCGATCTGTCGCCCTTGTCTAAGACTCCGAAACTGCTAGACCATCTCACCGCTGCGTAAGATGGCCACGCTGCCACGAAGGCGACAGCTGTGTCTTCATACCAAACGACCACACATTCTCTCGTATGCGAAAAGAATATACATAAAACAATCCTCTGACACCTACTTTGCCTTGACTATGCACGCTTGAAAGCACACGCCCGCCAGCCTCAGTCTCAGCTTGGGTCCTGCCAACAGCTAACGCTGGATAGGGCTGCCCTGTCTTGTTGGCCCCGTATCGTGCCCTCGCCCACTCTGTCTCCTGCAGCGAAATGGACTAGATTTCATTCTCTTCAGAAACTAAAAGTCTAGCCGCGCGTGGGGAATGCTCTTGCTTGTACCAATGTGCACGACTCGATCCCTGATCCATGTGGTCCTTGCCGGCCACTCCAAACCTCCATACGTAGTACGGAGATCTGCGCTAGATCAAAAATCGCAGCCCACCTTCTGCTACACAAAAAGGCCTTGCCGCCGATGTTGAACAAGCCACTGCTGTGCCTGTTCTTTCTTTAGTGGTCTTGAAAAGGGAAAAGGGGCTTCGGTATATTGCCAACTGGTCAAAGGACACCGATGTAGGTCCTACTCTACCCTAGATCGGACCTACCTCCAGGGCCAACCGAGAATCGATGACAGGGTGGTCCCCCGACCTTGATGCATCACAGCTAGTAGTGAATTACATTAAGCGCATGCCAATCGGCTCTCGCCTTAGGCCGATGCAGGGCAGAGTGGATCAAGTGCAAATAAATGACAAACCTAGCTCTGGGATATCCCAAGCACGAAGAGTTGGATCAGTCTAGGCCTACCCCGACTGCCTCATAAGAGGATGGCGGCTTCCACCGACGGTGTTAAGGGGTTTAGTTTTAAGACATTGGGTGGTAGCGTCGGTCCGTGACACACAAAGAGCGACACTTCAAGACGGAGAAACAAGGTCTCTGCACGGAAATGCCCATTGTTCACTTGCACATCATCCCAAGTAACCCTGCTATCGATGGTTTTCATCAAAGGAGACGTCTGATAGGATTAAATCGGAAACATGTCCCAAGGCAGGGCAGGGCGATGATACCAAGGCTCAGTTGGGCCTGGTGATGGCCAAAATAGGGGTATTTGCTATCACTCCCGTCTCCCAATTCAGATAGATGGCACCTTGCTTTCGGTAAGCCTTTAGAAATCGGGGCTTCAAATCGGTACAAAATCGGACAACCTCGTCTCCCCCTGGGGGAGCGAGAGAGAGTGCAGGTGATCAAAAGGCCCCCGGCTGCATGTCTAGCGCCATCGAAATACATCGCTCCTCTCGCGCTCGCCTCTGCCCTACCACATCGGTGTTGTTTTCAAATAGGGCTTGCCAAACAGGGCTGGTCGCGATTTGGCCTCATCCGTCCACCATGCGCAAAAGGCCGAGATAACATAGAGCTAGCGAGTCCTAAACTTCCCAATGAAGGTTGCGTCCTACACCACGGTGTATTGTCACTTTGGCATGTGCTACCAAGGCGGCGTTGCAATCGAACTTTGCGATTCCCTGCCCCTTCCTCCCATGGCGTAGTATTGAGTCTAAACCCCTGAATATTGCAGCTGCCTGTGTCAAGACGGTATTTGCTGGAAGATGCAAGCTGTCGATTTTTATTGAACGGTTCAGCGAATATTGGTTAATTACAAGGGTTGCCGGAAAACAACTGAAACATATTTTAAGGGGCATCGAGGGGTCTCGGAGCGCTCAATGAAAGACACTGAATCACAATATACAGGATTTTGGGAATAGTAAAAAGACACGACGACTGTATATCTCGCCTAGATCTTCCCCTTGTCGCACATGGCTCGAGAACAAGTCGATAATTCGTGGGCTTATCAACTGTAGTGTTGTTTCGGCTGGTACAGATACTTCCGTGTAGAGACAGAGGTATTGGCTTTCTGATGTGGAGAGTCAAGGCATATGGGCTATGATATGTACATGTACGTAGCTCTGATTTGGACAGTTTCGACTTATTAACTGACGACACGAACGAATGCCCCCGACGAGGCAGGATCCAATGTACCCGCGGTGATGCCGATGGTTTATGCTGATGTTGTATGCAGTAGCATCCGGTCGGCCCAAGTGCCGGCAGATAGGCATTCAAATTACCTAGACGGGCAGCCCGCACAGGATACGTGGTGTTTCTTCTGTATTGGCCCTATTTGGTCGAAAGGCACAGCGATCAAACTGGCTGTGATGGACGACATGGTTAGGCACCTGAGCAAACGGCCGCTGTCAAGGTTAACCCCGCCAAGTCTCACAGGAGGTCCACCATCACCCATGAAATTGCCCCCCTGTACTAGACGTCGGCCAAGACCTGCGGGCGGTGTTGCTAGCTTGATGGGCCGCGATGGCTCACAGGCAGAGAGCACTTTGTCTCAAAAGCATGGGCATGGGTGTTGTACCTGTTGGTACTTTCGAGGGCAGCGCCTAAGGAAATAGAAGGGGGGGAAGCAGAGCAGGAGGCCGGGACTTTGGCTCTGATATCCAGCGCTCCCCGTCTTAGAAGAAGGTGAGAGTCGGTGGGAAATGTGCATGTGAGGCTCACCGTGCCTACATACCTAGATAGGCATAGAGTTGCTTGGGGGTGGCTGAGAAGAGTCGAAATCCTAGCTGAACTGGTCGTTGTGCTCAGGGTCTCAACACGAGCCATTTCGGAGAGTTCAAAACCCTCCTACAGACCAGACGTGTTTCCTAGACCTACCTGCCCATGAGTCTATCCCCACCCCTCTGCCTGCATTTGGATCAGCGATTTTCGATATGTCTCCCCACGCTGCCAAACTCGACCATCACATCAGGTCAGCCCAGGGGTTGCCAAGCGGACTCGGGGTCTCATTTCTTCTCTCAGAACCACGAGCCATTGCCACAGGACAGTAAGAGAAGATAGGGGTCTTGTCTCAAACCGCCACTGATACTGGGTCTTGGCCTGTCTATATCCCACGAACAAAGGAACAAGGGAGCCGATTGAAAGAGAAAGAAAAACTAGAATAGGAAGCCAGGACGGGCTGCATGGAAACAGGCGCGTGGAGTCGCCAGTCTGGATGGCGTCTGAAATGTTTTGACTGTGCCAGGTCGTTGCTAGCGCGTAACCCCCTGAATATCCGTCTTGGATAGGTGATGGTGGTGGGGGAGTTCCACACCCAGAGCCCCCCTTCCCCCTGGTCGGACCCAGTAACCACGCCTGAGGTGAGGTGCGCTGCGCTGCGGCAGACGTAGGTGAGGTACTGGCAGGTAGCACTCAGTGGGCACACAGGCAATTCCCGCCTACCACCCCCCAATTGATGCGGTCCACACCCTCCACCTCCTGGTCTGCACACATGAATCTTGGTTGGGGGGCTCTCGTTGTGAAACGGGTCAATGTAAATTCCCCTACCTGCCAGTTACCTGCCTACCGACCGACTACTACTACGCTATCCCGCCGCATACTTCCCCTCCCTCATTCCATCGTTACCCTTGCCCAACTCTAGTCTTCTCTTCACGGCTGAGATCGCTTTCTGACAGCCTCAACAACGAGACGCCGAGCTCCAGCGGGTGCCTGGGTGTTAGAGCCCTTGATCCATTCGGTTTTTCGGACACCATCTGATTTTCGCATTCATCGATCCTGTGTCGCATCATTTCCCGTCGACCTGCGATCCTTCACTATTGATACCAGCTACGACTTGGCGCCATCAACGCAACAACATCATTTTTGCTCTGATTTGAAAAGCCCGGGTGACAATCCGATAGCCTGGTTGTCGCCCATCCGGACGAGAGCGTCTTCCACCGTCAGCGTTAATCCAGCCTCGAAATCAGCCCATGCCAGTTGCGAAATTGTCGCGCCTCTCGCCCTCCATTCTTTCAGACGTCCCGTCCGACTGGCACAAAGGCTCCCGGTCCCAGATTCACAAACGCCTAAAGTCCGCGTCCTTCGCATATACCCAACGTCCACTCACGAACTGTCGATTTTGACCGTGAACCCAACCGTATATCCGACCGACCTGCCCTTTCAGCCTCCTTTGAGGCCCTGGTAGGCCAGAGAAGCCGACATCTCTCCCGAGTCCACACGCCGTAGTTTCGAGAACGATGTCCGTCAAACTCCATGCTCCGTCCGGCAGGAACTCGACCGCTTCCTCATCGTCTGGCAATCCCTTGACCCGTCAGAACACCATGTCTTCCTACGATGGCTCGCGCTCGACGCGCCAGTCAAAGCGCTACTCTATGTCGGCACTGTACATGTCAATGTCAGCAAATGAGGGCGATCTGCAAATTGAGGATGAGCTCGCAAAAGGTGCGACCAAACTCCGTTTTCCTTGTACGCTCGGCGGGTAATTAACGTGTCTACTACAGCCCAAAAAGTTCTGCGAGAACTGAAGTCCAAGATCTCATCTCAGTCCAAGAAGAATTTCGTTCTCGAGAAAGATGTTCGATATCTCGACTCCAGAATCGCTTTGTTGATCCAAAATCGCATGGCTCTGGAAGAGGTACACAAGCTCCCTTGTGCTCTGTTACGATAGCCCACTGACAATTAGATAGCAGCACGAAGTCGCAAGCCACCTCGAAGATGCTACCGATATGCAGGAGGGGTTTTTCCCCAACGATGACAAGACCCAAAAATACGGGAACTTGCTCTTCCTACTCCAGTCTGAGCCAAGGCACATCGCGCACCTGTGTCGCTTAGTTTCCATGGCCGAGATCGATTCGCTTTTGCAAACCGTCATGTTTACCATCTATGGAAACCAATACGAAAGCCGTGAAGAGCATCTTTTGCTCACCATGTTTCAGGTGATTTAGTCTGGTTTTATGCTTGCAATACAGACAGTCGGTTTTGCTAACCACAGTTCGTTTAGTCCGTTCTTACCTACCAATTCGAACATACTCCCGATTATTCTTCTCTTCTTCGAGCGAATACCCCCGTATCACGAATGATGACAACATACACGCGCAGAGGACCCGGCCAGAGCTTCCTCAAGTCTGTTCTTGCTGAGCGCATTGACAGTTTGATCCAGTTGAAGGATTTGGATCTCGAAATCAACCCGTTGAAAGTTTATGAGCGCATGGTTGAACAGATTGAGGAGGACACCGGGAAGCCACCGCCGGATCTCCCTAAGGGTATCACCGGCGAGCAAGCGGCTGAAAATCCTCAGGTTCAAGCCATTATCGAGCCGCGTCTCACAATGCTAACTGAGATCGCCAACGGATTCTTAAACACCATTATTGAAGGCCTCGAGGAGGCCCCGTATGGTATTCGATGGATCTGCAAGCAGATTCGAAGTTTGACCAAACGCAAGTATCCCGATGCAAACGACCAGGTTGTCTGTACTTTGATCGGCGGGTTCTTCTTCCTTCGATTTATCAACCCAGCGATTGTTACGCCCAAGTCATACATGCTCATCGATGGTGTTCCAGCAGAGAGACCTAGAAGGACTCTGACCTACATTGCTAAGATGATCCAGAACCTGGCGAACAAGCCTTCATATGCCAAGGAGCCATATATGGCGAAACTTCAACCATTTATTCAAGCCAACAAGGACCGTATCAACAAATTCATGCTGGACCTGTGTGAGGTACAGGACTTCTACGAAAGTCTAGAAATGGACAACTACGTGGCGCTTTCGAAGAAGGATTTACAACTCGATATCACCCTAAACGAAATCTACGCGATGCATGCTCTCATTGAGAAGCACCACTCCGAGCTGTGCAGGGATGAAAACTCTCATCTATCAATCATCGTCTCTGAACTTGGCCAAGCTCCTGCTCAGGTGCCTCGTAAAGAGAACAAGGTCATCAACCTGCCCCTCTTTAGCCGCTGGGAAACAGCGATTACTGATCTGACCTCTGCTCTCGACATCACACAAGAGGAAGTGTACTTTATGGAAGCCAAGTCCGTCTTTGTGCAGATTATGCGATCCATTCCTTCAAGCAGTCAAGTTGCTAGGCGACCCTTGCGATTGGAAAGAGTGGCAGACGCAGCTGCGACAAGTCGCAACGACGCTGTGATGGTCCGCAAAGGTATTCGTGCAATGGAGCTGCTCTCACAACTGCAGGAGCTTGGGGTGATTGATAAGAGCGATCATTTCAGCCTCCTGCGTGATGAGGTTGAGCAGGAACTCCAACATCTTGGATCCTTGAAAGAAGGCGTCATCATAGAGACACAGAAGCTCAACGAGGTTTACAAGACTATCCGCGACCACAACACGTATCTGAATGGTCAGCTGGAAACCTACAAGAGCTATCTACACAACGTCAGATCCCAGAGTGAGGGAACGAAGAGAAAACAGCAGAAGCAACAGGTTCTTGGACCTTACAAGTTCACACACCAGCAGTTGGAAAAGGAAGGCGTCATTCAGAAGAGCAATGTCCCAGATAACAGACGGGCTAACATCTACTTCAACTTCACGAGCCCTTTACCGGGCACCTTTGTTATTTCTCTTCATTATAAGGGTAAGAGCACAAATTCCTGTCAACTTATTTTGTTTGATTCTAACGTTATTCTCTAGGCCGAAGTCGGGGTCTTCTGGAGCTCGACTTGAAGCTCGACGACTTGCTTGAAATGCAAAAGGATAATCAAGACGAGCTTGATTTGGAATATGTTCAGTTCAACGTCCCCAAAGTTTTAGCTTTGCTAAACAAGCGATTTGCTAGGAAGAAGGGCTGGTAAGAGAGCCACGAGGAACTGCTTATGGCTTACTCGTGGATTTGATTTACTGTATCACAACCAATTTGACGGGGCAGCGGCGTTGCGGAGCACCAATACCACGGAAGTTTTCTTCATCTTTTCTACCTGTCGAACAATTCATATTACTTTAGTGCGTTGCTGCAATTCTTTGATATTATAGTTGGTTGACTGAGAGTTGCCGTTATTCCCTAGACTGGCCAGTTGAGGAGACGTGCAGCTCTAGGATTTGCTTTGGAGTGTAAACCAGCAGACTGCTTCGGCTGGTCCGCGGCCTTTTCTTGTTCTTTGCTTTCGGCAGTCTATGATCAACATGGGACGTAATAATAAATCAAAGGGAATAATCGACATATCGGGCCAGGGCCTGCAATGATAGCTTATATGGGTGTTTTCTTAGATACCATATGAAATAAGATACAATTTTGGTCAACAGTTACTGCGCAACCGTAGAAGTTTGGATTTGATGATGCTTCGATAAGAATGTCTGTATTCTGTCTCGTCACCTATAGGGTTGGCTGATAAGTGGGCAAAAAATCCAGGCAGAACCAGCAAGGGTTCAAGCAATGTGAGCCTGAAGAAGCTAAGATAAAATTATTTTAAAGATTTTATTGATTAAATGAAGCATTTACCGACAATGCAATAGCTAGAGCTGTTATGCCACTTGAAGTAACTTGCTGAGTGTCTCGGAGGACCTGCCACCAGTAGAGCAGCATTATCCTGTCACGTGTTTACGTGCAGTCGAAGATCCACTCGCTGACCATTGGCGCATGGAACCGCCTGCAACAGATTCTCAAAAATTTCAGAGCTTCTGGGAAGCCCCATCTACATCGTTGAAACTTTTTGCAAGTCACCCATTTTTTTCTTGCAAGGTTCCTGATCAAGTCAAAACCAACACAAATTATCAAAATGATGTCCGCCAGGTCAATTGCCCGCTCGGCACCTCGTGTGGTTAGCCGTATCGCCGGCTCCTCCATCCGCCAGTTCACTGTCGCTCGTCCCACCACCCTGCTGAAGCCCACCGTCGCTGCTGCGCTCCGAGCTGCTCATGCTTCCCCCTTCTCCACGACCACCGGGCTCCGAGCCTCCCGCAGCGAGACCGACGAGGAGCTCTCTGTCAAGCTCGATAGCGAGATCCAGATTGAGGAGGACATGAAGGCCAATGAGCAGCAGCCCGCCAGCGTCAAGGACTTCCTTGCCAACACCGCCTTTGAGCTGATTGACACCCCCGGCCAGGAGGTTGTCAAGCTGGTCCGCACCTTCGGAGAGGAGAAGTAAGTTGAGATGCGCTCCTTCATGCAGCGCTCCTTTGATGCTAATTGCAACAACTCCAGGATCACCGTCAGCTTCTCCATCGCCGACATCACCAACTACGACCCTTACAACGAGGACCCCGCCCTCGAGGACGAGGAGGACTTCAACGAAGACGTGATCCAGAGCTCCGGCAAGCAGGCTTCCGGCTCCTCCCGCGCCGCCCCCGAGGAGGACCTCGAGGGCGAGGAGGAGGACGACATCGAGGACGCCGCCGCCCCCATCAACCTGTCCATCGTCATCGAGAAGCCCGGCAAGACCAGCGCCGCCCTCAACATCGACGCCACCGCCCAGGACGGCGCCATCGTCGTCGACAACCTCTTCTACTACGAGGACGCCAAGGTCGCCCGCGTCGACAAGCCCGAGGACGCCCAGGCCCGCGCCGACGTCTACCCCGGTCCCCCCTTCGGCTCCCTCGACGAGGACCTCCAGGTCCTCATGGAGCGCTTCCTCGAGGAGCGGGGGATCACACAGACCCTCGCCGTCTTCGTCCCCGACTACGTCGACGTCAAGGAGCAGCGCGAGTACCTCCGCTGGCTGAACAACGTCAAGAACTTTGTCGATGCTTGAACGAGATAATGATTTGTGTATGAATGTAAAAACAAAATATTGATGGGAATTTCCGCTCTTGTACGATATATATAGTCTGGCTTCGAAACCGGCAACAATGATTGCTGTGAAGCTTAATAATGTAAAAAAAAGACGATATCCAACTCCTTGAACTGGGTAACTTGGTTGCTGTCTAGAGCAGACCCTGAATAGTTTATCTACAGAAGAAAATCTAAAGACGCACTCAATGTAGCTCAGTCTATACTACCGCACACTTGCATAGGAGTAGTGATATTCAAAGTCGGTGATAAAAGAACCCCCAACCACATGAAGTCCAGCCCCATCTGTCTCAAACTCCTCACAAACACCGATGATGGCGTGTGGCGACCGCCATGTGCATTCACAAGATTATATTCGGGCACAGGTAGTATTCCTCCCTTGTGCCCCTATCCCGTCACGACCACCAAAACTCGAGTCTATCCCAAGATCTTGAAGAATCAGAAAAATGATCAACAAAAGCCCCATAGCGCGTATATATGCATGTTCGTCTTTCCTGTAGAACGAGAAAAACCAATACAGGAAAGGGAGACAAAACAATGGAAAAAAAACTCCCCCACCCATCATCTGCCCTGTCTAAAACCAAAAACTTCTCGGGAGGCCTGAGTTGAGCCTCTAGTTGGCTGTCAAACCCCATCAAGAGCTGGAGCGGAGAGAACCAAGCGCGTGTCTATAAAATAATCACAATGTAATTCCATGCTCTCTGCTACTTAGATGATGTCCTTCAAATCCCACTCATCTTGTTGAGCACGGTCAAGAACCTGCTTACCCTTTTCTGTGAGCGCTGGCTTGCCGCCGTTACCCACAATGTGTTCAAAGAAAACAGGCTTAAAAGGTGTGTTGGTAGCCTCACGCTCGCGGGCCTTCACGCGCTGGGCCTCCTCAAGTTCTACCTTGATACTGGTGGCCTTGGAGAACTGCTTGGAGTGGATGGCGTTGGTGACGCCGGACCAGAGGCGCAAGGACTCATTCTCCGCTTGTTGCTCATTTGGCGGGAGTACTTTGGGAGCGACGGTGAGAGGACCGACGTCAATAAGAATATGTTGCTCCTCAGGAGGCACGGATTTCTACTTGCCATCAGCTGGTTGTCAGGAGCGGGCGGGTGAAATGGTGGTTGTGACTTACGAATGTCTTGGGGCCAAGAGAAAACATGACCTTCTCCTTCCAAGGTCCGCTCAGGCGTGCAAGAACGTCTGCCTCAGGGACATCCTGAACCCTGTTGATGGTATCATTCTCAGGATCGTACTTGAAGATGACACCATCAATCTTATTGGTGGTGCGACCCAGCCAGCCTTCCTCAACGTAATGTAAGATAGCCTTGATTTTAGTCTTGGGACATGTGATGTATGCCATTTCGCTGACGGAAATGCTCAATGCGCCCCTCAGAATACCGCCCAGATGTGCCGCAGGGTGTGTGAGCTGGTACTCCTCGCCATCGCGCCTATCCAGCGTGATAAAGATGCCCATGTTGTGCTCTCCGGGTAGAACCTTGACGGATGTACCGGTGAACTTGGCTGTGATTTGGTCGAAGCCACGGGCCGAGATACCCTTTTCCGGGCAGGTGACATGGAATGCGCTGACGGGAGGGTGGTGAGAGGTCTGCTCGGTCAGGTACGAAACCTTGACGGCCTTCCTGTCCGGTGTGCCTGACGTATTGTGCTGGGGGATAGAGAGCGAGACGGAAGATGCGTTCTTGGAATCCTTTGAAGGGACTTTGAGACTCGAGAGACCGTTTTCCAAGGCCTCATCCAGTTGGCTGGTCCTGATTAAGGGCGCATTGTCCTCTGTTTCCCAGTTACACTGCGTAGGGAAGTTAGCATCGCTGGCTTCCTTCGTACGAAACTGCCCCCAATCTCCATCAAGTTGCTTACTCTGAAGAACTCGCCCAGAACAGAGTTGTATGGCTTGCAAGGCTTGCCCTTGATGTATTTGAGATCTTTGGTCAGCCAGAATCGCACGACCTCGAGCATGCGGTCGAGGGCTTCGTCGGATTCGCCAATAGCGACAAAGGCGTTGGGAGCATCGAGATAGTTCCAGTACTCGAGGTTAGGTGTCGGTTCGAGGAGTTGGGACGGTAGGGAAAACCGCACGGAAGCGAGATCGGAGACGCCAATGAACCTATGGTTGCGCGCACGACGAGTCAGCAGTCAGTTTGGTTTGATGCCCGGCAAATCCTCCCTGTGCCCAGCTCACCAACGCATCTCCCATCTCTGATAACGAGATGCGATAAGACCTCAGACCGCCGCTTCGCGAAACAGATCGCTGCCCCCCGCCAGCACTGTGGAGCAAGATGCCATCTATATTTGGAGGGGCGAGCAGAACGGTGAGGAGGGCAAAGAAAGGAGAGGAAAAATTTCAAAGAGGCGCAAGGAGAAGAAATGTACCTTCGCAGGATCCCCAGGAACGTCTTCAACTTGGAGCCCTCGTTCTGGGGCTCGTCTGTCGTTCCATCAGTGGTCGCTGGTGCTGATGACGCCATGATTCCAGGTCAAGGTCCTCTGAAATATTTCAAGCTTCGTAAACATATAAGCCCCCGGCGGGTTGAGTCAGTGCCCTTCGTACCGCAGTCGCCCGCACCGAGGAAAAATGGATGCGGCTAGAGATTATGTGGCGTAAACAGGATATCTTCTTCTCAGGGCTCTGCGAGAGTGAAAAATGTGACCTAGGGAAGAAAGGAAAAGAAGGATGGCGAAGTGTAGGGAGCACGATTCAGGCTCGGACTCAAAGATTTGGGGAAAGGCTGACGTTTGGCGGGGTGTCGTAGTGCTAAGGAAAGATTCTCAGGCAGAAACACCCCTGTAAAGGGCAATGCATCAGCGACGATAAGGAGGGGCCGGCTGCGTCAGTTGTCAGCGCCACGAGGCGCCTGTGGCCTGGCGGCAAATCATCAACTTTGTTGCGATGCAACGCTTTGGCTTGGCTGTGCGCAGATGCCTACGAAGCCCCCTTGCCGCCCCTGGATCAAGAACACATCTGCCTCTGCGCAACCTGCTTGCTCACATCCTGACATTGCCCTCTCTTGCTATTTTGATATCTCTGGCTGGCGTGTACAATGCCGATGCCCAGACGCAGCGTTGATCTTCCTGTCTCGAGCCGTGGCAGGCGGCTTGTCTCCCTGAACCAATCATCGTTGCACATGGTCCCCATTTCTGGCCAGGAGAGCGCTGCGAACTCGGCTGCACTATGCCACGGGATCAGCCCTTTGATCCCAGTGGACAATGACATCGCCGCTCGCAGCGTCCAATCAGTCAAGTGACGAAAAGAGCACTCTTGATTGGACAACGTGATCTTGATCTCATCCCGCCAAGTACCTGCTTCTGCTCGGTGGCTGGCTGCAATACCACCCTAGAGGGCCTATTGAGACTCGCTACCCGCCAATGAAGCATGGCACGCCCAGAACCTTCAGCGTTGAAGTTCGACACAATATCAAAACAGATAACCCAGTGATAAACACAATATTGAGCTAGATATTGCAGAATAATAAACTGTTTATTATCTTTAGTATTATTACCAAGGAAATGGGGTCCCTGACCTTGCGTGAAAAGAGCTTTGGTGTGCCATGTTTAATGTCAGTCGCTTGCCTGTCTCTTCTTGCCAACACCAAAAGCACAGCAATTGATACATATGCACGATAAGCTCACCAAGCCCCGCAGCCGAGCTTATACAGACAACAAACGCGGAGTCTGATCTGTGAGTTCAATCCAACAAGGTGGACTGAGAAGGTCTTTATCTCCACGACATGGCGACAATGCTTTTTACTTAGAAAGCGTCTATTTCTGTGCCGCTTCTATCCGCAGGGCGGCCATTGCCGCGTAGACGTAACTATAGCGTTGCTTTGTTATCTTATGAAGGTGAGGCCCTCGCATCCCTCAATGTCTGCCCAGCCGTGAAAATATTCATATTATCTATCCCGGAATATGCACACGGCGGTCATGCACGGGTAAGGGAGCCGGAGAGAACGCATACATTGCGCCTGAGATAATATCCCGGTGCCGAGGTGCCAAAGTAGGATTCGAGGCATGCCCTGGATAGGGACTCAGAGCTCGCCCTCTTTGTTCCAGTCATACTGGCGCTCATGATGGTGCCAGCTCCCTCGCAGAAATTGTCAACAGATTCCTATGGTCAAAGAAACATGTAGGAGATCGTTTTAATCAATACAGAACACTGTACAGGCATGGCTACTGGTAAGGTGGCCGAGAAGGCAAATATTTTACACTTACCAGAGGAATACTCGTTGTCGAGGGGGTTTCAGACAAGACTACAGATGGTCAAGACACGGATAGAAAACTTGAAAAGGATAACAAGTTGGCGAAACTCAGCATCAGTGAAATGGAGGATAACCCTAGCGAGTTTCATTGATGATAAATCAAACATTGCCTCCTTTAACCGCACATTGAGCGGCTGCAATATTTCGGAACCGAGTGATGTGAACAAGCTCGCGTAAAGTTTGAAAAGGACTTGGTACAAGTCACGGGAATAAAGAGGCGAACTTTCTCAACACAAAGTTAATACCGGTAGAGGTGATCGTCGGGCACACTGATATGAGGCAACAAGATTCAAGTTTGGAGCGCGAGGGCCGAGAGTTGACATTTGCCACCACGAATAATTTTGGGTGCAAGATCTAGTGGTAGGCAATTTTTAGGAGCGGCCGCTGTTTCGAAGCGAGAACTTGTGGATGCGATAATCCCGAAAATGCCATGATGCTAGGACATTACGCTTCACTTGGCATCGACGCCGGTTGGGGGAGGCGTTGATGTGACATCATGCGGCCGTGCATGTTTGCAAGATGGCCTTGGGGCGAGGATTGGGGGACAGGGAAATATGGGAATCTCTGGAAAATCGGGGTTCACGAGAGGGGAAATCTTGGTATGATGTATGAATGAGATGAGGGGTTGGCATCTAAAGCATGGGGATTGGCATGATAGACTTTCCGGGAGCCGTGGGAAGGGAGATCGACATGCTCTGGCGACAAAAGCAGCTGCACAATACTGTGGTTGCGCCACACTTTGGTTGCTGCTGTGGCTGGTTGCCTGCCGTGGTGGGGGCCCACTGTTAGTGTGATGTTGTAGCGCAGAGGTACCAGCTTCCAGCCCAAGCGAGGGCGCGGTGGCGGAGGAAAGTCTCCGTGCCCTAGACCCCAAGCACAAATATGAGCGTGACTGCCTTGTTCCCTGGTTGATCAAGATGGAATGATGTGATGTTTTCTCTTCCGGGCGGCTTAGGAGATATAGTTGGCAGATGAATTGGACTGGGGTAACACCCGCCTCTGGTAGGGGCATGAGAGAGGCAGCAGCAGGAATCAAACACGTCGCCGGGTCTTTTGCTCCGGCCAGGTATGCGCTCTCGGCGATATGATTCGAGGATAGTTGGCTGAGCTAAGGCAAGCCACACAAGGTGCATCATATTGCCGTGGGGTGCCTAAACCGAGGGAGCCAGAATAATGCAGCTTCTGGTTGCTGGTATTCGTATGCACTGGCATGCACAATGCGTTGGTTATAGCTGCCGTTGTCCATACGCGTGTTGATCTACAACCCACGTGAACTGGCAACGCTCCCACATGTCCGCTAATGGTGACCCTAAAGACCTTCTGCAGATTATAAAGGCAAAGAGATAAGGATATCTATCTAACTGTGGCAAAGGGATAGGGAGACCTGCGTTGCCACAACGTGATGAACGCCCAAGGATGAGACCTATTCAAAACTATTGATCCAAGTTTGAAAGGGGCCAAGTCCCGCTGCATTCCCCGGTCCTCTTCCCGCCCCGATCAGGACGGTGCCGCTCCGCTCGGAATGTAAGTGTGCGATCACCAGCTAATTCCGCGATTGGGACAGCTTAGCTAGCAATAGCTACAGCTGTGCCGTTGCTGCGAGCTTACCGTTGCTCAAAGGAGACAGGCTTGCTCGAACACCGGGCGTAGCATCCTGTCGGAGGTTTCATTTCGTCCATCGTGCCTTTGGTGGTACTACTTGGTTGCGACCCATGTTGGCAGCGCATGGTTCCGATCAACTAGCTGAAACTGTGCCAGCAAGGTCTGCACCCATTTGTCCATCACCAACAGAGGCTAAGACAACAGCATAGCGGGGAAATGCTGGGAAGAAAGGGGGGTTTGGAACTGTGCACATGCATGACCTTAGGCGGCAATGCAATGTCACCAATCAAGGCCAAGAAAGATGGACATGGAGCGATTGGAGCGGACCAATTGAGCGAGCTCACCAAACCGAATGTGAGTCTGCGTGAGATTCGACTTACTAGTTGGTACTACATGGGCTCGTTACCGACCAGCGGGTACGGAGCGGGCGTTGCAACTCAGGTAGATGTGAATCGCCTTCAATCGAAGAACCAGGCGAGCCCTAGCGCGCGATCTCTGGTGGTTAAATAACCGACAATCGTCGGTGTCCGCGCCCGCAAGACTGAGTGCGATGCATGTCGGATTTCGGCGTTTGACTTTCCCATATTTTGTCGGGACAGTACTAACACCTCAGGACCAACCCTAATGTAGCGCTGGATAAAGGAGCCGGTCCTTTTGGCCGTGCTCAAGCTAGAAGGTGAGGACAAATCGCAGCAGAAGTACCTGGCAACCAAGGAAAGTTTCCTTGGTTGTTGCAGCAAGCTGACGGCAGAGGCTGTTGGGGATTCTGGCACTGGGCTCTTCCTACCATGACGCCCCGCCCAAGTTCCACCACTAGCTGGGGCAACAATGGCGGGTGGGAAGGCAGGGGAAGCCCAAATCCTCGATGGGATATGGGATGGGTCGATTTTGGGAGAGCAGGTGGGCAGGCAAACAAGCAGGCAAACAAAATACCCTTCACCATTCCCCAGACAGGCAGCGCAGGCACCCCGACGCTGGCACAGTGTCAGTCAGTGCTTCAGAGCCCTCGGCCATCCCCAAGCTGTATGACGACGCCCGTCCAAGTCTAAAGCGAGGTGGTGCTGGCGGGAGGCGTCGGTTAGCTGGGCTGCTCGTTTCGTTTGCAACCGTGAACTCTGTCTCCTCGTCCCCAGTCCGCTGGGATCCGATCAAGAGGTCCCCTGCCCTCTCCCTCCTATTCGGCAGCTACTGAGGCATGTGGGGCCAGCCTGCATCGGGGAGGAGCGACCAGCTACCTAGCGGGCTTCGGTACTGGTCCTGACTTTGGGCCTGCGCTAACCAGTACTAATGCGCTACAAGTGGTCCTAGCTGGCGCTAACAGCAGATGCTCTCATCGAGATCGATCGCCAAAGGCCGTGGAATCTGCCCCGGCCCTCACGGCCACAGATCGAAAAGAATGATCTGATCGGTTATGTGAGCTGTTGTTCCATGGTTACGGGCGTTGGAGTCTCCTCCAGCGCAAAATGTACGTGATTCTATAAAAGTACTGTACCACGCTCTCCTCTAGCTACCACACACGCAGTCACTCTCCTGCTTGCCATATCGCCTTCCAACTTACTTCTAATTCCGATTCACACCAAGTCACTCACCTGCCAGCTACAATTGCCATTCACACTGGTGGTTACCTATACAAATCACATACAATTTGTTTCCTCTCTTGTGGCTTTACCTGACCACCGACACTATATCATATCAACCAAGTTGTTGCCTGCTCTATTGCCACCACTCTCTCTTCATTCGTGGTTTCCTCTCCAGAAAAATACGACCCGCTTCCATAAAGGCACGGCGCGGCGCTCCCTTACAGATACCGATATTTACGACTTCCAATTTTTGCTGCTCCAGCTGATTCCCCGCGAATCACATTCTGCTACACATCTTGCCGCGACAAACACACATCGCATCGCACTCTAGCAGGGGTGGCGCTACAATTTGAAGTCAAATCCCGGGTGGCCCACCACGGGTTAATCGCTGTTCATCATGCCTCGCCGATCAGTCGACGCCTCAGCCAAGGGATCCACATCCAAGATGTCCACCGACTCCACGTCCGCTCAGCGAAAGGTACCGTGCTTCTTTATTTTCCCGTATGCTCCACTACGGTGATGTGCAATAGCATTAAGCTGCTATTCCTTCGCCCTGACGCCAATATGACTGACTTGTTGAATAGACTGAGAGATCCCATGAGGAGAACCAGGAGAGAGCCTACATTGCCGCTTCACGACGTGCAGATCGAAGTATCGAGGCCCGGGTTCAGTCTGCACGCATGGCCAGCGAGATTCACAAGAAGCGCACGGGCAGAGGATTCCGGATAAGCGAGGAGATTGTCCGAAAGGAGGAGATGTACGAAGAAGAGGAAGACGAATTCCCCCGATCTTATCGCATTCTGGGAGCCCATATGCAGACAAACTCGGCAGAGATGAACTCTCGGGTCGAGGCCTACATGACTGGCAGGCTTGCCATGTCTGCTTACATGTCCAAGGTCAATGAAAATTGGAATGAGAACAACATCAACCAGCTCTTTGCCGCCTCGTTTCCCAACGCTAAGCAGCAAGCACAGCAGCTCTCCCAGCGAATGTCCCAGTCCGGCACATATGAGAACCAATCAGCTTCCCCACAACGGACGGCCGCTCCGGCATCCATGTCGCCGCACTTTCAGCCTGTCACTTATCAAAATGGAGCCAATCGGCACGGATCTCTAGCCTCGGTGTCTCCAACCGAGTCGAATCCAAACGAAAACGCTCTGTCCCCATCCTTGACGCAGGCTTCGAGCCCGACACCGGATACCCCCGCCACGGCATCCTTCAGCTTCCCTACGGGTGATTGGGGGATCTCTGACTCCGCGTTCACTAGCGAACTTCCGCAAGAGATGAAGCTGATGATGATGGGCGGTTCTGGGGAGATGAACTACAGTGGCATGTACAACCATTCATCATTCGATCAAAACTGGATGCCTCCTACCGAGGGATTTAGCGGAGATCAAGATCTCGATTTCCCGATGAAGATCGAGAACTTTGGGAACTCCTTTCAAACCAATGGCCAATGGGACGAGTCCACTGTCCCGCCCTCGTCCATTCCAGGTGCAACGGACGAACCCTGGGACATGTTCATTGACGACAACGCATGGGACAACACCCAGTAATTACAACAATCATCTCTCGCGACCGAATACGAGCTGGCCTCTTTTTTGATTTTACACTGACATTTTTATTCCCTGGCCTTGGCAAGGCCACCACAAAGCGATGTTTTGTTGGTGTTTTGATTTAAATGATGTTTGATGACGACATGCTCCAAGCTTTCACCCGTTTTATGTTTTATGGAAAATACAACTTTTAAGAGTTTGCATCGAGGCTGGAGTACCTGGATACACGGGGTGTTCAGCGAGGAATCTATAAGGATTAGGGAGTCTACGGCATTTGGAGCCCGCCACTTCGTCCTCAATGCATAGGAGAGACAAGGAGTTCAAATCATACGAACCCAGATCACAATAAGGGTTATTGGCATTTGCTATTTGTTTCGCGATTGTACCTTGATATCCCGGGAAAGGGGCTAAATAACAATGGAGGAGTAGGCGTACTGAGCCGGAAAAGGCTGGCTTTAGGGATGGCTTAATAACATGCTGCTCAGGCACACCCTCATCTCAACAAAATAAACCAAATATTTTTTGCACTTTTCTTAACTTTATGCACATTGCGAAATTATGGCACATCTAAATAGAAGTTCTTCGATGGAAGCTAATCTAAGAAGTGAATGATGAGTTGAAAAGAAAAGTTGCTTAACGGATGGTTGGAAAAAGCGATTTGGTAGCAATCCACCCATCCTTAAGACGTTCTCAGCAAACCCGCCTCTAAGCGGACAACAAGAGATATCCAATCTTTTCGTTCTGACCATACAGCCCCAGAATAAACCCAGAATAAACCCAGAAGAAAATATCAAAGTTGAGCGAGGAGCTTTTGCTCCGCCCCGCTGCCATTTAACCCTGCAGACCAGAAGACACGGAATGCGAAGGGTGGAATGTGATGGGTTGGCGCCATATGTATGTAGATTTACTTGATTGGTGTTTTTTTTTGGTCCGGGACTCGTTCTGGAACATGAGTCAATAGAGGACAAGGGCTGGGTTTACTACTTGCTGCCGAAAGAACTCAAAAAGTTCCTCTACACTCTGGCTTCAGTCGTTTGGGGAGACGAGTGCCGAACGACTGAGGCCAGAGTGTAGTGGAAAACCAAGGCAGGGAGAGAGAGACCTAGACCAATAGGGGGAGGAAAGATAGTGGACCATTCATATTTCTGTAAAAGAATGCTTTCCACCCCAGGTTACCATTCCATGCACCGGGTCGAAGTGTCTTCTAGCACAAGCGTAGTCACCCTGGTGCTTTGGACAGTCCGATCAAATCTCGGCTGGGAATACCCTGGGTTGATGCGGGTACCTGAAGACTGGTATACTCGACTGGAAAAGAAAGAAGTTGTTAAAAATGAAATAATCAATGGGATGCTAGTGGGTTTTGAAGGCCTCTCCGGGTTGTAGTAGTTCCATACCATTTGGAAGAATCGGCATTGGGTGCCTGATTTTGGCTGATAGAAGCGCTTCCCATGGGATAATATGACATGTCACCCCTTGGTACTGATATGTAATTATAAACCTTTTGACCGTGGGAAGATCGATGGTCCAGGCTGAAGTCGTGAGGGGCTAGGCGCCAGGGAGCTTGCTCATCGATGGGGCCAAGTTGAGGAGCTGTCCATATGTGGTTGACTGGGGCTACCTCGTTGGCTTGAGCTTGAGTGGCCTCATTCAAGGAGGTTTGGTTTCTGTTTCGATTGCGAGCTCGATTATCATAGGCAGCTGAGCCGGGTCTGCAGCCAGTCACATCATATCCAGATCTCGGCATCCTCTCGCTTTTGACTCTTCCCCATTAAAATTTCCGAAATCGTTAACATGAGGATGTTTGAGGGATGAAAGCAACACTCAACGTCGAGAATCCTTTGCATTAGAATGGGAGGAATCGGAGTATGTTGGTAACGAGGACGGAGAAGAAATGGGAAGGGGCAAAAGGAGAGAGCTTGTTCGAGCTTTTATATTTGCTCTTTCTGGCGTCTGATGTGGAATGCTCGTTATCTGTATGGCCAAACGGGTCGAGTGTGATTCAGTGTGGTCATTGCCACTTGATATCGGCAGCAAACTTGTGCCTGTGGGCATTGTTCTATTCACGGTGGCTGGCACTGTTACTAGGTAGGTTCGATTTGGTCGTGTTTGACGGAAACTGTCCCTATATCTCCTTAAGATTAGTTTTGTTAGTCCTGAGTTCGTTTACGCCCGGCTTGAATAAGTGATTCCGGGATGAAGTACTCTTGAATTTGGTTGCGATAGGGCGTTTTAGGACGCACCAGGTGAACAATTGGGACGTGAATCATTGCCAAAGAAGTCTATTAGTGCTGCAAACGCCCGCCAGTATATGGGTGCAATATGTTAATCAGTCTTGATCATCATCTGCTTCCTCAGCCTTGCTCTTTTTGCTCTTTTTCTCCCTCTTCTCCTTTTTGTCTTTCTTTTCCTTTTTCTCCTTCTTTTCCTTTTTCTCCGTCTTCTCCTTCTTCTCCTTCTTCTCCTTCTTTTCTTTCTTTTCTTTCTCCTCCTCCTTATCTGCCTCTGGGCTCTCCTCCTCCGCATTTACCTCCTTTGGTTCATCCGCTGGGCTTTCCTTTTCTTGTTCCTCATCCTCACCTGCCTTTCCATTGGTCTCATTTTTGCCAGCCCTCGAAGACCCCAGCTCTGTCCTGTTAGCCGACGACGTCTTCTTCTTGGCATCTTCGACAGCATCCACCTCCCTCATCCATATCTTCCAGTCGCCCCTCCTTGTCTTCCACATGTCTCCTTTCCAAGTTCTCCAAACACTTCGACCCATCCAGCTATCCCTCAGCTGTCTTTCGATCTCGCCAAGTTTCGACATGATTCCCTCCTTTAGATGGAACGGGACGCTTCGTTCTCTGCCCTTGCTAGGAATCTCCACAATGGTGTTGACAAGGTTGTGGCCATTTTGAGACGAGGAAAGTTCGGTCAAATGGGGCGTGATAGTGGCAATAATCGTTTTGTGGAAGGCTGGGTTGGATGATGGAGTGGCGAGAGCTTTGGTAATGACCGTGACGGTCGGAATAGATGTCGTAGCGAGCCGGATTAGTAGTTCGGGGCTGAGGGCAAGCAGTCCTTCTTGCACACCTTTGGAAGGGCCAGGGATGTCGAGCAACGTTGCCAAGAGCTGGGCGCCGTGGGACTGGATAGCGTACTCGTTTCGGCTTAATTGTGTGACGTCCTTCTTCTTCTTCTTCTCCTCTTCCTCGGTATTCAAGCTACATAAGGTTTGGATAAGAGCAGCAGGCTCGGATCCGCACCCTTCCCTCAAGCCTCTCATCAACTGCTTGATCTCATCGGACAGACCTCTCGCTGCGCAACGGTCGAAGAGTGCCTTGAGAACATTGAACCTAGACTTCTCCACCAGTTGGGGAACCGTTGGTATAATCTTGTCAACGGCTTCCTTGAGGTTGTCCTTCCCTAACCGGTTGAGCACCCTGATGGCGGCGTATGAAGAGACATCGTTGCGCACGTAGCCCTGGATGCGAGGGAGAAAGATGTTGTGATTCAGCGCCTTGAAGACCTTTCCTGGGGCGTGCGTAATGATTGTCTCGATGAGACGCGCACCGATCTGGTCATAAATCATGCCATTGATGAATTCTGAGGCCTCGGATGTCTCGTCGCTAAGGGACTTGGGGGCACCGGGTAATAGTTGGAAAAGCAGTGTAGGCTGTGCTGAGTCTGACTTGGCGTCGCCTTTCTTCAGTGAGAGGTCGAGTTCTAAGAGAAGTTGTAAAGTTGGATTGCCAATCGGGTGCTTTGCTAGAACACGCAGCCCCGTGGCATCCATGGTGGAGACACTGTCCTCGATAATTTTTTGCACGGCCATGGTGAACGAAGACGGGACAGCTCGCAGTCCTTGGTTCGCTTCGTCGGAAGCCGCAGCCCCGGCAACTGAGATCTTCTCCTTCTTCTTGCTCTTCAGCAGAGTCCGGACGGAGGCGTCTTCGAGTGGTCGACCCGACAGTACGAGCAGCAGGACTCGGAGGGTGTGCGAGGCGAAGCGATCCGTGAGAAGGTAAGTTAGGTTACCCTCCAGTTCGTCCAAGGTCGCTAAGAAGAGATGTTCCATAGATGCTTCTGGTTGCTGGTCCTTAGCATCTGAACCCTTGACGTCGAGCACAAAGCCTGATAGCTCCTGGCCCACGACGCCAGCCGACTTGAGGAACAGCGCCTCGCAGCAGTGACTCGCAAACCGATGCTGCACCAGAGACAAGAAGTGGCCACCGAATGCATCGAACAGCTGCTTCTTCTGCGCCGTGTTGGAAATCTGTATCAGTCTCTCCATGAGGCGCGAGCATGACTGGCTGCTTGCCACCTTGAGCTCCTTGCCCTGCGCCTCGCGCCAGACACTCTCGAGAAAGACATCGCGGTCCTCGTTGGAAGGGAATTGGTTCAATTCGAGCATCTCGTCCGCCCGGCGGAAATATTCTTGCTCTTCGTCGGCGAGCATACCGAAGAACTCTCTCTCCCCGATCATGCCATTCTGCGCGGCTGCGTCCTCCTCGGCTCCCTCGCCCCAGTGTTCGTTCTCGCCATCCTGGCGTTGTCGCTTCAACGCCACAGCATGCTCCTCCTCTTCCTGTCTCTTCCTCTTTTTCTCCTCCCGAATGGCGCCTCGCTTCGTTCTTGGCTTAGGCATTGTGGCAGAGCCAATTGGTGGCGTCGATTTGGATTGTGAGAATGGTGGTTCCAAAGATCAGGTCCTCTGCATTGAAGTTTGGGAAGATTCCTGCAACAAAAAAAAATTGGGCGCGCGATAAGATAAGAATCAGCGCCGTTGCCCCCCTGCAGGTTCCCGTTCCACTATAACTCCCGTCCCTGTCAGATGCCCCTCCTTCCTAAAGGACAGGGCGGTCGCACTACAAACCTGAATGCTGAAGACCAAGCGAATTGAGACTTCAACATCTGAAACGATCTGAGAATGTACAAAAATTTTCAGGTTTTGATAGATTCGGTGTTCATTTTAGACTGAGATCCGACCATATAATTCCATTAATTTATGTCTAAAAAAGTAAATGTCATGCTTAAGAAATCGTATCTCCAGAATGTCTAGTAAATGATCTATCTATCATCTTAAAGAGAGATCTCGCTGCCAAGGATCTCAATGGCCTTGACAAGTCCTTCTACCGTAGTGAACAGTGTCTGCCAGTTAATAACAACACGGAAGAAGCTCCCCTTTTCACCAGGGGCATAATCAACCATGAAACCCCGAGGGATCAGTTTGTGTACGATATCGGCAGTGATCTTGGTATTTACTTCAGGATCCTCAGGCAATTTCCCTCCGGGAGCATAGTAGAAGCAAATTTGCAAACAAGCGGGTAGGTTAGGGTAGAGAAGCTCCAGGTTCGGGCTGTCGCGCACCAAGTTATAAAGATGCTCAACCACGTCGTAAGCATGGTCAGTCTGGCGCTCGAAGCTGTCAGACCCGTAGTATTGCCAGGCGAGTGCCACCTTAAGACTGTCGCCCCGGCGGCCACATTGTAGGGTGAAATCGGCTTGGTCCCAGATTTCGCCATCGCTGTTGCTGTGGAAAAGGTACCCAGCCTTGGTGCTGTTTGCCTTGTTGAATAGGTTCATGTCGGGGCCAAGGATGTATGAACATGTAGCAGGGACGTTCATCATTTTGTGAGGGTTAACTGTCAGCGAGTCGGCGAGATGGGACCCCTTGAGCCTCCAACTATGCTTCTTGGAGAAAATGACGGGGCCACCGAAGCTGGCGTCTACATGCAGCCATAGGTTGTGCCTCTTGCAAATCGCTGAAATTGCCTCGAGATCCTCGAACGCTCCTCTTACAGTAGTGCCTGCAGTAGCATTGACGTAAAAGGGGGTCTTGCCCTCGGCCTTGGCGCGTAGTACCAATTCTTCGAGAAGGTCGGGTTTTAAACAGCCTTCACTGTCGACGGGAACTGGCCAGACGCTATCGGAGCCCAGGCCGCAAATCATGGCGCTCTTCTCAACAGAGTAGTGACCGTGAGCGCTGGTGAAGACAACGAAATTGTGACCGGCGTTTCCAGCCGTTCGGCATTCTGGATAAAGAGTGTTTCTCGCGACCACGAGGGAGGTTAAGTTGGAGGAGCTTCCTCCCTGACAGTTGATACCACCAGCGTTGGGCTCGGTGAAGCCAAAGAGATTGGCTAGCTTCTTAGATGTGACCTTTTCTATCAAGGTCAAGACCGGAGAGACTTGATAAACGTGGACCTAGTATGTTGTTGGCATGAAGAACATCTTCCGGAGTAAGTGGGAAACGACATACATTGGTGTTGAGGACAGATAATATCATGTCAGAGATAACACCAACCTGCGAAGCTAGTTAGTGGCTTGTGGGAAGTCGTCAGGAGGCGGAACGTATGTACAGGAGTGTTGGATGCAAAGAGCTTGTCGAGGAAGCCTTGGTCCCAGGTATTGACACTGTACTGGAGTATCTTCTGGATGGACTCGAGAACCCCGTCCTTTCCTAGTCCTTGCTCAGGAAGAGGGATCTGGAGGCGCTTGACGAGATCCACGGGACTTTGATAGTCCACAAGAACAGGCTGTAGCTCGCCATTGGGGGCAACATACGCCTCTCCGGTATGCTTCTGGGCAGCAGCATCATCGGCAGCCTTGATGAATGGGATGACGAGTTCACGGACAGCAGTGAGAAGCTTAAGGCGGAAATTAGGTCAATAGAGACATCCAATCAATATCCTCTCAGTGATGGAGGAATACATACATCATCAGTCTCTTCGGCACGATTTAGCTTGGGGCTACTGGAATTGGCGGTTCCATTTCCGTTGGCGGCACCGTTTTGGTGGCCGTTGACCTTCTTGAGGCTTTGATTGCCAGGTATGGAGTTACTGGTCTGTGTCATCTTGGAGGTTGGCCGTTTTAATGTTACTCCGGGTGTCGTTGAAGGAGGACCCCTGCTGTATGAGTTTGCAGGACACTCGCTTCTGGTGGTCCCGTGTCTGTCAAGAGTGGAAGTTGGACAGTCCTGTGCGAATAGATAGATCCGGCTGCCACTTTCTGCGCAAATTGCAATGAAAAGAAAGCTCAGTGATCAATGGCTGAAAGCAGATATGTAGATGGTCTATTTTTCATCGACCCACATTGCTGCTGCGTGGCGGGGATCGGGTGCTTATAATAAGTGAGTGTCGGTGTAAGCTAGGCAGAAGATAATCATCAAGGATGTGGAGGCTAAGAGAGAACGGGACAAGGGCGAGTTAGGCTTGAAAGAAATGCTTGAAAAATACGATTAATAATGAAGGGCATTAGGACTGGAGAGACCATATAATAGGCGCTCTACCTGGGTGGAGTAAGATGGCTTGAGACGGATGTGTGGTGTGCCAATGAGCCATTTCCGTCTCCTGGGCGGTGGACGTAGCACACACCTATGCAGTACGATGGTATGCCCACCCGAATTTCAATGTCTCCGTGGCTTTGGAATAGTTGATTGGGCGGGGATTGTTGACTGGCGCTCACTTGCTTTAACATCTAGATTGAGTTATACAAATGTGCCTCGGTAGACGGAGCCTGCTCGATGTGGGATCGTATCAATGCCTGGAGGCCCAAAAGCCAGGCTTTTTGAACGAGATGAAGCCATTTGTGAGATGACCAACATACAAGCTGATAGTTCTTGTTAGATCTGCCCAATTCGGTGATGGAAGGCTCTTCCCGAGACATCGGCCGCTCACCACTGGTGTCGATGAGTCCCACTTGACCTCAGGAACGAGTTGGATTGCTAGATTATGGGGGAGGAGCCTGCTGTCATGTGGGACCGGCGCCACCGAAAACGGACTGGACGCAGGCGTTGATTGGTATCTTCGAAGGCTGCTGTGTGTGTGGTAGTTCGGGATATGTCGTGATTTTAATCAAGTATGCGGCGGCTTTTTTGGGGAGCTATGGTGAGGGATAAACCGGAAACTGGCGCAGTGGTTGTTTGGAGCTTCGTATAGCTGATGCCTCTGTGGCGCGCCATTACGCGAATTGGATTGCGAATGACGATATTGTTGATAGGTTCTTGGGCTGTTCCGTCCAGCAAGTGCGTGAACGGGTGGATCGATTGCGGCTGGGCATAGCGTTGCTGCCGATCACATCCTCCGTTATCCACGGCGATTTATGTATGATTACCCTTTCGCTGGGATTTAGCAAACTCCGGGAGGCGGCATGTAAGAAGGAGCAACTGGAGAGCCGAACGAGTATAAGACGTCTTGCCGGTGTCGGATAGCGGACGAGATGTTCATCCTATGTGTAGTCGGGCTTATGACGTTCATCCTCCCCCGCTTGTCACCTTGTCACTGTCGCCATGGTTGAATTGACCCATGCTGACAGTGATTCCTTGCCTCTCTCATCCCTTGTCGAGCCTTAAGTGCCTACATATATCCAAACGTGCCTCTCGGATGTAGTGGTTGTAGGTTCTAAGGAAGAACAATTGCAAATGAGGCCGCTAGGTCATACACCTCGTGCGATGCCCTTTCCAATAAGTGTTGTTTTTTAAGTCAGAGTAACTCACCGTCGAGAATACCCGGATACTGCAGCCGTCTATTACCGTCGAGCTGCTGCGCGTGCCATGACGACGCTATAACGATATGCGCATCGTTCTTGCATGCCAAATGTGGAAGGTCAGCTACCAATCAACATCCATGGTCCCATTGAGAAAGATACTGGCCCTCATCCTATTAATACGAGAGAGGCAAGAGCAACAGTCACGGCCATTGATGCTCTCGAGATTCTTGATGAATACTGTTGACTGCCTAGAAATTAGTGTGTGCAGATCAATGTTTCAGTGGTTAAAGCCAGGCACTAGCTGCACCTGTAATTCGCCACTGTATCGCTGCGCGAAAGCTAGAGCCAGCAACCACTGTCTGGCATCTATCTTACAGTCCTCTTGTGAATGGATGTTGATGTGCATGCATCTACTCCTTCCTTCAATGCAACGTGAAATAAATCAACTCATGGACATCCCCCGCTTCGTAAACGAGCCAAAGGGCCGGCGAAGCCATGTCTTCTGATCGATTTGATGTACAGGGTCTTTTTGTCACCGGCTGCTCGGCAGGGGACGCCAAGTTAAGGCAGCTCACGGACACGGCCACAGCATCGGGACCTTCCAATTGAGGTGCGATCTGTCTGTCAAGGCCTTTTGAAATACGTCTGAATGGTTGCACCCACTATCCATGCTGCCTGCCGCCTACTTACCCGTGTACATTGATTAAGCCTGCCTATGGCATGCGTCCCACCTATCAACTAAAGTGCCGCCCTATTTGCTCACCTTGTTCCCCGGTGGGTTGTAGCACGCAAATAGCACCACAATCAATGCACCGCAAAGGTTCCGTCTGGGGTCTCAGATCGGCGTTCTGATGCTGTGTATAAATATGCCGTGTGTCACCCTCTGCGCATGTGGTGAACTCTCCATCAACCCGGTTTGTCATCCTTGACAATTGTAGCCATGGTTCGCGGGCTGTTCCTTGGGCTCGCCGCCCTGATCTCCCCCGCGATCGCCTTGAGGGGTCTCCCCATCCCCATCAGTGAACTAGCAAAACAGGTTGGTCTCAAATAGCAAACTGCCGCTTTCTGTAGTCTCTTTGTTTCTACAGAGCCCGAGGAATTGAAAAAGTTACTGACCGTAGGGGTTTATTCAAAAATAGATTAGAGCTCCTGGTGGTAGTCAGATCCGAGCGGCGACTTACCAAGAGTACAACCTTTCGGTGCCTATTGATCACTTCCACAATGATACCAAGTATGCGCCTCACTCAAACGGAACCTTCAACCTGAGATATTGGTTCGATCCCCAGTTCTATAAGCCTGGTGGCCCAGTCTTTGTTCTGAGTGGCGGCGAGACGGATGGAGCAGACCGTCTGCCCTTCTTGGAGAAAGGAATTGTCAATGAGGTGGCAAAAGCAACCAATGGCTTGGGAGTTATCCTAGAACACCGATATTACGGAAGCAGTATTCCAGTTCCAGACTTCAGCACCGAGAATCTCCGATTCTTGACGACTGAGCAGGCTTTGGCTGACACGGCCTACTTCGCCAAGAACGTTGTCTTCGAGGGTCTGGAGGATGTCAGCTTCAGTCCTGAGAAGGTTCCCTGGATCGCCTATGGGGGCTCCTACGCCGGCGGCTTTGTCGCATTCCTCCGCGTCCTGTACCCGGATGTCTTCTTTGGTGCCATCTCGTCTTCCGGTGTTGTCGAGGCCATCTGGGACTACTGGGAGTACTTTGAGGGCGCTCGACTCTACGCACCTGAGGGATGTTCCGACACGACCGGCAAGTTTGTCAACATCGTGGACAACATCCTCACCAAGGAAGAGAATTCCAAATACATTAGCTCGTTGAAGAAGGTCTTTGGATACACGGATGCCACCTCCAACGTGGACTTCGCCTACAACATTGCCACCGGAATCTACAGCCTGCAGAGCGTGAACTGGGATCCTGCCATTAGTGACCCCTTTTTCTTCACATACTGCAAGGCTGTAGTTACTGACAAGAACAACTACACTAATCTGGAACCCATCCGCGATACAGTCAAGGAGTTTGTTATTGCTGGTGGCTGGGAGTCTGAGGTAGACCCGTTGACTGATCGTTTCCTCAACTGGATCGGAGTTCTCGGAAACACGAACGCTCAGGTTGATGAAGTCGGCTTTTACGAGCAGGACGACCTTTCACAAACCTGGAGACTTTGGCCGTACCAGGTCTGCACAGAGTAAGTTACCCACTGTTCTCTTTCTACTCTTCGCCGCTCATCAATTAACCTCGAATCAACAGGTGGGGCTACCTCCAAACTGGATCTGGCGCACCAGCCGACATCTTGCCCATGATGTCTCGCCTCGTCGATTTGGAGTATTCATCGCAAATCTGCAAAGACGCCTTCAACATCACGGGGGTTGCCAACCTCGAGGCCATCAACAAGTACGGTGGATTCGGTATTTCCTACCACCGCCTCGCTTTCCTCGACGGCGAGTGGGATCCCTGGAGGGCAGCAGGTGTCAACGCGTTGACCCAGCCTAAGCGTAATTCAACCATAGCCGAGCCGGTGATTCTCATCGATGATGCTGTGCACCATTGGGACGAAAACGGAGTATACCCCGAGGAGGTGACTCCCGACTTCCCTCCCAAGGCCGTCCAGTCTGCCAAGCAGGAGATCAGGGAGTTTGTTGCTGAATGGCTCAAAGAGTTTAAGCCCAAGTGCAAGAGATCCGAGTAGGAATAGGGTTATAATCCGCAGTGTATCCCTGAATCATGAATAATAAACACGCTTTAACAAACCAACTCATGCACAACCGTTTTGCCGTTGCTAGGCCAAACTCTCTTTGCTTGTGTGTGTCCCAACCAGGTAATAACACGGGATTGGCTGCCTCTCGGGGTCGAAACGGGCTACCGTGACGGGAATCTCATTCCATGACCTTCTCATCCACCTTGTCACTGGTCACAAGGACATCTCGCATTACCAATCGCATGAGTTGGAGGCGGGTCTGATCGCTTTCATGTGTTTCTTGTGGGGGGTTCATCTGCCCATTGAACCATGGAAACGGTCGAGAAGACGTCATGGAGCCAATAGGAGAAGCCCAATCTGCCCCGTCCCGGCTGAATAGAGGCAGAGTTACGGGAGATCATCGGTCGGAAAAACCCTGGAGTTTCAACGGCCCCTCCTTTTGCTGTTCCAAGCCCCGGAAAGCTCGTCTAGGAGGGAAAAACCACGGATAGAGGCCCAGTGATTCTCCGGACTATGGGGAAGCACCCCGGTTCCGAGCATTATTGGTGTTCTGGCAGACAAATCGATGGAAATCTGGCCCTCTAGCTGTTCCTTGGTAACTCCCCAATGGAGTCCATAAAAGGCCTCGTTGTCCCAGGGAGGGTTGGGGATTGCCTCACCCTCTCTTTACTATTGCGGTTCTGATATTTCATTGCTCTGTTTGGTTTAAAGATGGCTCCTACCGACGTCAATGCTGTGCTGTCCAAGCTAACGCTAGAGGAGAAGGTAGGCTTGGACACTTCTACCATCCATTCTCTTTTCTAATAACAGACTGTACTGATGGTGTGGTGAAAGATTTCTATCCTCGCTGGTGCTGACTTCTGGCAAACCGTCCCCATCCCAGAGAAAGGAGTTCCGGCTCTCAAGGTTCGTGTCAACTCAGTCCGAACATCGCCACCATCTAATTGTTAACATCAACAAGACCAGTGATGGACCTAATGGTGCCCGTGGAGAGACCTTCTCCGGGGGCGTGACAGCCGCTTGCTTCCCCGCTGCTTGCAGTGTCGCCTCCACATTTGATGTTGACATTGCTCGACGAATCGGTGTTGCTTTGGGAGAGGAGACTCTCACCAAGGGTGCTCGATGCCTTCTTGGCCCTACTATTTGTGGCCACCGCCATCCCCTCGGTGGCCGAAACTTCGAGAGTTTCTCAGAGGACCCATTCCTTGCGGGCACGCTTGCTTCGCAGAGTGTCCAGGGCATTCAGTCCACAGGGGTTGCTGCCACGATGAAGCATTATGCTGTTAATGAGCAAGAGACTGAGCGTTTGAGCGTCGACGAGATTGTTGACGAGCGTACTATGCGTGAGATTTACCTGAGGCCCTTTGAGAGGGTTGTTAAGGAGGCCAAGCCCGCCGCCGTCATGACTGGCTACAACCAGGTCAACGGGAGCCACTGCGACTCTCACGAATTCCTCTTAAAACAGGTTCTGCGAGGCGAATGGGGATGGGACGGCCTTGTGATGAGTGATTGGGGTGGTGTCAACTCTGTCGCCGAATCTCTGAACGCCGGCTTGGATCTTGAGATGCCCGGCCCTACTCGATGGCGAAAGGTTGACGAGGTGGTCGCTGCTGTCAAGGCCGGAAAGGTTTCAGAGGAAACCATCAACGACCGCGCTATCCACGTTCTTCGCTTCCTCGAGCGCCAGAATTGCTTCAAAGACCCCACCATCCCTCCTGAGCAGGCCGTCAACAAGCCCGAGCACCAGGCTCTTATCCGCGAAGCTGGTTCCAAGGGAATCGTGCTCCTGAAGAACAACGACAACGTTCTGCCCCTGACCAAGGAAAAGGCACGGGGTAAGAAGATCGCCCTGCTTGGACTTGCTAAGGAGTCTCTTGCACACGGAGGTGGCAGTGCTTCTTTGAACGCACACTACAAGATTACTCCTTGGGATGCTCTCCAAGAGGCTTTCAAGGGCGAAAACGTTGAGTTCACATACGCCAAGGGTGCTCATACTTTGAGGCAGCTCCCCGTGATTACGAACAACGTAGTCGATCTAGATGGCAAGCCTGGCTTCACCTGGCGCTCGTACCGCGTTGGTGAGTCAAAGCCCTATAACACTGTCGGTGGCCATGGCAAGTCCGAGATTTCGTTACTGGACGGCTTGAATATGGTCAACACCAGCATTGAGCTTGAGGGAACCTTTACTGCCTCCGAATCCGCTACCTATTACTTTACTCTCAGTGGCCTTGGCCCCTCTAGTGTGGCCATTAACGGTAAAGTGGTCTTTGAGCAGGAGGACAACTGTTCGGACCCGATGGGTTTCTTGCTCGGCGGTGTCGCATCGCCCCTGGTCAAGTACGAGTTTGAGTCCGGAAAGCAGTATAAGATTCTCATCAAGAGCACACCCCCGGCCCCTGTCGAGGGCGTCGATCTCGGAATCCTCGAGGGCAAGGTCGGTGTGAGACTTGGAAACATGTCAGCATCTGAGCACGACAAGGATATCCTCACAGAAGCCATCGACTTGGCCAAGGCTGCCGACTACGCGATCGTGTTCACTGGCCACGATCCTTCCTGGGAGACCGAGGGTCAGGACCAGCACAGCTTCAACCTCCCCAAGGATGGCAGCCAAGACCGCCTGGTGTCCGGCGTCGCCGCCGTCAACCAGAATACCATCGTCGTCAACTCGACTGGTGTGGCTGTCGCCATGCCTTGGCTCGACGAGATCAAGTCTTTGGTTCATACCTGGTTCCCCGGGCAAGAAGCTGGCAACTCCATTGCCGACGTCCTCACCGGTGAACGAAACCCCGAGGGTCACCTCACCTGCACATTCCCCAAGCGCCTGGAAGACTGTCCCGCTTACGGAAATTTCCCTGGCGAGTACAACGGCCGTCAACTTACCGTCAAGTATGCCGAGGGCGTCTTCGTTGGATACAGACATTTCGATCGCTTGCCCGCAGAGAAGGTCAACTTCCCCTTCGGTTTCGGCCTCTCCTACACGACCTTTGGCTTCTCTGACCTTAATGTCAAGCCGACTGCCGCCGCTGACGAGTGGGCTGTTAGCGTCAAGGTGACTAACACAGGCTCGGTCAAGGGTGCCATTGCTGTTCAGCTTTATGTTGGCAACAGCAAGACGTCCCCAGAAAACCCTGTCAAGTCTCTAGTCAGCTTCAAGAAGGTGACCCTGGCCGCCGGAGGATCCGCGGTAGTCGAGCTACCAACCCAAGGCCGCGACATTGCGTTCTGGAGCCAACAGGAGCACAAGTGGGTGCTCGAGGCAGGCGAGTATAATTTCAGCGTTGGCAAGAGCGCGGGTGATCTGGTGGCAACGGCCACGGTCCAGGTCGGTGGCAAGACGTATGCGCCTTAGAGGCTGCGGAAGATCCTCGTGGATGGAAATAGAAAAGCGATAGATCATGAGATGATGAGACTGGGGCACTGTACATAACAAGGGATAGAATACAGTTCAAAGAGCGTAATGGAATTGCTTCCTCCTCCGATTATAGATCCGATGTTGCATGGGATTGGCCTGACGTACGTCGCGGATAATAACAGAGTTCGCTATCGGCGGTGATATCATACCACGCGGTGTAGAGCTAATCTCCCGGCTCTTAAAAATACTCTAGCCCCCCTCCCATCCCGTTAAGGGCTGGTGGGTCTTATCATCCTCATTCATCATTCTGGTGAAATTTGAAAAGGTGTTGGGCTGCCAGACGCGGCGAGGCAGGATGGCGACTCCGACGCCGAAAACCTTGACCGCCCAGGTTGGCCGATGGAAGGCGAGCAGAGAAGAAAAAGCAAAGAAGGCGCAGGTGCTGAACGGCTGGGTTGACCGCATCCATTTGGCTTGTTCTCTCCGCAACCAAGGTTCTTTTCCCACTTGAGTGTGGGTGCAGAGACACGGCTGGGAGCTACCACTTTGTCCCGGATACACGCCCCCTGGCGCGGAGCAGAGCCCGTATTCCTTTTCTCCATGATCTTCTGACGAAGCCTGGAGTCAATCGCTGCGCCAATGAGTGCATGCAGCAGCGGGCATCTGCAGTATGTACCTGCTTAAGCATTCGTCCCATCAGCCCTCGACAAATGGCTCGCCCTGATTCGTACGGGCCCTCTGCGGCTGGACGATGATGCTGCGCTGCAGACGTGCCGGTCGGCGGGCGCATTAGTGGGTGGATGTGCTGCGCGATGGTGGATGTCACCCTCTGGCGCCTACTGGCACCCGCCTGGTTTCAGCCAGCCTGGCGGTAACGGCTCATCTCACCAGGGTCAGAGCTTGCTGCTAAATTGGCACAATGCATGGCACTAGCATCGTGTTGGCCACTGCAGGTACCGGGCGGCCTTTTTTCGCTTCCGCACCGGGTTTCAAGCAACGGCCCAGACTCTGACTTTGGCTCGCCTTCCTACTCGGCTGTAGGCCAGAAATGGAGGTTGGGTGTCGTGTCTTCGTCCAACGCAACAGGGCAATTTCAACCCCAGAAGATCCTCCCCCCTCTTTCCTGTTCCGAGCAATGCATGATGCCCAACCCAAGCTGTGATGTGATGCGAGCGCGCGCACTGCATCTTCCCGACCCCGAATCCTGGGCTGCCAGGTACGCTGAGCCGGGATGCTCAACACCCACAGGCCCATTCATGGCTGAAGGTTCAGACCTGCAGGCTCCTCTCTCAGTCCCATTGCAGCCTCGATGTTTGCCGATTCGTCGAGGTGGGCCACAGCCTGCCTGGGATCCGGATTCCTACATGGGAGGCACAAGCCCGGTCGTGGTACAGTTTCCGTGAGGCCTAGCTCATTACGGCCACCTTCTCCATAACGACCCGGGCCCCAGCCAGAATTGAAGCGAGCAAACTGGCCGTGCTTGCTTTTTTTTTTTTTCGCCTCCCTTCTATCCACCCCCGAACGACGACAAGGGCCCTCATTCTATTTTGCTGGGAGAAGGGAGGGGGGAGAGCAGGTCCAGTTTTCAAAGTATTTCTCGTCCATGAGCTACCTAGCTTTTTTGCTTTTGCCTTCTCTCCTTTCGTACTGAATCCGTGAAGTCGAGTTGCGCCGAAGCTTCTAAGGCTACTTATTCGATAGCTCTCGTTCGTGTAGCGCCTCAGGCAAGCAGTCTCCGAGCCCGCAGCCACATCACGCACCAACTGCATATCCATTGTCCGAGCTCGACCAGCATCATCGCATCGCATATCGATCCCCCCTTTTAGAAACCAGAACAAAGCAACGTTTTCCCCCACGTCAAGCCTTCCTCAACTAGTTCACTAGTAGTTGGCCAACACAGCCGTTGGCCTTCATCCCTCACCTCCTAGCCGGGTTTCTGATACTACGGTGTACTTCGATAACACACACCCAAGACTCTCAAATTTCGATCCTCAGGGCCCCCACGATGCAGGCGCAAAACGAACAACCGCCGGTCCCTATTTCAATCACGATTTGCGGCGATGGGGGCTGCGGTAAATCGTCCATCACATTGCGCCTTGTGCGCTCCCAATGGATCTCGGAGTATGACCCTACTATAGAGGATTCGTACAGTCTCACCCGTCGCATCGATGGCACAACATATCATCTCTCCATTACGGATACGGCCGGCCAGGAGGAGTACAGGGGTATGTGGGCGTCCTCTAACTTGGGCGCCGACGCTTTCCTCATGGTTTACGATATTACTTCGGCGCATTCCCTCGATGCCTTGGAATACTTCGACGACCTCGTCAACATTGAGTCGGACACTCGTCTTGAAAACGCAGACCGGGCCAAGTTTGCTGGCATCAAACCTTCTTCGCAAGGGAACTCTGCATTCGGCCGCGGTTCAAACAAGATGGTTCCTCCCGTGAAGATGGTAGTCGGCAATAAGTGCGATCTTCAAGACGCCCGCCAGGTTCCGGCATCTCAAGGCTTGGAGTGGGCGCGCAAACGAGGTTGTGGATTCATGGAGACCAGTGCGAGATTGGAGGTGAACATTGAAGAGACGTTTGCGCTCATCATTCGTCGAGTAATGGAGGCTCGCCGTTTGGCCGAGGACGAGACGGACGATGCCAATGCTATGGGCATGACGAAGCCTTTGAGTCCGCTACCAAACGACGGAGATCCCGAAAAACGAGGCCCTGGTGTGAGAGGTCCCAAGCTACAAGGAGACAATACGCACGGCGGCTTCTGGAGGAGCTTGCGGTGTTGGTAGTCTGCAAACAAATCGCCGTATCTCAACAGACTGAGAAAATAGGGGCATTTCCCCCAGCAAAGAGCATATAAAGCAATCTTGATATCCCCCCCTTGCGTTCGTTAATTTTTGGTTACCCTTTTCATTCGCTTGTTTATATCTTTTTATATCTGTCCTGGGACTGTTGGTTTTATCACTCATACGTGGATGGGTTATGGCAATGAACATTTTGGCGTCATGGATATATTGTATTGATTGTGAGAAGCAGTCTACATTTGGGTGGGAAAAAATACCTTTGTTTCTAGCTATCCTATATGGCTGAACTGCGGTAGTGGCATTTTGAATTGAGCATGATATTTTTTTCTCTCTACTTTTTTTTTGATGGCCGCCGTCTGCCTCCCCCAACACGGATCGTCCCGTCTCGCACCCACCCACCCTCCTCGATGTCATGTTTGCTGGCGGCTCCAGAGTCGTATCGTGCCGGATGCGTGGCTGCCCAAGTCACCCTCCCAAACTGCAACGGGAATTACCTACCTCAATGGTCAATCCGATGGAACCCTCCAAGTTCTCAGATGCGACGCTGAGGAGAAGTGGATATATAAGCACACCTGTGTGGGCTGAGAAGTGTGATGCTGATGCATATATTGTTTATCCACTCACTCCCCTCGGGTGGCATCCTTGCAGATCAATAAACTCTAAATGGTGAGACTTGGCAGACGAGGTTACAACGCGGAAAAGAGAAGTGTGCTCTTGTTGAAGCTAACGACATCTCGCAACCTAGACCTCTTTAGAGAGAAGGAAAGAGAGAGAAAAGGAAGAGAAAAAAAGAGGAGAAAAAAAGAGGAGAAAAAAAAAGAGAAGAAAGGCAAAGATAGACACTCAAACGCTGAAAATGCCACTAAATTACAAAACTAATGCTGTCTTCCAAACGCCGGCTTCAGAAAATCAAAAATAGAAAGAGAAACAAGAATCTAGCCGGCTCTGTCCTACCCATCTTGCCCTGAAAGTTGGGGATTTCTTTTTTAAGTCATTTGTCTTCATAACCCATCCTTATCGGGGGGTTGGTTTCGTCATGGCTACTTCTGCCACTTGGGCTCCAGGCCGCTGTCCTGGGACACACGGGTCTCGTCGCCCAGGCTGCTCCTCCTCTCGCTCCCCAGGAGCGTCTCTCTGTCCCGCTCATCGCGCGTGGCCTCGTCCTCCTCGGGAACCGCAACGAGCACGTGGTCGCTGGACCAGCTTGGTGCCCGCGGGTTGCTGATGGCGCGTGGTCGACCGGCCGGCTGCTGGATGGAGTCCTCGTAGCTGATGGGTTCGAGGAGCGGGCTGTTCCAGCTCATGTGCTTGGCCTTTACCCTCTCGACGTCGGTCTTGGATTCGAGAGATACGGACCTGCGGCGGGCGAGGTACTCCTCGAACTGGGTGTCGCGCTCGTGGCTGTAGTAGCTCGGGGTGCGCTTGATGGGCTCCATTATGACGGGGCTGTCGGACGTGCGGGTTGAGCTGAAGCTGAGGCGGTTGGTCGCGCTCGAGACGCGCCTCTCGATGGTGGGAAGGATGTCCTTGGCGGGAGGGTGAAGGGTTGGGTCCTGGTCCTCCTCGTCGTTGAACCCGTATGACTTGGCGTTGACGTGGTGAGGGTAGTCCTCGAATGCGGTGGCACGGCGGTAGACGCGGATGGAGTAGACGGCGAGGGAGATGCCGGTGATTCTATCGTGGTGTTAGTCAAGACTGTTCTCGCCTTGGAGAGTGTGTGGAACTTACAGTAGAACGGCGTCAAGCCCAAGACCGACGAGAGAATAGTGGTTGGCGGCGCCCTTGACGTACACAGTAACATCGAGGCCCAGCAGGGCACAGGCACACACCACTTTGATAGCGTGGGTGAATAGCATCATCCGTGCCGTCAAGGCTTCAGCCATGTATCTGGCGATCTCGACCAAAGTGCAAATTGCCCCCAACGAGGATAAAGCGATGCTCGTAGCCGCCCATCTAACGAGCAACTTGTTAGAAGCCTATCCACGAAATAAGGTAGCAGTTAAGGCTAAGGGGGAAATCAACCTACCCAATCTCGAGTTGGCGTGGCAGGTCATCCTTCTCTTTCTCTTCCTTGCCCTGGGCCCGAAAGCACTCACCCAGCCTGTACGAAAAGATACCGGCGATGGTCAGAGCAAGAGCTAGCTGGAAAGCCCAGAAGGGGGCCAAGATGAGGAGGCGCCATTTAGCCCGTTGGAACTGGGCTTGCGATCTGTGGCTCGGCATGTCTGGCTTTTCTGCCGAACGTGCTTCTATCAATGTCCCGGGGTGGTTTGAGGAGAGAAAAAGCAGTGACACGGGGGAGGAACTCTGTTTCGAGCTGTCACCTAGTCATGTATCATGCCGTATCACACAGTGAGGAGAACGCCCTAGATGTGCAGGTAGGGAGACGTGTCGAATCAAATTAGCCAAACCGTCCGCCAGAAACTGCGCCATCGTCACCAGGCGGCAGCCCCAAGACCTTTTATCCTCTAGGCCAATGGGTTTTTCCCTGGTTACCCACTAGGACGAGCTTTCAGGTGCGCCGCCACGGGCCAGGGTCAGCCACCTGTTTGTGTGAATTGAGTCCCGAAGGGGGGACGCATGGTGCCATATCACGGACCTTGGCTTGTCAGCCGCAGCGCGGTGTTTCGAGACTTTTGGGCAAGTTAGCCCCAGAGCAGACGGGGCTGATGCGGCTAGATGGATTGAAGGACCGCTTCAACGACTAGGGGACTGGGAGCTACATGGCAGATCGCTTAGCTGCCAGACTATGTGAAGCGGGCGAGGGCATGGCGGCCAATGCCATTGACACTAGCTTCTCCACGCACGTTCTAGGTCCCAGGAGGACGGTCTGGCAATTGGCTCATCGCTACCCACCATCTATTTTCCTCTGCATCAGCAAGGCGCTTCAGGGACCCCTTCATTGGGGGCAAGTAAGTAGAGTGGCTGGCGAGGGTCGTGCCCGGGAGGGAAAAGTATGGCAGGACGTGTTGGCAATTTGACGCTCATGCAGTTTGATGCAGGCAACAGCCGCCACAACAATACACGGCAGTCATCATTCAGGTGCAATAATAATAATAAGCGGTGGGCCGGCTGCCGCAGCTGGTTGGCTGGCAGGCCTCTCAGCTTGGGTCTTGGGCCTCTTGAGTCGGGCGGCGGATCAATCAATCTTGCTCGATATCCACCGCGAGCATTAGCATTCGCCCTCTTCATCTTCACCGTCCTTGCCGTCATCGCTCACAAGGCTCTCTTGGGGCTTGGAGATCCACAGGAACCCCCGCACTGTCAGCCCTGTTGCGGAACTAACCAGCTCGTGGGCCGGTCGTGATAGGCCAGAGCGTGAAACTCAAGGACTTGTGAGATGCGTGAGACCTTGAGCTAACTTAGTCCCCCCTCCAAGTGTGGCTATGCAGGCCCGCGGCATGGCACAGCTCCATCAAATTCATTCGGCTGTGAGTTGGCGTGGATAAAAATAGGTGAGTAATTATATTGTCGATCATCCTCAACTTTTTTTTTGACGGGCCACAGCGCAGCACGTAGGCCAAGCGCTGGTAGGACCTGCAGAGAGCCGTAGCCAAGATAGCTTCATAGCCAACCAAATATTACTTGTGCCGCCGAAGGGCTCGCTCTCCAGCCCATTTCGCGGCCTCTTCAAGGCTCCGATACGGAGGAGCAAATGCAAGTCTGACCGAATCCGTATGGTGTTGATCGTTTGCTGCTGTTGGTTCTGCGAGTACTACATACGTGTAATGCGCTGGTCGTGGCATGACCTGCGCAGTCAGTCTGACAATTACCTGCCCTTGCACTCCATGAGGCCGACCGCTCGACAATACAGCTTCAAGTCTTCAATAGCAGTAACCCTCCCCTGCCACTATTGTGCATCTCATGGTTTGTGCCGGAAGCAGCCCGCGAGAGCGTTGGGACCAGATGTAACCCAGTCCCCAGCCTTGTACATCAGAACGTCGGATATTTTTGGACTGTACTACAGTAGCGTATAGCAGACTTTCTGGGATGCTGACACTAGGCTTGACGATCCCGTCAATACTTACATGGTATCACTCCATGTAGAGCGCCACCAGGGGTTCTGCTGTGTAATGTATGTGGACATCCCTGACTCTGAGGCCGGCCCTGTGGCTGTGGATCTCAAAAGTGACTACCCATTAATCACGATGCCGGGAACGTGATGACAGTATACCGATTACCTTGAATACTCTTGCTGACAGCCTGGGATGATTCATTTAGACCCCAAGCAGGGACTGCCGGCTCTGCTGACCCCAGCCTCTCTGACTTGAGCAACTTGGGCGGGGATCGCGCAACCTTAGAACTAGACCATGAAATTGAATATCTTGGAAACCGTGCCAAATGAAAAGAACTTTGGTGTACGTAGCCCCCCGTCAAGAGAGGACCCTTACCTGTCACGCCGTAGCTCCGGAGTTCGGGGGTGTCATCGGATATCAAGAGGCATGGCTTCTCGAAAGAAGAAAGAGATTCGCCTCACAAAACACCCAAAAAAAGAAAGCACACCTTGTCAGCTTAGCCACTAATCTTAAACTCTACTCATGATAATAATATGACAGGTACGTGGTCTATGGAGTCCGCTACAGACGCATGTTTCCAAGAAAGGCCACAACCTTCAAATATGACACACATCAGCAGAGCGCGAACCATCCTGTGTGTGCTGGCAAGGCAAACGGTCCTGACTCTTAGTCTCTACCAGCTTCATTTAGGCGCCCTCTTACTGTTTATTAAGGGTGGTTTGCCATGAAAAATGACGAGTCTGAATTGACAAGCCGCGGTTTAGCGCCCGCTCCACCCTTTCTTGGGTTACGTGTATTTGACTTCAACCAACAAGCGGTCTATCTGCATGGCCAATGTCTAATGTTCCATGTCTTACTCTTTCTCCTTGGGCACAATTCGAAGCATACCACAATATTGAAAGTATGCATGCATAAAGACCCACCAACTGAAGTTCTTGAACTTATATCAAGCGTATTCACCACCAACTGGCTCAGAATTGGAGAGATCAGCTGAGATGAATTGCTCTGGTAATGAGCAAAACACGATTTGAGGAATCTTGCTCTCACTTCAGTAACTGCCGTGACTTTACTCGGTAACTTCTGTCTCCTCTATCACATTTCATCGTCTCTTCTTGATTGCTATATGTTCAATTCATATCTCTCGGATTTCCACAAGGAAGTGCCCAGCATATCTCCCAAATTCATGTATATTCTCTTCCTGGCCATGATTGCAGTGAGAGACGATATCTTCGTACTAACGCCTCAGTCCCAAAAAAACAGAGTAGGGTTTTCGGGTAATAGGCGGTCGTTCTGAGACGAAATGAAACACCCTTCAACTTACTTACCTATCAGGTTTACACCCTATCCCAGTTGATCAATGATAGCCGAATCTAGAGCTTCAGTCTTTGCGCTTCCTACCTTCATACGCCTAAGCCAGAGTCGCCGACCTGAGCACCTGTGCCGAGTGGTTTAAGAGGATTTGGCACTCTGAGCGCCAGTCGTCGCTGTGGGAGCATGGGGTCGTGATTTCCCAACTGTATCAGAAACCCAGTATTGGCGGTGCATTCTACAAATCCGCTTCATAATGAGATGTGAATTGCCAAAAGTGAAGGAAATCTTCATCACTATTGACGATAGGAGGCCTCAAGGACGTCTTCATTTGCTAACTAGGCGTGAGCGTTTCGAAGCTTGTGGATGACGCAAGCCCAAAGATACCACCTTTGTGCCCATAATTGATCACAACTTATCAGAGAAAATCATCACCAAATATGTATTTCATGATAATTGTCTCAAAGTTTTCTATTTCAGTTCTTGAAACTACGATGAAATAATATGGTTACTGACATGAGTTTCAAGTGGTGATGACCTGGAAGGTGATCGTCATCGGGAGGGGCCTCTGACCCCGCCCAAGCCGGGTGCTTCCGCCAGCTGCTCTGCACTGGATGTCATATGTGTCTGCTCTCAAGTCAAGAGGTCCGAAACCACTCAATTCGTGTAAAAATGACGATTATGTCCGCCCCAAGAAACATATTAATGAGTGATCGAAAGGTGGCATTTTACCCCATCGCGTGGCTAGTCAGGGAGCTGCTATGAGGGGCAGCTAGCAGCTAATAAGGCGCTATCTCGTAGCAATAAACTTCCTCCCAGAGTCACATGGAGGCGTCTTGCGTTCCACCTGAACCCCTCCAACGAACGACGTTCCCTTGCCTTAGTAATGCCGTCACCACTTCCTGTGGCCTGAAGTGAGAAGCTGTGTCCGGCCGCCTCACTTCAGACCCCTCTCTTGCATGCAATCGTGAGAATCTCTTCGTGAACGGCAATCTCGGCGTGAAGCAGGTCTCCCACCCCGCTTCCACTGCTCTGCCGCTGACCAGCCTCAAAACCGTCCCCCAGGCTTGGTTGAGTAGGTCTGTTCCTGTGCATCTCTTCTTTGCTTCTACCTCTTTCGTGATCTGGCGTGACACTGCTCATCTGTCCCCAAAAACCATACTGGAATTTAGCCATGGCTTCCGCCGCGCACTGTATCGGGTGCTTTGAGGTTTTGGACGCCCATTTGAACAAGCGCAAACCGCTCTCCCTGGAGGACATCGAGGCATCCTGGGAGAACTACTCCAAATCCAAGCCGGTCGCTCCGAAGCTCCCAGCTCTCGCCCGACTAGCTGCACCCAGCGACTCTTCTCTACCCGCCTCTTCGGCGTCGTCCGTGTCCTCGTCGTCGACACCCAACGGCGGAGATTCCGCTTCCACGCCCGCAACATCAACATCGTCCCTCTCCTTCGCCTCGGTCGCTCGCGTCACCGCCTCAACATCCACTCCGTTGTTTGTCACATGGAACACATTTGATAACGATGACGATGACGATGACGACGACGAGACGAGCCTCCGTGGCTGCATCGGCACTTTCGAGCCTCTCCCGCTCTCCTCTGGCATCCCCGAGTATGCCCTCATTGCGGCCTTGCACGACACACGCTTCTCGCCCATATCTCGCCGCGAGCTGCCTTCTCTCCAGGTAGCTGTGACCCTCCTGACCGACTTCGAGGAGGTCGATGACCCATATGACTGGGTCGTGGGCACTCACGGCATCCGCCTGTCCTTCCACGACCGCGGCCGTCGCTATGGCTCCACCTATCTCCCAGATGTTGCGTCGGAGCAGGGCTGGACGAAGGAGGAGGCCCTCTTCAGTCTCACCCGCAAGGCCGGCTGGATGGGCAGCCACTCGCGCTGGCAGGAGCTCGATCTCAAGGTCACGCGATACCAGGGCAAGAAGCATGAGCTGGCGTACAAGGACTTCAAGAAGTGGCAGGAGTGGGTCGAGAGTGCCAAGTCGTGAAGAGGCTACCGTTCTTGTTGCTTTCATGTTTGTTCCATTCCATTTTCTTCTTTCTGCTGCCAGTATGTCCGCTTTTCTATTATGGAGCGAAGAGCTATAGAGTTTGGTACAGGCGTTCCTGATATCTTCTCTTTTTTCCCCGTCTCCCCTTCTCTACATCGCTGGATACTACTACTATCTTGGTCACTATTCTCGCCTTTTATCAGCTATTTTTTGCAGGCAGTGGCCAAATTTGACATTTGCGGGTTTGTCTTGCAGATAGACTACTATTAACAATAGTGAAATGTAATACGTGTGGCCAATCTACTGGACGCTGTAGAGCTCAAGTTAAAAATGCGAGCCTCGAGAAGATGGCGCTACTTGAAGCATTGACTATCTCGGGTACAGTAACACGCGTTGCGCGATATGCGACAAAGCTTTGATATTCGTGAAACTCTATGAATCGAGTTGGGGATTTGACGCAAGACTGGAATCTTCAGCAATGCGACCATGCCCTGTTTCTTGCCCCGTAATTCCCCCCATTCATGTTCCATTTGAACTATCTTATATACAGGTGCAACCCCCCTATAGTGGCAGAGAATGTATGAGCTTGGACTTTGATTCTCCAAAATTACCTTCTAACAATACGGTGACGCCGGGTCTGCGATCTCGCCGTACAACCAGATCCGACACTGTTTGCTATACGAACCTAGCTGGATGAACTTGAGACCCAGACCCAGAAAGACAGCAGCGCTCTCAACTTTGCCGAGTTTGACGAAAGAAAAAAACACATGGACTTTATTTCAAGCAGGGACGAGAATGCCCTTGTTTAGGATAATATTTGGGGGGCCCAAGGCCGCTTTTCCCTAGGAAGGTATATGTTTTTCTCAATACTTACCACCTAAGGCTTATTCTACCTGTTCTTATGGTATTATTGCGATATATATGACACTTTGGGAAACAATAACTATATCATAGAGATAAATGGTTACACCTGGTAGCATCTTCTGGCTCTCTTATCTCTACCTAAGCACGGCTGGTTTTCTTCTTTACTGCGCCACCAGGGCTCTCTCGCCACGTAGAATGGCGGAGTAAGGCAGAGTGATCCTCTGTCTTTCAGCTCACCATACAACCTTCTGATTGGCCGGTCTCATGGCGAATATTGCATATTTATGTGGTATGGTGAACCCCGCTTTCGTCGCAAGATGCGAAAGACGCCCAACAGTTAATGATTGTACATCTTCTGACAAAAGAAAGCGACTGAAATCACCCGAGGCCAACAGATAGACATCTGGGATATAAATCTGCATCATCATGCGGAAGCTATTTCGACCAGGTAAAAAGCACGATCTTGTAGATCCGTCGCTGCCTGGACCAATCGAAGCAGCATTCCCGTCAGGCATCAAGCAATTTTACGAGAGCCCAGGCGCAAGTGATGTTGAGTATGCCTACCGATATGTTGTACTGCATTGGTGAATGAGTGCTTACAGGCCTTTGAGCGTTGTTTTTATCCATGGTCTCGACGGAAACAGAGAGAAGACATGGACGGCCAAGGGTGCGGACGAACCATGGCCCAAAACGCTTCTACCTCTGGAGTTGCCTTCGGCGCGGATTCTCACCTTTGGATACGACGCGTATGCGGCAAAATGGGAGAAGGGAGGCTCTCAGAATCGAATACGGGATCACGCATGGAACCTCCTGACAGCTCTGGCGTCGTGCCGGGAGAGTGACGATACAGTAGATACAAATCCAGAGACATCGCTCTAAAGACCCGCAATCTAACGTCGTTATAGAAGAAACGTCCCATCATATTCGTTTGTCATAGCTTAGGGGGATTAGTCTGCAAGGATGTAAGTTACTTTCAGTTTTGACCGGTAGGCGATAACTGCCGGCTAACGCTATTCTCAAGGCTCTGATCGTAGCTCAAATGCAATCAGACTCCCATATACATGATATTTATGAGAGAACGCATGCTATTGCTTTTATGGGTACTCCTCATCATGGATCAGAACTTGCCATCTGGGCTGACAGACTACTCAAATCTGTCAACATTGTCCAAAAGAGAAACACAGACATTATCGGGGTTCTGAATGCAAACTCCGAGGTTCTTCAGCGTATCCAAGAAGGATTCTTTGCAACTATTTGGGGAAAAGAAGAAGGCGTTTCGAGACAAATACAGATCACTTGCTTCCATGAGGAGCTTCCCACAAGCATCAAGGGTTTCAGCAAGATCGTAAGTTCTCTATCGACCGCAAACCATGACTGGGCTGAACATGAGACAGGTAGTATCAAAAGAATCAGCCTCTCTTCCCGGCTCAATAAGAATCGGGATTCATCGAGACCACACTCAGATGACCAAATTTTCAGATCGGGAAGATCCGGGCTTCAAAGCAACCTGTGGCGAGCTTCGTCGTTGGGCGATGAGCACAAAGCCGCCATACATGAACGAGCAACGGGGAGAATTCAAGATACCTGTACGTCAGAAAGAGGGAATGAAGACCTCCAATCAAGCCAAATGTACGTTCAGGGATAAATCAGCGTTGCAGCGACAGTGAGCTAACAAGTTATTAGTCGTTGTGCCGTATCTGAAAAATGAAAAGTTTGTTGGGCGCACAGAGATCCTTGATCAACTAAAAGCAAGACTCAGCTTCAGTGAAGAGAGCCATGCTTCACAACGCCGAGTATCGTTATTCGGGCTCGGTGGCGTTGGGTAAGACAATATTTAAGACAACTCACTACTTCCATCATTAGTTCTAATGACGAGCAGTAAGACGCAAATTGCCCTGGCCTTTATTCACTGGATCAAGGAAGCAAACCTGGAAGTATCGGTCATTTGGGTCCATGCAAGCAACCCAGAACGCTTCCAGCAGAGCTTTTCCAGTATCGCGGAAGAATTTCAGATACCGGGGCACGAAGACCCAAAGAGCAACGTCCTGGTCCTTGTCCGACAATGGCTGGAGAAAAAGGATTGTGGCAAATGGCTTATGGTTCTTGACAATGCCGACGATGCTGAGCTATTTTTTGGGAAGTCAAGTCCTGCAGAATCACATCCACTGGATGCGTCCACCAATTTAGCCCAATATCTCCCAGAATGCACGCATGGGGCTCTCCTCATAACGACGAGGAACAAGCAAATCGGAGTAAAGATAGCCTCTGGTGATGGATCTAGCATGCTTCAAGTCAAGGAAATGGATGCATCTGAATCCGAAAGCTTGCTGAAAAGTAGCTTGGTTACTCTAGCTGCGAACGAAGAGGAAGTCAGAGCACTTTCCTCTCGGCTGGAGCAGCTCCCGTTAGCATTGGCCCAAGCTGCATCCTTCATCTTAGAGTACAGTATGAGTGTTACAGAATACCTGGAACTTCTCTCGGAGGGTGATAGCGCCTTCATAGACCTTCTCAGTCAAGAATTCGAGGCTGTTGCACGGGACAGGGAGAGGTCTCGGGCGGTAGCCAACACGTGGATGATATCATTCCAGCAGATCAAGAAACAAAACCCGCTGGCATCTGAGCTATTGTCCATGATGAGCTTTTTGGACCGTCAAGACATTACAATTGAAACCCTGCAAGAATACAATCGCCAGCACGAAGATGGCCCAAGGAGCAATATCGAATTGAAGAGGTCAATAGGAATACTTAAGAACTTCAGCCTGGTAACCGAACAGAAAAATGGCAGCCTGGATATGCATCGACTGGTTCAATTAGTCACACGAAGCTGGCTAGATAAAACTGAAGCCAGCGACCGGTTCAGACGAAAAGCTCTTGTTTGCATCTCAAACCTATACCCCTTTGGGAAGTTCGAGAACCGAGAGGTGTGCAGGGCATATCTTGCCCATGCTCTAGCTGTCCTAGAGCTGCATGCAGCCAACAAAGATGAAGAGGCAACATCGAGAGCAAGTCTGTTGCATTGTGTTGGCGGGTATTTTTGGCAAGAGGGCCAGCACAGGCATGCTGAGAAGATGGTCCGAGAGGCCTTTGAAGTTCACATGTCTAGTCTTGGAGAGACGCATCCAGCCACTCTTCAAAGTATGGGGAATTTTGCAGCTACCTTATACAGTCAAGGGCGGTACGAGGAGGCTGAGAAGCTCGGGATTCAAAGCCTAGAGGCTTGGAAGATATCGCTTGGAGAGACTCATCCGGATACACTATACAGTATGGGAAACCTCGCAGCTACCTTCTACTGTCAAGGGCGATACGAGGAGGCTGAGAAGCTCCAGAACCAAGCCCTAGAGGGTAGAAAGAAATCCCTTGGAGAGACTCATCCACATACATTAACTAGCATGGCAAACCTCGCAGCTACCTTCTACTGTCAAGGGCGATACGAGGAGGCTGAGAAGCTCGGGATTCAAAGCCTAGAGGCTTGGAAGATATCGCTTGGAGAGACTCATCCACATACATTAACTAGCATGGCAAACCTCGCAGCTACCTTCTACAGTCAAGGGCGGTACGAGGAGGCTGAGAAGCTCGAGATCCGAGTCCTAGAGGCTAGAAAGATATCGCTTGGAGAGACTCATCCGGACATACTATGCAGTATAGCAAGCCTCGCAGCTACCTTCCACAGTCAAGGGCGATACAAAGAGGCTGAAAAGCTCGAGAACCAAGCCCTAAAGGGTAGAAAGAAATCCCTTGGAGAGACTCATCCACATACATTAACTAGCATGGCAAACCTAGGCTATACGCTGCATGCCTTGGGACACCTGGACGCTGCTTTGGGCCTAATGACAACGTGCCTTGATAGTCGAAAGCGAGTGCTCGGTAAAGACCACCCCGATACCTTAAGTTGTGTAAAAACGCTCAAAGAATGGGGCAATGGCACGGAAAATTAGTAGTACTTTAAAGTACTGGATAATTATCATTGTTTAGTAAACTCTGATATGCAAAGCAATCTTCCCTAAGGACACATAATATTTTTCAAACAATTATGGCAGCTAAATAGCTTACATTAGATTGTATCTAGATAGCAAGGTAACTAATTGTAGACTGACCTACATGCCGTTACAATGTTACTTGCACAGATATTAGACAAGGACTAACCGCAAAGAGCTCTCATATATGCAAAAGGAGGAAGGGGTGGTGCAGAGGAAAGACTGGTCGATGTGAATTATCTGGTTTAAGTGTAAGTGAATGTGAGGTCTAAACTTGACAAGATTAATACCTTAAGTGGGAGGCGGTAGTGACATGAAAGTCCTGCCTATCACACGCTATATAGCTTCAGCTATGTCGAGATGGATAAAATGACTCGTTTTGTCTTGAAACAGCCGACGTCGTTGGAAGGCAGCTATGTTTTTAGGAGGATCCCATCCCGGCCCCTCAGCTTAACAAATTTCTCTCATTTCCCTTAACTGCCATGTACAAACTGCAATATTTTGAACCACCTCCATCGCGTGATTTGCTACACCATTGCCTCTATACTCGAATACCAAATCTGGAAAAACGGCAAACCGGCACCAAGTGCGAGGGATGGGGGCAATCCATCACCAGGAAGCTTCCTAAACCGAGAAAGTTGCATAATGGCGCGGTAGGTGGGCGGGCGTGTACAGGGCTGGCCCTCTGAAGAAACGGACCGGATGAGGCGAGCAATCCGCTTCAAGGATGGTGTGGGATGTCAAGGGGGGCGCGTGCAGGGTCTGTTGGATGGGAGGGTCGAGACTCGTCTGGCGGGCAGATTCTATGTAGCTGAGGCGTGTCTCTCGAGAGGCAGCCAGTCGCTAAGGATCAAGTCGGTGTCTGGCGGGTGCAGAAAAGAAGCTTAAATTAAGGTTGCTTTTTTTGCTTTAAGGTTTTGGGCGCTTGTGACAAATGGATATCGTATCCTTGTGCGTTGCTCCCCCAGAGCAGCCCTCAAGCTTGACCCGCGCCCGAACCTCGACGCCGTGAAGCTCAGCCGCGACACCAGAGACACAGCGAGCCCTTTTTAGGCCAGACGAATGAGACTACCATGGCAAGAGGTGTGCTAAGTAGGACCATCCATCGGTAGCACCCTGCCGGAATAGTTGCCAAGAGTCCCCACCACTTATTAGGCTTGACGCGAGGCCAAGCCCAAGACACATACGCAGCAGCTTGCGTTCTGCGAGGGCCCTGTTTTCACTTGTCTGGCTGGTGCTTCGAAGCGGGCTTTTCCCTCCTGCTAGCGCCAGAGCCATGGACAAATGATGTAAAGCATAATCAGCAGGTCGAGTATGCCATGCATCACATCCCACCAAACCGCCCATCTGTCTGGTTGCTATCCATGGAGGCAGTCCCCTGGAAGTTCTTTTGGCCCTCGATACGACGCTCATGAGCGAGTCAGCTCGCTCCCTATCGCTCAGGCCCTCTCCTCTCCCGTCCCATCCCAAACACCCTGTTTCTTGTTCGTCTAGGGCGGGCTAAACAGGTGTATCCCCAAAAAGCATTGCCCGCCACGTCGTGCTTCCTGGGGCAGCTGCTCACTGACGCATATTGCGCATAATATGGAGCAGTAGGGATTTCTTCCCCAGTTTTTGTCACGCTCCCATCGCAGTGCGCGAATGCCCCTTCCCAGGTCATCAGGCGAGCAAAAGCTGTTGTAGCGGTAATTTCTGTCTGCCTCCCTCTTGACCTGGAGGATCCCGCTCGCACACACGCATACAATCGGCTGGCTAACGGTTGTAGAAACACAAAGCTCGAGTCTGTCCTTCCCTGGCCACGAGCCAAGTCGCGAGAATGCGCCAATCTAGAACGGTCAAGCAGGCCCTCAAGAACCTGTTCCCTCGATCGCGGGCCAAGAGCAACGCGGCTGAGGCCAAGGCCAAGATCCCTGTCTCTGGCTCCTCCACGACCTTGAACTGCTCCGTTTACTCGGAGAAGTTCGAAACCCTCTCCAAAACCCTCTCGACCGAACCGAACAGGTCAGACAAGTACTCCGTGCTGAAGTTGAATGATACACTTTCAGTATCGATCGGCGACTCGTTTGAGGAGAGCCCCGACGGCCGAGTTGAGAAGACGGACGAATTCGAATATGGCAATATCAGGCATCCAAAGCTCATCAGGCTGTTGCTCATTTTGCCGTCTTCAGACCAGACGGAGGCGCTTGAGACCATCATGTTTCATGCCGAGCTGGATGAGGTCCCTTTCCAGGCGCTGTCTCACACAAGTGTAGAGAAGGGCCGTATTACATTGATGCATTGCAATGGCCATAGTCTTGCTGTCGAGGAGAGCCTGTATCGGGCTCTCAAGGATATTCGCAATCTCGCGGAACCACACACCTTCTCTATCGTATGGGCAGAGGCTGTATGTATCAACCAGAGCGATATTAAAGACCGTGAGGACCATCTAAGATTGGTCCGGGACATATTCACTTCGGCGCATGTGACGCTTGCGCATTTAGGTGGTACTGGGGATCAGAGCGCCAAGGTCTTTCAAACAATGGATATGCTGCACGAAGCCTGCAAGATTGACGAGTTTCGGGAGCGCCTGGAGCAAGACGAGATTGACATGTCGTCTCTCGAGCACCTATGCATTGAAGACACGAAGCTCGATATTCCCTTCGAGAACAGGTTGGAGCTGACTCGCCTGTTCTTACATCATTGGTTTGAGAGGATCTGGAACTGGCAGGAGGTTGGGCTTGCCCGAAAGGTATGCCTCATGTATGGCGGCGCGCTGCGACCATGGGGCTACTTCGCAGATACGGCCTGGTGCATGTATCAGCTGAGGTGGGAAACGTCCGTAGGGGATGAATGCATCGAGGAAGACATGTCAAGAGAGGACTTGAAACATTACCATATCCTACACTTAGACGAGCACAGAGACGGGGCTCTCAAGGGGAAAACATACAGTCTCCTCAGCTTGTTGACCGAATCAAGGCACTTCACCGCCGCCCATCCCTTGGACCGTGTGTTTGCTCTCTACTCTCATCTTGGCAACTCTCGCGAGAGGGACATCGTGCAGGCATTCTTCGACTATGATCTGCCCCGGCTCGCCATGTACCTCAATATCACACTCAACTGCATCCTTTCGCATCGCACGCTAGATGCGCTACAACTAGCGCACAACAACATAACCGCTGAATGGCCATCCTTCGTGCCCGACCTATCCCGCAAGGATGGCATGCGCATGCTAGGCTCGCGCAACGGGAGGCGGACATGGGAATATCAAGCTTCGGGCGACACGGCTCCCCAAATGGCCATTCTCAACAGTTGGGGCCAGACCCGCGAGGGCATCCCGTACTTCAACGAGGACGTGTACATATCCCTCAAGGGCCTCGCAGTCGACGAGATATCCGTCGTTGGAACGGAGATGAAGGGCCCAACCCTCGGCGCAGCGCCCTACCTCGCGGACTGGGTCAACAAGATCCTCATGGTCAACGGGGAAAGGTTCTACACAACGCCCGAGCTGAAGCGCGCCAAGGAGATGCTCTTGGCCTCGATGAAGAAGGGCCACAACGGCACCAGCAAGACGAACGGGGCCGTGACAACGAACGGCGAGTCCCGGGTGCGGAACACCTTCTCCCCCTCTCTAATAGAGGCGCTGAAGAAGCTCGACTTGGACTCAAACGAGGAGGTTGAACCCATGGCTGTGCTACCAAAGGACAGGCCATACGCGGCCGGTCACACGACGGACTTTGATGCGTTCTGGCGCACGCTCATCAAGAATAGGGACGAGAACGGATGTGTCCCCGCGGCCTCAATGGCCGTGACGCACTTCCAGCCGTGGTTCAAGGCCATGTCCAACACGGTGTCTCACATGCTGGAGGCTCTCGCGCATGGTCAGAGCGAGGGCTCCTCAACCGGCCCGCGGGCTGAACCTCTCTTCAATGATCTCGTACACATGAGCTGCAACGGGACCCGGATGATGCGCACAGCTCAGATGGGATTGATAGGCACGGTACCTCGGACAACGAAGCCGGGGGATTTGGTGTGCGTGCTGTATGGCGGCCAGACCCCGTTCATATTGCGCAAGTCGGAGCGAGGCCCGGGCATGTTCAGATTAGTCGGGGATTGTTATGTGCATAGCCTCATGGACGGGGAAGCGCTGAGGATGGGTTTGGAGGAACGGAAATTCGAGATTTACTGAGCGAGATTTATTGAGCTTAAAATTTCTACGTATACTGTGTCTCGTCTCTCTTCTGCACAGGTTGTGCTGGGAGGCCTCCCTTATGGGAACAACTTGACTACTCGAATCAACACTCTTCCTACTCACGCGTGACGACCAAAACTAGCAAGTACCATCGGCTCCAGTGACTAGGATTCTGTTAATAATTTCTCTCTTATATCCAAAGGTACTATATTATTTTATATTAGCGGTTGATGACATCGCAATGTCCTTCCACACAGGCTTTGTCTCCTCGAGATCAATGCTGGGTTTAAATGCCAACTAAATCTCGCTTCATGAAAATGCTATGCTAACATGATTAATTATAATCCCCAAGTCGTAAACTTTAAAATATGCGCGGAAGTTCGCTGAATCAAAAGGGAGCACCGCCGCTTGCCATCCATGAATGCAGTATATACTTTGTTGTTCCCAAGAAGAAGGGAAATATTGACAAGTGCGACGGAGGTATTTATTAACAAAGCAACCGATCCCGTATTATGTATGTATGCATGGCGAGAGATCTTGTCTCTGGTATATGATGAATTGATGTTGTGAATTTCAATCGATTAAATATTTGATTTCCAAATGCTGATTAATCTTTGCATGCTGTTGTCTTCGACGCTGTTCGTAATAGAGAGGAATAATAATATCGGAATAAGGTGGCCAGCCACCCTTCGCTTTGTCGTAAATCATTATTTGCTTGAGGGATTCGAGACGGGGATCCTCCTCAGGTTTTGACCGGATGCATGACGAAGTTGGGCGCAAATACTTGGCCCCTTTCAGTGGCGAGCATTCCTGGCAGGTCTTCGGTGGTTCCATTGTTCACGTTCCCGTAAAGCCACACGTCCATTATGTTTCGAGGGTACTCGCTTGCCCACCACCATGTTAAGCCCCTGTTTGCAAAGCTCTGGGGGTTGGCGTGTGAAAGCCCATCGGGAGAGTCTTTCGGGTGGTACCCAACGAAGGGTAGCTTCTCAGGATGTCGCCAATTCGTCTTCAGTCTCGATGTTTCCTCATTTTCATCGTCCGATTGGGTTTTCGCCAGCTCCTCATCGTAGGCGTGCATGTAGACTGGCTGAGGCGGGTAACTCAGCTTCAAACCATGCCACAGGGCAAATGACGGCAGAACAGCTTCGCTGGGCACACTCAAACCACGGGTATGCTGCGCATTATGGACCGCAAGGAGAAGCGGCCGGCTACCACGGGTGATGGCAGGCGGGCAAAACCATCGTGGTGTGTTCGCGCCATTTGCAAAATTACCAAGAATCCAGTCCCGGAATACCCAGGACGAACCCCGTGCATCTGCGCAGAAGCTCGTTACAATAACATCGGCCTCCTCACCAACACCCCAGTCGAAATCGTCCTCGGTAGCATGATCAGTTGGGGGTCGAGGGCCTATGGGATAGATGCCTGAGCCTTCTACTGGTCCCCAAGCGCGCGAGCTGCCGTTATTCGCCTTGTCAACGTCGGTGGAAAATTCTTGATATGAGGTCCAGAGTTCTTCGCTGTAAGGGTATGTGGCGCGCTCGAGCGCCTGCTTCCGGGGCTCTTGACGTGCAAATTTCGCGGTAGCTTTCATATATTCGCCAACGTGGCCCATAAAGCGTTGGTCCATCTCCAGCTGCCAAAAGTGATCGAATTCGGGGTAGTGGAGGGCGAGAAGCTGCAATGGCTGGTTGATCTGCCACATGGATCTACCAAGCGTGATGTGAGCAAAAAATTCATGTCACCACGATTATTATCGGGAATAGAATAAACCTACCGGTGTTCATCAACAGCCGAATACCATGACTCAAGCAGTTGATCATCCCACAGCAGGGCAATGGATCGAAGCTCATTGGGAATGCCTGCCCCTTCCAACGCCTTCTCGTAGTTTTCTCTTGACCCAGTGATGTTCAGTTGGCGATCGAATATATTGACAAGCAAGATGACCTCATATTCCCCTCCAGATTGCAAAGCGGCCTCGGTGATGATGGATCGAATGTTCCACATATTCTCCTCGGTGTACTCAAAGCCCTGGTACGCACGCAAAACGATGGCTGTGCGGCGAGTTGGCTCGAACTTGTGCCAAGATGGCGTCGCGGGGATCTTTCGTTGCTCGAAGAGTTCGAACCGGACGTCTTGAGCGAGGCTTGTCGTGCGGATCGAGGTGGTGTTTGGGAAGCGATGAGCATTTCGTTCGAGGCACTTTTGTTGCAGGTTTCCCCAGTCGACCGAGTTCCAATCCACCACGCTGCGGTTGTAAGTTGGAGAGTCCTGACCGTATCCATAAGGACCATATCGTCCATCTGCTGTCATCCAAGAGCGGTCGATGCCCAGTTCTGCTTGGGAGCCTATAAAGGGCACGGGGTACGCTGAAGCCAGCTAGTCAGCAAAACTAGTTGCGCAGATAGAAAGTGGCAGCTTCTAGGCGTGCGACAGGTACGTTGGCGACTTACAAGTGCTCACACGTTCATAATGCAATTCGTCGTCAGGGCTGTCGGATAGAAGATGACCGCGAGCGCCATAGCAAGAGACAGGCTCAGCGAGAGGCTCCAGACCAGCTGGATTAGTCGGCATGCGCGTCGAGGTTCGGTAGATTATGGCCTCCAGAGTACCTGGATGAGTCCATTCTTGTTCGGCGCCGAGGAAGAAGAGAGCAAGAATAGCCCATAAAATGAGCGACGGGAGCAGGTAACGAAGGCGAAGCGCGGGCAGCCGTCGCGACGTGGCCCAGCGCTGGGGGCTCAGTCTGATCATGACAGCGAGGTCGGCGACATGTAAATCGAATCTACCATGAGGCCGGGCTCGGGTAAGCGCTGTAGAAACAACGAAAGAGTGTGTTATCTCATACCACCTTGTACAGAAAAGAGAGTAGATGAAGGACGAGGAACAAGCGACGGGCACCACCGCCCACCAGCCCTTAGGCGACGGTCAAGGATGGTGGGAGGCGGCGACAGGGGCATGGATGGGACAGAAAGATGGAGAAGGCGGTTTGGGGAACTTTGGTGTCGCACTGACCAAGCCTCGCCGAAGTTCTAGCTCCATCTGCCCTGCTCAGGCCGGCGACGCTCCCTGTTTCCCTGCCGCGAGACATCTCCAAGAGGAATTAGCCTGTGGAAGCGAGCCACTTTCCGGCTCCACCCATGCCACTATTCAGAGCATTCTAGCATGGTTTATTACTGGCAGCAATGAATTCGAGCCACTTGCTCTGTCGCATGACTAGCGAGCACCACCTATTAGTCTGCTAGGGCGTGGGCGCTCAACGCGCCTCCTAGCTCTGTACACGAGGCGACGGTGGGAGAGAGTAGCAGTGCAGACGTCATCGTAGGGCAGATCAACTTGGTTACGAGGTGCGGTGGGCTCGTGAAGCGTGTGCCTCCGGGATCAACCCTATCTGAAATATCTGCAGCGCGCGGAAAGCGGCTCGGCTACAGACATGAGCGGCCTCAAATTTGGAGATTATTTTCGGAAACTTTTGAGAGGCTGTTGGGTCCACGCTAAATAGCCTATACCGTTAGTGCTGGATCCCCTGTTCAAGTGCTGTTCCTTAACGCTCCCCCTGGCCTTTTATCAGCGTGTTATCAGTGGGGCCACAACGGGCTGGACCACTCGGAACGGCAGAGCGCAAAAAAAATGATGAAGAAAAACCGCCACCCGCGGCACGTTTTTAACTGTGTGATCAGTGGCTTGCGCTACGGCTTCTTAGGTCGAACTTACTGCGCGGTAATGACCTAGTCAAGCCACCTATGCCACTCTGGAGATTAGGAGGTGGGAGGCAATTTGCCGTGGTTGCAGCGATGCTACGGTGAAGAGATCAGGGGAGGATCCTTAGCGCGCTATAAGCAATTGTCTTGGCGTGCCAGAATCAGAACTCTATTCGAGAAGCCTACGCAGGCAAGGATGGTAGTTCGCTGATTTGGTTTACATCATGTATTCATGACCAATTATGCTATTCAGCTTTGGAATTAAGATAAAGAGCCTTATGAAGGGCCCAACGCCGCCTCAACGCTTCGAGTCCACTGTAATATCTACCTCAAATCAGAATGTGGATTATTACCAACCATGCTCTGTTACGCATCTCAAATGTGCTCACTGCTATCAGTATTCCCCAAGCTCTCTGTCCTTTTGGTCGAGAAGCAGCAACCGAAGTTTGTCAGTCCCCTTTTTCGGCTTCTCATTTGATTCTTTAGGCCTCTCCTCCTTTGCCTTCTTAAGCCCCTCCTCCTCTGCTTTTCTAAGCCTCTCCTCCGCTTTTCTAATCCCCTCCTCCTCTGCCTTTCTAAACCTCTCCTCGTCTGATTCTCTGAGCCTCTGTATTGCTGTTTTGCCCTCTCCGTCTCTCTTCAACACACTTGTTCCCTTTTCAATGAGTGCCTTGGCATTGATTATCGCTACTTCTTCCGTGTAGCCATCATTGGCTAGCTGTTCCACAATCAAGTGTAAGTAACTTCCCGATCGACCGATCCTGTTGGCGTTAAAGTCCAGCTCGAGCACAAATTCCATCAATCTTCGGTTTGGGTCTTGAAGTGCTAGGTAAACAAGCTTGTCTGGGTTGGTTGGAGAAAAGCCCCAGGTATTGCGAAGGTCATTCACCAGTTTTTGGCTGTCGTTTGCGACTGCATACCGAAAGGATTCGTTGATGGCGTCTTGTGAAACCAGTGGTTTTTTTTCCTTGAGGAGGTCGATAGTGTGGTCCTTAGTTCTTTTAAGATGATAACGCATGTGCACTCGAGGGTTCTTGAAACACCTGAGGAACACACTATCGACCTCCTCATCAAAAATTCTAGCCCCTTTCTCGACAAGAAGCTTTGCGAGTCTGGGGCATCTTTCAAAATCAATCACGTATGTCTTGGCGATTGATGTGCCACCTGGGAGCGGATTGTTTAGGCTGGCCCCTTTATCGATGACATCTTTTAACAGAGCCTCAAGAGAAGGATTCCCATTCTTTTCGGTTATTCTCTCAATGAGAAGAGAGACGAATGTCTCTCCGCCAGGTGCCATATGGTTGACGCGGCACCCTTTGGCGAGAAACAAATCTACAAGCTGCTTCATGTTACGATATGAGAGCTTCCAGTCCCACTCCGCGGCCCCAACCAAAGTCATCAACGGCGTGAAGCCTTCGAATAGCGTTGCCCTGTCCAAGTCTGCCCCCTTTTCCACAAGAAGCTCAATTAAACTTTGATAGACCTTGCGTTCAGGCATTATCTCAGATTCATGGCATCGAATTATCGCCATGTGAATCGGAGCATATCCAAGACTTTGGGTTTGCAGATTTAAATCAGCCCCCTTATCCACGAGCATCTGGAACATAGATTCATTTCCTTGTCTAAGTGCAATATGCAATGCGCTGCCAGCAACCCCGGGGAGTTTTTCGTTTATAAGGTTCGTTGAGAGTTGTAACACTTTCTTCAAAAGTTTCTCGTCTTGGTTCTCCCTTGCCGAGAGGACATGAAGTGCTGTAAGAGCACCACAACCCTGGACTTGAAAATCAAGGGTAAGACGGCAATCTGGAGCACGGGCTAATAGAAGGTTAACAATCTCTTTGTCCTTGCGAATGAAAGGAATAAATATGGGAAGCAATTCGACCCCGGTCAGATAGGTCTTGACCTTTCTGGAACACCATGAGAGCGTGTCTATGAAGCAAGGTGCGACTCTCTTGATGATCTGATCCATGTCAGACGAAGCTAATGGGACCATGTCCCAGAGATTCCGGCTCGCTAAAGTCACACAGGCATTGTTTTGAAGCAGCCGCTTGACGATCGAGCAGTACCCCAGGGCGGCCGCCATGTGAAGCACAGTTGCATATGTCTGGGGTATTGTAGGGTGTGAATGGACAGTGTCCAGCTGTGCCCCATAAGAAATGGCCAAATGAATAATATGCAACGCGTCCCTTTCCGTGTACTTGCTCGCGGATACTAGGATCGCATATTTGACTGCTGATGAGTTCTCCTCTGTGGCATTTCGCAGATATAGGACCCTATGAGCGCTGCCATGGATGATGCGACATGTCACCGCCAAGTTTGCAAGGCTGGCGGTTGGGAGGTATGTACATATTTGTGTTTGTATTTCGTTGGGGATCAGGGCCAAGTAAGGCCTTGCATTGACATTGAAGCTATCCATGGTTGAGCAAGTGGTCGCGGTTGGCTTCGTCCTCTCTTTTGGTCTCTTGCTTTGATAACGATGCCAGGAAGTCGGTTTGGTAAATCCCAGGTCGGAAGCTGTAATAGCTGCTGGTTCATTTAAAGCAATGTAAAATTTGTGAAGTTCATATGAATGGTTTATCTTTGTTCGTGAATATCTGTGGATGCTTACGGAGGCCTGCAGGGAAAAGCAGGAGCCCGATTGGTATCAATCGGAGAGAAAATTATTTTCGCAGGAGGCGAGAAGGAGGTTGAAATTCAAAGAGGCATCTTCCACTTTATAGCGCTCCAGACTCGCATTGAAAATATCTCAATGCCTGGATATTCAGGTGCTACTCTTGTTAAGTGCCTAGAAGTCAAAAGATTGAACCGAATACAGTTCACTCGAGCTGAATTGTGAGAGCGAGGTGAGAAACTGAGAGAAACTTGTGACAATCTACCTACTGATCCGAGTTACCTGCTTGCCCTGCCATCATACTCATCGATGACGCTCCGAGGAGGCTGGTAAGTGCCCAGGGGAGTGTATCTCAGGTGGTTAAACCCGAAGCTTTCTGGTCCTCCGAGCTTGATGCCTCGTTCTGTGCTCGTCCACTTATCGCTCGCCGCCAGTCCCAACACCACAACTAGCAGTCCATACCTATACTCAGGGGTTCCAACAGCTTCTCCGCTCTGCGCATCAATGACTGTGATCAAATCCGGGACAATAGCCAGGACATCATCCTGCTTCTCTTTACTTCCGTCTTCTGGCACCTTGATGGCTGCAATGTTCTCGTTCTTGAACGGGATCTTGAGTATCCCGCGAAACGCTGAATCAACGGCATCCTCCTTTCCAGACACATCTGTGCCTTGGATCAAGCATTCCCCATAGACATGTCCCGTCTTGAGATTCCGCTCAACTCCAACAATCTTGCCTTTCCATAAAACCCTGCCTGCACTGGGACCACCACACTGATCGATGATAGCCTCGGCCACGTTCGACACTTGGTTCTCCTGTCTAGCCTTTGCCACACCTCTACCTATTCTCCATGACTGGGATATGGTGTGTTCTACCACCCATCTTTTGGTCTCGGCTCCCGTTACTGGGGCGTCCGCAGCACCAACATTGGATCCCATCTGGCCGATTGCCGCCCGAAGGATGCGCTCAACATGCGCATCCGAAGAGGTCTTTGGCATTACAACCACATTCCCATTGCCGTCCGACATGGCAATAGGGGCCCAGATAGGCGTGCGTTCATTGAAGACGACGGGTGTGGTTTGCCACTTTGTTGGGTATGCGCGGCCCATCCAGTCGCCATCCACGGCAGGGAGATTCATCAATGTGCTGGCCCCAATGATCATGCTTTGCAACCCATTCGCGCCACCAATCTCAACAGAGATCATGTGTGTGGCTGGCCTGTCGCAGATCTTATACAGCTCGTGTTGCGATTCGAGCATCTCATCGCCACCGAGCTTCTCAATGGCCACGGTTGGGCTGCCTGCTCCTCCGCCACAGCCAACCTGAGCATCGTCTGGAATATCACGGGTATCTGCAACCCTGATGACGGCTCCTTTACGCAACTCCGTTCGTAGGCGTATCTTACTAGAGTAAGGGGATCCTCCACCCCCCGTCCCGAGAATGTAACACCCGGTCGCGATCCATTCAACGTCTGTCTCTGAAATGTACCATATTCGGTTTCGCACATCAGGCACATATTCATTCACATCAGCCTGTTTACGAGGACCTTTCCTCTGGTTTGGTTTGGGAAGGACACGTTCAGGGATAATTTCCTCATGGATATTCTCGGCTTCAACCTGGCCTCCAACGCTATCGTCGACGTTCTGGGTTCTACTGGTATCGAAATCTCCAGCTGCGCGAACGATAAAGCGAGTCTTGTTTTCGACGTATGACAAGGGTAGAGTCTCTACTTCCACAACTTCGACGGTGGCAGGGTCGGCACCGGCGGAGACAGTCTTCTCAATTGCCCTTCGGGTAACTGTATCCTGCGCTTCGGCTGTTGTCTGGTTCTCAGTAGAAACAATTATATCCTCCACGGCACTCAGTCGTGCCATCGCGGCGCCAATCGCGTTGGCAACCCCTGACCATTGGGGTTTTACAACCTTGCTGGCTCCGGACAGTTCATGGGGTGCAATTACTGCTCCGCCACCAACTAGCAGCACCGGGATATCACCTGGCGAGGTTTTCATCACGTCGATTATTCTTTCCAGCCTCTTCTTCACGAGGCTCCGGAAATTTGAAAGCAGTTCGGAGGTAATTTTCCCCTGTAGGAGCTCGCGGTTTCCGATCTCCAGGTCTGGGTTAGACATGACAGAATAGTCCGTTGCTGTGAGTGTTTGGCCACCAAAGACTACAGCCTCACTCGTCAATTTATTTCCGGTGCTCTCTGGACCAATTGCCATTGGTTCCCCTGTGTGGATAATTGAACCACCACCAAGGCCAACGCTCTTGATGTCGGGGCAGGAAAAGTTCATTCTTACGCCAGCCAGGTCGCTGTAAGCCGCCTGCTGGCGAGGAAAGCCGTTTGCCTGGAGAAGTCCAACATCCGTCGTGGTTCCACCAATATCCACGACCATGATATCTTCATCCAGTGTCTGCTGGACAAGATAAGCGGCACCTCTCATACTGTTTGTCGGTCCGCTCGAAAATGTCCGGATAGGAAGCCGGGCTGCCATCGCGCCTGGTAAGACAGTACCATCGTTCTGGGCAATGAAAACAGGGCAATTTAACCCGACGGTTTTCATAGGTTTCTGGAAAGAAGCAATCGTCTTTCGGGCAAATGGCAGAATAGCCGCGTTGAGGATCGAGGCATTCTCTCGCTCCAAGAAACCCAAGTTGGCCACCTCCTTTGAGCAGACGACATCGCAGTTTGGTATCTCCCGCTTCACTATTCCAGCGGCCCTCTCTTCCTGACGCTCCACGGTATCTATCGGGCTGAATACGCCATTGATGACGATGCTTCTGATTCCCTTCTGTTTGATAATGGAACATTGGCTCTTGATTTCCTCTTCGTCGATATCAGAAATCAAATGTCCATCGACTTCCAGGCCACCCTTTAAAAGGGCATAATGGCCCAGAACGACATCCCTCAAGTCTTCTTCCCAGTCCACACATGGTAGGGCGTGCTTTGAGAATGGGCCACATAGTCGGAGGACTGCGACAGGAGCCAGCCGACTGGCATCCATTTCAACAACAGCATTCACGAAGTGGGTTGTTCCGATAGTTACGCTTGCCACATCAGATGCATCAATTCCCGCGGAATCGAACATGGTTTGGATGGCTGTGCTGATACCATCGCTGGGGTCCGGGGTCGTCGCCGTCTTGTGCCATGCTTTGATGGCTTTATCGGGTGTGCTCTCTGACGGGTCGATGATGACACCGTCTGTATTAGTACCACCGACGTCTATGCCGACACGGAGACGGCGCGGAGCCTGTTCTTGTTCTGATGCCATTTTGCAGCCCACAGGTAGGTAGCAGACAAGGTTGATGGATGGTGAACCAAGTGCGGTGGTGAGAGGATCTGATAAGATTCGGAGATATGCCGCAGGACGGAGTCACCATGGAGCGGGGTCCGGACTGGCTTCGTTATCTTGGGCCGAAGAGAGCAGGAATTCCATATTCTCAGTGGGGGACTTTCTTGTGGGTCAACGCGACGCTGACTTGAAATCGGGATGGCAGGCTACCTGCATCATGTTTCACGGGTGGTCCAAGTAGGTACATGGCTGCGAGTGATATCTTGACCCAGGCGATCTATGATGAGCACACACACTAACTACACCCCAAGTATCAAAAGGCGGGGGCATGATGGGTCAAGATAGGATATTGGAATACAATATTAAGCCGTCTATAAGTGATCCATGAAGTTACGGGTTTTATCACTAATACATATCAGAGCCATCACAGTTAGTGGTGAAAACCAATATGAAGTCCTGAAGCTTAAAGTACGTAAATCCAGGTTTCGGATATATATCTCAACAAATAGATATCAGACTTTGGAAGGACGGTCATCTAGGTCCGTATGATTAAACTTGGAGCGATCCCCTTCTCATCCGAGATTCTGCGTGGCGGTAATCCCCCGAATGATAGCGCCGAGGGCTCGCCATCTACGATTGAATTTCTATCGAAAGTTCATCGGAAGTAGGACACAGGCGAATGGATATTCGGTGGCAAATGTTAAGCAGTACCTTGGTGCTCTTCCAAGTTAATCATTTCCTTGTCGAGGCAAGAGGAACCAGAAACACGAGGGGAAGCTGCCGGCAAGTGCTTAGTCATCCGCGCATGTGGCTTGCAGTGCCTGGATTATTACGTATTATGTGCATTGATTAGATTGGGTTGATGACCCCACGACAACAAGCAACAACTGGGAAGCTTCCAATGCAGACTGAGCTCCCATCTCACATCACCACCAAACACTGGCCGCCAAGCGTCTACGTCAGCCTGGGCCACCCGCCACCCGCGGTAGTTACGAATACGCATAACGACTTAACGACGTCAAAGCAGCCTTCTTTCTTTGTGTCACGCCTCCAACCGATGCCGGGTAATCTACAACGCCAACCCATCTCATACATCCACCTCCACCTGCTCTCCTCCTCCAGCAAATAACCAGCTCCCGCTCCCAACCAGCGCAGGTCACGGCACGCACCGGGTAGTTGTGCGTATCTCGATACGTGGATGCGAAACCCGCCGAGCACTTTGGATCGCATCAACATCTGCAGCAAGCGTCGCCATTTCCCAAGTGGCCGGGCACGAGAGCTAGCTGGCATCGCCTGCAGAGGTCTAACGGCCTTTGCCTCCCACCATGGCGAACTTATATGACCTGGGATCTCAGCAGGATCATGATGCCAGCGCTTATACTCAGTTACCAGGAACAGCTTCAAACGATGCAGCACATAATAACCTGGCAGGACCGAAGCCCCAGACCTACAATGATGGAGTCGAGCGTCCAGGTAACCGATTATTGCAGCCGCTCAGGTTCGTGAATCCATTTTGCTAATCAACCATCGTACAGGGCGTCATCCTAGTCGATGGATTTACGAGCTTTTGAACAACAAAACCACTAATATCGGACCGTTCGAGAAGGCACGACAATACCAGGTAGATATACCGTACGATTGGGACCATGAGCACCGCCTAGTTCTCAACGGAAACCAAAGCTACTCGACGCCGTCGACCCGGGTTCTATCATCGCTATGCATCGAGTGCCATTTCCACTTCGTGTTCAAGATGAAGTGGAACGAACACTGTCAAGACAATCTCTGCAACCCACTACAGGCCTCGTGGCCCATGGAGGAGTCGAAATATCCATGGCATCATCTGGTTTGGGCTGGGTCAACAGATGACGCTGATCTGCTAGAGGAACGCTCCAAGTACTATCCCTTACTCTCAAGAGAGCAGTTTGTATGTGCCGCTCCACCCTGCACCTTTCAGATCACCGTCGAGGTCTTGGAGCCACGGATGGGATCCTGGTGGGCTCAGTTGCTCACCGACCATGACGCCATCCGCAAAGAATTGTACAATGCCAAAGCCCGAGACCCTGAGAGATATGAGGGCGCAAATGAGGGATGGATAACCCAGGCACCACTCAATCTCAACACATACCTAAAAAACTTATTGGAATCACCAACAAACGATCTGCGGAGCATATCGAAACGTAACAAGCGGTTTTCGGTTCTGTTTGGACCTAGATCTTTCAGAATTTTTCGCGACTTGGAGTTCTCTGAAACTGTTGTAATGTTGGATGACGAAGACGATGGCCAATTCACACCCAGGGCACCAGAGCCAGCATCTGGACCATCCGGGACAACCGAGCCTGGTACTTACCGTGCTTATGTCGAGGATGTCCGAGCTGAAGTCCAGTGTATTATCCATCGCACGGGGCAAGCAACCGAGAAGCCAACGTTTATAACATCGGCTTTGTACGCGGATCTGGGGTCTAAGGATGCCCCTGGAGCGAAAAGCCATGCCTTGACAGACCTTGAGCGCTATAGATTGCTAGGCATCCTTCCTAACTTGCCCCGGGAGGCAACTGTCAATGCCTACTTCCGGCAGTGGAATCTCATCCCCAGCCAACGGAAAGCCATGGTAAATGACCTTGTCGCAATTGCCAATGACTATGGGGATGAGGCACTTTCGGAGTTCGCAATGACACAGTCTTCCATCTTTGAGTCACTAATGGAAAGGATGCAAGCTTCTGAGAATAATGAGCTCAACCAAGCCCTCAAATTCTTTGATCTCTCGCCACCAAACAGATACACCGCCGACCAGATCATTGCCTCGTTCAGGCTTACCCTAGCAGGCCGCCCTGGGCAAGCCGCCACGGCTCGGGACATGCTCATGGTGATTGCTGGTGCTTCAAGTGATCCTGAATACCAGACTCGTCTTCTTATGGAATCTGATTCCAATATGACCCTTGATACCAGCAAGGCACTCTTCAATGTCCCAGCCAAGGACGTGATGGATTCCCAATCATGGATCCAAGTGGGAAGAAGCAAGGTAGGCTAAGATTCCCGTACGATTGGCTCATGCCAATTTGCACCACCCTGTCCTCATGTTTTCTTGCTCTCCGCTAACCTTGCCATAGCTCAAATCTTGTACAAGCAGGCAAGAAAAGCTTCTCTACCTAAGTGCTTTGAACACGATCGCCGACGTTACTGATGATGCCCGTCTCAAACAAGGAGCTGCCGAGCTTCAAGAAAGATTTGCGCCTTCTGGAGAGGAAGATGATGGGAACGAGGCCCCTGCAGATATCAATATCCCGGTAGGGTTAAATAATATCGGCAACACTTGTTACCTGAACAGTTTACTCCAGTACCTATTCACCGTCAAGGCCGTTCGAGACATAGCCTTCAACTACTCTGACTATCGTTTGGAATTAACTGACGAGCAAATTGCCGAACGGAAAATTGGAGGGAACAAGATGACCATGGATCGAGCCGAAGCTGTGGTCGCTCAAGCCTGTACGTTATGAACCTCCTTCTGCGTGATTTTGCTAGTCCCACATTTCGCTAATTACGATTCTAGTTGTCCATGAACTTGCCGACTTATTCAACAAGCTCAAGTCCCATAATCAGGCTGCAACACGCCCGTCCCAACGTTTAGCTAACGCTGTTCTTTTGTCGACGCACTCGTTACTGGAGGACTTGAAATCTAAAGAGGCGTCGACCTCGACGTTACCTCCACCTCTACCAGTACGACCCCCATCCAGACCTCCTTCGCCAGTGGCAGAGGATACAGAAATGGCCTCCGAAAGAAACCATTCAAGCCAAGACTCTGAAACTGTTAGCAATGGCAGCTCTGAAACTTTGGTTGACCTGGTGACTGTGATGTCTGATAAACCGGTCTCGGAAGAGCAGCCTTCCTCTACGCATCCAGATGGAAAACCCAACGAAACAACTATCAGAGTAGTTGATGAATCGATAGCCGAGATATCCGCTACAGTGACTGGCGAGCCAACCAAAAACTCGGATGCCGATGTCATCATGAGCGACCTAGTTGATGAAAAAAAACAACAAACCATCGATGAGAAAGTCCTTGACGCTCTAGGACATCAGAAAAGATCCTCGGGAACCGACCAACAAGACGTGGAAGAAGTCATTGGAAGTATCATCAACCGATTGCAGGCAGCCATACACCCAAGCTCGGTTGACGAAAAGACCGGGATCCAATTCGAGAAGATAATGGAGACATTCTTCGTCACCACTGTCAACTACACGAAGAAATTCGATGATCACACATACCAAAGCGAGATCAGCTACGACAGATCGATTACAGCCTTTCCAGCAGCGGATGGACCATGCTCACTTTACGATGCTTTAGGACGGAATTTCGACCAACAGGTTCTGGAAGAAAGCAGGCTTACCCGATACACAGCTATCAAGAGCCTACCCCCCGTGTTGCACGTCCTCATTCAAAGATCTCAATCAATTGGGCGCAAAAACGATAACCCTGTAGTCATCCCAGAGACTCTGTACCTCGACCGTTACATGGATGCGTCCCATGACTCTCCCGAATTCAAGCGCCGCACGGAACAGTGGGTGGTGGGTGAATGGCTAGCAGATTTGAAACAGCAGAAAGCCCGCCTCAACGCCAACCCAAAAACTGGTGCCCTGCTAGACGAAATCAGAAGAAGAGATGAGAGCCAGACAAGCGATTGGGCTTCCGCAATAGCGGAGGCACGTTCTGCCGTCGCTTCTCTCGACGACCAATTTGCATTTGATGGTCCCAGTACTGAGGACCTCATTACACTATCGGATCAAGACATAGACTCAAATATGACTGATTCCGCAACTAATGCCGGCCACAAACCGGCTATTGAACCAAATGAAATGGCGACAATTGAGGAATTGACGCGAGCTCAACTAGATGATGATATTGCCATTTATGGGCAGAGACTAGAGCAATTAGTTACTGGTATGGAAAAGAATCCATATCGACTACAGGCTGTCATCTGTCATCGTGGCCACCTGAGCTCGGGGCACTACTGGGTATGGATCCACGACTTCGAGGCGAATGTCTGGAGATGGTACAATGATGCGGCGGTCAAAGAGAACCAGAACACTCAAGAAGTCCTTGAAACGCTGAGTAAGAGTGGAGAGCCGTACTATCTCTGCTATGTTCGAGACAGCGACAAGGGACAGCATGTGAACGTTCCTAAACGAGAGCTTCCTGTGGTCCCACAACCAGAGCCTGCGGGTGAGCCTCTCGTTGAGACAGCGGAGGATGCTGACGGTGACATCCAAGTCAACGATGCCTCGAAGGACCCCTTGTCTACACTTACCACAGCCGAGATTGAGACCTAGGAGTACTTCTCGCGATTAAATTCATTTTTCGATTTGTGACAAGCCAGATGGAAACATAGAAGTGTGAGCTGCCAACTTTGAAGGGGAGCAATGTGTCCTAAAAGAACTTTTCATGTTGAGTTGAGCGGGCGTTAAGGGACAGCAGACTCATATGTGTATGAAATTAACCAAGCCAATCCATCATATACCCCAAGCGTTGGGATAGAGATGTCTCTGCGGATAGATTATCCTAATGCATAGACTAAGGGCTTTACCTATTATCCATCGTATCCATCAGTGGTGCTTCGTTCATGTAGCCTCCGTTTAACTAAGTCGGTCTCTCACATCTTTAAAAGGTATGTAGAATATAAGCCGTTCACCTCCCCTTAAACACGGGCTTTCTCTTCTCCTGAAAAGCCTTCAAAGCCTCGTCTCTATCTTCCGTCTTGACAACTCTCTGGTACATTTCGTTCTCCTTGTCCTCCCGAGCCCAGCTCACAGCCTCCAGGGCAGCCCTCACGGCCACGGGACCTCCCTCGCAGATTTCCTGGGCCAGCCGGACAGCCTCGCTCAGCGCGGACCTGCGCGCCAGCTCGAGGATCTTGGACCCGTCGCTCTCGCCCTCCTCGGGCACGATCTCGACGAGACGGTCTGCGATTCCGAGGAAGTAGGCCTCCGGGGCGGCGACGCGTCGGCCGGTGAGGATCAGGTCGCGGGCGCGGGGGAGGCCGATCAGGGCGGGCAGGCGGAAGGTGCCTCCAGCTCCCGGGAGGATGCCCAGGCGGGTCTCGGGCAGGCCGACGGTGGCGTTGGAGGTGAGGACGCGGAAGTGGGTGGAGAGGGCGAGCTCGAGGCCGCCGCCGAGGGCGAGGGAGGATATGGCGCTGATGGTCGGGATGGGGAGGGCGGAGAGGGCGGAGAAGGTGCCTCGCAGGTTGGCGAGGAACTCGGCCGTTCTTTTTTAAAAAAGGTTCGCAGTTAATATAAGATCCAAAGTTCAATGGGGGCAAAAGGAAAGTACTCTTCTTGTGTAAAGTTCCGGCGCTCTTTCAGATCAGCGCCGGCGCAGAAGCATGTGTCGACCGCGCTGGCGATGACGAGGGCGCGGGTAGGACCCTTCTCGTCGACGCCGGCCGCGCCGCCGAAGCGCTTCACGGGGGGGTTCTCCTCGCCATTGGGTCCGTACTGGCTGCGGATGCTCTCAACCTCGGCGCCGAGGCGAGCCAGAAGACCTTTGGAGATTGCGTTCCGGGCGGAGGGGCGGTTGAGCTCGAGGATGCGGATGTGGCCGCTGTTGGGGGCAGGCAGGTTTGTGACGTGGATGAGGGGCGCTGCCTCGGCTGAGTATGCGCGGCGGCAGAGGAAGACTACCCGTCTTGAGGGGGCGGAAGGGAGGATTCTGGGAGGCATCTCAAGTAGTGTCCTAAGAGGTCAATTGGGAGAGTTCGGAGTGTTTGTCTTGGGATGGTTCTGAGAATTTGTCTGGAAGTGGAAGTATGTGAGAGCGGCCGGAATTGGTGATGAAGGGTGACGTCGGCTGTGTCTTCGGCTTCCATCGGCGTCTCGTCGCAAACTGCCAATGCCGAAGCTACCCTATACTTCCAACCTCCGCCACTCTACATTATTATCAAGATAGCTGCATAATACAATTCATCTACGATTGTATAGGCTAATTAGTATGGGTTTCTTAACTAATATCGAAAGCTTCTTCTCAAAAGGCTGGAACTATTATATCTGCATGCCCAACTAGAGCTAAACTACCTAGTTGGTTTGCAATGCACCATGCTGTTAATGCGCCCCGCAAGTATGTATTCTCATTCGCAACATTCACCACAAGAGGCAAATGAACATTGAGAAATAAAGTATGTTAGGATTTCAATTTTGTATCAATTGTAATAATATTATTACGTTGGTGAATACGGTCTACACAATGTCACCTACATCACTTGGCTGACAGATGCTCATTTGCGTCTTAGGATTGATGCTTTGACATTGTAGGAAAATCTATTATGTTGTCTATGTGTCTAATTTGATCTAATTTCTAAACTGATCTAATTTCTAAACCATATATAATATGTTTGCACAATCTGTCTATCCTTCTAATTGAGAAAATATAAGCATTCTGTCGTCTGTTGGGCTTCTCGACGCCCACTTATCATCATCTTTCTCCTTGCGTATTTACTCCGCCGTCTTGGAGGTCTTGGTGCGAAGCTTCATGAGCAGGTACACCAAGGCATACGAGCTGAATACCAGGAGAGTCACAATGCCGGTGTCTCTCCATCCGTAGTAGTACTCCTTCAAGTTTAGGGAGTACAAGTAGTCCTCTCCCTTGGTGTACGAGCACACCTGGCATCCGGTCGTTGCCTCGGGATTAGCAAGGTGGCTCGTGGCTCCCAGTTCGGACTTGAGGTAGTCGACGAGATATGCCGCACACGTGGTGCCGTTCGGAGGGTCGAATGTGGCAAATTCACTGGACGAGCACTTCACGTCGGCCCCCCATACATCGAAGACCAACATGCTTCCCATCAGGTAATTGAAGGGATTCAAGTAGTACCTGTTGATAGTTAGAGAAGATGAACGAAAGGAATACGAATAGGGACCAAGACATACATCCAGTAGCGCCAGAAAGGCTGAATTTGGGCATAGGGGACCAGCACTCCGCAGAAAGAGACGAGGACTCCGATGATGAGAGGGTTGACCAGAGAAGCGAAGATTTCGTTTGGCGCATACGCCGCGATGAATTGACCAATACCCGTGTACAGGAACTCATACATGAGCATGACAAACAGCGTTGCGCCGGAGCGGTTCGAATCCGATGGGAAGCCAACTGTATAGTACCAACAGACGAAGTAGAGCACGCCGCAGATGAGAAGGTACGGAATCTCCGACACGATCAATCCGGTGACGAAGGCGACCCAAGAGTACATCTTGGACTTTTTCTCTCGGGTTTCGAAGATATCGCGACGTTTGATGAATAGAGGCTGCAATTGATCTGTCCAATAGTTAGCTCTGGTTTTCTTTCATAATGGGAATGGTGATTCCGTACTCAGCACTCCAGGGGCTACGAATATGAAGTTGAAAATCGTAAAGAGTTTAAGCTGAAGGTCTCCAACAGAGTCTCCAATCATCCAGAACGAAAACCCGTTAAACAAAGCTGAAGAGATGTGAAGCGCGAACTTATTATTGATGTAGTCGATGTTGCGATACAGTGAGACGTTAGTTCGATGGGTAACGATCTTGATCTGCTCCCACATGGGCATAGCAAACTCGTAACCATCATCCACAGTGCCAGGCGGCTTAGATGCGGCTTCATCAACGATCCGGTCGACCTCTTTGCTAACAGCATCGTGCTCAGGTGATGACATCCAGACACTGTTCCAGTCTTTACCTTGCGATAGGTGCCCGGAAACAACATCGATCATATGCTCTGCAGGATTTACATGCGGTGGGCAAGGGGCGCCGTATCGGCCAAAGTACTCTCTGACTGTCTTAGCTTCCTCGCCAATGTCGCCAAAGTAGACAGTCTTGCCTCCCTTTGCAAGCAGAAGAAGTGTGTCGAATTGCGCGAAGAGTTGTGCGGAAGGTTGGTGAACCGTCACGAGAACGGCCTGACCAGCGGCGGCCAACTTCTTCAAGAACCGAACTGTATTGAAAGCGGACTGACCATCAAGACCAGATGTAGGCTCGTCGAGGAAAATCAATAGGCTGGGCTTGGCTACGAGCTCAACACCGATAGTGACTCGCTTTCGCTGTTCAACGCTGAGGCCTGCGCCGACCTCTCCGATCAGGGTATCGGCGAGATCATGGAGCTCAAGGAGGTCAATGATTGTGTTTACGTATGCGATCTTCTCTTCACGGGGCGTTTCTCGGCTCTGTCGTAGGAGGGCGGAAAATTCAAGGGCCTCTCGGACTGTAGTGTACGGTTCATGAACATCAAGCTGCTCACAGTAGCCTGCGGATCGTTGGAACGATACTGGCAAGGGTCGGCCATCAACAAGAACGGAACCGCGAATGGTGCCTTCAGTCTTCCTCTGGGCGAGCACATCGAGCAAAGTTGTCTTTCCAGCACCAGACGAGCCCATCAAGGCGCCCAACATTCCTGGCTTGACCCATCCTTGAACATTATCCAGCAAGACACGGTCACCAGAGGGAGTCTTGACCGTGTAAGACAGATTCTTCCACGTGAAGACGGAGGTGTTTCGCACTAGGTTGCGGTGGGCTGGTACATCCTCCCCGGAGCTACCCGCAGAAGGCTCGTCGGTTTCTTGCTTGTCTGACGCTTGAGCCTCTACATCATTGGACGTTGCAGAATGCAGATGGGCATTCTCACGGGGGATCAACAGACTGGGGCCATTCTCAGAAGATGACTTCCACCGGCAAGTAGACCATACTGTGATAGCCATGAAGAGAGCCCACCAGGCCCAGATGATGCCGAAGTTCCTCCAGACGTGAGAGTGCGCGTATGAGAGGGAGCTAAGGTAGGCATCTCCAGTGACGAAGGTTTGGCCAGACACAGCGCCACCGACTCCGGCGCAGCTCTGGTGAGCCGCGTCGGTAAATGAAGGGCCGTTCGGGATAAGGTTATTGCCAACGCAGGGGATAATTGTGTCGTGGAACTCATTGGATAGGAGAGCATCAAAGGCATATGCTAGAGGGCTAGAGGAGATGTTAGCAATGAAATAGAGGTATCGCAAGTAGTCAAGAATGGGGGACATACTCAATCCAAAACAGCCACACAAACCATGGGTGCATCTGTGGCTTCTGGATCATGAAGCCCGTGTACATGATGGTGGCTGAAATGATGAGACCAGAAACCTTGGAAGCACCATCAAAGGTGCTGAAGGATGCGCCGATTGCTCTGAACATGGAAGTGATACACTGTAAAGTATACTTAGAATACGAACTATAGGAGTCATGGCATATTTAACTTACCAGTGTCGTAGCGAACAGAATAACCCAGAACGTGAAGAAAGCCGCAGCGGTTGTCTTCAACCCAACCATGAAGTACAAGACTAGCGAGAAAGTTGACACTTGCACAAAAACCATAGGTATATCAGCGGCAAACTGGGCGATACAGAAGGCTGAGGGGTGGAAGTAGGCAAAAGACTTGTGCTTCAAAAGAACAGGTCGACCAGTGAAGGAGTCAGTAACCTCCGACATTGACATGAGACTGTTTTGAAGAAGAGAGAAGAACAGAGCGCCGGATTTCATGAAGAGTCCGCCAGATGTATTGGGAGCATTGTAGAAGAGAGACCCCGCGATCAGAGCCTGAACAATATTCAGGCCCTGTTTGAGTATGAAGGTGGTCTTGTCACCGAAGATGAGCTGGTACTGTCGAATGACACAGGCGGTGACTTGTGCAAAGAAACCGACAGTCATTGCGCTGTTTGCGGGAAGTCTCTTATACTTCTCTTTAACGACACCCTCCTTGAACAGCTTGGTATTTTGCTCTGCCTCTGGCGTGGATGGGTAGTTATACTCTGCGGCCATCTTCTCATGGATTGACGACTCCGTGTATTTCTCACGGATGGCATCAGCAGTACGTGGGAAGTTTTTGCTAAACTCGGGGCTGACTCTGCGTTCCGTAGGTACAGTAACACCCGTGAGAAAGTCCGCAACGTTGGCTCCTGGGCTGCAGATGAAACCAAGATCCTCCATGAAAGGTCTAGCCTCCTTCATTGGGCCATAGTATATCTCTTTTCCGTGGTCAAGAACGAGGACCTTGTCGAACAGATTGTAGATGCCATTGCCAGCTTGGTAGAGGGTAACAATTGAAGCGAGACCTAGAACGTCAGTCATGGCTCTTATAGCCTTGGCATACTCTAGGGCCCTATAAAGAGTTAGCTACGTATCATCGAGTGTCGATAGATGAGAGAGCGCTTACGTGCTGGCATCAAGACCTCGTGTCGAATTATCCCAGCAGAAAACGCTGCCCCTGGAAGCTAAGCACTCGATGATAGAAACTCGTTTTCGTTCTCCACCAGAGACACCACGGACGAATGCATCGCCAACTTTTGTGTCTTCGGTATGTTCGATGCCCATGGACTGCAGGAGGAACTCGAGGGACTCTCTGCGGTGGTCCTCATGGTTGTTGACTCCTTGTGGAAGATGGAACGGCACCTTCAGTCGAGTTGCAAAGTCCATGGTCTGCTGCACAGTCAGAGTTGGGAAAAAGAGTTCTTCCTCTGTGTTCATGACGATCTGCCCTCTATAGTTCTTCGCCTGCTCGGCTGGCATGCTGCCATAATGGACATCGCCAGAGACGCCGGCATAGCCTCTACGCTTGTTGGCTAGAATATTGAGCAGAGTGGTGCAGCCAGAGCCGGGTCGGCCCAATACCAGCAACATCTCACCGGGCTTCACACAGCCATGACTGGAATCTAGGATCTTCCGCAGTGGTGGCTTATGGC